CTTCTTTTATTTATATTTTTATGATTGCTTGTGAAAAATTATTTTTATGACAATTATGCAATTCACCATATCACCCAACGCCATAAAAACCAGGTTTGTGATTGCAAAAAATTTGCTTAGCCAATAAAATATTCGCTCAAATAAGTATCAAATGAGGCATTTTGGCTGACATATACCATTCATTCTTAAGCTTTTTTTTTTCAGCAAACTTGGCAATTTGGATACATCGCAAGATATTTGTCCTAACTTATTCCTTCTAGACAAAGGAAAGTTGAAAAAATTTTTATAAATTGTGATTAAAGAAATACTGTGGCCATTAGAGTTTTTCCATGCACCATTTCTGCTTAGACTCGCTCTTTTAACTCGGTATCAGATTGAAAGTGCCAAGGAGAACGCAATGGAAGTGCCGATGAGTCGGTAACATCACTCGGATTTTTGAAAGACAGGTCCTGCAAGGAATAAAATCCAAACTCTAAGATGAAACTAACAATCCACTGACCCCTCAAGAGATTGTTGGAAAAAAATATCTACTTAAATTGGCAATCTGGGGTTGGAAATGCATGTTTCGGCAGCTTTAACTTTAATTCTAGCCTGATTCTACAGGCTAAGTTTTCTATTATTGCTTTCTATTAATATTTTGTGGCTAAGCCAGAAGTGAAGAATTGGCGTGGACAAAAATAATGATTTCTTCACTAGTTCTCACTAATTCTTCACTAGTGAATTTTACATGATTGAGGGAAAATTTAGATTTATAATATATTTTTTAAAACTTCTGTAAGATGTGAAGTAGATCTTTTGAGTGATTCATGAAAGTTTTTGAAACTAATACTGAGGTTTTCTTTTTATAAAATTATAATTCGCCTAGTTGTTCATCTGCTACGCAACCTTTGTTCCAATCTTCTTTCTTAGGAGGCACTTTGTTTTCATTCTTAATGCAGATTATGGCTGCCGAGGTGAAAAAAAAGATTAGTGTTAAAAATTCTAATACCTTAACAAAGTATCCATGCTAATTGCTGAAGTGAAGAATCTGCACCAATTTACAACAAAGGTTCTTCAGAAATATTTCTTTAATCCTTTCATTTTATTGGTTGACCAATCTTAGATATCTTTAAGCTTGGCTACGATAAAGTAAATATTTTAGTGAGGGGATAAAATAATTTAAAGTTAAAATAGTTAAATGAGAAAAGCAAAAAAAGCAAATATTAGATTCCTTCTGACTGCCTTTTCTTTTACCTTCACTGCTGGACCTTCAATGGCTGAACCATGCTGTTCGGTAGTAATAAACCATTCGGCCATATTGCTTTTAATGTTTATCTCTCTGTAGGAGAGAAAAAATTTCATTCATTCACACTTCCATCGAGTAATCACAGCAGTATTACGTCCTTATTTCGTACTTCTCAATTTTTCCATATTTTTTTATTCCTTTCTTCCTTTTCTCTTTTATTCCTTTATATTTATTCTCATGATCAAAGGCATTCAGTCTTGGTTTTGCTCTTTATCTTTTTAAGATAGGTTCCCTTTTGCAGCGTCGATTTGTTTTCTCGAAGTTTATCTAATTTTGGTTTTATTACAAAAGAATAATGGCTTCAAAGCTACTTAATATTCTAAATCAGAACACTATTCATACGAATGAGCAAAATTTAAATTGCGAATTAATTGTTTGCAATCTTTTATTCAAATCCAAAAATAGCTTTCTTCGCATCTTAGCACCTTATTTACTCTTGTAATCTAAATGGTAATTTGACGAAATACAGTAGATGCTGCTTTAAAATGCAGCCAAAATCATCTAAAACACTACTATATACTATGGTACTTGGCGTTATTGCATATTAAATGAAAAAATATTTTAATAAAAATTTCTACTTTAATAAATTTATAGGTAAAATTAAACGAAGTGAGATGGCATCGGTCAACTGTATTCGTTGTTATTTGTTCTTGATTACTTCACTGGTTTTCATAACGAATAAATTCGAATGCACAAAAACAATATCAAGCAATAATTTATTTGCAAAGTACTTATCACGAGGCATGTATACATGTGGCGCCGATTATATTGCGACGCTTAATAAGCTGCATAATCTTATGAGAGTTAGAAATTTCATTGTTATTTCTTTTATAGACAATTGTACCATAGTTGTTTTTAAAAAAAAAACTCTAGTTTCAAAGAGTACCGTTTTCAAACTGGTTTGACAATAAAATCACGCGTTTAATTGGTTATTAAAGGCTGTGCTGAGGTTGTTCGTTGTAGTTGCGGTGAATTGGTTTACCTTTTTATATGTGGTAAAATTTTATTGCGTTTTACATGGCCAGCATGCGACAGCCATTTGTCAGAGACGAATCGATTTATTTAGCGAGAGCCAATCGGCAGGTCTTCACAATATCTTTAATTTTTTTAAGGAAGTGCACCAGAATTTCGAAAACTGTAAAAAGGAAATGGAACATAAAAAACCTGTATTTCCAATGACGGCCAATGGTGAATTGAACGATTTCATGAGAAAATATTCTGCATCTTCAAAGTCGGATGAGTATAGTGATTTAAGTTAGTTGACCGTTATTTAAATTTATGAAAATTTTGAGTTTTAAAATTTTTGGCCGAATTCGCTGCTACATATGCCACTTTTTTATGAAGGCTTATCATTTCATTAGTTCAATAAAATTTTATAAATTTTGAACTTTTCTGTTCTTTTATTAGTTTTTATTTCTTATATATTGAAAAAAGAGAAATGCTTAAAAAACAGTCATATTTTAACAGTCGTTAATTTTTTAATTAAAATATTATTATTGCTGAGTAGTATCATATAATGAGAATTTAGGTCGATGATGGTATTGTCCAATAAAAAGAACGCTAACCAACGAATTTGCACTATTATTCGATTCTCCTAATCGCTAATAGCTTTGTGATAAACCATTATTAAAAACATTTCATTGATAATTGCATGAATGCAACTTATATATTACATACAACTTGTTTATAGGTTTCTAAATCAAAATATCTCTAGCACAATGCATAAAAAAATTGCTGAGAAATTCAAAATAATTGAGAAAGGCAGCTAAATTCTTCGTTTTAATTATACCACAGTATTTATAATAACCACATTGTTATTAATATTAAACTGAGCTGTACTATGCCGAATGTATTTTATAATTCACTAATTACTCACTCATAGCGTCGATTGCCTTCTTTGTTGAAAGAAGCCTATTTTCAGGCCTTTTAGTACTTTAAGAAAAACGGGTAGTTTTAAAGAAAGTAAGCAGTCATCCCTAAAGTATCACTTCTTCAAGATAGAACGAAAATTTCGAAAGTTTTTGCGAAGCAAATTCCAAAATTAACATATAATGCATATTTTTTAAACATCATTTTCACAGTTAATTATTTTAGGAAAGTTTGCGAAAGAATTTATGAATGATGCATTTTTAATTTCATGAAGCTGAAATCGTTTTTCGTATGAATTCGTCTCAGTTTTTACTATGCAGAAAATCATTTGAAAAACTTTATTTCGTGCCTTTAAGGGCAAATATGATGGAAATTCGCATATCGACTATCGCATATTTCATGTATAAATCGAAATCCATCGGCAAAAAGGAAAAAAACAAATGGAATAAAGCGATAACGAAAAGAGATACATTATTCCGAAATAAAAACTGAAAGAAATCGTCGAATTTTATTTAAACTTTTTAAGATTTTCAAATATTCGCCCACTTAATTTCTTCTGGCTGAAATTATGTTCAGCAAAAGTGGCATATTTGTGGCGCCTTCAGTCAGAGAATCACTTGACGGCAGTGCACAGATGGATCTTCAGCGCCAGACAGATTTCCCTTTTCAGAAAAATTAGATTTTCTGCAATCAAAGAGTTGAGATTAAAACCTATTGTGCTGTATTTATGGTCGAAGCTGCTCATATCTTCGACCTAGCAGCTAGCAGCTACCATATGAATTTATATATAAACTAATCTTGAGCTTCAATACTTTCGCCGAAATTACTGTCTGTAAGATGGAAATTTCGTAAGCTGTGCTGGTTCTTTTATGAAATGGCCATATAAGCTTTAGCAATCTTTTTAAAACGAGACCACAAAATCTGAATTTCACAACTTATCAAAAATAAACACGAAGCAGTAATGACAACTTTAGAATGCGATAATCAGTAAGGAAACAAGTAATTGGTAAGTGCTCACAATTTCTGGTCTTTGCTAAGCGGTTGGTACGTGCTAGAGAATCAGTTGGCGATGGAAGTGCAGCTGGTACGAGCTGAATTTTTATTTCTTGGAGATTTCCTCCTGCCGTAAGGAAGCGAAATCTTACCCCTCAATACCTCAAATTCCCCTAAATCGCATAGTTCAAAAATTGCCTCAGATGAGTTCATTTTCACTTCAGTCCATTCCACTATCGCAGTGATATAATCCAATAGTCCAGTAAATTTTACAGTAATTTGGCTGTTGTGCTTTCTTTGAAAATAAACTCTGTTGTAAAAATTTTTTGTAAATTTTGTAAAAATAATCCTTGTAAAAAAAATGAAAATCATCTGCGGTTTAATTTTTTAACTTTAATTGAGTTCGAGTGAATTCTGTGATTTGCATAGATGATTCGAAAATTGAAAAGACGACTATTTATGTTGGATTTGCACTTTTCATACTGATTCGCGCATAAGTGTGAAACCTTTTCTTGTGAAATCTCTAAACCTTTCGACGCATATGAAGTTGATGATTGAAAATATGAAGCTACAAAGTCTCTTTTATACTTTTTTATGGTCTCGAAACGATTATCTGGACTTTAATGAATATGGTAGAGAAAATGGGGTGGGAGAGGTGGTTTTATCTGGAATTTACCTTGTAGCGATTCATCTTGCTATATACGTCTTTTCTTTTCTACCTAATATGTACTTAATGTGAATGTTTTTTTTAAGAATAATTGGCAATAGTATTGCTTTTTTTATTTTTGCGATATATTTTCAAGTTTTTTTTAACGAAATATTAAAAATTTAAAGAAATTAAAGGTGTGGCGAGATGAGTAAGGGGGTGCACGAAGACGGTCTTACAAATGAGCAGCGCTCATCGATGGAAAAAGTCGCAAAGCAGTTGGGTGTTTCGAAGGAAAATTTAAAACAATTCGAAAATACAATAAAGGAAGTGAAAAAACAAAATGCTGATGCTACATTTGATTTGGGTTTGTTTATTTGGTTTGGTTCGATTTCTAAACTTTCACAACTTTTTATGAATTCCTTTTATCTTAACTGTTAAAATTTGGACCTCATGTTTCTTTTCGAAATTTTTTCTTGATGCTTTTCTCGATATTTCTTTTCGTTTGCAGCAAGAGATGGTCCTCTTAAATCGGCAAGTATTTTAGCGAAGCAGATAGGTCTACCTGGATTCATCGTCAAAACTCTTGAGAGAGAAAGTCTCAAGTCAGATATTGAAAAATTTGCCAAACTAAGTAATTATTTATTCCACAATTTTTTTTTATTTTTTATTGTTCCTTTTTTATTTTCTTATTGGCGCATATGGTTTAGACGGTCTGTTTTATTCGACGTGATAATATTGGTGAAATCTGGGAATTTTTATTTCTGTATTTCTTTTTGATTGAATAAATTGAATCAGTTACAATAAATCAGTAATAGCAAATCAGTAATATAAGTGATATAAAATTCCTATGGTTTTCACTAAGTAGAGAATATTTGGCAAATGATGTTTAAGTCATTGGCTGAATATAAGTCATTGGCTGAATAAATTTTAGCTTAATCCATTGAATGAAGTGTTGTTCACTGCATAGTGAAACCTCATTTGTAATGATATTTATTTTGTTTCTTGACCAAACATTTGTTTCTGGTGCTGCTCGTGGGTATTCGCTATTTGAAAGAATTAGTAAACATTTTGGATACGATGGCAAATTGCTAGAAAAATTTGAAAAGGTTGCAAGGGAAGCCACCGGAGAAGCCTCAAAGAAAGCAGAGTGTTTGTTCTTAAATTTTTTTTAGCATAGAATTTTCTTTAATTAATTAGATATTTTAGAAGAACAATAAGATAAGAACAATAACAATAATATCTAAGATATTCCAGAATTTTTAAAAAATTATAAATATTACAATAAGTTCGTGAAGTTATTACAGTAAGTCGGTAAAATTTCGTCAAATGGAGAAAAGTCTTAGCGAAAATTTAGCTAACTTCAGTAGAAAGTAATAAAATATTGGTCCAACCCAAGTGATCATTGTCACTCTCTTTAAATACCGCGTAGATTGTCGGAAGGCGTAACAACTATCATGTCTGAAAAGGCTCGACCCGCTCTAATTGAATGGAAGCCAGTAAATGACCGTATGGCCTATGCGCAATACAAGGAAAAGTTCTGCAATATTTCGGCTATCAGTGTATATACTCCAACTTTATGCGCAGATGACCGCGATAAGGATAAGTTCTATGCGGAACTTCAATTGTTAACAACATACCTACCGAGAGGTGTGTGTTATTTGGTTATACTCGGTGAAGACTAAAGTGCGCGAGTAGGTCATGATGCCGTTTTGATGAAATCGGTGATTGGCAAATATGGCATGAGGCCCAATGCACCAATAGAGAACGCCTTCTTCGTTTTGCTGGAGGCCATGAACTCTTTGTTATTAATACATAATTTCGATATCGGAGGAAACATCTAGTCACGTGAAACTCTCAGACAACCAACGTTCCAATCAGATTAGCTATATATTAGTCAGTCACCGCTGGAAAAGTTCTGTACTTTATGGTCGTTTTTATCGGCGCGCTGAAACTGGTAACCGCCATGGATCAGATTATGTTATGGTTCAAGCCAAGATTCGTATAAAAGTGACGAGTCGTAAGAAATAACGTATTCCAAGATCGTTCAAATACCTCAGATTAAAAGATCCGGGAACGCGCAATTTCAAACCGTATTATTAAAATACCTCAGTGAAATGAGCGTCAGTGACATTTCTGGAACGGCGAATGAATATTGGTCCCAAATAAAAACATGCCTACAAAAATCAGCCACTTCCACATTAGGGTATAGTAGTAGGAAGTGCACTAGTTGGGTGTGGGAAACAACTGTTCAACTGTCTGAAAAAGCTGTCGAAGCCCGAATATCAGATTTTGACTGTCGAGTGCTTCGAAGAATTACAACGACAGCAGCTCGGCGGGACTGAAATCACTATTGCAGCGATATGGCCTTGAGAATGTAGGCGCATCGGATAAGTGATAATAGAAAACTGTTTCAGCTTCTCCGCAAAGCAATTACAACTCGAAAAGGGGCCAGTGAAATGATACGGGATATTAATGGGGTGCCTATTTTTAATAAGCTATTAAGGATCACCTCAGAAGATGAAAGAATTTTTTAAGGTCGAACTTAGCCACGATGCACCATCTGTTGTCCCGAATATAACTGATTCGCCCGTCGAGCCATACGTTTGCAACTGTGAAGAAGCTTAAGGGCAATAAAACTTCCGAAGATGGCCTTCGGGCCGAACTCTTCAAATGTTGTAAATGTGGTACATCATCGTTCATAACTAACCAATTCTCTGGTATGACAAAAGAAAATAATTCCAGAAGACTGGAGCATAGCAATTCTGCTTCCAATTTCTAAGAAAGGTGACAGGACGTACTGTGACAATTACCAAGGAACCAATAGATTCATAGCAACACGAGATAGCAGATTGCATCCTAGCCCAAGCTGGATTCAGACTGAGTCGTAGTGTTAATTAAATATTTACGCTAAGAAGGGTGCTGGAACATAGCTATAAATACCAGCAGCCCGTCGTCACTTGTTTTATCGATTTTGCAGCTGCCTTCGATTCGCTTGATAGAGTAGAGTTCTGGAAATGATGGAATATGATGGAAAGTATCTTAGAGATCATTTGGCTCATAAAGGCACTTTATCAGCATACCCTAACGCGGATATATATGGGGAACTGACAGACTCCTTCGAAATAAGAACTGGTGTCCGTGAGGGGTGTGACCTTTCCCCTAAAATATTCAACTATACGATAGACTGGATAATGGGGATCGCTTGTCGGCACTTAAGATGTGTGCAAATTAGTCTAGAAAATAGATCTTGAATATGCTGATGATGTAGTCCTTTTTGCTGACAGTTATAGGAAATGTAAATAATATTAAACAATGTGTCAACAACTGCAAATGGACTCAAAATCAATGTAAATAAATATAACGAAGGTGTTTTCGTCTTATGCTGATAAAATATACTTCAATGCTGGTTGAGGAAGTGCCTGATTTTAAATACCTTGGATCCACTCTAATACCAAATGGCCGGGTAACCAGGCGACAGCTAAAATTATGTTTTTCCGGTTGATGAAAACCTTTATGGAACCGTCGCAAAGTCACCATAAAGACGAAAATTTGCATCCATATAGCCGCAATTCGTTCCATCTTGCTATATGGCTGCAAAACATGACCAATGAGAGTGGAAGATATTAAGAAGCTATTAGCGTTTGATCACTCATGTCTAAGGATCCATTTTACAGGTCCGTTGAGCAGATAAAATCGCACGTGATTGTGTCTTCGCTCAGCTACCACCTGTATTAATAATGTTATCACAGAGCGTCGCCTTCGCTGGTTAGGGCATGCCCCGTCCACCACAGAAACTGATGCATATTTTGTTTTTTTGCTAAACCCTGTGATGATTGGCGTCAAAAGAAAGGAGGGCCAGTCAAGACCTGGACTGATAGAGTCAGGAAAGATTTTGGACGTGTGGGAGGATCAGCGATATATGGACTTAGACGATGGAAAAAGAATGGCCTCTTATTACTACTGGCGATGGCGTTGGATCGAGCGGCTTGGAGACGTCTTACCCTTGTAGCTAGCGGAGCCAGCCTAACTAGAATGGTGAGGGCTATTAGAAGAAAAAGAAGGTCTAACCTTAATGGGCTAATAATTCACAATATTCGAATATACACAGAAATTACATAGAAAAAATGTGTAGAAAAAAACAAAGAATTCTGTGGGAAAAATAAGTTTAAAATGATATAAAAGCTAGAATTTACATAGCAGTTGTGGTAATGTAATTCATTTTATTCCAGATGTAAGGATCGTTCGAAATCCATGCACTGTTGTACTACCTCCAGCAATTAATGTCTCACCTCTGATCCGATTGTCTCGCTGGTGTGCCTTAGGTTCTTTTTCTTATTGCACATTTTTAAGCATAAGTTTTTAATCTTAAGTATATTCTGGGTAGGAAGGAAGAGAAAAACTATAACTTTTTCAATTTCAAATCCCCAGTTTGCAACTCCTTATTCTTTAAAATTTTTTTTGGGTCAGAAACCATTAAAGGCTTGTTAGCTTCAATTTTATCTTCCAGTAGTTTGTCGTTTTAAACTTTTTGTACATTTTTTTACATTTTATCAATTTTTTGCACAATTTTTCATTTTCTTCTTCGTTATATAACATTGTTATTAATTATTATTATTAATTATACAAGTTTTTTCAACTAAATAGGACTGGGCATTGCTTGGGGCATGGTTCGATATCGTCAGATTTGTGAAAAATATGCTGATATTCGAGATTTTGAATATGAACAAGAAATGAAGCATGAGCCAAAGAAAGAGAAAACGCGGTTACGGGCGGCTTTCGGTGATGTTATGGAAATTGCTGAAGTCAGTTATTTATAAATATCTTTAGCGTATCTTGTCGATTTACTAATTCATCTTTTTAAATCATCTTTTCTTTCTTTTTTCTTTTCATTAAGGGATTAATATTAAATGTTTCAGCATCTTAATATTCCTCCCGATGAAGCTGCTTATATTCTTGGGTCCAACATCAGGAAGAGAGGTTCTGGTGTATAAAGAAATGAATCCCCGTGAACGTTTCAGGAATAGTGTAGGTAAATTTTTAATAATCGCCTATTTGTTAATATACTTAAATGTATCGTAAAATAACGAATATAGAATTCACCGTTGTATGTTTAAAATTAAAAATAAATTTAAAAAAACAAAATACATTTAGGCTTGGTTTTATTATGGATAATAAAACGATAAAAATTTATGGAAAATACCAAAAATTTTTAAAGATATTCTAATCCTCAAACGTCAAAAAACCTTTACTGAAATTTTTTTATTTTCTAAACTTTTATGTCTCTAAAATGTGTTGCTTAATATTTAAATATAATATTAATCCGTTATTTAATCAGTCAAGTTTGTTTTTGGTGGTTTTTTTCAAAATACAGATTTATTCAGGCAATTTTTATATAAAATCTGTCCTGTATATCAAAGATTGAAATTCCATGAAATGCATAGTTCACAATTATTGCCAAGTATTCAAAGCTCGCAAAAATGTCGTAGGCTGAAATTTCCAATATTACTTTGCCGCAAATTGTTTTAAATGTGCATTTTGAAAATTATGGGCTAATGGGAAATGATGGGAAAATAAAATGCCGGCATCATAAGCAACTAAATCGAAAATTTCTTTCGCTTTAAATCATTAATGCTAAGTGAATCAAATTTCGAACTCAAATAATTTTTTCGAATGGTAAATCTTAGTTGAATTTGCAGAAAAACTTACCAAAGTGGTAGCAGAATTTCCAGTACAAAACAAAAAATACCGTTATTCCCAGTAATAAAAAAACATATGAGGTACATAAGATTATACGTATACTGGATGCATATTTTTGCTAAAGTATACTTGCTAGAATTTTATGAAATCCAGGGAAATCTGTTATTTTTAGAAAAAATCTATTTCATGAATATTCTCGCGTTAGCAAGTGCAAAATAAGTTGAAACAGAAATTTGAAACAGAAGTTGGTTGTAGGATTCGACGGTGTGCTAGTATTAATGAAAATTGCAAGCGCTAATCGATAGATTATCATGTGAATAGGAATACTTTTGATCAATGCGGCAAACATGAAACTTGCCTTCTTATTGTGCGTGTCAAACATCCTTTTGTATGACATTAAACTAATAGCGATTGAATACGTAGAACTTGATACGGCAAATCCGATGAAAAAATATACATGAAGAACTAAAATTTTAATTAATTTAACAGCGAAATGCGTTGAAATAAAAGGAGATATTTTTTTATTTTAAATATTTTAGATATTTTAAAGGAGGTAAGGAGAGAAATTTTACATTCTTGTGAAATTGTTGCTTTTTTTTCGAATTTTTTAAAAATATAACAATTTTCTTCCTTTAAAAAATCAAAAAAGTGGAAGAAACCTCCATTTTCTCTTTCACCAATTATCGTTAATAAAATTAAAGAAATTGTTTCCAATAGACCAAAATATTTGATGAATGAAAGAGTTCGTAGTTCATTGCTGTGATTGCGCAAGTAACATATGCGACCTATAGGTTTACGAATAAGACGTAGGGATTTGGCCGTAACGAATTTGATTACAATATAAATGAAACGCAATGCTTGAATTTTAGTACAAACGAATTAAACGTGGTGATAATAATTTAAAAATTTTTTAACGAGCACAAAATTTCTAATTTTTCAAATCAATTAAAAATAAAAAATTTGGCATACAATTGATAAAGATGAGTATCGGCCTCAACCCTGCATGCATTAACATTAATAAATTCCAAATTAATCGCTCTTTTGATAAACCAATTATCCGTGAAAAAGATGGCAAACGGACCATCTGTAAATTCGCTTTTTTATATTTACTCTAATAAATATTTTTTTATCGATGGGAATTTCTGGCATTTGAATTTCGAGATTTTAATTTCAGCTTTATGCTTGCTCTTATAAGCCATATTTAGCCGTGAAATGAAGTGAAATGCTTGGATTTTAGGATAATCGAATTAGCGAATTATGCTCACATAAATCGATCCGAGCACCGTATGTTAAAGCAATGTTTTTAAAGTACAAAAATATCGAAGGAAAACTTACTCCACACGTCCATTTATAAAAGAAAATCTGTTGATAATCAAAAATAAAACCGATAAAAAATGTTGAAAAAATAGCGGTAAAAGGCGGTAACATCAGAACTGTGGTGATCAACTTTTTAGGTATTCGACAATATATTTGTTGGAGTTCGTTTCGCTGCATCGCTTGATTCGCTTTTAGTCAACTAATATTTTCTCTTTTAAATCAGAGAATAAACTTTTAAAATTTAAATTTAAATTTATATTGGAAAAAAATCAATTTATTATTTCACGATATTAGCAAATGGAAAATGAAGAAAACTGGTAAAACGACCTTCTCAGCAGCATTCGCATCGATAAAATTTATTGCAGTTCCGCTTAAATAATTACTATTATTTACTATAGGTTGGAAATAAATAAACGAAATAAAATCAGCGTCAATAGATCGAAATATATTTTTATAGTAAAAAGATTGCAAACAAAATTTTATAATTAGAAGATTACGATTTATTTTATTTCTATCAGAGCAACAATGGCCATGCATTTATGATTTTCAATTCTAGAACGGTATCTATCATTTTATTTTTTTGGAAGAGAGCTCTCACAATTGCTTGTAAGCCTCGCTTCTCTGGCTTGTAGAAAAATGTGCCAGGGAGGCGATAGAAATACAGGTGAATCGTCAGCATCATCCGGATTTTTAGATTTGGTTTATTCCTGCAGGGACTGGAACCTCAGCATCGCGCTCCTAATTGAGCAACAATCCACTGAGCCATCTATTTACGCTCTTTTAATTTTTCGTTAGGAGGCACTTCGGCGAAGAGTAGTACGTCGATTTCTCGGAAGCCTTGATTCTTTTTTTCGTCAATTATTTTGCCAGTCACAACCTATCATATTGGCATATTGAATTTTTAATGTGTTCATATAAGTTTTTCTCAGAAGGAATCCATGGCTTTCACCAGTGAATCTTAACTTTTATCGAACTGGCAAAGGAATTAGTAGCTTTCACGTGACTCTTAACGAGCACACTTTTGAAAGGAATCTCTGGCTTTTATAGGGGTATATATCTGCAAACTCTAAGTTTCTAAGTCCAAACCCAAGCCTGTTATTTTCTTTTTGGCAACATGCCTCACAGTTAAACCAAGTTACATCAAACCAAGTTCAGATTCCCGCCATGGCGTTTTGCTGATAACCAGGGATCCGCTTTGTGAAAGCTACTAACAGATTCCTGATTTAAGCCGCGTGCATTGCTTTGCGCACAATCTGGAAAGCCAGGCAATTATTGAAATCACTTTATTTCATTTCTGCATTCAAAATCGCTTCCATTTACATCAGCAATATTTCCGCCAATTAAAATCAATTTCATCTTTATCACTATTAAAGAAGCTATCAAAAAAAGACTTTAGAAGTTGTGTTAGCAAAAAGAAATTTTCAAGCAAAGCATTAGAAAGCGTATTTTGAATATTTTTTCGCGGAATATAATAAATATCATTTCGAGGACACTGCGTTACGTGAGGTAACACTTCGAATTGATTCGCTAATGAGCAGTCGATTAATTTGAAATTTTTGTCGATACATAATCGCATATCAGCTAATAACCACTTATCAATCTGCAAATTAATTATTTTCATTCGCTTTTCTTATGTTGTGAATTCTTCTTTTTTAAATTTTATATTGCCACTTTGACGAATCCAACTCGCCACATTATAACAAAAAATTTTTGGAAATATGATAAGTTGATGTAGGTAATAAGCGATTTTTGAAAAATAAGAATATCGAATCGAAACATTTATGGTAAATCTCCATTAGTTCATTTTAGCCAAAAACTTTTATTAAATATATTCATTATTCATAATTTTTATAATTAACCAAGAAAAAATTAAAAATTAAAAATTAAAATTAAAAAATTGAATTAAAATTAAAAGTCGTGTTCATTAATTTAAGTGCATTTATAGCAATATTTAAAGTAAAATCTAATTATTCTTCAACAATTTTTTTACAAATTTCGCGCCCATTGCCATTGTCCTACTATTGTCTTACTCTTTGAAAAAATACCACGAATTTTTATTTTCAACCATTCAGAAAATTTATTTTTGATAAATAAATTGTTGCCATTTAGAAAATTTATTTTTGATAAATCGTCCTCATTATTTTTATTTATTATTCTTATTTATTTACTTATCTATGTATTTATTCATGTTATCGTTATCTTTATCATAATTATTATATGATTACTACTTCTACTGCTATTACAAAATATTATTTTATTATTATTAGTGTTATTATTATTATTAACCATTGTTTGTTATTTATTATTGCTGCTTTATTCATTATTATTATTATTATTTATTATTATTATTATTATTAATTATTATTATTATTATTTTATTACTATTATTTTATTATTATTATTATTTTATTATTATTATTTTTATTAATTATTATTATTATTATTATTATAATATTATTATTATTATTAATTATTATTATTATTATTATTATTATTATTATTATTATTATTATCATTGTTGCTTCATTATTCTTATTTTAATATTAAAGTTATTTATTATTTATTGTTTTCATTTAGTAATTCAAGAAAAAAGAATTTAAAAATGTTTTCTAGGTGGACTGTTATCGAAAAAAAGCTCTATCGTAGAAATAATTACCTTTTTATCTTTGATACAGTGTATTTGAAGAAAATTGGTATCGTTCGAAGAACTCAAAGCGGATACCACAAGTGATATGAGCATTTCACGAGAATATGGCTTTGTTATGCTCGGTGTAATTCCAACTTTTTTCAATAAACTACAAGTGATTTCTGTGAATTTATAATTTTTGTGCTTAAATCATGAAAAATTAATGAAAAATTCAAGCGAAAGTATTTCTTTTTGAAAATTTTTTTAAATATTAAATTAATTAAATTAATTAAATATTAAATAAATTAAAATATTTTTTTAAAAACATAAAATTACCGATAAATTTGAAATTCTGAATGCAAACAGACGACTTTAGAAAAAAACTTATATATGCTGTTAACTTCTTCAAGCTCGACTGAACAAGTTCCATGCTTTTTCCACTCGTGTTCCCTGCTCAATTTTTTGTAAAACATTTTAAAGTTCCCTTTTTTCCTTGTAATACAATATTAATTATTTGAATAATTGACAAAGCGAACCCAACAGCATTTTGATTATGGGTAATCAATCTATTTCACCACGCGTAAATCGTTGCCATTGAAAATTTTCTAATTTTATTTGTAATTTTTTTATTGACAAATTTAAATTGAAAATAAAAGTATTTTTGAATTTCAAAATGAAGAAGTACCTGTCAAAAGGCCTTGAAATTTTATGAAAAATATAAATTGCAAAATACCAAATCAAACTAAAAGTGATAAGCAGATAATGGAACATACCATAAAGAAGTAACGGATTCTTTCGTTAAGATGTTTGGCCATGTTTCTTCCAGAATATTTCTGATAGTAGATATTTGGTTCGGATCAAATTTATGATGTTCCACATCACAAAACTGTGGAAAAGAGCCATCATTTCTCGTTGGCCTTCAAGAAAATTTTATTCATTCAAAGAAAAATTCTAAAAAAATAGTGACAAAATATACTGGTTTTCTAATAAAAGGATTGCCATTAAAGCATAATAATTTCATAATAGATAGATAGTTCGTATGATTTCTAATTTTATTCTAAACATTCTTTAGAAAGAAAAAGTACCATAAACCGTGTATGGTCCAGTGGACTGAGCCATCTGGCACATGGCATACATTAGATTCAGTGTCATCCATTGCCTGACATATCGCATCCGGATAAACCTGCGAAAACACAAAATAGTCAAATTTTTCATTTTTAATCATCCCAAAAACCAATTTGATAATTGTTGCATAAATAATAACCGATAGTTTCGTTTTCATCTTCTGAAATGTGTAATTTTTCTAATTTTTTACTAAGAAATTAATCTGAATAGAAAAAAACTTCTGGTAACTGGTTTGCCAGTAAGAAAATAACCAATAACGCTCGTTATAAAAGCAAAGAATTGAAATTAAAAATATTATATAACTTGGCACGTGAACGAATTAATTTATTTCCGACTAATTTTAAAGTATATTAATTATATATTACATAATACATTAATTATAAAATTATATTAATTATACATAAAATATAAAAATTTCGATAAAAAATTCATTAAATTCGGAAACTATAGTCGAATATTTTGAATAATATTAAACAAGCATGAAACAAACAGTTCATTGGTAAAATTCTAAACATTTCCTAGCGAAAAATTCTTTTCGTAACGTACATAACTAATTTTTCACATTTTTGTTAAATAAAATTTTTATATAAATTTTTTAACCAAATTTCCATTCTAATCCAATCAGCTAAGCATACGCAATTCCTAAGCTCAGCTAAAAATGTCGGTGGTAGAATTTTTGCCAAAAATTGACCAATTGATAGAGAGAATTCATTATTCATTATTTAATTGACACTGATAACATTATCTGGACTGATAACAACATATCATACTCGATTATTTATTTCATTTCGTTACTATTATCAGTTTTAATTCATCAGACCAACCATTTTCAATTTCTTTGTTATTCTGTGAGAAATGGCCGAGCATTGCTAATTAAAACAAATGCATTTTAAAAAAATTAAAAATATCCGAAAAATGCTGCAAAGGATAATTATATTTTGCAACTTCTTTCGAAACTCAAAATTCCCACTCAAACTCCAAATCCGTAAAAAAAAATTTTCGTATACCGTTTATATATATTTATTTTTCCATGTGCTGAAAAGAATGCATCGAACAGCAAAAAATCAGACATTTGCAATTTTTTTGCAAAAATTTGTTCCAATAAAAAAATCAAAAACATTGAATAACTCTGCAAATGAACCAAGAAAATTAAATTTTTTTTGACACTAAATAAATGGAATATTTTAAATTTCAAATTTATCAACCGATCCGATCATTTAAAACATCGAAAAGAAATAAAAAATTTCGAAAAACCACAATACATTGGCAATGATTTATTCGAGAAAAATGAAATTATCGAAACAACAAGACAAACAATTGGAATGAATTATAAAATAAATGATGACTAATTTGCAGAATACCGGCAGACAAGGTAATTTAAGGTACCTTTTACAACTGAGATAGATCAACACCGTCTCCTCTGATCTTTGCAAAAATTCACAATGCCATTTGTGCAATATGAAAATAATAATAATAACAGGCATAAAATATATGAAGAATAAAGATAACACAGCCCATCGCAAAAATTACTTAATATTTTTTAAAATTTTCTTAAATTATACCTTTATTATATCGGTTAAGTTCCAATCCCTTCCCATTATTTGTAAATCCTTAATGATTTTTATATTTATAGAGAATATTATTTTAATGCAATTACTACAATAAAAATCACTTAAAGCTAACTTAATATCCCTTAAAAAAAACCTCTTAAAATCTAATAATTAAAACGCCACTTATCATAACAAATCACCTAATAAAATGAGGAAAAGCCCGAAAATATGATATGTGCTAATATAATTCTCAATTCCTTTAAATTCCTATCTTTTCGAAAATCCGTTTCATATGAATTTGCTACTTTAATTACTATAAAAAAACAAAATTTCTTTAGAATAAAAAAACTGCGTGGTAAAGATCAAATAAAATTAGCGAATTCTTGTTAGAAAATAATTCTTATTGCATACAAAAAAGCATTTTATGAAAAAAAAGAGCAAAATATAGTGGCAGTTGGCCGATGATAATAAGCATTAAAGGCTTCAAAAAAGCAATAATCATTGCATATGAGACACATTATACAGATCAGCTGAAATAATAACTGGCATTGAGGAAAAATTAGCGCTAATAATAAAAAAATAAATAATAGCAGTACAAATAATAAAGCCAAGAAAATAATTAGAAATCTACCCAAAAATGTTGCTTAAATGGCTTATGATGCATTTTCTCACGTTTCATCTATAACCGATCAGCTTCAAAATAAATTTATAATTTTACTAAAAAATAAGTTTCTACATAATAATTGCTTAAAGATAACACAAATAAGTAAAAAATAGTACCTTTTCTTCAATTTACTCAGTCCTCATTTAATTATGATGAGCAACAAAGAGGTGTTATTTTAAAGGTAATAATAAGCAAAGAGGATGAAATCTATATTTATATAACCACCACAGTTTTACAGTTATAAAGAAATTTCTGTGCAATTCAACGATTAACATCCACGAACTTTTTCTAACAAAAAATTTTGCCAAGAAAGAACCAAAAACTAACGTAAACAAAAAGAAATTATGCCTAACCAAAATGCATCATTATTTCTAATAAAGCATTAGGCATGGCTATTAAAAACATGTGTTGATAAAGAAAAAAATAAATCAAATCTTTACTTAAATCACTGTAAAAGAAAAAAATTTTCGTTAAACAAAGCAGAATGATTTTTCCTGAAAAAAAAAGCTATTTTTGTTAGTAACAAAACATACAAATCTGTACAAAAAATTATTTTAAACCGTTATCTTCGAGCCAAAATCTCAGTACGAATCAATTCCAAAATTTCCATCTTTGCATTATTAATTTCGGTTCGTATTTCTGAAAGAATATCTCGTTTCCACTTTTCTAGTATATCCATCGATGGCCCATTTGCTGCTTGCATAGACTGATTTGTTGAATTATAGGAGGTTGAATTTGTATTTGGCATTACCGTTGGTCGAGGTTCATCCTGACTCGATAATGACGACCCACTTGGTACCCTGACAACACTAAAATATTATAAAACAATTTTTATTAATCAAAGAATCATATCCACTCGATGAAAACTGCTGAAATGGTTTGGCCATATTAAAAGGATAAAAAGATAAGGATAAAGGATAAAGGATAGAAAAAATGACTCTAAAAGAGAAATGAAAATTTAAAAATTACTTTCGATGGGTTTTCGGAGAATCATTATTCACAGTACCACCATTAAGCGAAGGCACTGATGGTTTCTCCCATGGTCGTCGAACGGATCCATTACTGCCATTAGCATTATTATCACCTAAATAAATAAATAAATTTAGTTGGAAAATATTTATCAGAGGGAAATCATCACTAATCAGCAAAAGAAAGAGCAAGAATTTAAGAAAATGTTGACTTTCACTTTGGTTTTTTCGTTTGTTCAGCCGTTCTTCTAGCTCAGAAAACAGATCACCTCGTCCACGCACTCCTACAACACTTTATAAGTTTTTCAAATTTAACAAAAAGAGAAGCTAATCTGTCAGAAGAATTAGAAAAATTTTCAGTCTTTAAATAAACTTACTCGTTGTATTGTATTTCACAATGATGATTTATATTGATTTATATTGAATTAATGGAAAACTTCGCAAATCATCATGTTATCATCAACGACAAACAAAAAGCAGAACCAGTAAAGCTATTACCAAAATTTGATGATGCTGAATTAACTTTACGCAACTGAACATTTTTTATCTGATCAGCCATTGAGCAAGCACTTTTCTTTTTAGTTGTTAATGCTGAAGGTGGTGGTGGAGGTGGAGGTGCAGGTGGAGCATTTGAAGTGACAACAGCTAGAACATTAAAAAATAAATAATAGAGATATCTGATATACTATTAATCTAAAAAACCGTCCAAAAAATAATGAAAATTAAAAATGATAAAAGCAGTAAAATATAAATCAAATAAAACAAGAAAAAGATTATGGAAATCTAATATAAAATATTTAAATAACAAATACTTGATGTAATATTAGTTGTTGCAGGGTTGTGATTTGCACCACCGGCAGAAAGAGACTGGGCTGTTTTTGAAGGACCATTAACAGTCGTTGTTGCTGTTGAATTGATACTAAGTGAAGCAAAATTGGCAGAACCATTCGATGAGCTTGATCCTTGTGATGATCGCCGTTGTGGAGCATTTGATACAAATCCAGTCGTAACACTCGTTGTTGTGTGCATTGATTGCGAAGATTTCCTACAATCTCATTCCTTTGGAAAAAAAAATCCTTCGTACATGCATGCAAGATGAAAAATAAAAAAAACCTCATATTGGTAACATTTGCCTGCAAAATTCCTGAACATACACTATCACTATCGTTATCCCTAAACGAAGGTGCATTATGTGCAACATGAAGTTGTTGCGGTTCTTGGTAGACACCATTTGATAATCCCAAATCAACACCTTAAAAAACCACTTAGAACCAAACATTCACATTTAAGAACCAAAATTATAAATATCTGAACAATTATTATAGTTTTCGAAATTCGAAATTTAACCATTCTGATAATCACTTGATGACGACAGGATATTTAAAATTTGTGTCATAACTTTGGTAAATGAACGCGCTTCTTCTTCCAGTACAAAGTTAAGACCATACACCTAAAACATTTTTTAGCCAAGAAGTAGAGTGAATAAAAAAAGTGGAAAATTTAAACATTTTTGTAAATGATCGGCTTCACTTTAGAGCATGATTCAAGATCCTAATCAAAAAGATCACGAAAAATTGAAATGAATTTTTCTTACAACCAAATATCTTAATCAATTTTCTAAGATGAAAAATCCTTACTTTTCTTTTTTCATCTCGCCATTGATGAAACATTGGTGTTGCCGACTTATACTTGAGCCTATCAAACACCTTAAAATTCAACATCCACTGTCCATCCTACAATTTTTTAAGAATGAATAAATAACAAAGGTAATGGTGAATTCTTAGAATTTTTAAATAAAAAGAAACGATAAACGACACCTGCACTCTATTAGCAATAATTCGAAAATTATTTGTCTGGATATTATGAAGAATTCGAACATGTGAACGTGACGAGTCGGTAGATCCATCTGGAGATAGCCACTTCTTAGTTATATCATCATATACAACGACATCCGCTGTTGCTAATGCAATTGTTAACTCCCTTAAACATAATTTTTAATTTGGTTTTGATAAGTAAGCTGTTTATCGACAGGTTGATTAAATAATTATAAATAATAATATATAACTAAAAACAAAAATAATGGAAAAATAAACAAGAAAAGTTTTTGTCTTTTCAATTTTCATAAAAAGATTTTCAATTAAATCTTAAGAAGAATTTTTTATAAATCGATTTCTTACCAAACTTTTTGACGAAAAATACTATTAAATTAATCATATAGGCGGATAATTTATCACTAAATCGTTGTTTTCCACTATCAAATCCTAATTTAATCTTACAATTCTAATATAAATCAAATAATAATAACATTATTAGATAAAATTACGAACCAATTTCGAAATATTTTTTAAAAAATTCTCAACATAAAAATATCAATAAAAAAAGTGTCATAAAATATGCAAAAATTTATGCATATTTGAAATTTACCATCGAAAATTATTTTAAAGTGGAATTGCAGAATTCACTCTTATCGACAGCTGTTCTAGAGTACTTTCATTTAAAAATTTGATCAACTTATTACACCAAATCGCATTACATATTGTATTTTATATGACATAACAATGCAAATTAAATATTTCTCTTTTTTGCTTATTTAAAACATTTTATCTTTCCTCTACTAAATTATTTGCACTTTCTTACACAATAACTTTTGCTTTCTCTTTCAGAATTTCTAAATTATTAAAAATCGCAAAAATAAGGAAAATCTGATAATCTTTAAAAATTTCTATCAAATGAAAAAAAATTTCAGTTTCAATGCGATTTTTTGAGTGATGCAAATTAACTAATATTTCTCTACCAAATTTTTTTTACCTTTTACTCAAAAATGGAAACTTCTATGTACTGTGAAACTTCTGAAAAAAAGGATTGTCGACGATATTTCCTAGAAATCAGATCTAAATTAATTCATTCGTTGCTTTTACACTAAATTTTTACACTAAATCTAAATATAATTCACAAATTTTACATTTTTTTAAAAATACGAATAAATTATGGAACATCTATTATGCATAAATAAATAAAGAGTAGAGACTTCAGAGAAAATGACAGGAAAGGGAAATGCCATAAATTTAGAAGAGTGCAATAGACGAAGCAATTTGGTCAATTAGCAAAAGCAACTAGAATAGCTCTTTGGATGCTATTTGGTGATAGTGGCAACATCAATAAAAAGTAGCTAATTAATTCCCTATCTGTATGACATCTGTCTGCTGCTAACTGTCACAAAAACAACATTAACTAATGACCAAATCTTAGTGATAACGGTCAGAACAATAATATTGCACAGTGACTTAAATCGCCCACCAATACAAATTCTTTTTTCTAAAAATTAAAAGAAAATTCAACAAAAAAGAACTCACTCCATAATACGACCGATCGAGAATATTTCTTCGACCAAAATAAGGTGTTTTTTGAATAATAATAATTACATTAAAATTAAATGATAAATTAGAACAAATCGATATAGAAACTTTCCTTCCATAAAAATTTGGATAAAAGACGAAGAAAGATATTCTGAAATTTGTAATATGAAAATAAAGCATAAGAAAATAACATCGATGCAACGAATTCTCCAAAAGTAAACGAAACTAATATCCCTAATAATATATCTATCGATCACTTCCAGTTATTCATATTTCTTCCTTAATTAAAATAATTGTCAGAAACATTCACAAGATAAAATTTTAACGGCAAATGAAGCAACAGACATCTGCAATACTAGTATCAATATCGAACAAAAAAGACAAAAAAATAATTCAGGCCATAAAAATCCAAAATAATCAGATAAATTTTCAATTTTTTATACTGAATCGTTAAATATTTATTAAAAGAGAGAAATACAAACAAATTTGTTTTTGCTTACTCTTGATTATGAGGTCCTTATCACTAATAATAAAAAAAAATTCCTCCGAGATGCAAAAGACTCAATGAAAAACAAAGCGTCAAAGAATGATAAAAAAAATGACTATGATAGATATCTACTATTTACGATAATTCAACTGCAAAATAGTAATGTAAAATAGTAATAGTAATGTAAAGTAGTATTAATCTATGTTGTAAAATTGCTCATCCGAAAAAAAAAGAGGAAAAGTACGAAATTACAAATTTAAAGAAAAACTTCTTACTTTTTCTTTATTTTCTGCAGCATATATTTCTTAAGCAAAATTTCATCGAAAAATGGTGTGAATATTAATGAAAAATCAATTTAACAATTATATTATGTACACGTGATACTGGCGATCCGCCCTGATTTCGTCAAGTGACTTCCTGGCGAAACTGCTTGGCCCGACCAGCGTAACGAGCCTATCCAGAAATGCAGTGCATTCTTGTATTTGTTACGTGCACTTGTGTAAATACTTGGAAAAAAAATATAGCTTCAATCTCATACTTGACGAATTTTAACATATTAAGGTATAGAGCCTTTTGTTATCCCCAAAAGCCATATTTTTGCAAAAACCTCCAAATTCCGCCAAATAAACCGTAAAGTCCAGTTTTAAGTTTTTTCTATAAGATATATGATGAATGGTCTTTCCTCATTTCCAAATATATATAATGTAAATATAAAAAATTTACAAATATTTACTCTAAATAAAAATCTTATTTACAGCAAAAATTTGAAAATCTTATTTCAAAAAAACAATTACGACATCCTAAAAGCAGAATTTCTAAAAAATAACTGCTTATCCGCTTTATGAAAACGACTTCGTTTTCGGCTCCTTCCTAGTAAGAAAAAACAAATCCATTAAATAAAGAAGAAAATGAGAAGAAAAGAGTTCCTAAAATTTTTTGCTACAATCTACTTCAACTAGAATTCCGCTATGATCATATTAGATCAATACCAGGCAAATCGAAATCGAACTAAAAACCGTTGACCATTTCGGCCCATTTCGAAATTCAAAGCGTATGCAACAGAACAGAGAAACTCTTGATTATATTACAAAAAGTTTGAATTTCCACACCGAACATTTTTCGCTGAATTTAAATAAAAAAAATGGAAATCAAAAATTTTTTCAAAACAGATCGGCGGCCTTCTTAATCTAAGCGGTCCTTACAAGCAGAACCAGCGACCCGCTCAGCACAACCAGTCCTGAAAACCGCAATCAGCGACTCAACCACTCCATCATTCATGAACCAACCTTATACTCATCCGTCATTAGCACTTGCTATAAGGTATAGCACAGAAAAATCAATTTATGTTCCCCACTGAAAACAAAGAATCGTTTTAGGACAAAAATAATTTTAAAATCCGAAAATTGTTAGTTAAGAACGTTCACAATCTTTTTATTGGTGAAAATATAATGAGCAATTAATTTCGCTGACAAATTTTTTATCGAAATTCTTTAAAAATTACAAAATTCGAAGTCGAAAAGAGCAGACTTATGCAAATATATCGATCCAATTTATCCAAAAATTTAAGCGCCACTTTGCTAGAATTCTCGGAATAAATTTTCCACTAGTAAAATAAAATGCATGGCAAAGCGAATGTTCAGTGATTCTGTGATTCTGTCTCATCTTGTTTGCCAATCAAAACAGAAATGATAAAAGAGCTAAGAGAAAATATATGGATGAATGTATATTTGCATATGGGTTTGTACAGGTGGTTTTATATGTTTATACATAAATCTGTGTGTTCACCTGCACGTAGAGCTGTGGTGTGTGCAAATGTATGCGGCTAAAAACCGGAAAAAAAACCGGACTTGACTGCTTAAAACCGGACTTTGCGGCTAAGTATGTTGGTGAGTTTGCATCCATATGTGTGCTACGAGCACTTGTCTATACATTTGGGAAAAAAACGTGACTTTAACATCGTACCTGACGAACCTAACCAACGTAGAGAGGCCCCTTGCTTTCCCCAAAAGCCATACTTTTTCAAAAACCTCCAAACGCCGTCAAATAGACCGCAAAGTCCGGTTTTAAGCTCTCTAGGTTAAGATGAATGGATTTTCCTCATTTTCAAAATAAAACAAAAAAAAACACTCGTCGTACGCTTGTCCTATTTGAGGCTGATGCCCTCAAATAGAAACTGACCTTCATTTCAAAAAGATGATATCGTTCGTGTTAACCAAGAACGCTATTTTGATATAATCAGCGATTCAGAGTAAAGAATTGAATACAGCCTTATAAATAATAGAAACAATTAAACGCCTAATGTCAACTAACATAAGCCCTACTCGTCATTTCGTCTCTTCTTAATCACTGGTAAAAATACCGATCGCTGCTTCCAAGATATCTATAGTGCACTACCTACACTATATCCTACATTTACACTGGACACCTGGCGTCAAAATCAGCATTTATACCAGTATCTGACTCAAAAGAATCCCACCACTGGACAAATTCAAGCAGTCAATGGAGCACCAATCAACAAATATGAAGAACGTCTATTCACTGCACAATCTTTGCCTTCGACGGATTCATTGGATTTTTAGTGTCTCAAAACATTCAGCAATCGGGAACGGTTCTTGCATCACTTCAATCTAAGAATAGTATTCAACAGTTGATAGCAATACGTTGCTTATCAAAATTCGTTTATGATACTCCTTCATCACGCATCTTAGCGATGTCGAATAACGAGTTCTCCGACATTATCAATGATTTTCCTTCACTTCTCGAGTCCCACTTAGAAGACCTTTCAGTCAAACACATGTGACTTAACGTACTGGAACTAAAGGCGTCTGCATGAGCAAAATCACGAAGCATTCTGTACAAGGTGATAAAGATTCAAATTTAGGCGAGAAATGGCATATTTAGGCTGTTTGTGCAAAAGGTGGTATATATGGTATATATTTCAGCCAATGTTTATCCTTACGATATTTTTTGAATTATTTTAACTCATTCATGATTTTTTTTTTCCATAGTGTGTGCCTCCAGAAAATGTGCAATCAATCAACAGTTTCAGCCAACCGTATTCTAAAGCGCATAGCACCACACCTTTTCAGTAGGGGTGATAAAGAAAATGGCAAGTAACCACTCAATGCTGATGCCTTCTTCAGCATCGCCTGCATGTTGCAGGCCATAGCCTTTCAGCCTGTTTCTCGCATTAACCCCCTTGCAATTTTGAACATTTTATTATGAAGATTTTGTGTTTTAATTAAAACATAAGTTTTTAAGCTGTTTTCTAGAAAATTTTTGGGTTCTCGTCTGCTTGAAACTAGTCTTATTTTATCTTTTTTTTACAATAATGAACATAAAAACGCAAATTGTAAGGGCATGTTAAAACAATATGACCGATAAACGTTTTTAAATCTCGTTCAGCTCAATTTTAGACCCTTTCGGTATATTTAATCTGATTTTTATGGCTGAAATCTGCTTCAACCAACTGAGAATTGCAAAAAGCTAAAAATATTCCCTCAATTTTTTTAATTTTCATTATTTTCGATAAATTTTTCAGTCCATTTATTTGGAATAAAACTTCAGATGACATATCTGCCTTTAACGACGTTTGCTTAAGGTACATCTTACGTACTCGCCTGCACGCAAACAAGATCTCTCACGTAATTGCACCTATTTTCGCTCTAATTCTATATTTGTCGCTAATAATCGCCACAGTATAGCGCTGGTTAGGCTGTGTTCTTCACTGCGCACCCGCACGTTTGGAATTGACAATTATTGTTGAAGACGAGCAGGCACAAGCGGCTCGGCAGTACATGGGTCTAGTCTGAAAGGAATAGTTCCAGTTGCAACGGCAGACCAAATAGCTTGGATAAGTCTATCCACATTCTGGTAATCAGTGAAGCACAATAGGTTGCTGCGATGCACAATGAAGCACAATGAATAAATTTACGTGGAAAATAAAAGAAAGTTCTTTTACATAAATTTAGTTACTCGATTTTTTTAAATTTTAAATTTTTAAACTAAATTTAAATTTTTAAATTTAAATTTTCAAGTAATCTAATTCATCTCCTTCGAAAATTTTGCAAAAAAAATATAAAAAGGATTCCCCCGAGATCCATTTACACCAATCCCATTCTTATTAAGCAGGCGGGGTTTACGATATATTGGTTGCTTGCCAATGTTTTACATCTTTAACAAGCTATTGAATGTTTTTCGTTTTAAGACCAATTAATTTATAGGAATCTATCCTTTCGTTTTACTTTAACGTGTGAAAAGGGTGGTGCTCATTTACGGGTAATGGTGGTAAAGGAGATGGTATGGACGGGTTGCATTTTTAAGTAGGGCAGAAGCAGGAGTCGCTAACCTGTGGAGAGGGGAAGAGTTACTTTACTAAAGTGAAAATAACTGGAGAAAAAAGAATGATACAAATTCTTCATTAAGAAACGTCGATATTTTTATATTTTTCAGTAAAAATTGGAGTATTTTATTAAACACTCTAAGATAAGGAACGGAGTAAGGACTAGTTGGTACATTTGAAATTACATAAAACCCTGCTAAAACAGTCTTATTTTTCTGATTTCCTCGCATTTTTCTCTCATCTTCGAGATTTACTTATTTATTTATATTTATTTATCGGTATTCTTTTGTAATAATAATGTGGCCATTTTTGTGAACATTCATTCAGTTATTGGTATCGTTTTTGTCATTTTCTCAAAGTCATTCCCTTACACTTCTCAATTCCTTGTAATTTCCTCTCAGCACCATCCAGTTTCAGCCATGGTTATTAGTTGTGAAATATGGCAGATTATGGCAGCTTGACGTATAGTCATTTTATTTTGTATTTTTGGTATAACGCCCTAAAAACTCACCAAATGGCCTGTGTGCTGCTATTTTGAAACCCTTTAATATCTTTAAAAATCTAAAATTTTGCGAAAAATCTTTCCAAACCCCTTCAAATGCTCCTTCGATACAAATAATGAATAAAACTTTACTATATTTTTTTCTCCAGAAAAAATTTGGAATACCCAATTCTTTCAAATTTTTAAAATTCTTTTCTGCAGTTGTGATCCCCATCTTCAACAAATAGTATCGCCCAACCCCATTTTGTTATCTCAACACACTGTCACTGTCTCGCAATACACTTTTGCCGCATCTACAGTTACAAATTACAAAACTGCATCACAATGATGAAGAAGCATGGCAGAGAATTGGATTTTGCTAAGGGGAAATTATAAGGATTTGAAAAATTGTTAAGGGATTAAATGCATATTTTGAGGAAATGACAAAGATTGATTTTTGAATCTTCGAAGCATAAGAAGATTTTTCCATCTGGTTTTAACCATAGAATACTATTCTGTTTGATAAAATGTGTAAAAGGACTTGAAGATTTGAGGATTACAGAGTTCTAGTAGATTCGAAAAGGCTTTTCAAATAGCTACAGTGGTGTTTAAAAAAATGAAATGGCTTTAAAAGGTTAAATCAAGTATTCTGTTCTATTAATACTGATAAGGTATAACAGAAAAGCATTTTATGAGGTATAAATAAACATAGTGGGGTTTTTGGGAGAATATTAGGAGTGCAGAGAGAGTTCTGAACAATTTTTTGGGGATTATTGGCAAATTGGCATATTTTATCTTTTCTTTTTTACGTCTTTAAAATTCATAATCCACGTTCAGACTTTGGTGAACTGTTTTTTTACCAACAGATCTTTCTAATTTTTCATTAAATTATTACTATAATCCCTCAAAATTTTTTCCTAAATTTTTCTTTTTGCCAGTTTATAACTTGTAGTTGCAATTATGGCAAAAAATATACCGCGAAGTTTGATGAAGCGTTAAGAAAAAAAAATAGGAGTGGGTAATATTAAGCTGGGTTTGGGCGAGTTATCAAAGAGGTTTGAAACGACATTAAAAAATTATGGTGAATGAGTTTGGCTGGGTTTTAAAGATTCTAAGAAAGTGTTTTATTGAATTTGTGAGGATTTCTCGTAGAATATGAGGATTAATAAGAGGTATTAAGGGGCTTAAGGGGCTTTTTCTTCTAACAGCTCCCATTATCTCTGGTTAGGTTAGCTCCACTGGCTACAAGGGTAAGATGTTTCGAAGCTGTATGATCCGATGCCAACAGACAGTAATAAAAGCCATTCCTTTTTCCATCTTCTAAGTCCATATATGCTGGTCCACCTATACGTTCAAAATCTTTCCTGATCGTGTCAGTTTAGGTCTTGATTGGTCCATCTCGCTTTTGATACTACCCTTCACAGGGTTTAGCAAGTAGCGAAATATATGGATTCGGTCATATCCACTTGCCAAACCAGTATAATGTATCTCAGATATGAGTGGTTAACGACAGATAACTTTTTAATATCCTCCATTTTCATTGGCCATGTCTTACAATCATGCAGCAAGATGGAATAAATCGCGGCTGACATTAGGCATTCGTTTTTATGATTTCGCTATAGCTCCATAAAGATTTCGTCATTCGGAAGAATTTCTAACCGCCGTTATCCGGGTTGCAATTTCGTCTTTTGCCTGGCCATTCGGTATTAGAATAGATTCGAGGATTATTTAAAATCGGGTATTCAACTTATTTAACTTTCTCAATTGGCAATGAGGCTTTAAAAAAGAGGCATTTTATTAGCATTTTGTGTATAAGGCGAAAAGATCTTCGTTTTATTTACAGGGGGCTTTAAACTTTTATGTTCTCTTAAGGGCTTTTGCGATTCGCGGTTTTATGGGTAGTATTATGAGCCTTTACAGAATATTAATAGGTTCCAACAGAACGTAACTGGTTATCATAACTTGATCTTATGGAGATGTAGGTTTAAGAACTGTCAGGTTTCGAACGTTTTTTAGTATGTAATTTGGAAACGTTTAGTGAATTTTGGAATGAAATAAACTTTTGAATAATTTTTTTTTTCATTCGTGTAGAATTTACAGTTTATGATGTAAGCGAAATTAACTTGGTCTTATCCATAGAAATGATGTTATGATCATTTTTGTTCATTTTTTCTTTTTTGATTTAGATTTTCGCTATGGTTGCTGTGGAAGCGTTGGCCGTTGGCCTAAAAACTGGTTATAAAGTTACAAAAAATGAGCGAAAGCCACGTCAGAGTCGTCGCAAAGGACGTCTCACGAAAAAAACGAAGATAGTTCGTGAACTTGTCCGTGAAGTCACTGGATTCGCACCATATGAACGACGGGCTATGGAATTATTGCGGATAAGCAAAGATAAGAAAGCTTTAAAATATCTGAAACGACGTATTGGATCACATAAACGTGCTAAACGAAAGCGAGATGAAATGCAAGCGGTGCTTACAAGTTTGCGTAAACAGCATAAATAGACTTTTCCTATTTGATAAATCTTCGTTATTGTCCCGTTATTTTTCGTGCTTTGTACTTTCAAGAATAAAAAAATTGATATTGAAATTGTGTTTTGATAAATAAATATTTTTTTTATTACTTGATTCCTACTTCGGTCCAAAATTTCCAACTTTTTTTAAAACTTCAAGTTTGTAAGATTATTAATTATTAATGAATGATAGAAATATTTTACATTATAACACGTTTAAACATGCTAAAATTTACGAGCATTTTAGGGCTTTCACACATGTTTTATTCTAGTTTCACAATGATATTCGAAACAGCAATGGATAGTAAAGACCGAAACCTGCATCATTTTTCACATAGGGCAAGATACAAATCTTTTTCACAAGAAGCTTCATTAGAAGTCGAGATACCGCTGGAAGAAAGTCAACCTATCGATGAACTGGCAGCACACATAAATGCTGTGAACAAAATAATACCACCTTTTTATGATGGTAAGTTGTCAAAATATAACAAATAAGGTTGTAATGGTGTGCAGGAAATCTCGAAAAAATGAGAAATGTGTCAGATAGCAAGGAGAAATGAGATTTAAAAAAGAAAAAATTTTTTGTGGAAGAAATAAAGTGGTGGCTAGGAGGAGGTAAAACTGGGGTGCAAAGTTGCAAGAATGCAAAAGAAGTTTGATGAAATGTTTATTGAGGGAAACAACAGACTTATTTGAGTAGGGGTTGGGAAATAAAATAAGAGCGTCATAAGATCGAAATTCCTGGTGAATACTATAATGGAGTTTGAAAGACGACTCACCAACGAGGTTTATCGGGATGTTAAAGGAATAAAACAAGTCTTAGAAGAATGCTGAAGTGGTACAACATAGGGTTATCCTATGAGAGTAATTATGGAGGTACGTGAGTACATTGAGATTTGCTGAAGTGGTAGAGTATCATAGCTTGGCTTGAAATAGGTTTTTTATTAGCATTTTGCATTATGTGATATAAGCGGGTTGATTAAAGAGTTTTACCGTTGAGATCACCGTAGAGTTATTAAAAATCAATAAATTATATCAAGTTTTTGCCTTTTTTGCTTATTTGGCAGTTAGAAAATTTATAAAATTCTTTTTGATTTAAAGAATTTCGAAGTTCTTTATTAAATTTCGTGGACGAAGAAACTCGCAAATATGAGAATAATATCGGCGATAAGCTGATTGAGGAGTTTTTAAAAAATGATGATGCGAAGATGAATTATGGCTGCATTCCTCTTACGCGAGTGAGTTTTGATATTATCAAGATGCATGAAAAGATTATAACATTTTGCATTATTTATATTGCATTATTGTCATCTTCAAACATAATATCTGATATCTGAACATAATATTTGTCATAATTTCTGGCCTATGCACCTCACAAGGGTGACTCGAAAAGAAAATTAGAGGTTGTTTCCTAGCAGCTATCCGAATTTTAGTTTCAGATTTACTCCTCTCAAAAGATAGAAACTGAATCCATGTTTGATTACAATCGTCTTGTCTCAGCGCTGAAATATTACACAGAAATATACATTGAAATATTTTAAATGAGTTGAATCGATAAATATAAAGGCAAATTTTGCGATTTCTCGTTCAATTAAAAATACTAAATGTAAAAAATTTTTTATAAATTTACATAGGTGGTAAAGCCTTCATCGGTATCATTCAATGAACAATTCCAATTTATAATGCGCAATTCAACACATGAAACTATCGAATCGGTCATCGCTGTAGAAAAGACTATGGCTGAAAAAGTATGTTTCTTTCTTTCTTTAAATATTTGGTACTTTTAGAAAAAAATCTTTTCTAATCTTATCTTCCTAATCCTTCTCCTCCTTTCTCGAATGATTTTTATTAAGTGTACCTGGAACAAGTGGAAAATATGGTAAGGAAACATCTGCCATTTCTGTTAGTGATAAGGTCATAGACTGCTAGGACTACTAATGCTTATTATTTACATTCATAATTGAAAGAAATGATAAATTTCGATCTTTAAATTGAAGACATTCATACTGTGCGTATTGTGCAGGTTTCCTCTCTCAAGAATCGCTACTTGAGAAAAAAATTACTAAAAAAAGAGGGTGAAAAAAAGAGTTGCTATTTTATATTTATTCTGAAATATGTGCTGTTTTTTCTTCTAAATGGTAAATAAAACATTTAGTAAATTTTCAGATGTCTTCACTTGTCCGTGCTCGAGATTTTGAGTTGGATAGATTGAAGCGTGACTGTGAAGTTGCGATGCACCAAACATTAGCCAATGACAACGCTTCTTCAGTCAGAAACGATCGGCAATTGCATTTAAGTAAATTGAATGAAAAAATTCGCGTAAGTTATATTTTTTTTTTATGGTGATGTACTTTAGTTTTGAAGATTTTTATGGTTTTTTCTAAAGTGGTTCCTTCTTTGAGTTTTGATTGAATATTCATTTGTTTAGGCAAATTAAATACAGCAGTAACATAACATAGTAATTAATCGGTTTTCCCATTTTCAAAAAGAGCATAAGTATTACCAAATTCTCTGAATCTGTTATTCCAGTTTATGTATTTTCGCTCTAAAATAGTATATGTTCTTTCTTTAGGAACTTAGGAACTTAGTAACAAAGTCAAAGCTTAATTTATGAGAACTTATATCCAACAATTAAATGACAAATGATGCTATTTAATTTATACTTATACTTAAAACATTTAATAGAAGCATTCAAATTTTCGCCATTGTTTATATCATTTTTTTAAGCAAGTAAGCAGTAATTATTCGAAGCAAATTGCTGATTTGGCTGTAAACCAGCGTGAGGAATATCGGATTCTTATTAAAAGTCTCTATGAGCATGATGAAATCCCTCCAAATATTTCAAATATAGTTCCAGTTACATCAGCAGCAGTACGCAAGTTAGTATTAGCAATTTTTATTTGAAATTTTTTGATATTCTTTTCACTTTTTTTGTGAAATTTTTATCAACACAAATTTCAGGTCAACTTCTGCCTTTGCGAATTTAAATTTGGCAAGATCTCAGGTCAATGAACAACTAAATGATAGTTTTACCATATATTTAGGTGTGGAATAAAAAAACAAACAGAAATTACTTTAAAACTTTTGATTGCAGTAGAATGCAAAATATAATACCAATAATATAATATGGTTCTAAATAGCAACGTTCGATCAAGGGAACACGTTTGGCAGAGATGAAATGGGATTTATATTACGCTAATAGATAAATGTAGTATTGCTGAGGAATGACAATTCTTTTGCATTTTCACTTTTCTAATTATTAATTTATTTTTACTTCGAAGGTATATTTTGGTTTATATGGGCAATTTTCAGGTGCTCAATTAAAAACAATGCATAATGTTCGTTTGTTGACGTGCCGTTTGTTGAGCGATATGTGTCGTTCACAGAATTCATTAAATAATAAGGAGTTTGACTCAGGTCGACTTTATATGAATTTATCCCTTTACCGGCGTGGTCTTACAGGTCTTATATTACTGGTCGATAGAGAAATTAATTATCATATCGAAAATAAGACAGGTTTGTCGCTAATATCTTCTTTTCTGATAAATGAATTTCTAAAATAGAAAGGAAGAAAATTTATTCGAGATAAATGCAGTGCGATAATTTTTAATTGAAATTAATTATTAAATTATTAAAGAAAGAATGATTTTAAAAAATTAGAAATTAAATAATCTTTAAAGAATAAATACTATTAACCAACCCATCTATTAGGTAATCACAGTTATTCACCAAGTATACTTAACGAAACTTTTTCATACTACTATTAATAATGGGTAGAATGAGTCTAATTACTAATGGTGAAGGCTAACTATTAATCAACTTACTACCATAATGGTATGGGTAATTTTTTAAAAAATTCCAATTATTTTTAAGGTAAATTGTTTTCTAAATTTTTAAGATATTAAGAAAAATAAAATTCATTTCACAAATCAAACATTAATTTTAACAGTAATTTTTTTAAAAAAATATCTGTTGAGTAAGGAGGTTTTTTAAACTTACAACATTTTTCCTAATTCATTTATTGTAAGCAGATTTATTTGCTCAACTTAGTATTCATTTTGCTTTTGAACAGAAATACAATGTATCATCGAATTCGTTAATAATAGGATTATTCTTGTTGGAAGCAAAGGTCGAAGCATGACATTAGAATTGATAATCTAAGGCACTATATATTCAAATATTTTTTAAGATTTTGCTAGAATTTGCGAACAATCTACGGAACTGCATTTCGAATCGCTACAAGTTCAGTTGGAGAACATCTCAGCATTGGTTGGTCCATCAACTTTTTACTTTTATCTTTTGAAAGTCTCATAATTTCTGTTGCAATTTCTTTCTATTGTATTCTATTCTTTCTTCAATTGCTTTCAGTCTGTTTCGTCTGAATCTTCTGAATCTTTTTTTGGAATGTGTAATATTTAAATTGAACGAGTATTATTGAAGTTAGATCGTGGAATCCTTAACTGAATGCTGCTTGGAACATATTCTATTTGTTTGGCAAATCAGATCCTCAACGGTGGCCCATGACTTATAATATTATTAGCATTAATAATATTAAGATAATATTATTAGCGATTCTTCTTTGATTTTTACTTTTCATTCACAATTAATATTTGTTTATCAAAGGCATCCGATCTGAGCAAAGGTAAAGATCGAAATACGAGTACGGAACTAATTAAAGCATGCAAAGGATTGCAGACAGGCGATGTATACGTGACCAAACACTCCAATCTGACATCAGTGCAAGTAAGCAGTTTTTCTTACCATCAAATTTTTAAGCGATGCTATTTGCAGTGTCTTGCGATGCTATTTTTTTTTCATTTTTAGGTTATTTTCCATTTGGTTGTTGATGAGACAATAGAATCTGATGACATGTCAAGCAGGTGAAATCAATTGATTATGGTCCATTCTGAACTCAAAATAACCCTTTTTTGTTCCTTTCATTACAATTTATTATATCCTAAACAATGCGAAGAAACTTCATGAGTTTCTGAAGACGGATGATTCATATTTATATTATACTTATTTAGGTATTATACTTTGATAATTTAAAAGAACTGAGCTAGTAGAGGTCAAATTTTGATCTTCATAAAGTGAAAAATAAAAATATTTCTTTGAAAACAATATTTTTTCAGGCATCCATGTATAAACGGACTTCGGAACGTCATTCGTCTTTGTTCGAAATGTGGCGTCACGACATTCGGAATACCGTTGCTCCTTGTGGAGAAAGCTAATCAGGTCATAATTTTTGAAAAGTTTCTTATCGCAGGCCAATTCAGCATTCTATAATTATTGCACAATACTTTGAAATTCGATTAATTCATCATTATTCAAAACGTGAATTAGTTTAGATTACGAATTTTGTGAGATTTCACTTATTGATAAATCTTTTTCACATTATGCTTTAATATTCTTCGCTGATTGAGAATCGGAAGGCGAAAAATGAATCTAATGAAAAAGTAATTACTCCAACAAACAGCACAAGAAAATAATAAATAAATAAATATAAATAACGTCATCGTAATGCAAATTTTGAAATACGAGTTCACTTATATTCGAAATATTCGCTATTTGGTTTTTTCGCTGCTTTGCTTGAATGTCCCGCTTTGATTTCTTAAACTTTTCAGAAAATGACTTTGGCTTGGTGTTTGAAGAGAGCAGAACTAGTTTTTAAATGCGTTAAAGGCTTCATGATGGAAGCTTGTGCTGGATGTTCAACTGCAGGCGGTGGCGCACCAACTGCGGCCATTCATTATAATGTTAATTTTATTTTGCCGGAAAATTTAGAAACCTGCGTTTACCAACAAATTCTTGAGATGTTTCCAACAATTTTTCATCTTGTCCCATCTGTATCAGTTTAATGCCTCTTGCTTCTTGTGATTAATGATTTTCATCGGAAGTGTCTTAAATTAAGACATTCCGTATTTTTTATTTTTTTAAAATTCTACATAGTTCTTTTTTTTGCATAATTCATTGCTTGTTTGTTCCACTTCGTATCAAATATTTATCAAATGATATCAGAATTTAATATATATAAAATAAAATAACATTTAATATATGTATAATATCAACTAAATATATAAATTAAATGGGAATCTAAAAGGAGACATGAGGACCATCAAAGTTCACAACAATAATCGATGTTAATTAATCAATGAACTAGCGTCAAAAAATAAATTTTTTCAAGGGAGAGATAAGTACAAAGCACCTATATCAGCACCTACGTTTATTTTTGACAGGATCAAGAAAACGAACTTCTGATGAAAAATAAATTCTAAACCAAAAAGAACAAAAATTTTACGGAATATACATTGGCTTCATGATGGAAAAATTTACAAGTTTATATACAAGGTTCGAGAAATGAATTATTCCAAATGCCATTCCGACCACAATTAGTATTACAATAAACCTATTTTTTAAATATTCTTAAGCTTACCTGTAGTATGCCAAAATAAATTTTTGAATAGATCAAATATTATCAAATGTGAAACTAAGTGGGAATGACATGCAAAACGATAACAAAATATAATCAGTTATTTATCTTTCACGCATGGATAATGTTCTTTCGCATTTTCATTAGCTTCTAAATTGTACAATACCTGGCTTACTGTGTTAAATATCTTTCCAGGTCGGAACGTAAAATAACGATGGATTAGTTTCATCTGAAAATAAATTTAATAAATTGGAATTTCCGGTAAATAAATCAAATGAAAAAAATTTGATAATCTTTATAAAAGAAATGAATGAAATAAAAAACCTCTGGGCATTTCCATCGGCCACTAATTTATCGCATTAATATTTTAAAACTCGTCTCAATTAATGGTTTAAAGCCATCATATAAGAGAGTTTTTAAAGACAGGTACCAGTAAACAAATTATTTAATAAGAAAGTAAAACGACCAGAAGATATTTCCTTTACCACTTTTCCAATAAGTCCTATTGTATTAATCAAAAGATCTAGCCAAACAAGAAATAATACACATTGTGGGAAAAAAAGAAGAAAAATACAATATGAATGGATGCATTACGTTATCAACTAAACTATTTATTTGCACGAATTGAATTCAATTGAAAAATGGCCAAGAAAAGTAATATGCCTATATTGTATTTTTTTATATTGCATTAAAATGGCTCAGTAGCTTGTTGCTAGACTAGGAGTGCTGAGATTCGATTCCCCGCAGGAATAAACCTGTACAAAAATCCGGGTGATACTGGCGACTCACTTGTATTTCTATCGCCAATTGACTCCCTGGCATATTGCTCAATGTCACAAGTCAGTGGAGCGAGTTTAACCAGTAATGGTGAGGACTCTCTCATTTATTCATTTAATTTCACCTTGCTCCTTTCTAAAGACCCATCATATAACTTTCAATACATTGGTTGTTGATATTCTCTTAAATCCCTCAAGCTTCGTGAAAAATCTTCCAAAACTCTATCAAATATTCCCTTAGCGTATCCTCTCTTGCTACAATTTATCAGTGTCATTATGAATCCTTTTCTGCCGCTTTAACTCTCAGACCCAATAGCAACCCAGTGATACCCTCAATTTGTTTCCCCAAGATCCTATCAAGCTTCCCCTTCTACTTTTGTCGCTAATAAATCTATTAAATCTTCCAAAACGCTGCCACAAATACAAATAGCAGAATTAAGGTGACAACAGGTTCCGAAAGGATATAATGGTAGATTTACGAAAAATTAAAGTTTGGAGGATATAAGTACATATTCAAGAATTATGCGAAGGTTTAAAATTCTCTTGGCTGTTATAAAATAAAAAAATTACACCAAGTATAAAATATAAACTTACCCCAGAAATTGGATAAAGTATGTGCATATGTAAATGGTACACAGAAAGAAAATTCGAACAGTGAAAACCAATTCGAAGCATATCTTCGATCGTATCTGCATCTCCCGATGTTCGTAATGCTTCACGCAAAAATTCACGTCCCATTCTTTCCATTTCTTTCACTAAAGTTCTCTAATATTAAGTGATATTGAGCTTATAATAAATCATAAAAAATTATATCTAAAGTGAAAAATTGAAATCATTTTTAATACCTGCAAAAGAAAGGATATCAATAAAATACCAAGAGGAACATCGGCTGGAGTTAGATCGCTTGGTTTATTGATATGTAGTTTGCTCAGCACGAGATAATGGTGAGGAGCGTGTGGCTTTATATCTTTCATGACAACTGTCTATAAAAAACCAATTTATTCACATAAATTTAAATTAAAGAGAAAATGCAAAAATAAAAAGAAAAAAAGAAAATATTTTGAAAGCAAATTTGAAAGTAAATATTTATTTTTTCTTATTATCAAATATTATTCGGGTAGTTCTATAGACCCACATGTACTTCAATCGCCAAGTGATACCCTGGCAAAAATTTCTATCGCAGCAATAGCCAGCATAACTAGCCTAATTAAAAATAGTAAATAGTGAACGCTAACCACTTATTTATTTAATTATTACTAAAATACAAAATTAAAGGAGAAAAAGAAAGAAATTGAAATTGCTAACATTGGTGCTAGTTTTCAAGTGAAGATGGGGTTTATGATGAATTATGTCGCAAAAAACACAACCTTTAGCACGATGGTCCATAATTTATGAAACTAAAATTTGAAATATTACGGGCTTTTCTTAAAAAAATTTTGTGAAATAAATTATTGCCACAATTTTATTTTTATTTCTATAATTATAAACTATCACATATGAAATGAATGAATGTTTATCGAAATAAAATAAAACCTATGATGTACTGAGAACATCAAAAAAAAGAGAAAGATTTAGGCTCAATAACTATTCGTTATCTTCTAAAAAAAACAACCAGTTTGCAGAAAAAAAAAATTAAAAGTAGAATTTATAACTCACTTATTTAAAAAAAAACAAACCAGTTTTAATTAAATTATTATGAAATTAAAAATTTAACTTGCAAATTTTTAAATAATAACAGTTCAAGTGAAACAGCAAAATATTAATGGCAGTTAAATTAATAATAATAATAATCTTTTTTTCACTAATTCATTAAGTAATTCATCAATGAATGATTAAGAAAAGCAATGAATTCGTAAAATAAGTTAAAATGAACGAAAAAGACCATAAATGAGATAATCCCTCCTTAACGAAGAATTTAAAAACCACAGAAATTATTTAAATTTAAATATCGCAAAAAAAAAGGAAAATAGTCGAGACTATCCCAGCAGTCAACACGAACCAAGCTTAGAACGATTAAACATTTAAACGATTAAACCTGCTATTGAAGGCTGAATGATCTTAGTTCCACATTTAGCAACTTATTAAACCTAACTCACTACCAATCAGCATACCCAACTAAACCAGAAATGATGAGTACTGTTGAACGAAACCTTTATCGCTACCGTAATACGAAAATCGTGTTAAAATAAACGAATTTTAAAAATATGGTTTAACACGAGAAAAAACGCAAACTTTTTAGTTCAAAAAACAATAAAAATTAATTTCTTTTTATTTAGAAAAACAGTTAAAATGTTTTACGCAAATTTTTTTTCCAAAAATTTCTTTTTAAAAATATTTTTCTCTCAAAAATTTTATTAAAAATTTATTTTTATTTAATTTTTATTTTCGTTTAATTTTACTTATTTTTTATCTTCGAACATTTTTTGAGAAATATTTAATTTTTATTCCCAAAAATTTTTTTAAAAATATTTTCTATTTTTAAAAATTTTCTTAGAAGCATTCAATTTTTATTTTATTTTTGTTTAATTTTTTTTATAATTTTTTTTAAAATACTTTTCTTTCAAATTTATGTAAATTTTAGAAAAATATTAGAGATTTTATAAATTCATAGAAAGATTTTCATTTTTTTAGAGTATTTTTACTAAAAAATTATTTTAAAAACCTGTTTTGTCGCATAAAGCATTTGGAAAATACGCGTTGTTTGATCGCTTAGGATGAATCGAAAACAAGCAATTATGGAAAGATAATAGCATTAGAGGAGAATGTCAGAGATTTGGCAGAAAATAAGAAAACAGAAAGAGTTAGAAAAAATGGAATTCATGGCCGTCCATGCACACATAAATCTAATTTTAATTTTAGAAAGGATATGAAGTTTGTGGGGGTTCGAGGTTATCGGGTCCGGGTTCGGGTTCGGGTAATTCGCGACCCATCTTTTTGGATTCGATAGATGGCTAGCTCAGTTGATTTTAATGGCAAAGGGTGTTCGTTGATTTGCAATAACGAACAGTTGTTTTCGACCTCCGAATAATAATATAATAAGGTTAGTGTTCACTCGGAAACACGAATTTCAATTGAAGTTATCTAGCGGCGTTATCGTGTTTGTCCTCCGCGCTCGATTTCATATTTCTCGCCTTCTTTTTATCGTTCCACTCGTCCATTTGTCGCGCCACCTTTGCTGTCTTATCGTTTGCCCACCTTAGTGCCTTTTACCCTCCCCGTTTACCCTCTCCCTCTTCAATTTTTACTTCTCCCCTATCGCTTTGCCTACTTTTTTCTCCCTATTTCACTTCACTTCCGCTTTCACTCTTTTTTTTCATTTTTTCCCAAAACTATTCGTTAGAAATATTCCCAGCAAAAAGCCTTTCTTCTAAAAATTTTCCTTAGTTTCTTTCTTATAACTTCTTTTATTTAAAATTACCAATAAAGTTCCGTTAATATTTGTTTCTTTCAATTTGTTTTAGTCTTAGTTCACAAATATTTTAAAATTAATTTTTTCCTAATTTTGCGGCAAAAGAAATTTGAATTTTTACTCGAAATTATCGATGTTAACTCGAATTTTTCGAATTATTCATAATTACTGTTGTTTGCTATTTTTGATATTCTTTTTAACGAATCGGAAGTACGTATTTTTCATCGAAAAGAAAAATCGATTAATGCGTATTTTCCCATTAAAAGGGAGAATTTAATTTATTTTTTTTATTTGTTTTTTCTTTTTGAATAATTTGGAAAGAGTCCTTTAAAAAATCTTTGTGATTACCATAAAACGATTGCAAAAATTTCGAATTGCCATTAAGTAAAGGAAAATTCGTATAAAAAGAATTCTTTAAAAAATGCGTATTAATAAATGAGTAAATTCACAATTTAAAAGTTATTTATTTTTTATTAAATTTCAAAATTCCTTATTTTTCTCGAAAAAAACAATTTTTTTTCTTGAAATATTTGTAGAATAACAAACTTGTCGGCGGCACCTTTACCGCGGTCTCGTGCAAGGGGTGATCAGAGGGGGTTTCACCGCACTTACTTGTGGCACTCGCTTCTTCGCTATCATTATGCACTGCTCAGTTTGTATGCGGTCGGCTGCTAGTATTAAATGTTCTACGATGGTGCCTGCATTATATTTAAAATATTACATTAAGTAACGTAAACTATAAAGTTACGTAACAGTTATGGCATAGCAAGTGGGATCGCCAACAAGCGAATTTTCTTCAAGGAAGACGGTGGAAAATTAGTATTTCACCGGTGTTCCCTTAAATTGTGATGAATGGAAGTTATTATGGAAATGAACTTGGTTATGCATTATTGAGATGTTAGCCATCATTTATCATTCACCGAGAAAGACGACGTCAAGAAGGCTATCGATAATTTCATAAGATAAAGGATCCTCTTGTTGCTTCTGAATGAATGAAGATAAAGCACTGCCTTATACTTCGAATGATTTTGTGGATGAAGTGGTTTCGAGTCCGAAAATGTGAATTCGACTAACACCGACACAAATGGTTGAATTTTTCCACAGCATGATGAAGTTTCGAGAAGAAACTAAGAATTTGCTCACTTCTTTTTAACCTCTTCGAATATGCTGGCACAGGAAAAAGGCAGAATGGAAATCTCGAAATTCGATAGTAAATCCAACGATGCGAAAGTATGGATGTTTTCATTTGAAAAAGCTCACGAAAGCAACGGATGGATTGATCATCTCAAAGCTAATCTTGATTGCACTATAATGCAATATTCGTATCGTTGAGGAATCTGATGACTAGAACGATTGGAAGTTTCCTTTCGTTGTTTGGTCAAAACCGGATCCAGTTAGCCCAAGTATTTACATGGCAGTATGGATCTGCTTCCTTACTGGAAAATTATTTAGAAAAACAACGGCTTCTACAATTAGCGTTTGAGGGTTGAGCAGGATTTCATGATGATGTTGCTAATGGGTTTACCTGATGAAGATCGCAAACAGTGGAAATCAATACCAAAATTGAGAATAGCTTTACTGAGAAATTGAGAAGAGAGACTCATAAAGCCGAAAGTGAGGACACATTAATAAAACAAAAAACCAAAGATCCATACGGGATTTCATGGCAAGCTGAGCTGCGTACTGAAATGAAAACGAAAGGATCAAATAAATCGAACCAAAAAATTAAATTTTATAATGGAGCTTTAGAAATCCCTTGCTTTCGAAATTCTGGTTCGTCGAAAAATTCTGGTTTTAATGCCGACTTTATTCGGGAACATATGGCTGGACAACTAAAATTTGAACCTAAGCGAACATAAGTGGACACCAATTTCATTTAAAGGTTGTCAAGAAAATTTTAATAATTGATAATTTCCTAAACTTCGTATTCCTTAATCAGCAAATACTGAGACAATATTGGTCCATTCTCTTCAGTATTGTTTTATTATTGTTTCAATAAATTGCCTCATTCCAAGATCAAATTGGATACATTTTCAAATGAAATTTTTCACATGGGTGAACATAAATCTGCACAGCCCTCTGCGATTCTTCTATGAGCCACATGAATCCACTGAAATCCGAAATTCGAAGAAGAGTTCAAGTTGAAAGTGAAAGCAGAGGTTGTTGAGTTGAAACTAGATTATCATAGATTAGATACATAGATTATCAAATGAATTTATTTTGTGGATTCGAAAATAAATCAATTATTCTATTGCAGAAAAGGAAACCCTGGCAACCTCAGCATTAAAGTAATTTAAAAAATGCCTGCGCTCTTTTCTTGAGAATCATAATTTCATAGTTCATTCGGATCATCAAGTGCTCATTTATATTCATTAGTTAAAAGAACTTATTAAAGATAGATTTAGCTAGATGGCAGCTTTGTTTATTAGGATACAACATCTCTAAATTACTTTTCTGGTAGAGAGTTAAATGATGCTTTAGATTGGCTATATATGACGGATCCGTATGAACTGGAAATTCAGCACGTAATTCTTCCACAAAAGATGAATTTATTTCCAGAGATCAACAGTACCATTATTTATCAACAGTACCAATATAATTTAGAGGACATAACGGCTAAAATTCTATTGTATTAGGTGAAAGAAAAGAAAGGTTTTCCTTAGACAGCATGAAGATATTTTCAATTGCAGTATTCGGATACTGTGAACTATACCAACTATGCCAACTTCAGATAAAGTCCAAAGCCAGATATTATTGTTCCCACTGAATGGGGTAGAATAGCTCTGTGGGTTAGTACTCAATTCGGAGTGTCTATGCCTATGAGGTTCTATTCCCCGCAGGAGTAAACCTGTACAAAAATCTGGGTGATGCTGGCGACTCATCTGTATTTCTACTGCCAATGGACTCTCTGGCTTATTGCCCAGTGCGACAAGCCAAGAAGCCTCCAGTAAGTCAGTGGAGCGAGTTTAACCAGTAATGATGAGGAGTCTTAAAAAAAAATTGTTCCCACTGAATACTGGTCGACGCCTTTTCATACCTAGACTTTGGTAAATTAACAAAGAAAAGCGGTTCAAGTCAACTCGTTCATTTTTAGAGCCAAAGTTCCACTGCTATATATCAGTTTTTTATATATTTTCTGGAAAATGAACCATGCCTTGAAGATATAAAAATTATAGTAAGCTATAATGCTAATCGCTTCTCTAGATAACTTGCAGAAAATGTGCTATATTTTTAAAGAATTCTACCCCATGCTATCCAGAATCAAACGGACTGGTAAAGCGGAGGATAAGGGAATGTAAGATATATTATTTGTATAAATTATCTCTTATTTAAACTTCACTGGCGGATGGAAACAAATTCTTACAGTAGCATATAGATAGATATTTTAACTGATCTGATTGTGAAGTTATTAGCTGTACTCCATTCTTCGAAGTATTTTGTATCCGATTCCCTTCCTTTTGATAGCAATTCACTTCAAAAAGGAATTTGAGTATGCCAGGAAAATAGTAAGCATGGAAGTAGGAAAATCAAATCCTGCACGGATATCTCAAGTTCCTTCAGTTAAGCTTGGATCATTCTAGTTGGAATCGATATTACAACCAGGATCACGGCAGTTAGAAATGCGTTCTTCCGGTTGACGAAATCTTCATGGAGCTGTCGTGAAATCACCATAAAAACGAAAGTCCGCATCTACATAGCCGTGATTCGTTCGATCATGCTATGTGGCTCTGACACATAGCCAGTGAGAATGGAAGATATTAAGAAGTTATCTGCCTTTGACCACTCTTGTCTAAGGTACATTTTACGAGTCCGTTGAGAGGATAAAATATCACATGATCGCATCCACCTTCGTTCAAATAATGTTATCACAGAGCGCCACCTTCGCTGGGTAGGGCACATTCTTCGTCGTCCACCACAGGAGTTGACGCATATTTCGTTATTTGCTAAACTATGTGATCGTTGGCGTCAAAAGCGAGGTGTGCCAATCAAGACCTGGACTGATAAGGTGAGAAAAGATTTTGAACGTATAGGTAAACCAACACTATATGCACTTAGACGATGGAAAAAGCAATGGCTTCCATTACTGTCGACGATGGCATCAGACCGCGCTTCTTGGAAGCGTCTTACCACTGTAATCAGCCTAACCAGTAGTGCTGAGAGCTATTAGAAGAAGAAGAAGTTGAAATTGATAGCCAAAACATCCGGTAGCAAGTGAAAGGGCATTCCAAGTTATTGATATTTTTCAAATCCAGTGGATTCATTAAATCACTAGGGACCACAGTACAATCTATACAGTTCATAATAGTAATGCTAAGATATTTCATTCGAGGTTGGATTATGAAAAGTGGTGCAAATTAATTTGGATCACGTGTTGGCCACGTTATTGCAGTATTCACTGTGGTTTGTTGAGATTTAATTTGACCACGTTTATTTATAGCCCAGGGTCCTTCCATATTCCATATCATTATGCACTATTCAATGTATATGTGGTTGGTTAATTAGTATAAATCATTGCCCATTACTACGAATCATCTGTTAAAATTTTATTTTCGACGACGGTGCCTGCAGTATATTCTAAATATATATTATTACACCAACGGTGGCTTAATCAAGTTGCTAACAAAATTTTAAAAAATTTTGAAATTCTTTTAAATATTTCTTTTCATAAATCGTTATATGTTTCCTTATTTCCGGAAAGCTACAATGATTTTTATTCATTTTAGGATTTTAATATTTTTTGAAAATGGATTTTCTTTCGATTTTCGCTTTATGGCTTACGCTTTTTTCTATTTCATTCACATTTTTGCCCATGTAAGTTTTATTTTTTCATTTATAAATTTTTTATAGTTATTTTGTAGGATTTTTATCTATTTTAGTTTTTTTTTGAATTTATTTCTAAGTAATTTTTTGTCATTTTATTTCTAACTTTATTCATTTAAACCATATTATTTACTTGAATAAAGTAAATTTGGCGAAATCGTTTGTTCATTCATTTCTGTACTATACTGTGTTATAATTCTACTTCTACTGCTAAGGTACTCCCCTTGACATATTTGTCTAATCCAACAAGCCATCGAAACGAGTCTAAGAATCAGTAATGATGAGTGCTCTTTAAAAAACCTCATAACAATTAAAACTGTACAAATATGTTTGAAAAAATTTTTAAAATTACAATTTCAGGCTACAAGTTATGGAATGGAAGCGGCGAGGAACTGCTGATGGATTTTCTTCTATCAATCTCGTTTTTCCATGTTTAATGTTTGATTTCATTTTATTTTTTATTTTTTCTATTTATTTTTTATAATTATGGATAAAATATATTGCAAGCAAAACAACCAATTCGCAGAATTTATCAAAATTCTTCCTCTTTCCCGTTAAATACTCTCATCTGCCCTCTAAGTCCATTTATTTCCTTCTAGAAGTTTGGCGATCTTATTGATGATCTTATTATTATATATTTATTTATCCGTTTTTAATTTTCTAAATTTTAATTCAGTTTACTATTACTGATTAATATTACATTACATTATTGTTACATATATTACAATATAAAATATAAAAAAAAATTTCTTTCTCACCCATCGTGGGTGGTAATAATTATCCTCAACTTTGAGTTTTCTACCAGGAGTCTGGGAGATTGAGAATTCTATATCTTAGCTCTTCCCTACCACTAGCTTTTCTGGATAGAGGTCTCTGATGTTCCTGGAATTTGCTGAAGCCACTTTTCTAGTTTAGGGATCACAATTCCAAGTGCTTCCGTTATCACTGCAATTTCTTTGGCCTTCACTTTCCACATCTCTAGCTCCTCTCTCAGATCCTTGTATTTCCTTAACATCTCATATCACTTCTGCCTGCTGTTCATGTCACTTAGTATCTATCACCAGTGCTGAATCTTTTCTACTATTCTTGCCCACAATATCTGGTTGATTGGTCAGTACTTTTTTGTCTGTCTGGAGAAGTCCCATAAGACCTTCGCCTTATTATTCTCCATGTTTTTCTGAGGATCTCCATTTTAATTTTGGAAGGGTCTAGACCATGTATTGAGCAGATGTTCCTGGAGATGATGCCAGCTACTTGGTTGTACCTTTCAGTATATGTATATATTTTATAATGAATGGAAAAATATACATGCATTTTTATAATAACATTTTTATAATATATAAGTTTAGAAAAAATTATTTCAGGATGGCGTGTTGGTTAAAGCATGGTTATATGACATCGGATAACACTAATATGTTTATCAATGCAACAAATCTTTTTTTCTTCACGGGTTATATTGCCGCGTTTGCATTTTATCAACCGAAACGCGTAAATTTTATATAAATTCACTCAATTTTTTATGATAATTCATTGGAAATATTCAATATTTATGATAATTCATTGGAAATTAATGAAATCAATTTCTAGAAATACCTCATTGCGCAACTTCTTGCTCTTTTCATATCACTTTTTATGATCTTCAATTTTGTGAATTCTCAACCTCCGGAATTGGCCACTGATTCAATGGGTTCGATAGCTGCTGCCATGCAAATTGTCAGCCTCAGTGGACAAATTTATGAAATTGTATGTTTATTTAAGCAGTTGAAATAAAATATAAATTCTCTGGTAATAAATTTCCGATAATTTATTTTATAAAATGCCCTAAGTGATAATAATTTTATATGATACTGTAGTTATTTATATAAACGAAGCGTTTTTCTGCGATTTGCCAAAGATTTACGAAAAAATGTTGATTATGTCTGAGTATATTGACTTTTCATATAATGTTTTTCACATTAAGAAACGTGCGATAACTTTTGGCCACACGGAATATATTCCTGCAGAACTTCAGTTTGGATTTTTTCTCCTTTTAACACAATGGACTATCTTTGGTGTATTGGTTCGGAACTATTATATTGCGGTATATCATTTTATTTTATTCTTTTTCCTAACGAGGATGTATTTAAAATTTAATATTTATTAAAGGTAAAATTTCAAAATATTTACGTTTCCAATGAATTTTTTGCTTTCTAGTGTGATCTTTTATTATTATAGGTTGCAAATTTAACGGCCTTACTGGTTAATATCTTCACTATATCACTGTATTTCATTTATCCGCCCTTGACATGGAGGGTACCAATCATTGGCACGGGACCTCAGAATGCGAAAAAAGACTGAATGAAAACTGGGCTTTACAGATTGTCATGGTTAATTATATTTTTTCTTTTTCCTCGTTCTACCAGAATCTGTTTTATTGTGCAGTATTTAATAGCGATATTAGGGTTATTTTGTAATTGACTAGTGCTTGTAAACTTTTCTTCTTCCACTTATTTTGCGTATTATAATCTTATTGTTTCATAAATTCAAATTTTCAAATAAAATATTAAAGTAAAATTTTGAAAATTTTCAAAAAGTTTTAATTAAAAGTTTAGCATGCTGAGTCTTTTCGTTTTTATATTGTATTGTTTTCTTCGATCGTTAATTAAAATTAATTGCGGTGAAATTGATAATTCTTTATTGTGATTAAAAATTATTTATGTAAATTTATATTTTTTTCCGCTTTTATTTCGTTAATTTGAATAAAAATTATTTATGTAAATTTATATTTTCTAGATTAGTGGTTCTCAAGCTTTTCGATCTAAAGATCCATTTATCTTCTTAAGTGCTATTGACAGGAAATTTTTAAAAAGAATTATTTCCTGTGGATCATATCTGTCGATATTTATCGTATTATTAAAAAAATTTTTGACAAACTTTTACACATATTGATTAAATCGTTTAAAAATAAATGCACTAAACATTTTTTCTACAAAAATATTTTTTTCAGAATAAAAATAAATTTAGAAGATTATTTTGTTAAATTTAAGAATTTATTTTTGAAATTACTTTGCTAAATTTCTGCAAATCTTTTTAATGAAAGGTGAAAGGCAATTAACTTTTCAATATTGTCGTGAAAGTTTTGAGTTATCGGACCAAAGGACCCAAAGGAAAAGAGCGGATGTGCGGATTTTAAGAACTACTATTCTAGATTTTTGGTTTTCTCGATACTCCACTGGTCTTTTGTGTTTCTTCGTCTATTCATCATTTTTATGCTTATGATATATGATATATTGTGCTGTTTAATAAAATGACTACTGCATCAGATGTGTCTGAATTTTGGGTAAAGCTCTCTTTGTTTTGATTTGCGAATTCAGCTTCATCGAACAACATTTCTAGTTTACTTGGCTACTAGTTTACTTCAGCCACTGGAAAAGAACATATTTGAGCGGTTGTTCCTTAGATTATCGTCTCGTCTTTGGCATTAGAAGTTCGAATGTGGCCTCATCTAGAAATGAATTTTATTATTAAAAAATCCGAATGGAATAAATGACGCAGTTATTACTTCAACCGCCAGATGACTCCATGACAAAATTTTTTCATCATTTAAACAGCGAAGCGAGCCTAATCAGAAATATGTTGAAATGTTATTATTATTATTTATTATTATTTATTGATAACCAACCAAGCAGGGCGACAAGGCCATGTGCTTGTATTAATAATAACAATTAAGATAACAGAAAAAGAAAACACAAAACAAAAAAAAAAATATATAACATAAACAAAATTAATTATAAAACAATATGACAGAAATTAACAATTTAAAGAGGAAATTACAGATCAATATAATATAGTACAATTCGAGGTAACATATATAACCTGAAGATAAAATCGAGATTTCTCACTTCCTGCAGTTCTTGCCTGGTGTAAACTCTTCTCTTTTTTTTTTTGTTTTTAAATAATATCGTAAATGATATTATCTAGTCTTTTTTTAAAGACAGCTAGGGATGACGCACAAGCTACATCGTTCGGTAATTTGTTCCAGTAGTTAATAGTACGAATAAAGAAGTCATGGGTCCTTAGTTTAGTTTTGCATATAGGTTTTAGTAATTTTAAGCCATTAGTTCTTGTTGGATTCAAATTTAATCTAAAGTTATAATATTTCGAGCAATCTAGTTTAACATAACCATACAGAAATGTTGAGCATTAAGCATCTCTACCTTATTTAATAATAGAAGACTAGGATGATTGACAAGTTAAGAAAGATAAATGTTTCAGATGAACTGTACAAGCCGATCAAGAATCCAGAAAAGTGCATAATGCCTTATATTATTTCAGAGTCTCAAAAAATTCGAAAACAAGAAATATGAAAAAATATTGAAAAATGAAATCTGAAAAATATGTTTATCGAAATTGAACTTAAAACGTATCACGTATCTGCAAGATATTTTTAATTGGCATAGTCATACGACGCACTATACACAGCTATATGCACAATAATCTCCTTATAACATCTCCTTAGAAGTAACAACTCCTTTAGTTCTGCCTGTAATGTGGGGAATATACGAAGCGAAGTACGGTTAACGATGCTATAAAACGTATCTTACAAAAGTTGAGCTTTATAACTTTATTAATAATCATCCTTATTTTTCAGTATTAACCAAGAAAAAGCAATCTTGTTTCTTGTTGGATTTTTCTTCGCTTGTTAGAAAAATAATAGAGGCATTCATTGAAACGCATCGCTACTAATTCTTCTTCTTCTGACCATTACTGGATAGCTTGATTTCGCTGATTACAAAGGTAAGATTCAAAGTCAAAGTCCTCACCATTACTGGTTAGACTTGTCGCGACAAATATGCCAAGGACCCCTGTTCCTTGGAAAAGGAGCACAGGGTGAGTCGCCAGCATCACCCGGACTTTTGGGCAGGTTTACTCCTGCTTGATTTAGGGGAATAAAACCTCAGCGTCGGCGTTCCGAATTGAGACCCACTGAAACAACCCATTGAGCCAGGTGTTGTTCGATCCCATCTAAACATTAATAGAAGACATTCTTTTTTTCATTGTTTAAGTCCAATCAATCTAGATATTGACTGGCCCGATCATCTCGCTTTTCATGCCATTCATCATAGGGTTTAGCATGTAGCGAAATACATATCAACTTCTGGTGGTAAGCGGCGAATAATGTTCCTTAACTAGTGAAGCCGATTTTATCTGCTCGACGAAGCCATGAAATATATCTTAGACATGAATCATCAGAGGTGGACAACTTAATATCCTCCACTTTTATCGGCCATATTTCATATATACATAAAGGTTTCACCAATCGGAAGGAACGCATTTCTAATTACCGTTATCCCGGTTGTCTTTTCTCTTTCCTTTTCTTTCTTTCGCCTGATTTAGGATTAAAATGGATCCAAGATATTTAAAGTTTAAATTTTGACATTTCCTCAATCGGCGTTCAATTCGTAAAAATGGGTATTTTATCAGCTTCTCGTATATAAAACGAGAAGTTTTTCATTTTATTCACATTGATCCTAAGTCCAATTCTCGCTGCAGTCGCTGACACTTCTTGTTTAGTATCATTTGCATTTCGTCACAACTGTCAGCAAAAAGGATTAACATTATCGCATATTCAAGAACTGTGATGCGATGATCTGGCTTCAAGCGATGTCGAATATCCAATATTATCGCAATGTTGAATATTGTCAGTGAAAGAACATAGCTTTGACGGGCACCAGTTCTTATTTCCAGAGCACGAAAGAGTTCGAGGGTTTCCCATCTCACAGATCTGCGTCGATGATGCTGGTGAAATATGAGTCTTGACTGATCTCCGAAACATCACCTTTCTTCCTTCTCCAAATTCTATCAATTGAATCGAAAGCAGTTGCAAAATCGATTAAAAAAGCGACAGTGTGTTGCCGAGATCAGGTCAGCACAACCGCACTGCTCTGAATCTAATTTCGTTAGGGCGCATCCTTTTGTTTCGTGCTGCCATAAGTCTATTCAATGTAAGGATGACGAAAATTTTCTCAAAGATATTTAGTAAGCTGATTTCTCAATAATTATCACAGTACGCTTGTCACTTTTCTTGGGAACTGGTAGCAGAATTGCTTTGCTAATCGTTCCCAAGTTATAGTCATAATGAAGACCGAGTAGCTTTCTATCATCCCCTAATCGAGCAGCCGTCTCTATTTTCAAGATTATATCACTCCAATAATGATTTCTGTCCCACCAAGCTGTTATCATTATAATTCTTCAAAACATTCGATAGGTCAGAACCTCGTGACCTTCGAGCTTTGGCATCCCTTTCGTATAGTTGGGCAGTTGTTTTCGATACCCAACTAACTTCTTACTAGTATATCCTAGCGTGAAAGTGGCTGATTTTCAGAGATATCTCTTTAGTTTAGTATTTATCTACCGTTCCAGAAAAGCCGATATTTATATTATATTTATATTATCACTCATTGTTCCCGAATCTTTTAGTTTGTGATAGTTAGAAGATCTCGGAGATGCTTCATACGAGTTGTGAGTTTTATGCGAATCTACGCTCGAACCATAATATGGTCTGATCCTGAAGGTCACCATTTTTACCAGTTTTTGTGTGCCAATTAAAATCCATATCTAGCATGGAACTCTTCCAAGGGCAGCTGACTAAGATATAATCAATCTGGTTGAAATTTTGGTTATTCAAAGAGTTCTACGTAACTAGCTGTTTTCTTCAATGTATATTGATGTATATTGATATATCGTTATTAATAAAAAGTTCAAGTCCAGCAAATATAAAACATCGGTAATTATCTGTCCTTCCTCTTCTGAGTGTATGCGGTACTGGTTATGTTTGGAAAAAGTTGCCTTTTAACCTCTCAATCCTACGCTATTAAAAGTGCATTAAAAGTGCTAGCTAAATGCCTATTCTTTTTCTTCTATCTAAGCTCGCATATAGTTATAATATCTATATGTCAAAATTTCTTCTGACTACATTAATCCAGGTTTTGAAGATCCTTGACCTTGACAGCATCTATCACAAGGCATAGTATGTGGCGAGAGTTTTGCTTTTAGACCGCGAAGAATAATGTATTTAATCACCTACCTGTGACGATGCTATTATTGGAAATAATATTTGAAAGTGGGTGCAATTTCGTGGAATTCTGCTGGTCCAGAGGATTTGTAAAACATTCCTTAGAGAAGAAATCTGCTAGCGGAAATCTAAATTGAAATCTCATTCAGCTAAAATAATAAAGGAGCTCCAGATGCCTATAATAATCATAAATTTGGAGGTATAAATGGCTATATCAACAGTAAAACTTAGACATTATTAGACATTTATTCTATTCCTAATTTTAACCCCCCCCCCCTCTCGAAATCTATGACAAATCTTTCAATAATTATCACTAATTATCACTACATTTGAAAAAATTTAGCGAAGCAAACAAACTTAACCAATATCAACAAAAATACGCAAAATAGTGGGATCAAATCAATCGACATCGACAAAAATGATGTTCCTTTGGCTGTTTCGGTTGCTTGATCGCGAAATTCAGGAAAACCAAATTGGACAACGGATTGATGCCTAATGTCGCAAAATTTCAAAGATTTGGGTCGCAAGCCCATCATTTAAGCAAAAGGTATTAAAAATGGGAAAAAATCGGAGTGCAATATGATATTGCTCAAATGATCGTGTTTGGTAGAGTTCTATTGTGTTCGCTAAATGGCTGGAGTCTCAATGTAGATTCAAGTGCAGCCAACTGAACCAAAAACTGTGCAAGCTTTAATAGCAGAAGGGAATGTCAAAATACCTATTTTTCCTATTTATTTCATAAATTTTTAGCCTTGGTTTTTTGGCTTATTTTTTTGCTTGCCTAATACTGGACTGAAATCAAATTAATAAAAATTATAATACAATATTTGAACGTTATAATTGATGAAGCCAGTCATTCAAGGTCACTAGATATTCAGCTTAATTTCTTTTTCACTGGCTAGTCACTCACATAGCTCGCGATCTGCTTTCACGTCCTCCAGTCAAAGAGAAATTTCTTGTTGCGCTCTTCTATTTTTTATCTGCCCATCTCTTAATTAATTAATCATCTCGTGCTTTAAAAAAAATAGCAAAAAATTTTATTAACTCTCTTTAAAAAACAAATATTCACAAAGTTCGAAGAAAAATTGCTTTCCTATACAAATTCGCTCTAAATTGTTAAAGAAAATAGCGAAAACTTGCAGCAATAAAAATTTTAAAAGTTATATAGGAAGTGCCGAATTGCGCCAAATATTACCATAACTATAATTCACACACTTCAACCAAGCGAATCAACCAATTCACCAAGCGCTGCCCCTATTCGTGCACCACCACTAGGTCCACGAAACCTGAAGTGATTGTAGTTTAAGCAATGAGTATAATAAAATTAAATAATTCTATTTTATGTTGATTTGTATAATTTGTAAAATTCTCTCTCTAATCTTAATCTTAATTTCTCTTAACCTTCTATTCCTGGAAATTGTGTAACTAAAGAGATCTATATTACATAATCATTTTTTTATCTTTCACTTATTCCATGCACTTTTGCTTATAAAGTTTTTATGAGAGATGGGAGCGATAAGGCCACAATTAGTACAAATTATGAACTGTGAATAAAAATCGAACTGATTGGTATTTCGATTAAACAGTCACACGGATGAAAAAATATTCACCATAGTAATGTAGTCTTTATAAATTTGATCATTTCCACAAATAAGATGTGCTCTATAAAGTGGATATTAGTGTACATTGTAAGCGTGGCTTATTAATCAAATGCCTAAATACAGCTAATACTATTAGTGGCTTCTAAACTACTCGGTTCAAATCGATATCTTGATCGAATTTTAATTGTCAATTTTGATTATTTTTGATTATCAAAAAATTTATATAAAAAGTGTGAAAATGTTGACACTTACCCTCCGCGAAAGGAGCCTGGGAAACCGCCGCCATAATAACCTGGGAAACCACCGCCATAGGGAAAACCGCCACCAAATGAACCTGGAAAACGACCGCCAAAGCCACCAAAGCCATAAGGACCAAAGCCGTAATAACGACGACGATAGCGTGGTGGATAATAAGGAAAGGGATAACGTCCACCATAAAATTCGCCATAATTATAAGGGTAAATGTATGTAATTGAATCAATCATTACAAGTAATGAACATAGAGTAGCAAGTATAAGCGTTAAATGCATCTGTAAATTTATTTAAAAGTCGTAATAGAATGAAAACATTTAAATTTATTAGATTTCATTCGGTTCAGGAAGGGTAAATGATAAACTGTTAAGAAAATCTACTATATTCTTAGATCTTTAAATAGGTAAATTTCTCTTACAAAGTTGTCGAAATAGATGCGATTCACCTATTCCTTCCCTATAAAAATAGTGATCGCTTTTCTATCTCAACAAATCAAATCAGTTATTTTTCTCGGAAAAATTGGATCAAATAAAAATCGGGTTATACGAATTTTGTTGAATAATCTTTTTTTCCTAAGAAGAAATTTTCTATTTTTAGATCCAACAGAAATCAGTTTCTATGATAATTAAAACAAAAAAGATATATTATTATGCTGGCAAATGTCATGAAGCGACTTAATGAGCGAAAGAAAACTTTGTCGACTAAATTACTCCAAATTTATAAATGAATATTGAGAACTGGTTCATTTTGACTTGTGATCTGCCATTTTAACATTCAAGTTCACAAATCAAACGCGAATTCTAGTAAAGCGTGATGACGCCGAAAGCGCCACTTTTAATCAGCACAATTTGTGCACCTTCAGTGCTTGTTGGTGCCAAAAATATAGGGCAATTTACTAGGATAGCGCGCGAAAAAAACAAAGGGAATAGCCGTTGTTCTACAGATTATCGCTTAGAGCATCAGGATTCAAACTTTTTCTTAGAATAGAAAAGGGTAGATTTATCACTAAAAAATACAGGTGATGCTGGTGATTCATCTGTACTTCTATTATTAAATGAAAAAATTTCTTATCATACTAACAGCCAATAAAACGAGTCTAACGAGAAATGGTGGCTGCGAACCACTTGCTTTTACTTATTCATTTCGTTCTGTATGAAAAAAAAAGAAACTTACAGTATAATCAACTTTGTTTGAAAAAAAGCGCAACTAAATTTTAATTGCACTCGTAGAAAATTTGAATTTATAAAAATTATTAGGCCACCCAGCGAAAAAAAGAAACAGGATAGGGTAGCCGAGCAACTACTTTTCTCAAATTGAAAAATTCCATCGTAGGAATGAAAAAATTTTATAGTTCAGTCAACTAACTTTGCCTTCAAAAAATTGAATTTTTAATTACATTTGTAGAAAATGTGAATTTGTAAAAAATTTTAGACCACCTAACGAAAAAAAGTAAGAGGGTAAGACAGCCGAGTGGATATTTCTCAGATTATCGTCTAGAACATCAGGATTAGACAGAAGGAATCATTAAAAAATTTGACTAATGCTAGCGACTTGCCTGTATTTCTATCATTAAATGAAAAAAATTCTCATCATGCTATTAACAGCCAGTGGAGTAAGTCCAACCAAAAATGATTAGCTCTCACCACTTATTTTTACTTTTATTTCTTCATTCTGTATTGCGAGAATGGAAGAATTTTTCATTTCAACCAACTGACTTCGTTTAAAAATTTCGTTTTGTGAATTTACAAAAATGCATATAATATACATTTTATTAATTATTATTTAGTCAAAAATTAGTAGATTTAGCGAATTTCTATCAACTGAGAAAAAATTATTACAACGTCCTCATAAACCTACCAATAATATTTAAAAGAAAAAAATCTTTTGTTTTGAAAACTAATTCTTTTTATTTCTTTTAATTCATAAATAAATTTCTAAAAAGAGTTCGACGAACAAATTAAAAAGAGTTGACGCAAAAAAATCTGGAATACATTTGAACTTCTTTAACGAAGAATTCAAATTTTACAATAGAGCATGTTTTTTCTACTTTCTCGTGTCATGTTCATAAGAAACTGGTTCATTATTCACTGAAATCGTTTAATTTAATCATCTTGATCATTAGAATAATGGCTCGGATCTGAATAGCATAGATCGTATAAGTAAACTTGCGATTGTGCGTTTTGAAGTATAATTGTGCGCGAATGCTTGGAATATTTCTAATGTGATTTCAACTCATCCATAGAATGATTGTCTATGGAGATAAGAAAGTCAGTAAGTAGTTAATTTTTTTTGTTAGGCTTGATCTACTGGCTTAATAACATGCAAAGTTTTACCAAAAAATTATTTATGGGTAAAATTACAGCTGATCCAAAAATAATTTTCTAAAAGGTTAATTCTAATTGTCAAACAGTTTTTTTCTTCGATCCATTTTCGCTTTTTTTCGTCTTACATTCAATATGAAGTAAATTTTCCACTTTATTAATTTATGAGTGAAGAACGATGACAAAAGTTGCTGAAAAAGTAAAGTATTAAAAATATTGGAAAAAAAACTTGTTCACTGATGGACCAAGTTTATTTATGAAAACATATTTGAGTTTGAACCCATCCTAACCTGCGGCACTAATAGAGAACTCTGATGTGCAACCTATAGTGCCACACTTCGATTTAACTGCAAACGATGGGGAAGAAACTACTTAACTGAAGGCAGAAGGTGATTCAATTTGCGAAAATTTGCGAAGAAGCTGAAGTCTGAAGGAAGTGTTAAGGCAAAAAAAAAGAGTAAAAAGGGCTTGAGGGAGCTTGGAAATTCGGTGAGGGTTTGGGTGATATCGATGGAATCAATAGCCTTTTATGGATAAATAAGCCTTGTCAATTAATGAAAATCGACATATTTTAATATTAATTAGTTCATGCGATCTAAATTTTCCTGAAAAACATATACTTCTACTCGAACAGCCTACTTTTAATCAACTAAACAGAATTACAGCAATTTTTAATCAGTGGAAAGTGAATTTGAATCTAACCATCATTGATCAAGAAGATATGAGAATCTTTAATTTCAACCAATATTCTAAAAAAAAGCCGTGAGACCACAGTTTTATGCTACAAATTCGTTTTTACAGTTGCAATTCATTTTAATCCATTGGAATCTCTTTGCACTCAGATTTGGACTAAGTTAAAGTCATCGCAAGGAATGATACGATGCACAAAGAATTTCTGCCATCTCTCAGTTAATCTACTCAGTTCACGATGTTTAAGTGAATAAAGGGTTGTATTGTATTGTTGCAGGGGTCGTATGAATGTTTTATTAAGACACATGTCCTATCTATTTTTTAATGATCGATAAATATAATTTAACAGTCCTAATTATTTCACCACTGCCACAAAGTGAACACAAAGTGCGCAATTTCAGCAATATTTTGCCGCGAAACATCGAGAATTAATCCCTAATTATTCGTTATATTTGAAATTTAAAAATTTTCTTTTACTTAGATAATTTTTTCTTTTATATTTCATTCTGATCTTTTGAGTATTGTTTCGAATACCTTAGAGCCGAGTCGGATTGGGTTTGAGATTGGCTGGTCGAGTGCCATGCATTATTGTTGCTTGTGATTTCGATATTGCTGTCTTAAAGTTCAATAAGAATAATTAAAAAGTAGAGAGATTATTCCAACTATTATTAAGTCGTGACAGGCGAATGCACAGAAAGCTTATGGACGTTGGAAATCAAGCGATCACTGTCCACACCCTTTTTAAATATCGTGTGGATATCGCTTGCTTGTCCTTCTTCATTTCGGGTCTCAAGTGATTAATCCTGGATCGCAGCAGAGGTACTGGCTATATGACTTCGGATAACTCGGGACGAAATGGAGTAGATTGTTTTGACAAAGCCCATTCCGCTTTGACTGAATGGAAAACGGTGAACGACCGTATCGCCTATGCCCGTTTTAAAGGTAAGTTCTACAATATCTCGGACCAGTGGATATAGGAGTGAATTCCATGTATTTGAAATTCCAAACTTTTTGAAACGGGATATAACTGAATGTGTCGTTTTATCAAAATTTTTATTTTTTTCACTTCCTTTTCCTTCGAGATTTTTCTTTGGAAATATAAGGTTTCTCTGCAATTTTTTTAAATTTTTTTTATTTTCTTTTATTTTTGTCTTTCTAAAGTTCGTTTCTTCAATTTTTTTTAAAATTTAGATCCTTTTGTTTTTTTTGTTTATTTTTCAATTTTTTAACTTAGATAAGATTTTTTAATGCAAAGATTTGGCATAAATTTCTTATTCGATGGAACTAATATAGAAAAAATGGTTTGCTTTTTTTTCAATTATTATTAACATCGGGCAAAGAAAGTGAAATTGTTTTTGATGTTTTTATAGCCATAAAACTAGGTTAAAAAATATCTGAGTTTTTATAGCTTTTCTCTCATTCGGAGTTTTGATCTTCGGAATTCGTTCATTCTTAATTTAATTGCATTTGCTTTTTCCTATTTTTATCTTATTTTTATTAGGATTTTCAAGATTTGCTTTTTTCAGATTTTTTGGCTATATGCAACGATAAACGAAATTGACCAGGTTACGCGACTTGCCTTTAAAGTGGATATAAGTTCAGCCAGTCATCACAGAATGCAATTAGAGCTCTTCCGAACATGGAAATCTGCGGCTCTATTTTTCTTTGAATTACCCGAAGTAACACCGCAGTGAATCCAATTTTATAATCGTTTATTTTTTCCTCCCTCCCTTGATCTCCCTTTAAGCTCCTAAAACTCAAAATCGTGCTAAAATTTTTTACCATAATCTCCATAAATTTTTGCATAAATAATTTGTAAATTTTGCAAAATTAATTTAACTACGACAAAAAATCTTCGCCTTTCCAATCCGTTTTCGTCCTCATTTTCCATTTTTCTTTTTAAATCCATGTTCTGCCCCTTTTGAATTGTCTCAGTGAGTTCTTTCAGAGGGCCGATTCTAATATTCCATTCTAGACAGGAGCCTTTCAGAAATAGGGTGGTGCTACCATCGCACTTTCGTAAAGGCTCTTTGGCAAAATTTGTCAACAAGCGAACTAAGTTGATCAAACGAGAAATTTTTGAGCGATTTTAAAACCATAAAGCCACTAATATCATAAGAGTATATTATAATGTTGCTTTACAGAACAGTCCATAGTCCATAAGAAGGGATGAAATCATAAGCATTATTAAGACTAAAATTTCTGTCAATAGCCTATGGATCTTTAAAACTTTATTATGATCAGATATGATTTTGTCGATCTAGACCAATGAACCGAATTTTTCTTTTTGATGAAAAGATTTTTTTAAAATTTCACTTCATAGAAATGTTGTGCTATATTATTGTTTTTATTATGCTGCTTCTAAATCATATATTTAACAGTTACCTAATCTTTTTATCTTCATTTGCTGTAGTGAATAGCTGAATAGCTGATAAAATGCCTCTTTTTGTAAATTCATTGTGGGTTGAGGAAGTGCCCGATTTTAAATACCTTGGGTCCACTCTAATACCAAATGGACAGACAAAATATGATATTACAACTTGGATCACGGCAGTTAGAAATGCTTTCTTCCTGCTGACGAAACCTTTATGGAGTCGTCGTGAAATCACCATAAAAACGAAAGTCCGAATCTATATTGCCGTGATTCGTTCGATCATGCTATATGGCTCTGAGACATAGCCAGTGAGAATGGAGAATATTAAGAAATTATCTGCCTTTGACCACTCTTATCTAAGGTACATATTACGGATCCATCGAGTGGATAAAATCTCACAAGATCGCATCCATCTTCATTCAAATACCACTTGCATAAATAATGTTATCACAGAGCGCCACCTTCGCTGGTTAAAGCACATTTTCCGTCGTCCACCACATGAGTTGACGCATATTTCGTTGTTTGCTAAGCCGTGTGATGGTTGGTGTCAAAAGCGAGGTGGGCCAGTGAAAACCTGTGCTGATATAGTCAGGAAAAATTTTGGACGTATAGCTAAACCAACTATATATGGACTTAGACGATAGAAAAAGGAATAGCTTCCATTACTGTCGACGATAGCATCAGACCGCGCCGTTTGGAAGCGTCTTACCCTTGTAGCCGTTGGAGCCAGCCTAATGGTGAGAACCGTTAGAAGAAGAAGAGTGAATAGAGTAATTATTAAATATAATATTAAATTAAATACTAAATATAATTATTAAATAAAATATAATGAATAGCTAATAATTATAAACATAATAAATACAATTCAAAAGGATAAAATTTTAGTCCTCAGCCCGAAAGAATCTCACATTTAAATAACAATGTATGAATAAAAATTCATGAGATGGTTCCAGTGAGATCAAATAGTCTTTTCTATCTTTTCTATTTTCTATCTGTATTATTTCACCGATGCTATTTTATATTTCTATTGTATTGTATACTATTCTATTGTATGCCATTATTCTAAAATAACGCTAATTTCTATTTTCCAGATATACAAAATATGTGGAAAAGTTTATTGCGAACAAGGAAGAAAAAGGATAAAATAAAAGGATAAAATAAAAAAATCCTATAGATCATAGATTTTATAAATAAGTCCAGCTTGCTCCTGATTCTTATTATCAAGAGGTACTAACTGTCGTAATTCTGAAAAAATGAAAATATGAAAAAAACTTAAATCAACCCTTTAAACTTTTTAAACTGAAGGAAATACGCATACCAATTAATGGTAAATATTTAACGAAATAAAATTCAAATTCTTCTACCCAATAAATGCAGGGAAAAAAAAAATGAAATTATTTTGACGACTAAATGAAAAAAAGAGTTTTTCTATTGAAAATGTTTTCTATTGAAAATAAAAATATTAATGTGACCTTCGTTACGCCGAATATCGAGAAAAACAGCTGCAATTTCAAAACGAGATACTGGTGCAAGTGCCGCCAAACAGCTTATGATCTGGTCAGAACTATGAGAACCAATAACTTCCTCGAAGCCTTTGATTAACGTTAAGATTATGTCTGTTTCAGTGATTTTGCCCATTACTTTATTGTAATCATTCAGATCAATAGAGTGAAAATTTTGTTTAGTTCAAGAAAGCTCAAGAAAAATTAAAGGAAATGTGTGTTGAAGCTCAAGTTTGATTGGTTATTTTATTAAAGATTCATGTAATAGTGTCAAATTAATGATATTTTCAAAGTTTCCCATCATAAAATGTTAGATCTGTATAGAATATAGCGAAATATGAAAGAAAAAGAAATGGCTGGACCACTTAAAATAAAGGAGAAAATGAAGGATACCTCAGTCGATAATGATACTAAAAAAGCACCGTAGAAAAGAATTTTCACATTGGTCATTAAAATATTCTACAACTCAATGAAATATACAAAGAAATATTTGGCGAAATTCCCAGGATTTTCCTTGAATAAACGGAAATCCATAACAAATTTGGATGAACTGGTGGCTGTCTCTGGTAAGACTTCGCTGAATTCTACAATAAAATTTGAAACAATAGATAAGAATCAAATAAGAACCAAACTTGAATCAAAAGAACCTAAAATTTTTTGGAATTTAAATACCTCCAAAATACCAAATTCCTCAAATAGAAAATCGAACACTAATTCTCACCTAAAATGGGATCTAGTACGAAATAAAAAGAATTGGGAATCATGAAAACCTTAATATATTGTCAAATTCGTTAATTGAGCCATTACTTCTGGTCGCGTGCATAGTTTTCGTGTCTTCAACTTTTTTCAAAGGCATTTTTTGATCACGTTTATTGCCACTTCGTATCTTAATCACATCAACGTTTTTGTGGAAAAATAAAGCTTTCATTTTTATATTATTTGAAAAATTATCAATTACCACTATCTAAGCTATCGGTTTCATTCAACTGTATAATAAATATATAAAAAGTTATTGGTTAAATTTATTACAAGATTTTAAGAATTCATTCTAAATTCTAAAAGCTGTAAAAGGCCACTTGAAAATCACCTTCTTTTGAATTTGATCTTTTAATTTTTTTCGTTCACTCCACATTCTTCGGGTCCAAAACAAGGAGTCTATTGAGGTCTGCACGGGTCACATCAAATAATAAATTAGTTTCGAGAATGAAACCTGTCGTGTTGTTGTCCTTAGATTTATGAGTAAGATTTTGTCCTCAAGCAACAGTACGAAAAGAGACCTTGTCCCCACTGCTTATTGCAGTGATTCTCTTCTTTTATCTCATAGCCACCTTACAAACATTCTCAGATGCCTCCCAAATCTATTTTTGCTGAAGGGCAAATAAGGGTCGACTGACGAGTCAAAAATAATTAAAACTAAAAGATAAGGGGTTCAAAAAAGGAAGAATTTTTTTCATATAAACAAGTATATTTTGTCCTTTGAGGTAAATTGCGTAATTAAAAAAAAGCTAGGAAATAAATTTAAAAAATTACTTATTTCGCAAAATGCTTTCCAATATTGGAAAAAAAATGTGTTAAGTGTTTTGTAAATTTGAGGAAAAGTTTTCCAACGGTCTATCTTTTCTCATTTATTTTCCCTCATCTATGTTTCCTTATTATGGAATCTTCAATTAGGACTTTTTTGCGATATTTACCATCTGTTTTTCGAAAGATAAAATAAAATTTTACGTTTTGTAATTTTGTACTAGCGTCCTATGGCTCAGTGACTTCAGGCAATTCCAATGGCATCCCATTTTTCCAAATTTTTTCAGTGGCCTAGGAATTTTTTACGGCCTTCTACGTTTCCCGTCTAGTTTGTTTCATACGTTAGATAGAATATAACAAAATTTTTAGCAATAAAATAATTAATAAATAATAAGTATTAATGAGCAATAACTGCTTTAATGGAACGCAGCCATCTTGCTTTAGCATCTCATTCCTTAATGTTAGCGATATATCCGAAAATTTCTATCAAAATATAATGCAAGGTCATTTTCGCTGTATTTAGCCAATTTTTTTCTTTTTAAATGTCCTCAACATTACTGGTTTAACTCGCTCTACTGGCTTGTCACATGGACGAAAGCGAGTCCTTTGGCGATAGAAGTGCAGATGAGTAGCCAGCATCATTCGGATTTTTGGACAATTTTACTCCTGCCGGGAGTAGGACTTCAGCATCGGCGCTCCGAATTCAACAACAACCCACTGAGCCATTCTATCCCTAAAAGCCAATATATAAAAATTGTTTACAAAATTGCTTATCATAATTTGACCTTGTATTCATTCTTATAGGTTAGTTTTAATTTGAGTTCCATCTTGAAGGAGCATATTAAATGAACGGAAAACTCCGCAAAAAATGCTAAATCTAGCCATTTTTCTTTTACAAGATGTGGTTCCATAAATATTGAATTTCATTTTGTTAAAAATCTTTTCACAGCATTTTATCCTAACAACCATCTTATTCCAGAAAAATTAAATGATACAATCAGCTGCCTTTGAGGAACTCATTGAATTCCTTTAGGGTCCACTTTACGGCTTAGTTGGAAGTTTTCTGGATTCATGTGGGTTGGGTTCGAAACCACTTTAAGTTTTGAAGTTAGAACGAGAATTATGAATTATATTTCTTCCTTATTCAATAAATATAGTTCTCTTCTTCCTCTTCTTCTAACAGTTCTCATTTTTGGTCAGGCTGGTTATAGCGGTATACCTTTCTAAGCTAGATGATCCGATACCATGATACCATCGTCAACAAGAATAGAAGCCATTCCTTTTCCACTGTCTAAGTCCATATATTGCTGGTCCCTCTATACTGGTTCGAAATCTTTCATGACTGTATTGACTAGCCCTTCTCTCTTATGACGCCAATAATCACAGGGTTTAGCAAGTAATGAAAGACGCGTCAAAGATGTCTTGTGGTGGACGATGGAGAACGTGCCCTAACCAGCGAAGGCCACGCTCTGTGATAACATTATTAATACTGAGCGAAGATGGACACAATCAGATGAAGATGTGCGATTTTAAACGCTTGACGAATCCGTATAATATATCTGAGATATGAGTGGTCAAAGGCTGATAATTTCTAAATATCCTCAACTCTCATTGGCCATGTTTCGCAATCAGAAAAGAGAATTGTAATATTTTAATATTATAATAAATATTGTAATCGTAATACATAGCCGGATATATATGCTTTCATTTTGAGGGTATTTTCATGGCGATTCCGCAGAGATTTTGTTGGGAAAAGTATTTTTAAAACTACAGAAAACATTCCACAGAGATTTCGTTGGGCTAGAATTTCATCGTTTTCCTAACCAGTGGATATAGGAGTGAATTATGTATTTGAAATTCCAAACTTTTTGAAACGGGATATAACTGAATGTGTCGTTTTATCAAAATTTTTATTTTTTTCACTTCCTTTTCCTTCGAGATTTTTCTTTGGAAATATAAGGTTTCTCTGCAATTTTTTTAAATTTTTTTTATTTTCTTTTATTTTTGTCTTTCTAAAGTTCGTTTCTTCAATTTTTTTTAAAATTTAGATCCTTTTGTTTTTTTGTTTATTTTTCAATTTTTTAACTTAGATAAGATTTTTTAATGCAAAGATTTGGCATAAATTTCTTATTCGATGGAACTAATATAGAAAAAATGGTTTGCTTTTTTTTCAATTATTATTAACATCGGGCAAAGAAAGTGAAATTGTTTTTGATGTTTTTATAGCCATAAAACTAGGTTAAAAAATATCTGAGTTTTTATAGCTTTTCTCTCATTCGGAGTCTTGATCTTCGAATTCGTTCATTCTTAATTTAACTGCATTTGCTTTTTCCTACTTTTATCTTATTTTTATTAGGATTTTCAAGATTTGCTTTTTTCAGATTTTTTGGCTATATGCAACGATAAACGAAATTGACCAGGTTACGCGACTTGCCTTTAAAGTGGATATAAATTCAGCCAGTCATTAACAGAACGCAATTAGAGCTCTTCCGAACATGGAAATCTGCGGCTCTACTTTTTTTTGAATTACCCAAAGTACCACCGCAGCGAATCCAATTTTTTTATAAACCGAGCTATATTCACTATATTAAATCCTGAATTGGAAGGGCAAACTTCCGATAGGCAAAGGATATCTATGTGGTATGTGTCGCCTAACTTCATATATTTATAAGTTTTCTGATTTCCATGCAACAATGGTCAAGGCTTCGCTGGATCTACATGACAATGGTACAACTTGTTTAAACTTTCATCATGCCCAGTTTGCATATTTATCGATATACCACTTGGTTAGAAATGCTATGTGTGTCGGTATACGCTAACATCATTTGAGAATTACAAATTTTTGGGTCTCTAAACTTTTGAAATATCATAATGCTATATATATATATATATATATATATACAGCGAAGCCTTGACCATTGTTGCATGGAAATCAGAATGCTTATAAATATATGAAGTTAGGCGACACATACCACATAGATATCCTTTGCCTGTCGGAAGTTTGCCCTTCCAATTCAGGATTTAATATAGTGAATATAGCTCGGTTTAAAAAAATTGGATTCGCTGCGGTGGTACTTCCGGTAATTCAAAAAAAGTAGAGCCGCAGATTTCCATGTTCAGAAGAACTCTAATTGCGTTCTGTTAATGACTGGCTGAATTTATATACTTGCTATACTTCTACCGCCAATTTGCAAAGGTCATTATTTAAAAGTTCGATAATTAGCTCCCTGCCAAGGGTATCTCACTGTATTAGTATAACAGTGGAGTGAACCTAAACAGAAATATTAAACGCTAACTAATTTTTTCTTAAGATGCCTAACCATTACTGGTTTAACTCGTTCCGCTGACTTGTCGCATCGGACGAAAGCGAGTCCCTTGGCGCTAGAAGTACAAGTGAGTAGCCAGCATCACCCGGATTTTTGCACATGTTTACTCCTGTCGGGAAAAGAACTTCAGCATGGACGCTTCGAATTCAGCAACAACCTACTGAGCCATTCTGCACTCCGAAATGCTAACAACTTACTTTATTTGCACATGTATTTCCATTAGTGAGGTGTATTTCGGTTACAGATGCAATTCGTTTATATTCAGATTCTTATTCATAAGCTCGATGATTTCCCTCTCTATTTTCATATTGTTCATATTAAAAAACTTTATTGATATTAAACTTTATTGACATTAAAAATCTTTAAAAAGGATGCTTTGAAAGACATTTTTCAGCGAATGTAGTGCGAATGTGTTCATTGCTCAATCTCACATTTCGATGAAATTTGATAAAAAAGCGGACACGGGTTCAAGACCAAGTATGTGGAACAAGATGGAACAAAATGCTATGAAAAAGTGAATTGTTTACTGCAAAAAGTGATTTTTGAGAATTGGTTAATAAATAATAGAATTTGCCATTTTCCTTTCTTCATACAATCATCCAACGCGTTCCAAACGAAATTTGAAAAAATAGTTATTACATCAATACTTATAAATTCAATGAATTTTATTTCTTAGTGAAATAATTGGTATTTTATAAATTTAAATAAAAGTACTTACTTTTAGAAGAGTTTATAATAATATTTGAATATTGTATATTGTGAATATTTATTCTCGGTCGACTCACTAGACGAGAATTTTTTTCAGCAGAAAATAGGCTCTATGATTTTCCAAAAAAATTTTTTAATCTTCTTCGAAGGCGGCTACTTATTATAATATGCAAAAAAAGTAAAGTTCACACTGGTAAAGTTTTTCATAATATTATGATTTAGTTTCTCAATTCGAGCTGATAAGAGATTCGAATTGATATCAATTCGTAAATGAATTCACAAGAGAAGTTTGCTCGAGAAAAATTGAATAAAATTTTTTGCAACAAATTTGAACTGAAAGAGACGATAAGTCCTAAGTTTACCTTAAGTTTACTGCAGTTTTCTTTTCTTCTACACTTAAATTGGACGTTTGCGATTCTTTTTATTTATTTATATACTTTCAATGGAAGATAAATAAAATTCTTAGACAATAATAACAAATATACAACATATTACCTGATTTTCCATCAGTTTTTTTCGCCAAAATTTTCCCTTCACCTATTTCAATTTCAATTGTTTTCAAAAGTTGCCACATCATTTTCTGAGTATTTTACTTTTTTTTCATAATAAAAGTTCTTTAATTAATTATTTATTATCGTCTTTTGAATGATAAGGAAAATTTTTTAAATGATATCTGAAACTCCCATGATCGAATTTCAACGGGTTTAATTGCAGCCATTCTAAGCTATGATTAAATAAGTGAATCACCAACGACTTTTTAACCTTTAAGAACTTTGTTTTTTTGTGAAAGAATAAAAGAGTATAGAAGAAATCAGCAAGAAGATATAATTTATCACAATATTAAATTAACAAATTTTCATATTTTTTAATCGATTTTTAATAATGTCATAAAAATTGTCAGGAAATATAAAAAATTATGTGACAAATAGTGCGAAACCAGTTTATCAGACGACATTTGATGTGATAAAATTCTATTCGATAGGCGACAGAATGAAGAACATGAAGTGATAAAACAATTGGGCTATAGGCACATAGTAGCAATCATGTAAATGATTTAGTGCCATTACAATACTTTTAAAACTCATAAATTATGCGATAAAGTGAAAACATTGAAGGACTTCTCTATTTCTTACTTTGAAACAAGCAATTTCAGGAAAATCGTTCGCTATTATTTAAAGCACAAAATATTGGAGTTGACATAAATTCAAGTTTTCTCAAATAAACTGCCATTATTTTGGCTCTTAAATGGCATTAAAATTTTTATGCAAATAAGCTAGTGCCATAATAATTGTTGTCAGAGAATAATAAAGTAATCTTCACGTACTTCTCTTCGTGTACCATGCTTTTGCGGATTTTAGCAAATGATGGTAGCCTTTATGAGGACCAACAGCGTAGCCACTGGACATTCCTGGCGTTCCTTGGTAATGTTTCTGCGGCCCTCTGTAATACGGCGGATAGGGAGGAGGTGGGTAAGGATGTGGAGGACAAGGGGGACAAGGAGCTGGAGGAGAAGGTGGACGAGGTTGTGGAGGACAAGGAGGACAAGGCGCTGGAGGAGGACAAGGATAACAAGGCGGAGGAGGAGGAGGAGGAGGAGGAGGGGGAGGACATTTAGGAAAACAAGGCAGCAAAGAATGTAATTTTGGTAACAATGGCAGACTTGGTGCTGGACATTGACAGCATGGACATAAACATTGTAGAAGTGGTCTGAAATAAAGCGAAATGAGCAGAAAATGATGAAAAAAATCGTTTTTTGTGCTAATTGAAATTTTTTGATCAAAAAGAAAATAAAAATCATCTCATGAAATCAGTTGATCGAATAATAATAAGGATAAAATAATTTCAGAAATAATTTAAATAAAATAGATTTATTTAATTAAGATATAATACACTTAATTAAAGAATTTTACTTGGATCAACATATTTTCAAAGGCAAAGAAGTGATTAAGCGAAGTGATCATATTATTTGTCATTAAATTTAAATTCAACTTGTTTAATTAAAATAAGAGAATAATCGAGTTTTTCTGATGCTTATAGATGAGGTTATTTATTTGCTCATGAACTCATTTAATTTCAATACAAAATTATTTAGCTAAAGTCTATTATTAAGGTATCAAGATATCGCTTATCATCATATGCTGCTAATCATTTAGAACTTTAAAATTCATCATTAGTGCTATTCATTAGAGATCATGAAACCAAATGTGGGATTCGTGGGATTTTTCCCAAGAGCTCTATTGTTATCGCCCCATTCGCCAGTGTGCAATAGAATTACATCGTCAATATCACTTGGATTTACTGACAAGTTCACTCCTGCTGAGAGCCACTCTTAAATGGGGGCAATAACCCACTAAGCCGTTTTAATCCCATCTGTGCAACGGCTAGAAGTAGTGGTAGACGTAACCAAATAAAGCGTGATGCACTGGTCGGACTCGAATCAGACTCATTCTTAATAGAAATTATCTTGCGGTTAAGCCACCGACGCACATCCATGAGGTTATAAATGCTCGGATTAATAACGGCTATAGCACCATTTTTCTATAAAATTTTTGTAAAAATTTTAAGTATTTTTTCTCCTACTAGCATATTGCTGACTCGCTCGGCTATGCTGGCTATGGATGAGGAATTTTGATGATACTTTAACTTGAATGTTAGGAAAGATTTTTCGCAATTGTGTTCTAAGTAATCGCTCTAAGATTTCGCTTTCAGTAAGATGTTTATTCTCCTCAGAAGACCAAAGTCGAACCCAGCTGTTTCTCTTCAATCGAACCAACATATAGCGTAATGCAAAATGCGTATAGAATATGGATATTAATATTAAGATCCATTCTATTCAGTATTTATCCTCTGCACAGTTGATAATTTTATTCCCAAGTTTCTATTCTTATGGCGATAGAGATCTCATTCTGTTAGCCAGTAGCTAATAGAAACATAAATAGTACCTGCTTTTAGAAATGTAGGATTTACTTGAGTCTAATTATTATTTATTTGAGCCTAATTGGTGAAAGGAAGCAGATATCTTTTGTTCGAATTAGAATTTGAGGCTGCATAACAATTAAATTTCAAAAAATTGCTAAAATATGATTAGCTGATAAAATTGAATAATTTTAAAGCAATAAAATACATTGATCAAGCATGCAGCAAGATATGGAAATGAGAAAGAATGTGACTTACATGCAACATAAGCAGGCAAGATGGAGACTATTGACGATGGGTAAGGTCATTAACAAGAGGAGTAATAACCTGTACATGTCTGCAATTCATTTACTACTGACTCTTGAGAGCACAAAATTCTTCTTATATACTGTAAACAAATTATGACAAGTGCAATTTTAGTGGTGAAATTCATCAACGTTACCGACTGCTATCAGCCTTCGATCGCTCACTATGATAATTTAAAATTTTATTCATTATTATAAGAGGAATAATAGAAATTACAAGAAATCGTATGAATTATAAATCATAAAGTACTCTTCTTTTCCCAAAAGCCATTTTTCTATATAGTTTTCTGATGAGATTATTTAGCCAATTTATTACTGGGAATCTATTATGCATGAAGCAAATTGATATAAACCATGTGGTTAATAGCACGGATTATCTTGCTGAGAATCAGTGGTTCAGACCTTCATCCTGCAGAAACATCATTAAAAAATCCTGTATTGGCGAGCCACTTGTACTTTTATAGGTTAATGACCCGTAGTAAAAATTTCTTATCAACTACTTATTTATGTATTATATGTATTACATTTACTTATATATAGTACTTACATTTACTTATAGTACTTATATATTGGATATGTTTGAATAAAGAAAAAAAAGATGATCGCTAATTGTCTTATACACTTTGGCCTTTTGTGGATACATAATGTATCATGCCGTTAACGGCATTCAGCTGGCTATTGTAATGAAGTTGCTTAACCAATTAGTTATTTGGAAACAGGAATTGCAGTTGAGCGCAACATTAATCGAAATGTTGAGTAGCAATCGGGTGATTGGATAATTTTAGTTAATAATTTCAATTTTTGGATAAATTTCCTGTTTTAAATTATTTCGCAATTTAAAATTAATCATGAAAGTTTCATTATAATAATAGTCTCAATTCCATTTACGATTAGAAAACTATCCCCATTCTGACTAATTACTTGTGTTATCATTCCAAAAATGAAGAAGGATAAAGGTGATTAACTTCTGATCATATTTTGTGCTAATATGATAAGGCGAATACAAAAATGCTTTATTTTTTACATATTTCTTGCTTTTTCAAAGAATTTGTAGCATTTCTAACTTAGAATTGGAATTTAAAGAATTAGTGGATTTAAATGGAATTTCGTATCGTCAGAAAATAAAAAGAAATATTTTTTTTATGTGGGCATTGGTTTTCATGAATGATAGTGATAAATGATTAATTGATCGCTGGCTGAAACGGAAAAATGATTTAAAAAATTCTTCGCAATACAGTTTTTCTTTAAATTTGAAGTATTCATCATCGACTTACTCTAAGAAAAACCAGTTGAAGGTCGTCATTTTAGTAGGAATAGCTTCTAGCATGTTCCATCCATTTCATGCACTAAATTTCAAGCTTTCTTATTTCTCAATTTCCGCCTTTCTTATTTTGCGAAAAAAAATAGTTTAACTATTATTGAACAATCGTTGCCAATTACAAAAAAAAAATTTCCCACAAGTTCACAAAACTGTTTGTTGCATTTTACTTAAATTTTATCACTTCTCGGTAATCAGAATTTGCCGCTTCCGACGATTCTAATCATTCGATATTGATAGTGGAAACACTTTCCATATGCCCGACTCTTCCATATTAAAGAGCTATAATTCAGGTTTTCATTCAACAAGAAAGGATATACATGAATAAAAAATAAATGGTAAAGAGAAATGCCATTTTTTAGAGATCTAATCTTATTTACAAGGAGGACCAAGGAAAGTAATACAACCTGACAGTTGATTAATGTTGTTGTCTTTTCTTCTTTATCTTCTTATCTTCGGTTTGCCAAAATTCAACAAATCTTGACGAATTTTTTCGCATATTCTTCTTGCGATTTGCGCATATAATTCGTCTTGGGTGGTTTTTTCAATGACCTGATATTGACCTGAACAACGAAACAATTCAAGCAATTAATGTTCATTGTTTTAAAAAAAAAACTTGTTGCATGAAAAAATGAGCAAATCTTCGAAAATTTACAGTGATTTTAGAAAGTATGTGAATTATTTCAATAAACCAGTTTCGGAAAATAAATTCTTTCGATGAAGAAAATAATTGTAAGTGACCACTTCATGCTAAGAAATTTTAAAAGCTATGCATTAAAGAATTACTCGTTTTATTTTTAATTCTAGAGGAAAATTCATATTTTTATAACTTACTATAAAGTTTTTTATAAAGTGAATTTACAGAAGAAATCACAAATATATATACATATTATATATATATATATATATAAATTTTTATTTTTAATTTAATAAATTTTTTTGAATTTTCATTGATGATAAGATGCGAAACTTTGGCAAAAATTGGGAATTGGCTGTTTTGTATTTTGATAAAGCTGGTGAATTTTGAGATTTTTCACTGGAATTTTATCTTGAAAAATGTTAGTTTCATTTATATTCAAAATGTTTCTTGAGATGGTTAAATTGGTTCCTAATAAATTCAAACAGATGCTTGATGGATGAAGTGGAAGAGTTTCGACGATCTTCTATAAGCCTAGAAATCTAGAAATCCATCTAGAAATCCTTAAAAATTATAAATTATTCCAATGAGTCACATAAATGACTACTTTTTAAGTATAAAATTCTTAATCGAATAATTTATAATTATCTTAGACCTTATAAGAAAATATAAATTATTTAAAACACGAATTTCAAGAATAAATAATTTGAAAAAAAACCAGTCAGTTGACCATTTTGTATCATATAATAAATTAAATTTTAAAAAAAACGAGTTCAAATAAACAAAAACAATTGTTATGGAGATCATATATATATTATGTGTTAGAAATATATTCGGTATTCACTTTCAGTATGCTTCAATATCTCACGCTTCTTTCTCTTCTTCTTCTTCAGTTCTATGTCTATTATTCGGAAGCATTTCTTTTTCCCGGGCTTCCAGGCTTGGGTGGCGGCGGTGGCGGGTATTTTTATAACTAAATAAAATTGTTATAAATTTTATAAATTTTTTTTTTTGCTCCTTGAGGTTGATTTAATTGCCATAACCAGAATTGTTAGTTGCTGTTAAATAATATACACCACACCTATAAAAGTCACCTTATTCTAAAATATTTTCAAAGGCCCGTGAAACTTCTTCGACTCTTTTCACTGAATCATGACTCAGTTTATGAAAAGCGCTTCTTTTCAAAAAAAAACTCGACTAGACATTTCTTTAAATTCGAAATAATTTCATGGCCATTTTCTAAATTTAATGCAGAGTTATTTTATGATCTAAAGTCATTAAATCATGGTAGAACATGCGCATGCACGAATGTATGCTCAATGCATGACGAGAGCCAAATGTTTTTTTAAAAAATGCTTTCGTTTTGTACTCAGAATATATATATATATATATGCAAATCTTTTCTCCAAATTTATCGAACTCCTTTATTCTATGGTTAAATGCAAAAAGAACTGAAATGATATAAATATATAATGTAATAGAAAATATAATACTTGTCAGAATCAATTTGTCTCACATTCTTTAAGACTTATTTTCAGATGCGGCTGTGGAGGTGGCAAATAAATGGTGCAGAGTGCGACAATGGTTCAGATGTTCACAAAGTGATAGTTTTTATAAGCTTTCGAATAGAAAAATGTTTAAGTAAATTAGAATTTCCGTAAGTTAAAAATAATGCTGTAATGATATGCTTTACATTCGTTCAAATATTTCAGAATCATTGATTTTGCAAAATAAATTTATAGAATTTCTTTAACATAAAGACGCTTCTTTATTTTTTACAGCCATGTCCATCAAATTATTTTGAATTGAATTCGCAGAACAGATGCAAACTCTTAGCTTTTATTTCTGAAATATTAAATATTCTGACTAGAAAAATTTAGATTTTCAGTTGAATTAATTGATTTAAATATTGGCAAAAAATCACGCATATTAATGCTGTTAAATTATCAAATTAGTAGTGTCGTGAAATTGCAGAAACAAAATATAGAGCCTGAATAAGTTTGCCCAGTTTGCAACATTGTGAAAGGATCAGTTAATGAAGAGTAGGTAGCTTTCATCGGTTAGAAAGGTGTGTTAGTGGTTTAATGGAAAAGGAACCGACAGACAGAGTCACAACAAAAGGAGAGAAGTAATGGCTAACCAATGGAATATGAAAAATCTTCTAACGTCGTTGAATGCCTCAATGAAAGAGAAAGGAGATAAAAAGCTCAGCGGATAAAATCAGTAAGACTGAAAGAGGACCAACCCCAAAAATAGTTCCTTTCTTTCGCCGTTTCTCGACAAGTGCTCTTGCATTGGTGTAGAAGTTTTTGCCTTTCTCCTTTATATTTATTTTCGTCGTCTATTTACATTATATGAGTTAATGAGGTGTAATTATAATCCAATTCGAATCTTCAGACTATTCGTTATATAGTATTCAAAATATTTCGCGCATCATTTGATTTTCATTTATGGTCATCATCGAATGAAAAACGTTATCTTTTAGTGAAGAATTACTATGACTTCCTTTAGACCTCTTTTTCAGGTCGTCAAGTTATCCTTATCATAACTTATCAAAAAGGCTTCATCAGAAACAAGTGATAGTTATCACATAAGCATAATATTTATTATATGGTTTCTAAATTGGCAATAAAGGAGATATAAATTAACCAATAAACTTTTTTTTTCAAACTTTTATGCATTATTATTTCATTTTTGTTTTTAATAGACATTAAGAAATGGTTAATTTTCCATCAAAAGGACATCAAAAAATTGATAAAAATTTCGCTAATATCACTGTTTGCACCATGTAGACGTTTGGTATAGATTTGATGTAGATTTTATTTACCGAAACCACAACCGCCACAAGCTGCGCAGCCACAACAGCCACAGCAACAACCACAGCAACCACCGCTGAACAAGAATTAACAAACTGGACAAAATGAGTTTGTAAATAACTCATAAAATTGAAAATCCTCAACGATATTCATTTTTACAAGTAATGTAGGTATATTTCTTGTGATCATATTATGATGGATTTTTTGCCTTGGTAATTTTCCAAGTATCAACGTTAATTCTCCAAGAATGATATTTTTAAGTGAATATTAAAATAAATTATGAACTATTATGAGTTTTTAATTCTTGAAAGTGGATTCTGATGAAACAGGCGAATTAAGAACCAGGTAATCAGTGGAATAATTTTTATCACTTGCACCCAAACTTAGATTAGAATCTTATGGCGAGTCATGAAATAGAATAAAAACTCACCCACAGCAGCCTCCACTTCCACCACCACTAGGTCCAAATAGAAACGAATTAGTATGCATCAGCAGGAGGCAAAGCAATACTAAAATGAGAAAGCTGTGGTTGAACATTTCCCTCGACTGGTTCTATCTGCTACTGGCCGATTAATGCCTTATATATATAATCCAATATTCTTTTCGAGACCTGGTTTTGAGTATATTAGTAGGTCATCATAATGGTTGAAAATTCAATCTGCACCTAAATCTATTCTTTATTAGCCAAAATTAGAGGAAAGTGAAGTCATAGACGGATTTTACTATTAATAAGTGCCATATTTCTAAAAATATTTTACTGAAATTTGTCAGTCGAAATCATTAGCACCAAAGTAAAACACAACAAATTTCAGCTAAACTTCTGCTAAACTTAATTTAGTTAATAAATTCAGCTAAACTTGAAAAAAATTTTGCTGCAAAAATAATTCAAAAACAAGATGAAGATTTTTCAGAGTTTTCAGATTCAGAAATCAGTGAGTATCGACTTATTGATGAAAAAGTATGAAAATTCGAATGGAAAGACTTATAAATGAAATTTCTTCGAACTAAAAGTGAAATATTTGCTTAAATGATGATGATCGTTATGAATGATGAGGCATATTTATCTTTATTATTTTGTTAGATATAACAAAGCAGACATATTTTTATGAATATAATGTCAAATAATAGTAAATGTTGAGAATGTTGGTCGGATTAATTATTTAAAATTTTTGCTTGATGCATGGATTTGTTAGATTTATAAAGATTTTCGAATTCCCTATCTATCCATAGAATTTGCATCGAACATATTTTCTTTTCAGATGTATGATATAGTTTATGGGAAAGATTCAGAAAAGATAGATAAAATGAAAGACAAAAGATTCAAGGATTCGGAAATCGCTAAAATATCTGCGGAATATCCATTCTAAGTGATGCAGTCAATCTTAATCAAGTGAATTAGTCGAGTAAAAAGCAGATTTTTAGCATTGTGAAATGAAAATATCATCTGATTCTTATAACTCACATTGTGTATCTAAAATAGCAAAAGCTTAAGACTATTGCTTGCTGAAAATGTATGTTGTCTCTGGATGAAACGATAGAATTTTAATCGATTCTGGAAATATCATTGAAAAATAAGTCTACAGCAGAATTTTCAACAAATAAATTTTTTCAATAAATTTCAACAAATATTGCTAGAAACAAGAGTTGAAAGATCTTGGATATTCCTTTCAAATCTGAAACTACAAATTTTTACTTCAGCAAACTTTAAATTTTCATTTATTTTCCTGCATATCCTCCCACGCGGCCACCGCCTCCACCAATTGGTATTGGTATTGCTGCAATTGCGCCTCCGCCTCCGCTTGCGCCTCCTGATCCACATCCACATGGACAACATGGAGGTCTGCAACCAAAGATGTGACTATTTCTAAATAGAACTTGATTTCATTAGTGACACGAAGTCACAACCGCATCAGTGAATAAAACGTGAAACACGATTTTTAAGGCATGCAAACGAGACTTTCGAAGACCACATGCTATGGAACTGACTGAATATAAGAAATAGTAAAGCGCTATGTTGGCCAACTATTATGATGATGGTTGGAAGTAAAAATGATGCAACGAAGGATAAGGAAATAGTTGAATTGAGATAATGATTACAAATATGACTGAAGAATTTTTCATTTGAGTAGTAGAAGATGGATTCGATAGAAATCACGAAATGTTTTTTACTACTTTTGTGAAACTAAAAATTTCAAATTGATCAGACTGGTTAGAGTGAAACAGATCTTTTGTTAGTCTGACTTCCAATGAAAATTGCTGAGGAACATTCAAAAAGCTATTTTAAATGATTAATAATTAAATGAACGATTCAACTTACGGGCAACAGCCACCACCACCACCACCACCACCAAACAAGAAAGCACTGGACGATGCAATGGAGAAAATTAATAGCACTACGATTCCAAGGTACATTTTGGGAACAAAAGTTCGTTGATACTATCTTCGATTACGAAAGGGTCCTTATATAAGACTCAATTTGACATAGAACGATTTTGCCTGAGGCTACGATAAACTGGCTCAATGTCTTACGAATGTTTCGAAACAATAGAATTGAAACAATCATAACCGATATTAAACGGTTCATTTATAGTCAATATCCTGTTAAAAATATTTGGAATAATGAATGAGATAATCAATCACATGAAACTATATCGAAATTTGAGACATATTAATATTACCACAATACTAAAGAGATGTTTCACAAATTCAGCAAATAATTTATGGACGAGAGTTATTTCATTTGATAATACGTATACTCTCTTCTTTAAAAATTTATACTTTTGCAGTCGCTCTCACAGATAGCTTAAGATGATATTTCTTGCAAAAATCATGCAATTGAGCGATGCGATTGAGTAATATGCGTTTCGAAAAAGTATACGAGAAAAACCGAAAATTATCTGCTTTACTATAAAGCGACTTTCCATAAGTTGGGGAATTTCAACTTTGGAAATATTGAGGTAGTTGGGCTTCTTTGGGTTAAAAAAAAAGCTGTAATATATTACAAATATATTCCTATCAAGAAAAACTAATGGAAATGAAGTAAACTTGGCTACATCGATATAAACGCGAATGCAATTCGAATAGCCAAATTGAATAGCATAATTTGTATTAACATTTAATATAATTAGTCGCATATAGTCGCCGTTATTCACTATCCGTTTTTTTCATAATTTCATTTCTTCTTTAAATTCTTTAAAAGCCTAAACGGAGATAGTAGGCTAATGTGCAAAAATTTCACCCTTTGTGGTTCGGAAATTTTTGAAGATAAATATTATTAACCATATGCAATTGAAATTACAAATTTTACTTTATTTTTTTGATGCTCAATTAATCATTCAAGTAATTTTGTTAGTGATTTTTTATTCTGATCACGTTTTTATGCTTCAAAATAAAGTTATAGTTATAGTTTTATTTTTATAGTTCTCATTCTACTGCGAAATTATGTTTTATAGGCTTTTGCCATAATTTTTGCATTTTTAGGATGAATTTACGGACGAATTTATTGGAGACACAAATAGCAGCTACCGTACTATTCAGTTCGATATAATATTGTATATTAAATATGAAATATGCATTAAGATGTCCACTATTATTTTTTTTCATGTCATTCATTATCCATATTATTTATTTATTATTTTTATTCATATTGATCTTTATTTTTAAGAATGGAACTTTGAAAAGATTTAAGTGTAAAAAATGTGATCGGAAGGTAGATATTGATGAATAGTTGCAGATACTATGGAATATTTCAGCTGTATTCTTTTCTTTACTCGTAATTATTTACCAAAATTATTATATTTATTCATAAAATATATCAAAAATTGTAACAAATTTGAAAATTTATGTAAAAATTTTATTTGAGCCTTACCTAATTTCGCCTTAGGGCACATCATAATTAGTGATAGTTACTGAAAGGATATGAAAGGATAGTAAAAGAATAGGGTCTATTTGCTCTATTTATTTAACGGCGAAGTTTCGACACTAATAAAAACCTGTTGAATACTAACTGAAATGTCATAATATTGCACTCCACTGCAAATGCTTTTCATATTTCTTTTTCTTCAGTGGAATTTCTGATGCGAACCTATGATGCTTGCTCAATTCATTGTCGAAAGAATCATAGCACTCGGTCAACTTACTCCAGCAATAGTATGCAGTTCGAGTGGATAAAAATCCCTTTTTTTCTGGATTATGCAAATGGTATGTGCTCCAGAACGTCTGAAAAGTGCACTTACGACAAATGAGGATCTTGATTTTCAGTAATAGTGGCATATCATGAATCTAAACATATCCAAAAAGAAAGAATTCAAAAATATTCAGTGAACATGACACTTCCATTACGCTAACACGCTTATAAAATTTTCAAACCAAAAATTCAGTCACCATTCCACTTTTGATGGTAAGTTTATTTCCGCCAAGATCTATGATGGTCTATAGTGAATGATTCTATGGTGGATGGTTTGAATTTGAGGTTTACAATCTCGAACTGTTACAAGTATATGCTAACTATAAAAAAGATGTGTTCAGAGTACCAAATGAGTGCCATAACAGCAAAACTGTACCTGCACCGATCTTAAAAATAAAGATTTTGCATCGGAAAATAAATCGGAAAATAAATTTTTGACTTAAATTATTTCGAATAAAGTTATATATTTGGAAGGAAAATTGAAATGAAATAAATTAGGAAATTTAGACAAAGCAAATTGTTTCAAATTAGAAAAATCAGCCTTGAAACAATGTTAATTTTTACGAACGATTCGAGTATTGTCACTATTTGATGATTAATCGCCGATAAAAACTATCATTCGGGTGAAAATGGTAAAAAAAGGCGGTCTAAAACTTACTTTTCTAGTTTTTTAACTATTTGCTTAATTAATAGATCTAACTGAGCAAAAGATTTTTGTCGGTATAAATAGGTAAATTAATATCGGTAAATCGAATCACATCTTATTTCGATATCTAATGATGAAGTCTGCTTTTACTGCTTTCTATTTTATTATTGTTCTTGCTGAACCCATCAGCGCATTTTTCTTCGGTGGATTAGAATGCAACTGCCAGTAAGTATATTCTTTATAGCTTGAAGATTCCTCAAGATTTTCGTAGATGTTTTGAGAATCACGATGTGCTGTTGGATATGTAGATGTATGTTATACTTGATCTTAAATCACAAAAGCTGTATAAACTAAATGATAAGCTTTTAAGATTTTGTAATTTTTTCTCTTAGTGCTTTTTCAGAGTGCTTTCGATATGTATACCATGATATCCTTCGTAAAGATAATCTTTATAGCCAAAAATTTTATAATTTTGAGAAAATTGGCCACTGGTTGTTTTTTTTAGCAAGGCATGAACATTAACATGAATATTATGAAAAGTTATTCGGATATTACCGTCACCATCTTTATGAAAAATTATTATTGGGACATGTCAGCAATTAAGATGCACTGAAGTGGAGTCGTTTGATTATATAAAAGTCAATTCGTGTCGACTTAAGCAATTCTAGCTCGTTTGCAAATGCTGACGAACCAGGTTGACAGGCTGCCATCGTAATCGTTTTGCGTGATCGTAATTCATTATTTGTAAGAATACGACACACAGTAAAGCGAATCGTGAGCTAAATGAAGCAGAAATGATGACCATGCAATTTTCAAATTTCGCACCACTTCAGCCATAATCTTCCTCCCCATCAATTTAGGTTAATTTTTTGTTAAGCAAAACAAAAAAAATTTCAACCATTAAAGCTTTATGCGAGTAAGAATGTTTTTTCAGGACTGCAGCACAAGCGCAGCCACCATGCTCATGTTCTCCTCCAGCCAACCCCTGTTGCTTTCCCTCGTTACCCACATTACCTCCCTTGCCCCCCTTACCACTTGCCAACCCTTGTTGCTTACCCTCCTTACCCACATTGCCTCCCTTGCCTCCCTTACCACTTGCCAACCCTTGTTGCTTACCCTCGTTACCCACATTACCTTCCTTACCACCATTGCCTGTACTACCACCACTGCAATTACAACAACCATTACTTAATCCTTGCTGCTTGCCTTCGCTACCACCCTTACCTCCACAGCAGCCACCAACATTCAATCCTTGTTGTTTCCCCCAATTCCCTGCACTGCCACCTCTGTTTTCACCACCAGCGCCTTCTCTTCCATGTTTGCTTCCTTGCGCTTCAATACCTTCACCTCCAGAATCGCCCTGTCATGACAACTGTTCTCCAACTGCTGAATTTCATCAACCTATAGTCAATTCTCGTCATCCATATGTCGCTCAACAACCTCATGAATATGCTCAACATCCAAATAGCGATAAGAAAAGAAGAAATTGATCATTCGAGAATGTTGCCTCAAAGAAACGAAAATTTACAATCGTTTCATTCGTTTCATTCATCTAACTTTTTATCTTATCAAAGATTTTTGTGATTATGAAAATTTAATTGGCAATAAAATTTTTGAAAAAATTTCAAGAGAGTACCGCTGATTATAGATTTTTAGCATGCACCATAATTAATAAAATTTCATTGACTAGTGAAAAAAATAAAATCAAATCAAATTTGACGAGTATTCGACCATAACGAGTAAATATGGCAAAAAATATGATAAATTGCTTGCCGAGTTGAAAATAAGCTATTTTCTTGAAAAGCAGTCATTTACCCAAACTTTTCCCTCATTCTCCCTTTAAGTTATTTAAAGTAATTGGAATCCGAAAACTTGAATTCGAATTTTTTTGGTTGCTATTCTTGCTTCGTGAATATCAATCACCTCTTCCTGTAGAAGACATAAGGACAGTGAAGCATGTGTTAAACGCATTTTCATTGCCATGATCGCACAAAAAGGTAGCCGAATTGTTGCTTAGATTAGCGACTGACCATCAGGATTCATATTTGGCAGAAGTAAACCTATGATTAAAAATGGTGACGACTCATCTATATTTCTATGTTAATATGCTCCATGGCGAAAATTGCATTGATTCCAATTGTTCCATGGGATTGTCCAATTGTAGCCAGTGGATCTCGTGTGACCACTAATCATATCTTTATTTTAATAGACATCTCTATTTCCTCGCGTCATCATAAATTAAATTTGTCATCAATATTATGGTACCTTACTGCTGTGCGCACTGCGTTCTAATTAATTTAAGACTATAGGAATTAATTTACTATTTCTTTTGAAGCAGAAAAACAATGGTTTTCCAAATTTTCAGTTGCTTCTTACGATTATTTGTGGGTTTGCAAATCAAACTGCAAAATTTTTCCAAAATTGAAAAAGTGATAATGCATTAGTGGTGCAAGCAAGCTGGAGAAATCTCTTGGTCGAAAATGAAGGTGTAGAGATGACATAAGTCTAAAACGGCGTTTCCTAATCGGGACCAGTTCGACCTCTTGGATCTATGGGAGTTCGAAAGTAGTCGATGGACCTCTAAGAGCCAATTAGGGGTTGATAGAAGATCGATGGACGAGCCAAATAATTGCCGATTTTTTTTAAAAATTTCAGAATAAATTTTGAATTTACTAATGAAAAAATTATATGAAATTATATGAGCATTCACACCGCTGAACGTTGTTTATATCCTGGGATCACCGAATAGATTGCATTTGGATTATTGACTATAAAATAGGGTAAATTTCAAATGTTTTCAAAACGCGGCTTAAATTAATTTCTGAATATAAAGGATTATTAGAATTTTCTTATGCCTTTATTAATCGCGGAAGAAACATATCCTTCACACACCAGGAAAAGTTAATATTGACAGCAAGAAATGTGTAGTGGAAACAGACTCAGAGCCACTTTTAAGAAATATTTCATTTTTTGAACTATTCAATGATTGACTATTCAATGAGGATGAAATAGATGATGATATAAAAAAAACATTAGTATTAGAATATGGAAAAAGTAAATTTTCATCCGGATAACTTAACATTTGAGAGACGGCAACAGCTTAATGATCTATCTTCGCTGTTACAATACCAGGAAAAGGAGGGATAACAGAGGAATTCGCGAGACAACTGGGAATTAACCAAAGAGGAATTATATTCAATTGTCTTGAAAAAATCTTACAATAAAATGAAATCCCTATTTCCGATATGTCCGCAGCTTCAGTGCAATCACCACGTATTTTAAATAATGAGTGACGACCAATCGTTACCAGTTATCGTTGTTTTAGAAAAACTAACTATTAATTTTCATTTCTTCAATAAATAATGATACAGGCGAAAACAAATTCTGCAATATTTTAGAAGTGCTTTATGAATAAGTGCTTTCCCATTATTCAAATAGTGTATTATTATGTTTTATAAAGTTTTACAACATTTAATTACGAAAACTATAAGAAAAATTTCACGTTTTGTACTGAAGCAATAAATATAATCAAATCTAAAATTTTGAATGATCATCTCTTTGCAGAATTAATAAATCACTTATCAATAAATTAACAATAACGATAAAAATAACGAAATTTACAATAATTTGTCTCTGAACTCGGAAGTCCACTATCGGAAGGTAATTGTTTGCAGCGTTTCATTGAACTAGTAGCATTAAAAAAGTACATGCCTAAAAGAATAAATATTTCGCCTAAATATGTTCTCTAATTAGCCATATTCAATATTCAAACAAAATTGCAAGAAAAAAGTGTGATCTGATTCAACTTCGACCAGTGTTCTCAAGTTTCGCTCCAATATTGATGTTTGCATCAGACTGAATGCACAAATTCATGATTTTCGTTACTACAACTATATATCAATGAAAAAAGTAGTATTTCTGTTGAAGTTATACTGTTATATAGGATTATCACTTGCAGCAATTATGAAAAATATTCACCTTGAAAATTTGAATTTGTCATACAACCGTTTAAGTGCGACGTATACGAAATAAATTTTTCATTGCAAGAAGAGTTAATTGAATTAAATAGCTATGTGCAATCTGAAGTTTTATTCCAAATAAATGGACTCATCAAATTGTAGAATTGCGAGAAATTCGTCAGATATACCTGAAAGCAAAAAAATGGGCAATATTTTTAGCTTTTTCCATTTCCCAGTTATTTGAAACAGATTTCAGTCATAAAAATTATTTATTACATCAGATTAAATATATCAGGAGGGTGGTGGTCCAAAAATAACATTGAGTTAAACCAGATTTTCAGAAAAGGCTCTGTTTAAATGGAAGCCAGTAAATGACCATATGGCCTACGCGCGTTTCAAAAAAAAGTAATATTTTGGCTATCATGCTTCAACTTTATATGCTCCAAATTTATGCGACTGCGATAAGCGTAAGTTCTATGCTGAGCTTCAACTGTTAACAACATCTCTACCGAGAGATGACATGGTTATACTCGGGGGAGACTGAAATGCGCGCGTAGATCATAATATGCCGTGTTGATGAAATCGGTGATTGGCAAATATGGCATCGGGGCACAATGCGCCAATGGAGAACGCTTTTTTCGTTTTGCTGAAGAGCATGAACTCTTTGTTATTAATACATAATTTCGATATCGGAGGAAACATCTAGTCACGTGAAACTCTCAGACAACCAACGTTCCAATCAGATTAGCTATATATTAGTCAGTCACCGCTGGAGGAGTTCTGTACTTGATAGCCGTTCTTATCGGCGGGCTGAAACTCATAACCGCCATGGATCAGATCATGGTATGGTTCGAGCTAAGATTCGTATAAAACTGACGAGTCGTAAGCAAGATCTTTCAACTACCTCAAATTAAAAGATCCGGGAACGATAAGCGCATTTCAAACCGTATTATTAAAATACCTTAATGAAATGAACATCAATGACATTTCTGGAACGGCGAATGAATATTGGTCCCAAATAAAAATTTGCCTACAAAAATCAGCCACTTCCACATTAGGGTATAGTAGTAGGAAGTGCACTAGTTGGGTGTGGGAAGCAACTGTTCAACTGTCTGAAAAAGCTGTCAAAGCCCGAATATCAGGAGATCGTGACTATCGGGTGCTTCGAAGAATTACAACGACAGCAGCTCGGCGAGACTGAAATCGCTATTGGAGCGATATGGCCTTGAGAATGTAGGCGACTCGGATAGGTGATAATAGAAAACTGTTTCACCTTCTCCGCAAAGCAATTAAAACTCGAAAAGGGGTCAGTGAAATGATACGGGATATTAATGGGGTGCCTATTAAAGCTATTAAGGATCACCTCAGATGATGAAAAAATTTTTTGAGGTCGAACTTAGCCACGATGCACCATCTGTTGTCCCGAATATAACTGATTCGCCCGTCGAGCCATACGTTTGCAACTGTGAACTACCGACAGAAGAGAAAATAATCTCTGTAATCCAGAAGCTTAAGGGCAGTAAAACTTCCGAAGATGGTCTTCGGGCCGAACTATTCAAATGTTGTAAATGTTGTACATTATCGTTCATAACTAACCAATTCTCTGGTATGACAAAAGAAAATAATTCCAGAAGACTGGAGCATAGCAATTCTGCTTCCAATTTCTAAGAAAGGTGACAGGACGTACTGTGACAATTACCAAGGAACCAATAGATTCATAGCAACACGAGATAGCAGATTGCATCCTAGCCCAAGCTGGATTCAGACTGAGTCGTAGTGTTAATTAGATATTTACGCTAAGAAGGGTGCTGGAACATAGCTATAAATACCAGCAGCCCACCGTCATTTGTTTTATCGATTTTGCAGGTGCCTTCGATTCGCTTGATGCAGCAGAGTTCTGGAAATGATGGAATATGATGGAAAGTATCTTAGAGATCATTTGGCTCATAAAGGCACTTTATCAGCATACCCTAACGCAGATATATATGGGGAACTGACAGACTCCTTCGAAATAAGAACTGGTGTCTGTGAGGGGTGTGACCTTTCCCCTAAAATATTCAACTATACGATAGACTGGATAATGGGGATCGCTTGTCGGCACTTAAGATGTGTGCAAATTAGTCTAGAAAATAGATCTTGAATATGCTGATGATGTAGTCCTTTTTGCTGACAGTTATAGGAAATGCAAATAATATTAAACAATGTGTCAACAACTGCAAATGGACTCAAAATCAATGTAAATAAACATAATGAAGGTGTTTTCGACTTATGCTGATAAAATATACTTCAATGCTGGTTGAGGAAGTGCCTGATTTTAAATACCTTGGATCCACTCTAATACCAAATGGCCGGGCAAAGTATGAAATTGTAACCTGGATAACGACAGCTAAAATTATGTTTTTCCGGTTGATGAAAACCTTTATGGAACCGTCGCAAAGTCACCATAGCTGCAATTCGTTCGATCTTGCTATATGGCTGCGAAACATGGCCAATGAGAGTGGAAGATATTAAGAAGCTATTAGCTTTGATCACTCATGTCTGAGGATCCATTTTACGGGTCCGTCGAATCGCACATTATTGTGTCTTCTCTCAGCTACCAACTGTATTAATAATGTTATCACAGAGCGTCGCCTTCTCTGCTTAGGGCATACCCCGATCACCACAGAAACTGACGCATATTTCATTACTTGCAAAATTCTGTGATGGTTGGCGTCAAAAGCAAGGAAGAACAATCAAGACCTGGACTTATACAGTCAAGAAAGATTCTGAACGTATAAGGGGACCAGCGATATATGGACTTAGACGATGGAAAAAAGAATGGTTTTACTACTAGCGATGGCATCGAATCGAGCAGCTTGGTGACGTCTTACTCTTCTAGCCAGTGGAGCAAATCTAACCAGTAAGAAAAAGAAGAAAAGATTATAAACCAGAACGATGGAGTTCTTTATGCCTCATGTTTTTTCAAATCTGAAAAAAAACCCATGATTGAGTAAAAATAATTCAAAAAATATGCCTCCGTATTAGTTTTAGAAATTATTCTTTTCAACCCAGAATATTAACTGAAATATGTATTCTTTTCAGCTTAAAATTAGTTGAAATTTATACCATATTTTATACAAATTTACCCTAAACATATATGATTCCCCGCTTAGATTTAGTTCAAATATATACCACCTTAAAATCTGTGTAATTGCACAATGCTTTTACTGAGTTCAGCACACTATCCACCCTCAATAGCGAACATGAACAGCAACAACAATAATAAATGATAATGTTAATCGCTAATTTCAAATAGCGAGAGTAGTTGTAGTGGTGGACTCTACATTGATGCTTCTCGAGGCTGTCGTTCGATTAAAAGCCATGATGCACTGGTGCTGATAGACTTTAAACCATATCTAGCATACTAAAAAAGTATGCTGGTGGTTGTGTATGCATTCTGTTAGTTGGCTCCATGGCCTCACACAATTTCAAATTTCTCGAATTGACGCACTTATTTCTGCTTAAGGTTCCAAATAAAGATGTGCTTGCTGGAAGTCAGAATTAAATCCATTATTTCCGATTTGTGCTGAAGCTCGAGTAGCACTTCTTTTTACCCGACTAAATCTTCGACAAAGTTAATAAAAATGGTAAGAATTAATCACTTGCTCAGTGCATAATCAGCCAAATTAGCAAATAAGCCTAAGCCAAATTAGCAACAGCGCGTGATATTTGGAAAAAATCGAAAAATGCGCATTAGTACTTTTACGCAATTTCTCATCATCTGTGATGCACATTGCACTCAGTTAGGTCAATTCTACATAATGCGTCTGGTTTATTGACGAAGATCTTATTTCTTTCACATATTTTCTGTTTCCAATATTTTGCGATAATAAATCAAATCATAAATGGCCAAATAATATCGATTTTCCTTTATGTGGATTCAGCCATATATAGAATCACCAGAATCAATATGAAAAGGAAGCATATGGCGAGAATATTGAGTTCAACAGTGATAATGATAATGATAAGTTATCAAAAGTGCTTCTCGCATGATTAAATCGCGTTCTCTGAAGTTTTGGTGTATTGCTAACTGTTAATCTATGATAGCACCTAACTCAACGATTCATTAAATTTTCGTTGCAGCAAATGCTATTGCAACATGTCGAAGCCTATATGAATCAATCATTTCTTTGATTATTATTTTTAAATATATAAAATAAAATATATATGCGAGTTAATGTCGCACGAATATATTTGGAATAGATTTACTATTGATGAAGGCTTAATTTATAGATTTCGCTAACATTATTCTGCTTTGTTACCGTTTTCTTTTTTTCACAGCAGCACTCGTTATTTTTGATTTCACTTGAAGGATGCGATCTTTTAGCCAGGAAGAATCACCAAGGAAAAATACTTGCACGTAGGTCCATTGGCGTTAAAGAATCGAAACCATTAGTTATAATCGGCGATGTTAACTAAAGTAAAGGCTTAAATTCTTTTTAGCTAAGGTTTTCTTGAAATTTATGAAGTCTCTCAAAGAGCTCGTATACCATAGTTATACCTTAAATTAACAATTATTTTATTAATTCATTTATTCATTCATTTCCAGGTTGTGTTTGCATATTTCATTTCATAAAATTCTTTATAATCAATTTCGTTTGCATTTATGATACCATTTTATTTATATAAACAATAAACTTATGTTGGCATTTTTTAAATAATATCCTTCCTTTTTTATCGTTTTTGCGAAATGCACTTGCTATAAACTACAAATAATTTATTTTCATAAAAAATATCCGTTAAATGTAATTTCATGCGCGTCGTTCAACCTACCCCGAAATCCTATTGGTTGATAGGGGATAGAATGGCTCAGTGGGTTGTCGCTTAGCTTGGAGGGTCGATGCTGAGGTTCAACGAAATAGGAGAAACCTATTTAAAAATCCTGGTGATGCTGGCGATTCACCTGTATTTCTATCGCCAAGCTACTCCCTGGCACATTGCAAGCCAGTAGAGCGAGTTTAACCAGTAATGGTGAGGACTCTTAAAAAAAAAAAATTGGTTGATCACTACGGTAGCAAAGCATGGTTTTCCCCTTTTCTTCTTAGTATTTGTGGATTCTCACTTAAATAGAACAGTTCAATTAAATTGTTAAGAATCATTGTGGAAGAAATAACGATCTTCAAAGATCAGGATTATCTGTTTTATTTATATGCCTAAGAGTTTTTCGACTGATTTACTTTTCTCTACAATAGGATGATTCCTATAGGATGAAAACAGATGTTGTAACATGTATGCCGTAATAGTTAATCGGAGAATAATCGTATGGTAGCTTGATAGGGTGCATGGATTCAATTCTCGTCTCTCGATGGAAGTGAAAGTGAATGGATGTCGGTCATCGTGTATCTTCATCCTTTTTGAAATAACCTTAGCCAATAGAGCTAACCAAATCAAAAATTAGTATATCGCTGTAAGAGAGAAAGAAAAAACTTGATAGCCTGTTGTTTTAAATGATGGCACACTTTTTACCTTAGTCAAGTCGATTTTTTATTAGAGAATTGGCCTAAACAAGTTATGCCAGCGCATTCATCGTTATTTCTAAAGTAATATCACGAAAACTACATGCTAATGGATCATTTTTTTAGATCCTTTAAATGTTTATGGTAAAAGATTTCTATTTTTATTTTCGCTAATTTCTTGTTGAAATTATGAATTTTCTTCAAACGTGTAATTCCCCTAACAAATTACGACAGTGTCTGGGACTTTGCAACTAGTAAAAATCAAATATATTTTTGCACCAAAATGTATCCCATCGTGTCTCTACATAAATTGTTTTGTGTCCCTACATAAATTATTACATTTAAAGAAATTATTTAGCGAAACGGTCTATTAATTTTACCAGATTAAAGAAATCGGTGACAAACAAAAAAATCAGAAGTCTATGTTTCATGTCATGAAATTTTCATGATGCGAAGTGTAAATTTGTTGAAATAATATTTGTTCCGAGTCTTAGAATTTAGTTCATTTCAGAGAATTATGCAACGATTCATTATTCGATTGGTTACTGCAGAAAAAAAACTGGTAAACGCAGCAGCTTCCTTGCCCACATGGCAATATTCGACAAACGTAATTTATTTTTTCCACATTTTACCAAGTATGTAGACATCTCTCAAGTAGGTAAGGCCATTCAGATTCGATTATCATTGGTCTTTTGCGCAATATCACTGGAGAATTCAAAAATATTATCAGATGCTTCTTACGATTAATCATGATGGTTTATTTGGTGGATTTTATTTCTCCTCAAATTTGTTTCTCAGATTTCTCTACTTTTTTCATCTTCCCTTTAGGTTAAATTATTTTTGCATGTATCTATGGCCATTTAATTACCTTTTGGAATCTTACAATATATTATGGAACAAAATTTTGTCCTTTCTACGTCCTTATTTCCCTCTTTGACAAAGATCTCTCGAAATATAAGCAGTTTAAATAATCCAGTCCATCCAAACGAAAAAAGGCGTCACGGAAAAGTTGCTGATTAGGTACTTTTATTAATCGATTAAGCGATATAACATTAAACATTTTATTTTCCATTCATTTTTCTGGCTAATTTTACTTTATTTCGTATTGCTTGTGGAAATTTATGAAAATAAAGGTTTTCCATTCACAGACCTTTTCATTTAAAAGATTCGATTATTTTTTTTTACAGGCCGATCCATTAGCCAAATACAAGATTCTTGCAGAGAATACGATTGAGAAACCAACTATTCTTATAACAGGTGCAATGGGACAACTCGGAAGGGGAATAGCGAGCATACTTAAGTGATTTTTTAAGAAATAAAAATTAATTTCAAATTTATAATAATTTTCTTGTTGAAATTTTTAAAAAATTGGTTTGCTTTTAAGGTTTATGTATGGCACTGAAAGTTGTCTTATGACCGATGTCGTTAAAGGATCGAATGATAATAATTGTTGTTAGTTGAATTTCCTATATTTGATTTAACTTTATTTTATTTTCGAGTGAAAAAGAAGATTCCATTCGTTTTCTTCAAACAAATGGATATCGACTTCATCGACTTTGCGGCTGGCTTTGATTCAATTGATAGAGCGGCGCTTTGGAGGGTGAGGATGGAACGTGACGGTGTCCCAGAGAAAATCATTAGCCTCATAAAGGCATTTTATCAGCGTACGTCGGCGCAGGTCTGTGTATATGGGGAGCTGACAGATTCCTTCGAAATAAGAATAGGTGTCCATCAAAGCTGCATACTTTCCCTCACAATATTCAACTATGCGATAGACTGGATAATGGACACCGCTTGTCGGCACTCAAGAGGTGTCCGAATCAGTCTAGAGAATCGTATCACAGATCTTGAATATGCTGATATGATGTAGTCCTTTTGACAGTTATAACGAAAGTAATACTAAATAACGTGTCAGAAACTGCAGCAAGAATCGGACTCAGGATCAGGATCAATGTAAATAAAACGAAAGTCTTTTCGTCTTATGCGCAAGAAGCTGATGAAATGCCCCTTTTTATAAATTCATTGCGGTTGAGGAAGTGCCCGATTTCAAATACCTTGGGTCCACTCTAATACCAAATGGACAGGCAAAAGATGATATTACAACTCGGATCACGGCAGCTTGAAATGCGTTCTTCCGGTTGACCTTTATGGAGTCGTCGTGAAATCACCATAAAAACGAAAGACCGAATCTATATTGCCGTGATTCGTTCGATCATGCTATATGGCTCTGAGACATAGCCAGTGAGAATGGAGAATATTAAGAAATTATCTGCCTTTGACCACTCTTATCTAAGGTACATATTACGGATCCGTCGAGTGGATAATATCTCACAAGATCACATCCATCTTCATTCAAATACCACTTGCATAAATAATGTTATCGCAGAGCGCCACCTTCGCTGGTTAAAGCATATTTTCCGTCGTCTACCACATGAGTTGACGGATATTTCGTTATTTGCTAAACCGTATGATGGTTGGCGTCAAAAGCGAGGTGGGCCAATCAAGACCTGGACTGATACGGTGAGAAAAGATTTTGAACGTATTGGTGGACTAGTTGTATATAGATTTAGACGATTGAAAAAGGAATGGCTTCCATAACTGTCGACGATATCATCAGACGCGCCGCTTGGAAGCGTCTTACCCTTGTAGCCGTTGGAGCCAGCATAACCAGTAATGGTGAGAGCTGTTAGAAGAAGAAGACGAAAAAACAAATGGATAAAATGAGATCGACAAAAAGGACAAAATAAAATCGCTCTTTTTTTCAGTTATCAAATTCTCATTTCTGCAGTTTAGAAAGTGATTAACTATGAAGAAAAGTTAATTCAATGGTTTGAAAAATTCCATATAAAAGGGTTTAAAAAATATTTATTTAAATATTGGCAAAACAAAAATGCCATTTGTATTAGTAATAAGTGGAAAAGGTGTAAAAATTTCTAATGTACAAATTTCTAACAGATAGTAATATAAAATTCTCCTAAATCGAAAAATTTTCCTTTTATTTTTCCAAAATCCTAATTCATTGATATTCGCTGCTTTTAAAGATGGTTAGCAGTTATATAAGTTTTAAATGCTACTGCGACAAAAAGATTGTGATTATCACATAAATTTCTCTGTATCGCCAATTTTTAATAATTTTTTACGAGAGAATTTAAGCTCCATACGCTTATTTGGATGTTTTGGATAAGTCTGCAATTGAGGAAATGGTTGTCAACCATAATATCAACACCATCATTCATTATTCAGCAATTCTAAGTGCTGTTGGAGAAACCAACGTGCCACTTGCACTAAAAGTGAACGGAGAAGGCATGCAAAATGTGCTCGAAGTGGCAAAGTATATTTTAACTCTGTCCAGTTCAAATGAAATAATTGAATTGTTCGTTAAAGTTGGATTGGACGCCAGACATTTCATAATGTATGAGGATATATTTGAATATACTCAACAACTTTTAGAAAGTACAACTTAAAGATATTCATTCCAAGTACGATTGGTGCATTCGGTCCTGCAACACCGAAACAAAATACTCCCAACATTTGTGTCCAGAGACCACGGACAATTTATGGAGTTACTAAGGTATCTAGTTCATAAAAGTTATGATTGGCTAATTATAGGTAAAAGAACTGAGAATCTCTTTGTCCAATGATTCGACCCTTCACTTGCTGGTCCGAATTTTACTGATTGGAGCTTTTGTACTTCCGCTTTTATATCTTTACAAATTTTCTTTTAAACATGTTTAAAAATCCCATCCTCTGTGGGTGATATTGGCATTCAACCACAAGCCTTTTATCTAGGAGATTTGCGACAGAGTGTAAATTGATATTCGAGCTCCTTGGACATGCTCCGAGGAAATGGCAAGCGCCATTATAACCACTGCACTATTCCAGCGCGAGATTCCAAACACCAGGTCCTCACAGATAAAGCAGTCAATAAGATTTCGATCGACCAATCTCGGACTGATTATAAAAAAGTTTGTGACTCAATGCCTTATGCAGGGATTCGTGAATCAGGCTCAGCTGGCTCAGCAAGATCCTAAAGACTTTTATCGGTAACTCAACTAGAACAGAACTCGAAGTAAACTTAAAATTGCTTGAACAAATGCGGCAAATATCAAGGTGACCATTTATCCTCTTTAAGTCGATATGGATACAAATTGAAGAGTGGAACAACCATCAGCCATCTTTTTTTAAATGGGTGAAATCAAGCCATAAGCTAGAAGCGAACGAAGCATTGACTATCCCATTCTCATCTAACATTTAACATGAATCTACAGCGGAGACATTGGGATGCCATTCGTCAGGACAAGTGTAACAGGATGGTGGTAAAGTGAGAGAAAGTAATTATGATTGTTGTAAATAATTATTATAGGGTGGACGTGCCAGCGGGACATATAGACTAGCTATTATCTTGGCATCTCACATGGGAACCACGATGAGGATACATAAAGGACTGCAATATCTAAGCACCATCAAAGAATGAGACAAATCTTGAAGAGCCAGCTCAGTGGGAAGAATAAAATCCATGCCATAAACATATACGCCTTGCCAATCAAAGTGCAGTTAGCATAATAACATGGGCAAAGGAAGACAAGAATGCCTGGAGCTTGATGAAAGACTGTCTTTAACTAAATCTGAATTCAGGAATATATCGGCAAGATGAGCTGCTAAGAGAATGCATCTACAGACACTGGAAAAAGACCGAGCATAGGAAACACCATGGAAAAGAACTGGTTGCTCCATCGACAGATAGCTGAAGTAGGTGACATAGAAATCTTACGTGTTGGAAAAAACTGGACTAAAAAGCAACACTGAAGCATTGATCATAGCAGTACGACAACAGAATCACCGTATTGAAGCAGATTTACCACACCAAATAGACTTCAAAATGCATATTGTGCAAAAACGCCTCAGAAGCAGTCCAACACCTAGTGAAAGAAAGCAAAATGCAAGCAGAAACAGTCTGTTTATTATATGGCTTAGAACTTCCCAAAATGGGAGATCCCTCATAAAATCAGGAGAATGACAGGACAAAGATCCTGTGGGTCTTCTTCATTCAGATAAATAAGCAAGTGGTGGCTAATCAACCAGATATCATGACAGTAGACAAAAACCAAAATTCAGCACTGGTGAATGGATATACCAAAAGAGAGAAACGATAAAAAAAAGGAATATGAAAAGTTAGAGAAATACTAGGAGATGATAGTGGAACTAGAGATGTGGAAAATGAAAGCGAAAGTAGTAGTCTTAGTGATAAATGGAGCACTGGGAACTGGGACCTCTAAACTAGAAAAATGGCTTCAGATTTCAGAAACAATATCAAACTTCTCTCTAGAAGAGCACACTTCTAGAAACAACTAAGATAATGCGCAGAATCTCCCAGGGCTCTGGTGGACGAATTGAAATTGAGGATGACTCTCACCACCCATAGGGGATGAGAATATTTTTTTAATGATATATAATAAATTTGAGTTTCGCTTATCATTTTTATGCCATTTATTGCTGCAGGTTTATGGTGAACTGCTTGGCGAATATTACAACGAGCGATTCGGTACGGATTTTCGTTCACTTCGTTTTCCTGGTATTATTAGCGCGACTGAACCTGGAGGTGGCACTACTGGTCGGTTTTTCTTGATTTATTATTAATGAATTTGTAGTTGCAGATTGCCAGTGGCTAATGCTTTAAGAAAAATTTAGATTTGAAATGCTTCAGTTATTTAAATTTTCTCTCAAAAATAACTTTGAAATAACTTACGTGTCCACGTTTTAGACTATGCAGTCAAGATCTTTTACGATGCTATACAATATGGTAAATACAAATGTTACCTACGACCAGAAACAAGGCTGCCAATGATGTATGATACGGATTGTACTGCATCAGTCATACTTGTATGTTTTTCGTTATATTGTCAATATAATTTTAATTAGGATTGGATATCAAATATTGTGCATTTCAGTATTTGCTCGCATCACCTGACAAATTAACTCAGCGAACATATAATGTTACTGGTTTCTCATTCACGCCTGAAGAAATCGCTGCTTCAATTCGTCGTATAATACCAAATTTCAAAATTGAGTATGAAGTTTGCCCTATTCGACAAAAAATCGGTAAAATTTTAAAAATAACTGATTCTTAATTGATTCCTCAAGGTTAGGGAAATGCAGGAAATTTTCCTGATAGCCTAATATTTCTGTCTTCTATCTTTTTTCTTGCCTTTTGCCATCTTTAAAGATACAAGAAGAATACCGCGGTTGGTACATATGGGAGAAGAATATAAGTACTGTTTAACGAGTAAGCTGTGCCTTCTAGAAGAATTTCTTCCAGTACTAATGATAGAGTACCCTGATTTCTCTATTTGTAATATTTTCTTTCATCATTAACGTGAATTCATCGTTTTTTTTTCAGCTGATTCATGGCCGGACAGTTTAGATGATTCAATGGCACGAAAAGATTGGGGCTGGAAACCAGAATATGATTTGGAAAGGACAGTGAACATCATGTTTACGCTTATCGAACGTCAAATTCGTGAACAACAGAACAATCCGAAAAAGGCAAATATGTGAAATTTGGTTTTTCCTTTGCTCTTTTATGGCTTTGCAATTCTTTTTTTAAATAGTTTTTTGTGATTCTGTTAATTAACACAAAAATTTTGAATTCTAGTAGGAATTTGCTTCACCCGTCTATTTTAAATCCTAATAAAGATTTGCTTTACCCCACAATTTTGATTTCGGGAATTTTTGAAATTACATTTTATTAAAGGTTTATTATTTTCCACATTTACAACTAATTTGCTTGCAAATTAGTGTAGGTGCCTATTTAAAAAGTATTTGATGCAACTACTCACAAAGTTTTTGGTTTTTTTGTTATAAATTCATAGAAAAATACAAGTATTATTGTTGATTTTAGTAAAAAATAATTTTTAAGTTGTAAATAACAGATCGAAGATAGAAAAAACATAAAGGACTTTTGTTAAACTATTTAATGGACATTTGGTTCACTTAGTACCATCAGAGTTACAATGTAATAGAATGAAACAATGGAAATATTTTTACCATATTCAAAAAATAAATGCTTTTTTGCGAATTTACAAATGATTAGGTTGAACAAAACTGTTAGATTTTGGAGAATGGTATTCGATTTGATTTCTTCCACCGATAATACACCATATTATCGATGCCACCGTATACATACTGGATTACAGCGTATATTATAAACGAAATCACTATTCCATACTAAAAATTCTTAAAATAACTCCAGAAGTTGGAATAAAATAAAAATTTTTTAAACAATAAAACATTGTGATCTTTTCTTTCTCGAAATTACTTTTGCTTTAGCTTAAAATCACTCATAAATTTTTTGAAATTTTATTTTTTTGTCGAAACCGAAAAAATTACGACACGAAAAATGTTCATTAATTTCCCTTGTAAATGTGGATATAAAAATTGTATTTTATATTTTCTAGAAATATATATTTGCTAAATTGTGGGCAACATTTTGATCATCTTTTCTCACTTTCTCCGAAAAGATTTTTTTAGTCGAACGAACTTACAAAGTCATGCAGAAAGAACTATAGAATTATTATAATTAAGAAAAATATGAAAACGATTTTACTTGAACTAAGCTCAAGAAGAACAAATGGTACAACCAAATGCACAGTACCAATATCCAGAAACATAAAATGCAAAACTTGGAAATCCAATGTAATGGTTCGTCTGCTTCCTATAAGAAAATATTATCCTAGTTTATATCTTAGAGTTCACAATCAGAAATAATTAATCCAGCCATAGAAATGGCAAATTGAGCCAAAATTTATTCATTTTTTATTTTCATTTAATTATCAGATATACCTTCCAAATAAAAGTGACTCGACGATCCGAGAAGTTCCTGGAATTAACTGGCTGTTCATAATATTTTTCAAGTTGTTTGTCCTTTTCCAACCAAAGGCTAGAAAAACATAAATGGAATGAGAACCATAAAAACATCACTGGATTATCAAATTATGTCCATTAAATTATCTTATAACAGCGTTTAAATGAAAAAAATTAAACTTGTTGAAGTCGTAATTTTAAAAAAATTTTTTTTAATGTTTATCGTACTAATTCATCTAATAGTTCTCATATTTCTGGTTTGATTAGCCACATTGACTATTTATTCCTTTGCCAGAAACTCATATGTTGATGGAAATACAAATGAGCTTTCAGCTTCCCTAATGGCAGACATCTACTCCCGCTTCAGTCTATCAAGAATGTGTCTCACATTATTTATTTGTTTTGAATTCTTTCATTTTTTATTCAATTTTTTTCAGTTTTTCGAGATAGACTTGAAAAATGCTTGAAGAAAAGTCATTGCACGCCCTGTAAATAATTTTTAAAAAATGGTCTAGAAACCATACTCGTTAATCCACTTTGCAATATCACTCTCTTGGCGTGGAATTGATGTTCTATCGATACGTTCGATATTGAAATGAACTTTGCTAGGGGCAATACCCTTCAAGACTAAGTCGATTTCCGACTGTACTGTATTCTCAGGATATGCAACAGTCACATTGTAAATGCAACTGATATAATTATCTGAAAGTTTTCAACTGCAATTTTATTTTTAGATATACAAATGAAAGCGATAGTTTCTAGCTAAACCAATAAGAAAGACTAACTTACGTTCTCTCATTCGCCGGATTAAATGAACAAGTCCAGCAGAACGTGGATAGATGACATATTTTAGTTCAGGAAGACCGTTTTTCTTAGCATAATCATTGCTTTTTTTGGTTGTCCTTTCACTTTTGTCCGTTCCTTCAGGGAAGAATAGTATCTAATGATCTAATGGAAAGTTCATTGTGCAAAAAAGAGCAAAATTACGGCCGCTTTTTTGTATAGCGTTGAAATAATTTTAATAAAAATAATAAAAATAATTTTTTATGCTTCGATGTCTTTTCAACGAATTTTTATTTACATCTTTCAGTTTATCTGTCTAAAAATCAAAAAAGGAAAAAAATTCATGATCGATTCTATAGCGATTTCGAAAAATATTCCCAACTTGATAATCATAACCGATATTTGCAAAGTAATCGATAGCTTTATCCAGAGCGATTTTGTCTTCATTCATATTGCGCTTTAAAAAAATAAACTGATTTCCAGCCATACCAACGCCTAAAGAAAATAATAATATGGACGGCGAATTCACTATATTTCACCCACAGCTCGACGCATCGTACTTAGATTAAAATTCTAGTTATTTTAAAAGCTAACCAGCTCCTGGCAGATATTTAAGTTCTGCTTTTAATGCAATTTTGCTGGAAACAAGTAACCAGGGATTCATTTTAAGCAACGCGCCCCAATAGTACATCCAGTCCAGTCGTGTCCTATGATTCATTAAAACCAGTGCTGGCTTATCGATTTCAATAGGATCGCCAGTTATTTTGAAACTGGTTCCGAAAAAATATTGCAAAATAGTCTAAAAAAATAAAATTATTAATTTTTCAAAGAACTATATAAGAACTATATGATAAATAACTCATGAATATCGTATTTTTCTTCTAATACCACAAATCATTTCTAACTTTGTTGTTTTCATAGATAATTTCGGTAGAACAGTTTTGTCAAAGAGTGAAATGGAAATATTCCTTTAGAGATATTCCTTTAGGCGGATTGGCAGCCATATTCGAATTCAACCTTCGATGACAAACTTCCCTTGACTCGCATCGAAAGATCGAATGATGTTTGAACTAATTACCAGGATACCGTACCACTCTGTCACGCTATTCCCCATTTTCACACCGAAAAAGTAAAAGAAAAATTGGAAAGAGTTGTAAAAAATAAAAAAATTTACCGTTGGAATAAAAAACCAAAATGCAATAGCTCGATCAGCAATAATTCTCCAACGTTTATGTGCATTAAACAGTAAGAGAGGAATAAATAAACTTAACACATAACTGCCAAAAACTGAAGTTAGAAAAACAATAAGTGCGAAGCAAAGACCCAAAATAGGATTCATACGAGGGCCCAACCGCTTCAGCATTGGAAATATTCTAAATGACCTTCACGCATACATTTGCATTTTTCCGTTACGAATCGATAAAGTGATATATTGTACAGATATATTTTAATATTTTCTTAATATATAATATATAATTTTTTTCTATTTTTAAGAATCACCAAATAGCCGTATTTATCACAGGCTTAAGGCTAAAGCCATACCTACCTGTGAAGCTTATAGGCTCCAGACTTTAAGGCTAAATCTTACGTACAAAGCTGATTTTGAAACAATTCACAATCATTACGCATCAGCAGTAACATAGATGGATATCAAGTCTTAGATGTTAGGTCGAGCTTCTTCTTCTTCTAACAGCTTTCACCATTACTGGTTAGGTTACGAGGGTAAGACGCTTCCAAGCGGCGCGTCTGATGATATCGTCGACAATAATGGAAGCCATTCCTTTTTCCATCGTCTAAGTCCATATATTGCTGGTCCACCTATACGTTCAAAATCTTTTCTCACCGTATCAGTCCAGGTCTTGATTGGCCCACCTCGCTTTTGACGCCAATCGTCACACGGTTTAGCAAATAACGAAATATGCGCCAACTCCTGTGGTGGACGACGGAGAATGTGCCCTAACCACCGAAGACGACTCTCTGTGATAACATTATTTATGTAAGTGGTGTTTGAACGAAGGTGGATGCGATCATGTGATATTTTATCCGCTCGACAGACACGTAAAATATACCTTAGACAAGAGTGGTCAAAGATAGATAACTTCATAATATCCTCCACTCTCATTGGCCATGTCTCAGAACCATATAGCAAGATCGAACGAATCACGGCAATATAGATGCTGGCTTTCGTTTTTATGGTGTTTTCACGACGACACCATAAAAGTTTCGTCAACCGGAAGAATGCATTTCCAGCTGCCGAGTTGTAATATCATCTTTTGCCTGTCCATTTGGTATTAGAGTGGATCCAAGATATTCAAAGATATTTAAAATCAGGCATTTCCTCAATCGGCAATATTTATAAAAAGAGGCATTGTATCAGCTTCTTATATATAAACGAAAGATTATCGTTTTATTTACGTCGATCTTGCATTCGAATCTCGCTGCAATTGTCGACACATTGTTTAGCATTATTTGCATTTAATCATAACTGTCAGCAAAAAGGAATATATGATTAGCGTATTCAAGATCTGTGATACAATGCTCTGGACTAATTAAAGAAACTCGTTTATAAAAAGGAAGATTCAAAGACAATTCGTTTTGTTGTTTAAGAATGTTTAAGAATTTTCTGATGAAGAGATTTTATAGGAATTGCGATTTAGAAGCTTAGATGAAGTGGCTTGTTATTTTAAGGTCGGTGCAGGAACGGGATAGGAATTGTCATTAAAGCCAGTGGAACTGACCTGAAAATAATCACACGTGCTGGTAGAAAAAGAAGAAGAAGAACAGAAAGAATTTGCTTAAATTTTCGCATTTTTATTGGTTTTCTTTTTTCTTCATCTAACATCCTTCATTTCCAGTTAGGCTGGCTAGATTTCGGATTATAGCAGTCAATAAAGGTCCATATGTGAGTGGAAGTGCTGGTCGGCACCATCTAAGCACCATCTCCACTTCACTTTTAAAGACAAGTTTACTTCTCTCAAGGATGGATTCAATGCAGATTTAATGATTGCCCTTAACACTTAAACATCTGAACCAATGCTAAAATGATGAAAGAACGATTTTTTTGAAAATTAGCTAAACTTTTCTACTTACAAGTTGCTTATTAAAATTATTGAATATTCAGCCGTTAATGATTTACTCTCTAAAGCGTTCATTGCGTTTTCTGCATAATTGCCTTCAATCTCAACAAAAGCGAATCGTGGTAGCTGACGAGCAACTTTACTGGAACGGTTACCAAGGGATCTTCAATAAGAGAAATTCATAGGCTCAGTGGGGATTTCGATTAACCGTAAATTTGAAATAATGTGAAACATGAATACATATTCTTACTAAAGAACCATACATGTCGAGCATTCATAATTTTTGCCTCATTTTTTGTAAATGTCTTTAAAGGGTCTTTGAGGGCCTTTTTCAGTGACAACATTTCAGTCTCGTCAAATCATCTCTAATATTTGAAATGAGCCAAATCAGCACAGCATTCAACCAAGTTGGCCCCTATAAATATATATGAATAAAAATAAAAATTATAAAAGAAACCAAAATTGTTATTGCTAAGGACGATTGTTATTGCTTGGATTTTATTATTTGATGGATATTTTAAAAAACAAAGTGGGACAACAACACAATTTTTTTTATAAAACAAGCAAATGAAAAATTTTTACGCGAGAACGAGTTGGCAATAGGAAACGATGTGGGCCGCCGGCACCACTCGGATATTTTAATAGTTTTCCGATATTAGAGATTTCGAATTCCTACATCTCAACACGATATTCTGAATCGCTATTCATTTCGGTCATCCGTCCTTTCATTGTTCTAACATTTTTAGAATATAGTTTGCCGTTTTTTCGCGGGTTGCGGTGTTTTCGCGGTATTTTTTTTCTTTTTTTTTCGATTATTTAACGAATTTTATTTAATATTTTAATTTAGATGTATTTAATTTAATTTTCATTTGTTAATATAATTCAGTGGTTTTAATCCACTTTTTAGAGGTTCTTCCAAACATTTTTGTTGGAAAAATATAATTGGTTTTCCTTAATACTTCCTAAATGTGAGGAGTTATGGTACTAATTATCCGGGATGGACTCATTCCAGTATACTAAAATATGGTTTCATTAGTGATTTTCTGATGCGAGCTGCAGAATTATTTCTAGATTTGTTCGAATAACATTAAATGTCCCAAATATAAGTCTGATAGTGGTGCAGAATAGGTTGGTGGAGATTTCGTCTAGAACGCACACCAAAAGTGTATTATGCACTTCTGCTTTAATAACTGTTGCTGTAGGTAAATCGATCGCATTTATTTTTATTTGAAGCGGATTATATTTGAATGGATCCAGATGCAGTCTCTGATATGAATAACCAGCAACTTATCAGTGATTATTTGGCTGGCAATGAAGCAGCATTAATTGACAAAATTAATCAGCAAACACGCGAGATCGAGGAGCAAGTTCGTTTTCAATTCAATTTTTTTTCGCAATTTCTTACCATATGATTATCATTACTGATTAGGCTAGTTCCACTATTTAAGTTTGTAAACTTCTCGGTCCTGTGCTGCATCTGAAAGTAAGGAAGGCAATCTTTTTTCCTTTTTCTAAGCCTGAGCTGCATATGCAAAACTTCTTGACCATGTCAATCCTGGTCTTCGGATAACGTCAATTACTGTGTCATGCGGCAGTGTTACTCAATTAATTCATTATAAAGTATATAACAGTTCTTTTGTTTTAAAACTTGTGATGTTTCCTTTAGAATTTTCAAAACATTCATATTGTCTTGACTAAAGAGTATAGTAGCATAGTAGCATAGCTTCGGTTCTTATCGCTTATAAACCTATCACTAAAAGTCTGGCTTCTGTGGATCTGTCTGAGCATAGAAAATATTCTTAATGAATTGCTGAAGTAAAAAATCAAATGTTAAGGTGAAAAGAGAACAACCGTTATTAGGATGCAAAAAGTCAATGCGCGATCTCATAAATATGTACAAAGAAATTGGTCATAATCTTTATCAGTTAAAAACTGAGGTTATCATTTTTTGTTCAAGTTTTTGTTTAATTTAAAATGAATTGTAATTGAATTGTTATTTAACCTAAAATGAGTTACATAAATTGTGAGTTATGAATTTTAAATATTTTAAAATTTTTGGATTAGTTTTTATTTGTATTCCCTATATCTCGTTCCTAACAGTCCTATTTGAATTTATTTTAGATCCTTTTCCAACTTTTATTTGAAGGAATTATCTCAGCAGTACGATAGTATACGTGAAGTTCGTGGTGATGGTTGTTGTTTTTACCGAGCATTACTTTGTAGTCAATTGGAAAGAATATTAAGGGAAGGCGATGAGCGAATTCGGTTCATTTTATTGGTATTTTGATCTAAATTCGGTGAAATTAAATAATTATCATTAGTTTCAGTCAGCAAACTTCCAGCTAATAAGTTTTTTTTTGTTGCGCTTTTTTTCACGCATGTTGATAAATTGTTAATTTTCTTGTTCAACAGATAAGCTCGTTTCATTCTTATTGTTTTTATTCAATATTTTACGAATGTTATATTTTTTCTCTTTTAAATATCCAGTTAAGGTTTTCTAATTTATGCAAAGGATGGCGTAAACGATTACTCAAGCAAAATTTTCCTGCCTTCACGACAAATGATTTCTGTGATGTGGTAAAATTTTTTGCTAAATTTAGTTCCAGTGTAATTCCAAGTTTTCTATTTTTGTTTAGACCAAGCAGCCTTAAATGTTGTGAGATGATTTTAGATGTTTTTCAGTTTGATGAATTGTTAAATGATATCTCAGATGGTAAGATAGATGCTACGTTACTGCTGTCTATGTTAAATGAAGATGCTCGTTCTAATTATTACGTAACTTTTTTGAGGTCTTTTTTATTTCTTTTTTTATAATCATATAATTTGGGTTCAGTCTTGTGTTTTGGTTTATTCTTATTAATATAATTTTAATTATTCTTTTTTTCATTTGTGCCACTTCTAAAAGAAAGGTTGTTAAAATTTTGTAGAATGGCACGGCATATTTGTTCATTAAACTCAATTTTTTTCTTTTAAAAAGTTTTTTAAAATTTATATCAGGCCACTCAAGAGAGAACAGCATTCTTTTTAAGTAGTTTATTGTAGATTATTACAGATTGGTCACATCAGGCTACTTAAGAGAGAATAGCGATCTTTATGCTGGATTCATCGAGGGGGATCGTTCAGTTGAGCAGTATTGTCGCGATGAAATCGAACCATCTTTTACGGAATGTGATCATATCGGAATCTCAGCTTTGTCAAATGCTTTAGGTTGAATTTTATTTTGTTTGCTTGAAAAATTTTGAGATTTTGAAAAAAAAATTAGATATAAAAGTTATATTTATTGGCAAAATTGCAAAATTTTTCTCGGATATTTCAATTATTTCAAAATATCTATGTAATTTAAAATGACGAACAATGATTATTGGTTTTTAGAGTTTTATCTTCAGCAGCTGAAATCATTTTTTCCTTTTTTCTTAAAAAATTTCTACTTAAAAAAGAATTTTTTTAGGTATTTCAATCAGAGTAGAATATATAGACTGCTCGAGTGTACCAGGAGGCTCATCATTCCATGATTTTCTTTGTGATTCTACCGAACCTCAGTTATTTTTTCTCTACCGTCCTGGCCATTACGATATTTTATACAAAAAATTTTCCTAGATTCTAGATGATCGAAACGATTTGTTTCACCATTTCTAACCTACCATAGAAAATTAAATTTTTTCATTGCTTTCATTTTTTTATTTATTTGCGACATAAAGAGTGGAATGTCGAATTTTTTCGAAATATTTTATATTTTATGCTTTTTAACTTTATTTTTACTTTAATTTCTTTATAAAAATTAAGACTTCGTGGCAGATTTCATATAATTTTTCCAGTCAAAGTTTTATCGTTTTTTGTAGAATTCTTTTACTTTTTATATTTATTGTGAGTTTTTATAAATTATTTTTCATATCTTTTTCTTGCAAAAATCCATTTATTTATGTCAACACTATTTACATATATTACTTAATGGTTAGATTTAATTACTTAATGATTAGATATAACGTTCAAGTTTTATTGCGTGAAGTGGATATGGTTTAAAAGTTTGTAAGTCGCCTGCTTGCCTATTGATTAACGTGAACTCGGTACCATTGAAATAATCTTTTTGCAAATCTTTTAATTGTTTCGGTTTTGCAGAATTTCAGGAGAATTTCGCCTTGCTTCTTTCTTTTTTCTCTTCCCTCTCTTATTTCATTATGTCTCGGCTCGACATTCCCCCTACTGTCGATTACGAAACGGTTTTTTGCTTTTTTTTCCGTTTTCTTTTTATTCATACCTTACCCACCTTTTCATAAATTTCCCTCATTTGAATAGGAAAGAAAAACAAATATGGCTACAAGATATTAATGGGAGATTATGAGACTGTTGACTGTGGGTCCAGTTGGTGGTCCATCTGCATTTTATCCAAATGCCTTCCTGGCTCGGGCTCCCGATGCTCAAAAGTGGTTAGCGCCACCTGGACCACACTGCTAAATTCCTAAAATGATTTTCAAAAAAGTTGATTTTACGCAATATTCGTCTGCAATAAGTGGTCTTGAAGAGAAATTCATCACTAAAATTCGGAGACTGGGTAGTCGCAGATTGGTTTTAGGCTTCGAAATAGAGTTTTTAATAGCTAAGAGAATGATGAGATTGGCTAGTAGAGCAGTGAATGAGTGTGTATCGTGGTGGGGAATCGAAGTTGGTGGTAGTCAAGTTGCTTCTCTTGAGGTGATTGGTTTCGGTCCGATTGCTGTGGCTTAATGGAACTGAGTTGTCATTCACTCATCTGTTTATGATCCATCTTCCTCCATTTGACAGTGCGGTGAAAGGGCTTTGAAGGTCCTTACTAGCCCGCGGAGATAGCCAAATTTGAAATGTGCAGTTGAAAAAGGAATGAAAATAAAAGGGTGATTTTTGGTTCGCTATGGATTCGCTATGCTTTAGATTACTTTATTATAGATTACTTTTTCTTTCTTTTTTATTCATTTCTTGTTGTGTATTATTTTTTTATTGTGCCAGCAAATTTTTTCGCTAAATTTTCAATTTCTTCAGTTTCAAGAAAATTGCATTTATCGCATAAATGGTTTATTCGATTTTAATTATTTTTATTGCAGGTTTCTAAGTGTTTAGTTCATTTAGTTTGGCTGTACTGCCTGTTAGATTGAGGTCTTTTCGTTGGAGAAATAGTGTATGGTTATAGTGCTCTGCTCTCCAGGACCATTCTGATTTTTAATACGAAGCTTTTCTTCCTGCCAGAGAGTGTGTGATTACTGCCACAATACCTTCAGACCACCTTGCTTCCTTACATTTATAGCTTGAGAATTTGACAATTCGATTTCTGGACCTTGAATGGGATAAATATGCCATCAAAAGAGAAATATAGGCACGATTATCGTGTGATGGTATCCAGATGGCATACCAACTAAGTACCACTATTGCAGTGACATAGAATTTGATAAGAATTTCGGTGAGGATATTTTGAATGAAAACATTCATTTGTTTTGTGCATGGCATATGTTGCAATTTTGTTGAATTATCAATTCAAGTTAAATTTTAGATAAAATTTCTAGTGAAAACTTTCTAGGTATAAGGAATAAGAAAAATGCCGAAACAGATAACTGAAATCAAGGAATTTTTGTTAACTGCTCGACGGAAAGATGCAAAATCAGTTAAAATCAAGAAGAATTCTGAGAATGTTAAATTCAAAGTACGATGTAGTAAATACCTTTACACTCTTGTTATTCAGGTAATCAATTTTCAGTTTTAAAATCAGTTTCTTTCATCAGTTTTAAGATAGATTTTTACTAGGAAAGCATTTTAACTTGTAGAAACAACATTCAAAGTTGAAATGTGTTTTCGTGATGTTTCTTCCGGATAATTTGGATGAAATATTCAGCCAATTGACTTCAATAATCGATGAATGATAGGGCTTTTAAAATCAAAAATCAGAAATTAAATATGTTGTATAATATAGAATTAAATCTTTATTAGGTTGTTAGTTTATTATATCAGTAACTGATTTCAGCGAAATCTGTTTGAATCAATAAGTAAGAGCTAATAAATCTAATAAAAATTTTTATAGGATAAGGAAAAGGCTGAAAAGTTAAAACAATCATTGCCGCCTGGTCTTCAAGTTAAAGAACTAAAATAAAATAAAATTGCATTATTTGTTATTGCTGATTGTGTCACCGATACTAATAGTTGTATTATCGATAAATTTATTTTAATATATAAATTTAAATTTTTTATTATCAGTTATGCTGGTAATATATTTTTTCAATCAAATAAGCATTATTAAGGCCAGAGAAGTTTAATTATTATCATTACGACTTACAGTCATTTCCACACAAAAGTGTGGATAAATTTTTTATATCTTTTATATTTTTATTTAAAATTCATTGTAAATAAAATCAAAAATAAAGTTAAACAGATGATCGGCATATCCTTTGGTTGCTGTTCATATAATGCAGTTCAGTGTGGATTGTTTTGGTCACTAGTGTTTTCATATAGCTCTTACTGGTGTCAAGCGTTAATACCGTTTCTGTTGAGAGGTCGTTCTCAGAAAATATTTAAATACATTCAGGAGCATCGGCATCAACATGCATCCAAGGGCACTTCAAGTTCGGTTGGCCACAGACGTTGTGGCCTATCGCACAGTACCAATCGTGATAAAAAAAAAGGAAAACTGTTGTTGTTATAAGTGCGATGTAAAATGAAAGAGACAGTATTTCCAACCTTCTGATAACTGTTTGCCAGTGAGTTTCATCTCTTGGTTGCAGTGACTTCGTTTCTTCCCTGAATAAAAAATAAACTGTAGGCAATATATTCAATAAGCAGGAACTTACTCTAATATTGCCATTTATTAAAATTGGAGCATATGATTTGGAACAGTTTGTATTATATTATATTCTTCTTCTTCTTTCTTCTAACAGGTCATACAATTATTGGTTAGGCTGGCTCCAACGGCTACAAAGATAAGACGCTTCCATGCGGCGCGGTCTGATGCTGTCGTCGACAATAATGGAAGCCATCCCTTTTTCCATATATTGCTGGTTTACCTATACGTTCAAAATCTTTCCTGACTGTATCAGTACAGGTCTTGATCCACCTCGCTTTTGACGCCGACCGTCACACGGTTTAGCAAATAACGAAATATGCGTCAACTCCTGTGGTGGACGACGGAGAATGTGCCCTAACCACCGAAGACGACTCTCTGTGATAACATTATTTATGTAAGTGGTGTTTGAACGAAGGTGGATGCGATCATGTGATATTTTATCCGCTCGACAGACACGTAAAATATACCTTAGACAAGAGTGGTCAAAGATAGATAACTTCATAATATCCTCCACTCTCATTGGCCATGTCTCAGAACCATATAGTAAGATCGAAGGGATCACGACAATATAGATGCGAACTTTCGTTTTTATGTTTTCACGGCGACTCCATAAAGGTTTCGTCAACCGGAAGAACGCATTTCCAGCTGCCGTGATCCGAGTTGCAATATCTTTTATCTGTCCATTTGGTATTAGAGTGGACCCAAGGTATTTGAAATCGGGCAATTTCTCAACCGGCAATGAATTTACAAAAATAGACATTTCATCAGCTTCTTGCACATAAGACGAAAAGACTTTCGTTTTATTTACATTGGTACTGAGTCCGATTCTTGCTGCAGTTTCTGACACGTTATTTAGTATTATTTCCATTTCGTTATAACTGTCAGCAAAAAGGACTACATCATCAGCGTATTCAAGATCTGTGATGCTCTGGACTAACTCGGATACCTCTTGGGTGCCGACAAGCGGTGTCCATTATCTAGTCTATCGCATAGTTGAATATTGTGAGGGAAAGTATGCAGCCTTGATGGACACCTGCTCTTATTTCGAAGGAATCTGTCAGCTCCCCATATATACAGACCTGCGCCGACGTACGCTGATAAAATGCCTTTATGAGGCTAATGATTTTCTCTGGGACACCGTCACGTTCCATCCTCACCCTCCAAAGCGCCGCTCTATCAATTGAATCAAAGCCAGCCGCAAAGTCGATGAAACACGTGACAGTGGGTTGCAAATATTTAAAGCGATGTTCCAACATCCTTGTTAACGTGAATATCAGCACAACCGCGCCCTGGTCCTTGGTCTGAAACCAGCTTGATTAGGGCGCATCCTGCTGTCCCATACTTCCATAAGTCTGTTGAGTAGCAGAGAAGCAAAAATTTTTGCTGAGACGTCTAGTAGGCTGATTCCTCGATAATTCCTCGTCACAATATGTCCTATCATCTTTCTTGAGAATTGGGAACAGAATTGCTTTGCTCCAATCATCTGGTAATATTTCTTTTTTTCATACTAAAGAGTATATTTGTTGAAGGTGCGTTATGAAGGACGATGGATAGCATTTGGAAAGCTCAGCCCGAAGACAATCTCCTGGAGTTTTGTTGGCCTTAAGCTTATGGATAACTGAAATTATTTCTTCTTCTGTTGGAGACTCGCAAGTACAAGCATATAATTCAGTGAACGTTATATCAAAGGCAACAGATGGCGCTTCATGGTTAAGTTTGTCCTCAAAGAATTCTTTCCATCTTATGAGGCGATCCTTAATACTTTTAATTAGAACGCCATTGCTGTCTCTTACCATTTGACTGATCGGTTCTCCGAGTCATAGTTGCTTTATGAAGAAGGCAGAGTAGTTTCCTATTGTCGCCTAATCGAGTCGCCGCTTCCATTCTTGAGGCAGTGCCACTCCAATAGTGATTCCCGCCTTGCTGCTTTCGTGGCAAATCTTCGAAGCACCCGGTAGTCAAGATCACCTGCTTGGCAGCTTTTTCAGACAATTGGACAGTTGCTTCCGATACCCAACTAGCGCACTTTCTACTAGTGTGCCCTAGCGTAGAAATGGCTGATTTTCGGAGACATTCCTTTAGTTTGGACCAGTATGTTATATTACGCAATTATTATGCATATTAAAATACTTCATGTGAAAATTACGAAATTCCTATGGCCTTTACGAACTGATTTAAAGAACTCTATTTTAGTTTTACCGTATAATGTTAACAGATTTTTCTATCCTTTTAAGTTCGTGCAAAATCTCGTCCAGCGAGTTCTTACAACAGTGAGAAATGAGCGTATTGTCGATATGAGGTAAATTGAGCTGTTTTCTTTGATTCGTCTTGGTTGTTACCGATGGACTTGTCTAAAAGAGCGTATCTTTGAGTTCGTAAACCTAGGCTTTTATCGCTACATAATTTTTGTGTAAGTTATTACATTTATTAGGATATCCCTTCTGTAAAATTATTTATGCATATTAAAATACTTTCTGCTAATTAATTGTAATCAGTTAATTGTCAGTAACCGTTTTCGGTTCTTGTCTACTATTTGATGGAACTCAAGGATTAAGCATTTTTTACCTCCTCTAAGTTAGTGCCTTCATAACCAAAATTGCTTGTTTCATTTTCATCTTCTTGGATTAACTGAAGCATCGATAAAGCGATTGATCGAGCGCGATTCTTCAGTCGACTATCGTTCATGTACATGTACTTAAGTTTAGCGCTACCATTCAGTTCATCACGTGATAATAAACCATCCTGAAATATTTCTTTTTTTTAAATTTTTCAAGTTCAGAATCTTTTCCTACGGTTTATTGTGAAGTGGCAAATATTGTATGGATTTCCAGATTGTTCGACTTTCTCTCTGTGCTCTGCTTGCCGTATACACGGTTATCGTTGTGTTAGTTGTCTAATAATATAAATTTTATGCTTATCAAAACTTTCGACATTTGTTATACAGTGAATGCATCTTCAACACCATATATATGAAAATTATCACAGCTCACAGTTTGGATGCTTATTGAAAAGTGTTCATGAAGTGATTTCACTCACCGCCGGATGTTCCTCTCGATGTCGATGATATCTCTTGCATCTTAACGTTTAACATTTAATTGAACATAGAAGTAGTTTTTCAAGTTTATAAGAAAGTTATTCGAATGGCTTTAAATATAGTAGAATTTACAATGCAATGCTTACTTCTGACTACTATTTAAATAAATAGAGAAATAAATTTAAATAAATAAATAAATAAATTAAATAAATAAATAAATAAATAAATTTAAATAAATAAATAAATTATAAATAAATGGTTCAGCTATTTATATGCTGTTTATAGAGAAATTTACCTGATAATATTTCCTAGTGGTGTATCAAATGATAACCAGGCAAGGAACCATGGAACTTGGTGTGTTACCCTTAGATCTTTTTCTAAAAATACAAATACTGATGTGCTTACAGTTGAGAGACCAATTATTGCAAGAAGGATGAAGTAGTATAAGCCTGCAAAAAAGGATTCATGTGATCACAAATTATAATATCAAGACAACATCGAGAAATTGTCAAGTGAGAAAGAATAAATTTTAAAAAAACAAAAACTGTGAATAAAAATTTAATGCAAAGTTATAGGTCCATCGATGTATGTATCGTTTAGTATGAAATGGTGCATTCAAAAATTGGCTTAAAGCTGTGGTTGAAACCGTGACTTATGACTGTAGCTTAAAGTGGAACTCTGGTTGATATAGAATCCATGATTTATGATTTCTTTCTTTGATAAATTTTTTAAATTTCACAAAAATTTTTTTCTAAGAGCGCCCACTGTAAAACATGCGCTGCTTAATCGGATCTGCCAAATTTTGTCAGAGAGTTACATGGTAATTGAAGTGCAGGTGGATGTGAGAATCACCTGGATTTTTGAAAAATTTGCTTCTACCGAGAGTAAAATCTCAGCTTTGGTGCTCCGAAATAAGAGCAACAACCCCTTGAGCCATCCTACCTCTTAATAAAGCATATCTTGTCGAGAGAATATTAGCGAAAAGTAATTTTTTGTAAATCATGATCATTTCGCCTTTTATCAGCTCTCGCCATTAATACTTAGGCTGGCTCCATTGGCTACAAGGATAAGACCTTTTTAAGCGATCTGATGTCGACAGTAATAGAAGCTATTCCTTTTTCCATCGTCTAAGTCCATATATTGATGTTCCACTTATACTTTGAAATCTTTCTTGAGTGTATCAGTCTAGGTCTTGATTAGCCCTCCTCGCCTTTGACCATCACAGAGTTTAGCAAGTAACGAAATATGCGTCAAATCCTGTGGTGGACGACGGAGCATACCTTAATCAGCGAAGGCGATGCTCTGTGATAACATTAATACAGGTGATAGTTAAGAGAAGATGGATACAATCATGTGCGATTTTATCCGCTCGACAGATTCGTAAAATGTATTCTCGGATATGAGTGGTCAAAGGCTGATAGTTTTTTAATACCTCCACTCTCACTGGCCATGTTTCGGAGCCATATAGCAAGACCGAGCCAATTGCAGTATGGATGCGGATTTTCGTTTTTATGGTGATTTCGCGACGGTTCGATTAAGATTTCATCAATCGGAAAAACATATTTCTAGCTGTCGTTATCAGGATTACAATTTTATCCTTGACCATTCGGGATTAGAGTGAATCGAAAGTATTTAAAGTCAAGCATTTCCTCAACCGATAATGAATTGATAAAAATAGGTATTTTATCAGCATCTTATATGTAAGACGAAAACACTTTCGTTACATTTATTTACATTGATTTTGAGTCCAATTCTCGCTGCAGTTGTTGATACATTGTTCAATATTATTTGCATTTTCTTATAACTTATAACTGCAAAAAGGACTAAAAGACCATCAGGTATTCAAGATCTGTAATACTCCAGACTGATTTTTAAACCTCTCGAATGCAGAAAAGCGTGTATTATCCATTCTATAGCATAGTTAAATACTGTAGGAGAAAGTATGCAGCCCTGGCAGACCCCAGTTCTTATTTTGAAGAAATCTATCATTTCCCCATATAGACCTGCGACGTACGCTGATAAAATGCCTTTATTAGTCGAATGATTTTCTCTGGAACACCGTCACGTTCCATCAATCTCCAAAGCGCCGCCCTATCAATTGAATCAAAGGCAGCCGCAAAGTCGATTCGTAGAAACATTATGACCCACGCGTACATTCCGGTCTTCTCCGATTATGACCATAACATGTTTCGGCAGAGACTTTGTAGCAGTTGAAATTCCGCATAAAAATCATCTTTATCGCGAGCATAGGTTATACGTTCATTTACAGGTTTCCACTTAGTCAAAGTGGAATGGGCCTTTTTAAACATGATAATGGCTACGCCATTTCACCCCGAGTTGTTCGAAGCACAGTGATATGGGCAGTACCTCTGAATCAGGATTAATAATTACTCGAGACCCGAAGTGAAGAAGACGGACCTCCGACAAGCAACCGATATCCACACGATATTTAGAAAGGGTGTGGAGAGTGATCATTACTTGACTTGTAACGTCCATAAATATTCCATGCTGATACGGCTAACACCTAGCTGCTTATGCACAGAATCGTTCCCCTTGATAGGTTTTGAGCAATTGTCCTGGCTTGCGAGCATATTTTGTTTATGAACCTTGGGATCATTTTATGCCCGTATCGCATATACTTTATACTATACTTATTTTATACTTATCGCATCGAGTATCATGTGCATCGGAGGACGCCATGTCAAGAATATCTTACTCTTTCAAGAATAGAATGGACATAGAGTTATGGATGGATCCCCACCTGGATTTTTGATATGGCAGATTTACTCCTGTCGAAGACAAGCATCATATTATTTTGTAATATTATAATATTATTTATGTTGCGTAAGGTGGAAGAAAAATAAAAAAATTGGAAAATTAAAAAAAATGTGACCATTTACCAATTAAAAAAATGAATCTATAAGGACGAATATATAAGGACGAACCAATAAGAGGAATTCCGGAGAAGGATCCTCGACCTTTCCTGCTTGACATGCTAAATTTGGGCATATCTTCAACAATTGCCAATAAGATAACACTCATACTCATCAATGTCATTATTCCAAGACGAAATTTTGCATCTCTAGAAGATAATTGACATTAATATTGATATTAAAATATATTGAATATTAAAATACTAAAATTTAAATTTAATTTAATTTCGAAAAGTTCAAACTTTCATAAAAATTCATAAAATTATATTTCATAATATTTGAATGTTTTAAAGTTATTCTTTAGCTGATAAATTTTGATAAGTGAACTGATAAGTGAAATTTTGATAAGTGAAGTGAAAACTTTTAAAATTTTAATTAGTAAGAATTGTGTAAAAGACGAATGAGGAAATATTTTTGTGGTAATTTGTAAGATTTTTATCAACATCATCAAAATGAGATATAACTAGAAATCTTTTGTTATCAAAAACTCACCTAACTCGTCCACTGGTGCTTGGAGTATGAAATCCAATTACAGCTACTAGAGTTATTATGGTACTCGGTATAACCAGGTTAAACACTAAAATAGACTAGTTATTTTTTATTTATCCCATATACAAACAAAGTTTCTGTCACCAATCTTACTGATTAAAATATTTTCAGCTTTCTCATTTGAAGATTTCTCTGATCATAACTGAGAATTTACAAAATATAGTAGTTTCATGCACTTTTTCTTGAAGCAAACTATTATTAAATTAAATATATCGTAATTATATATCGTATTTTTTATTTTAAATTTTAAAATTTTTTCCTACAATGTTAAGTGGGTAAAAAAAGGGGACTAAATAATGAATAATTTGCTTACCATAATAGAAGCTTTGTCTGACAACGACCAAATTCATGATAATCATTTCCCAAAAAAGTGGAGGATCCAAATAATCATAAAGGAATCCATCGGACGCTATGTTACTGTGTATCTATAAAAATCCTAGAAGTTTTTCATTGGTTTAATGAGGAAATTTTACCACATCAAATAATATGAGAAGTAAATCATTATATTGTTATATTATTATATTGTTTGCTATTGTATTAGGAACTACTGTCATTATAATCACAAACATTGTTTATTATTATCACTAATAATAATAATAAATAAAATGATCGGACCATTTTCGAGCGGTCATTTTGTTAACAATCTCCCTGGGTTTGAACTGGTTTACAAGGAGTTTTTACCTTTTTATTTTTTAAGTGCTCTCTTTTTTCTAATGTTTCTTTTTTTTCATCTGTTAATAATAATGATATAAATATTCTATTATTTTAATATCTGTAAATTTCGTGTCTTTGTGATAACCATATTTGCTTATCTATTCTTTCAGAAAACTGAAATCCGCATGATTGCTGAGGACTTACCTGTATTTTAATCTCTAAATGTCTATGACAAATTGGTATATTCAGATGGTATCCACTTCTTCCAACGTATATGATATACCCAACTTGGTGGCAAATGCGATAAATGAGCAAATAAAGTCTAGTTAAGAGAAAAAAAAGTTTAAGGTCTTGATTAAAGATAGCAGCTTAAAATCTGTTGAGAAAGTAGAACATTCGCCAATAGGCTCTATATAGACGGCTAAGTCTTGGTGTTTTGGTTGTCAATGCATGGAACATTGGAATCCTTGCCAAACTTGAGAGTCAGGGGGTAACCGTCCAATCGTCCATAATCTGTCCAAATAGCGCGTGGACATCGCTTGCCAATTGAAAGCCGAGCCATAAGGTGGTGAATTGTTTAACCTTTCAGAATTAAAGTTTTGGTTGTATCATTGTGTTTTGGACCATTCGGGATGAAATGATGTAATATTGGTGTCATACCTGAAAATGTTGGATCATTTCTGACCACTTGAGAATCCTGTTGACGACAGCGACTGGATAGCTTATGCTGGGAAAAGAATCTGTTATATCTCAGTCATCACCGTACCCATTCAATATGAGATGACCGTGGCAGAGAGTTTCTGAGCGGAATTTCAATTGTTAACGGCATCTTTCCCAAGAGGCACATGACTATAAGGAAATGGAATGCGCAAATGTTACGATAATTTGATTCTGTGATTGGCAAATATGGCGTTGGGGTAAGGTATGCTCATATAGAATGTTTTTCTCGCTTCGCAAGGACTTTTTGCCACCAATATTTTTAAGTGACAGAGGGAGCTTTTGGTTGCGTGAAATCTCTGGATACACTCCACTATGAATTACCATAAAATTAGCATCACAACTGAAGATCCGCATTTATCTGGTCGAAGTGCGCACAATCCTGCTAAAAGGTTGCGAAACACAATGTGAGAGTGGAAGATATCAGAAAATTCAGTTTGGCTATTCTTGCTAGGTAAGCAATCGCCTGGATAGAATCTCACATGATTTTATTCACTTCATTTCAAATATAAGCTCCATTGATATCGTCATTTACATTGCTTAGGTCATGTCTTTCAGCGCCTATCGCAGAACTGACTGGTTATTTGATATGCTTTGTGGTGGATAGCGTCAAAAACGAGGAAAACCAATCAAGATTTCGATATAGTTTGGATAGGATAAAATTCGAAGATATTGATATAAACGGTTTTAGACGGTGGAAAAAGAGGTGGCTTCTATTCTATTTTCAGATAGGCATCGGATCAAGGTGCTTGGAAACGCCTCACCTTTAGCTCCTTGGAGCCGGTCTGATTTCTAATAGTGCGAGAATAATATTTAGTAATGATAATAATAATAATAATAGTATATATAATAAATAAAAAAAATAGAAAGAACAATAAATAATTGATCTCGGCTTTTGGGAGTAGGATGGCTCGGTGGGTTATTGCTCAATTCGGAGTGCCCACACTGAGGTTCTATTCACCGCAGGAGTAAACCTATCCAAAAATCCTGGTGATGTTGGCGACTCACCTGCATTCCTATCGCCAAGGTGGCATATTTGTCCAGTGCGACAAGCCAGTGGAGCAAGTTTACTTAATGTTTGGAGCACCGATACTGGAGTGAGGTACCACGTGCGGCAGGAGTAAACCTACTGGACGGTGGTGGCGATTCATACGATTCATATCTACTTCTATCAAATCATCCCCTGATAAAAAATTTGTCTGGTCCAAAAAGCCAGCAGACCGAACCGAACCTGCAAGATAAAAAATAACCAACCAAATCGAGTTGCCATTCTTGATTGTCATAAAAATCTATCAAGCTAAGATTTTGCGAATACAGTGAATATTTAATTGAATCATTCGAATGAGCCCATGAACCAAACAGAAGTGTACATTGTTGACTGCAAATATTTATTTTATTTTTTTTTATCTAATAACGATTTGTGATGTGAATGATAATAACTAGTGTCGGGCTATTTTTCACAGAGATCTATTTTTTACTGATATTTAATTCACCATCATATCGTTCGATTATTTTGCATTTAGCAACACGCATAATTTCTAGTTTGGTGGACTGATTATTAGAATGAAACTGTTTCCCCAGAGTATCAACTGCGAAAGTAAGGATGGCTCCCTCGTACTTTCAATGGCAAATTAAATTCTGTCGAATCTCAAAAATAGCATCCATGCTGCTTACTTTCAGCCGAAGCGAATTCAAAAATGAGCATTTTTAGATGCTTCAAAAACCCTTTTTTATTACTATTTTGTTATTATAAACCATAATTATTTTCAGCAGAAAAATAACAACTTAATTGTCAAATGAATAAATTCTTAAATTCCTACATATCAAAAGGAAAAAATTTGACATCCAATTTACATAGTGATTCGGTGGAAAACGGAATGTAATAGCGTATGTGACCTGTATAATTAACTCGTACATCGTTATTGCTAACAAGTTTCACTGCTTGGTCGTAGTGATGGCTGAAAATGAACGCTCATTTCAATATTCAGTAATTTAAACGCTCAAATAATTTGCAAAACTGGCTAAATATAGAAAAAAACGAAAGTTTCCGAATAAATTCTAGCAAAATAATCAATTAAGATCCAAGTTTCAATAAAGGGAATATCTCGCAAATTCCGTTAACCGAAATCAATTTTTTTTTAAAAAATTCATTGGAAGAATCCACAATTACCGCGTAGATTACGTTATTCCGTTGATAGCAATAAATTTGAAAAGCAAATTATATTTGAGACGCAAAAGAATTTACTAAAAAACACTAAATTTCGAACTGATTTTAAAATTAAATTATAATTTCATTTGTTTTACTTCCATGAAAATCCATACGAATCGTGTTTTTTCTTGCATTAAATCAATTGGAAACTTTTTTAAAATAGCTTTGCGCGTTGTGATTTGCTCATTTTTAATTGAATCTTTGTTTTGCAAAGAAATTTCAAGAAATTGATGGATTTAAACAAAGAATAAGAGGAATGTTTGATAAAATTCAATTGAAATTATTGAATAACTATAAGAATCCCGAAATTTAAATTATCAAAATTATAAGTGCTGGAAGTAAGAAACAAAGAGTTAACATGTTGTGATAAATAGTTCCAATTGTTTTAGATTCTTTTAAGCGCTATTAATTGCTAGCACCTTAAATAGAATGGCAAACTGACGAAAAACCAATACCTGTAATATAAAGAGAATTCAGGAATCCAAATATCTGATGACGATAAGAAAATTTCGGTAGCATGGTCATAGTCTCGAGGTTCCCATTGTAAAAATTCATCCTTCCAATACTGAAAATTTTTTTTATTGAGAATATTATAAAATTTGACGAAATTTATAAAGCGATATGTGAACTGAACCATGATTTTTTTGTTAAATATTTCGAAATTTCTTCAAAAACATTCATTTAAGGAGATGAATAAGAAGTATCCTTCTTCTTTTAACAGTAAGTACCACAATTTATCGCTTGACTTCCTCCACTGTGATTTTGTGATTCAATCTACTATGTGATTTTTTCGATAGCGAGTCAGCTAGCGAAAAGTGTACGAACGCATCTCCAGCATCCCATTCAGGCTTCACTTTACATGTCAAGTTAACTCATATCAGTGAATCGGACTCGTACTAATTGCTCTCAGTCGAAGCATTGTATACGAATATGCAGTATCCAAATTTGTTAAAACTGTTCTCATTTCGATAAATCACTGCAATACAATTTTGTATTACAATAATTAAATACTAAAAGCATTCAAAAACACGAATCCCCGTTTTTTCATCTGCGATACTTTATTCTTTCCTTTTGTTAAAATTCAGTTATCCATATATTTATATCTATTTATAACGGTGAATTCTAATCAAGTTTTATGCAAAATGAATCAATCTTAATTTCAGAAATTTCTAAATTGTTTGAATGAATGCACTGAGAAGGTATTGCGCATAAAATCTGGTTTCAGTTTTACGCTAAACGTCATGACTGCAGCAGTTGCCAACGAGTTGAACAACAAAACCACTGCTTCTTTCATTTTGCCTTGCAGTTATCACATTATTTTTTGTCCTTTGTACTTCCTAGATATATTCTGGATATTTTTTTAAAATACTCATTCATTTTTAATGTTAACATTAAAAAAACAATTCGAAAATGACGAATATGTGAATTCGAATTTTCCTATGCATAGGCATATGCATATGCTAATTTACTAATAATAATGCTCTATAATGCTATTAATCCTCCAAACAGTATGCATCGTCTATTAGGATAAGGCCAGAGACTCACTTGGAGGGAAAGAGATAGAGGTAAAGATAAGACTTAACATATCTGGAGTTCACTTTTAATGACAGATTTGCTACCACCAAGGGACGAGGGAATCAAAATCACGCTAGTCGTCTTTAGAGAAGACGATGCGCTATTTAGTCGCCCGCAATTCCACCACTCGAAAAAAATGTTCCAAATAATTTTCTTTTTAATTATAAAAAACTCTCGCTAAAACTAATCAAAAACAATCGAATCTTAAACAACACGCTGAAATTGCTGCTATATTTCAGAATGGTTGTATCGGTGGTAAGCTACATCATCTTTATGTTCTTTCTTCTGAACTTGGTTAATGCACAGACGGCAACTAAGAGTAGTAAGTCAACTTAAATTTCTTTAAATTGAGCTTATTCAGTTCGATACAATAATTATACTTTACTACATAATATATTTCATATATTTGCATATATCCTTCAGTGGAAAATGAGAGGAACAGATGATCTGAATTCAAGGAATAATAGAATTTACAAAATAATTTGTTTGATTTTTGAATAGCCAAGGCGATATGTTTCGAGCTTCATTTGCATATAATGATATGTTGGTAGGCTTTAAAATGCTTTGAATATACATATGGAATTTCATCCAAATGACGCCAATTCACTGATCAATAAGAATGCCAGAAAAGTATGATAAGATAATGCCAGTAAAGATGGATTCGTTGAAAAAAAATCCTCTTCAAGATGGAAACCTGATTTGCTTGTGAAATGTGAAATGGAATTTTTAAAACAAATTTTTTTTCATTTTTGTACTTTTAATTATTAAATATGATGGATCAGAAAAGAAGAGAGGTACAGTAGGTGAAATTCATTTCTATGGTTTCTATGTTTCTTGGCTTTTTTTTTATATTGTCATGTGAAAATAGTATAGTGTAAGCTAATCCATTTTTATACTTGAATTCACTCGGGATGATTTTATAATAGAAATATCGCAAACAAGCAAGCTTTTAAATCTGACAACTTTCCCAACCAACGATTCCCAACGATTCCCAAATGCCACATCAATCTTTTAACAGTATTTTATTCATAAATTATAATTAAGACGAGTAAAGCATACTTATTTAATAATAAAAATATAGAACTTGTGCCTCTGAGGGTAAACTATAGCGCAAACTGAAATCAAATCTTTAACAAGAAAAACCAGCATATGAAAAAAAAAATCCATTCAATATATGCTAAAGCAAACTAAATTAGACTTTGTTTTACAAACTGAAAAGTAAGTGGTTTGCACTTAATTTTATTGCTTAGGTTAGCTCCATTAGTTATTAGTAGGATGAGATGAGAATTTTACCAGAAAATGACTTGGTAAAGATGAGCACCATCCGAATTTTTTTAAGAATAGGTTTCCTTTGTATTAGGAGACGTCTTTACGAGACGATTTTATTTTCATTAAGAGGTTCATTTCCTATTTTTTGAAGGACAGAAATCGAACTAATGGTGGCTGACCATAGTTGAAACAACATATCAGTCCACCAACGCACATCTGTGAGGTAAACTACAGCGCTATGGAATATATTAATTATTCCCCTGACCTCAATTAATTTGCCATTTCTATTTTGCGAGTTCAAGTTCTTAATGTTTCTATAAAATATCAAGCTTAAGCAAAAATACGATTTCTGAACAATTGTAGACCAGTTGTTATCTTAAATATTCTACAAATTTTAGTAGTTCACCTATGCGACCCTGAGGTGCAATATTCATGCGGTCTCGAAGGCGTTTGTATAAAAAAACTAACAGGAAATCGATGCAAATGTCCTAGAGGTTTTATGGGACTACAGTGCAAAAGTTTGTCCAGTTAATTATTTGCACGCTCATTGCTATCCTTATTTTTCAAAAACTAGCAATTAGCATTATTTTCCTAAATTTTTTTTTCTTCCCGAATGTGTTGAAAGAATTGTCGCAGCCTCTATCAGGAATGAATTTTTCAGCCATTAACTAATGATATCCATAGCATCACCACAACAGGCGCCAATCACTAATTAATGTGGATTTAGGACCATGCCAAGATATATATTTATCATGCGATCGATGGAAAAGTGAAAATAGATGTGACTGGGCACGGCCAATACTACCATTTTTCGAGGACAACTGCGCTGAGACATGTGGGAAATGTCAAAGCAATGGAAGAAGTAAATTGATATTTTTTTGGATGATCGCTGAGTTTAAATTTTTAACAGCAATAAAAGATATTAATTTGTTCCTAAATAAAAATCTAAAATTTATTAGTGGATATTTTTCCAAAGAAAATTTATTTCTCTCTCCAGTTTCTCGTTTCGCAATTTTTTTAACTAAAAATCTAAGTGTTTAAGAATTAAAAAACATAGATTTTAATATTTGAGAATTGAAATTGGCACTTCCACCAATTCTCGAACCAATTTCTTGGATAATTGGTCGATGGGAAACGCAAACAAAGTCTGGCGAAAGATTTCCATTTCCTCTTTCCGGTCCTTATCGCGAAATACTCGACATTACTATCGCAGAAGTGCCGTCTTTTGATCGACCACCAGTAAATATCTCGTTCGTTTTATTTTTTATTTTATTTTTAATATGCTAATCAATCGAAATTCGATCGTTAAAATTTATTTTAATTTATAATAAAAATTTTTTTCAGACCAAAATTTTTCCAATTCAAGCAAATAAAATAGATGGTATCAACTGCTTTTTCATTAAAGCTGTCAGAAAATTATAAATGAGTTGAGAAAGATAATATTTCAAAATTGTCAGACGAAAATATTTCTAAGCGAACCGTACATAATTTAACTGAAAATCAAGATGCTTGTTTTCGACCAGTTTCATTCGATAGATAGTGGAACGATCAAAAAAAAAAGAAAAAGAAGCATGCAAATCGCTCTATTTAATTTAATTTAATTTTTGTAAGAAAAAATTCAAAAAAAAATGAACAGAAAATTTTCATTATAAACGAAATGAAAATTTAAGCAAAATTTGAGAAAAATAAATTAATAGAGAAATAATCTCCCTAAAGAAATTCCATTTTCATATAATATAAATAATGAAAAATTGATAATAAATAAAAAATTTTAATAAAATCTTCGTCTTCTCGTATAATTAATAATCATAAATCCAATATTTCCATTTGTAGTACCAATTTAAAACGTCTAATAAAGTTCCATCTTATTTTATCGTCAAACTGTTTTATATGATTTTTCATTTTAGTGTTAAATCGTCACAATATTCGCAACTTTTTCACTTTTTTAGCTTTCTTTTTTTTTGTCGGATTTGAAAAATTTTTTTGGAGCAAAAAGATAAATGCGCTTTATTTCTAGCATCCTAGCAACTGCACTCGATGGATCAGACGAACATAACGAGCTTGGATTTATGACTGGTAAACCATTTCATGAAGAGACAGGATTTGTGGAATTTGATAAGCCGAAAAATGGACCGGACTTGGTTGGTATTGAAATGGTCAGCAATACGGGTATGGTATCACTAAAGACTCCTCTAAAATTTTTGCTTTGATAATTTTCGTTTTTATTCAACGATTCAATTATATTCTAACCATTTTACATTAAAAAAATGATCTTAAAAATCAAGTGATATTGTTGTTTTGATTAAGATAACATTACAAGTTCTTCCTTACTCCCTCAATGGTGTAAAGCTGTAATTGAAAGGGCAATCCTAGTGTCACTCATCTTGATAATCAGTGAAGTCATCCAAAGCAGAAATTGTGAGTACTATTTGCAAAAAGAAGAAGTAGTAACAATAGATACTATAAAATATTATTTGTAATTTGTTTACGTTTTGCTGAACTTCATAATATTGTTTCTCTATAACAAAAAGTTTTATGAAATATATATTATACATATATGGGGGTAGAAGGGCTCAGGGGGTTGTTACTCAATTGGGAGCGTCGATGCTGAGGTTCGATTCATCGCAGAAATAAACCTGTACAAAAATCCGGGTGATGCTGGTGACTCACCTGTATTTCTGTCGCCAAGGAACTCCCTGGCTATTACCCAATGTGACAAGCCAGTGGAGCGAGTTTAACCAGTAATGGTGATGACACTTTAAAAAAAATATATAAATATATGTAAACTTCAACAGGAAAATAGTACATTCATCTAATAAGTGATAAAATAATTTTAAAGGAGCAATAACAATAGAGGAAGGAATTCTAAAACATGGCGAAATATTATTGAGATTAAATTATAAGAAACATCCATTCAGCAACAGCAAATCAGTGAAAGAGGTATATTTTTTTTTAAAATTTATCTGTTAATACAATTTTATTCATCTATGGCATTTAAAAATGTTTATATAGTTCAATGCAGCAAGTTATTCTAAGCTTATTAAGCTTTTTCCTTACTTTTTCCATTTCTCTTTATCACCACCTCGAAATTGATTTAATAGTTGTCGATTATTTCATTATTTTAATTTTAATAAGTTGGAATTTTTGTGATTAGAGTACCATTTGACAGTCGTCCTTTGAGAAGAATAAGCCTTGCATTGAAACCGAAATGTGTGAATGGTTAATAGAAATCCTCTTAAACTTCTATCCTTAAGTGAATTTCAAATAAAAAAGTTACACTCTAAGTAAATTGGTCTAGTCAAGCCAGAAATGGTGCATACTATGGTGCATGGTGCAATGGTGCAAATAGTGCACAGGAGAAGAAGAAAAGTGCCATACGAATTGTTTTTTCCATATTTCAAAAAAATTTTAGAACTTTGCATTTTTATAATTTTATATTTTACATTTATGTATTGTTTATTGTTTTTTTTTTTTTACCAAAAGCTTTCACCACTGCTGGTTAGACTCGCTCCGCTGGACTAGCCAAATTTTTCTAGAAAATGGTTTGGCAACAGAAGTACCAGCTGTTATCAGCACTAGCCAAATTTTTTGAAAGACACGTTTATTCCTGTGAAGAATAGAACCACAGTATTAGCATTCCAAAATGAGAACAATGATTCAATGAGCCATTTTTCTGATAGATTCTGATTTTTTAATCACTTTAAAACTGGATTGACTAAGACGTATTTTAATGACATAAAACACAATAAAAAGCAAAAAAATAATGAAATTCGCATATATGGTAATGCAAAATTATCAGTGTAAAATTAAGTAAAATTAATTAATTAGTAAATTAAGTAAATTAAGTAAAATTTCTAAAAAATTGCCATTATAGCATCTTATTTTTAGTTTTTTAAAGATAATTATTAACTGTCACATAATATCATAGGAATATTTTAAGTCACGAAGAATACTATCACTAGAGGATTCAAATCATCTAGTGGAAAAAGCTTATGTTCAAGATGAAGCCGGCGTAGTACGAAAATGGACCAAAAAATATCGAAGAACTGCCGATTATTTATCTTTGTATTAATAATATATTAATTAATATATTATTCAATAAACGAAAATCAAAAAATTACGTATACTAACCAACTCGAAACTGCCAGATAAACTGATTGTATTTTTTACCGCATCCTGCAATCGTTTTTTTTTTTAAAATGATGTAAATTAAAGCAAATAGAATTAGATTTGTTTGAACGATGGATAATGGAAATGCTCAGGTGCATCTAATGCGAAATAATTTTTGGTATTATTTTTGGGAAAAACATTTCCAAAAAATAAATTCAGTGAATTATTTTGCAAAGATTGTAATGCATTAAACCCGATAAATTTTCAAATCGTTTTGATCAAATAACACCACTGAACTACTTGCTGCTTGATTTTGCCCAAAATTGATTGTGAGCGTCTTTATAAAATCCTCATAAAGCTACTATACCCATATATACAGGAAAGCAGTCTAATGAGCGCGATCGGATAGACTGTATGAAGCGTTTTCACCGATAAAAATGCTACTCTTCTTAACACCTTCTCGCTACATAAAATCGGCTAAAAAGCCGATCACCTAAAAAACCTTTTACAATTACGAGCAGATTCAGAAGAAATTAAAGGAAGTAAAAGCTGCTGGGATAAACTTTCACTTAACATTCTTGAAAATTTGACAATGTCCATCAACACATATATTGGCTCAGCTGAACCATAGGTTCAATTCAGGTCCCTTGACGAAAGTGAACATGTCATTAAAAGCGAAATCCATTTGGTTGTTAGGAGTCCTTTCTATTCCCAAATGACTCTGCGGCGAAATGGTCTCACCATGATTATGAGTGAGGCTAATAAAACCAGCAATGGTGCGTATTATTAGAAGAAATAAGAAAAGAAAAATGAATTTTAAATGGGAAAAGATTTATTAAAATATGGAAATATGGACAATTGATGTTGACAACACACGATATTGACGAATTAAAACAGCATTCTTAAAATAAACTTACGAGTATTTCATCTCTTTCTCCGTCATTTTACTCCATTTTACATACTCCATAACGAAAAAATTTGACAAATTCAAACAAACATTCAGTCATTATTAAACATGTTTTGTCTTGAATAAGGATTTCTTAGAAATTCTTAGAGATTTGTCAACGTGTAGGATTAAAGAACAAAATGAGACCGTGGAGAGCCTTTTTATTTATGCATATTTATTTATTTAATTTGCTATGAAAAACTATGAAAAACGCAAAAATTTTAACAAGATCATTATTACTAAAAGCTGTTGTTGTTAGGATAAGAAAATCACAGCTAGTTTGTCAGTAGATCGCCCCGAAAAATGGATTATGTAAAATTTTGAAAATTTGGAAATTTGGTTGAAAAAAGTCGTTCTATCTACATTTATTTGCAGGCACCAATGTACTGCACAGTCAGTGGTGCTACAGGTAATAAAATGAAGAGCTTCGCCTTCGCCTGCAAACGCACGAAATTTCGATTTTAACATTTCGTGTTAGGCTCGCTTTGCTCGCTGTTAATACAATTAGATGAAATCAAAGATTTACTCTCCTTATCAAAGTAGGAGTCGAACTTTTGTATTTCAACAAGGTAATCTATACTATTCACTGGACTATACCTCATTTAAAATGCATGCGTTCGCTAATTTGCAAAATTCTATCGATTGAAAAGTATAAAACTATTATGAAATGTGGGATCTGAGCGGCTACTGAGGAGCGATTTTATAGCACATATCTCACCCTATATTTACTGAAGTGACCCAAGCAAACCAGAAATGCGATGTCTTGTTAAAATAAAAAAAGAGCGTGACAGCTAACGTAATTCATTGCAATTTATGATGCTTTATCTAGGTTTATGATAAAAGCATTAAATTCAAGTGCTAACAACTTAACGAAAGAATTAACACTTTTGTTTAGTTTAGTTTTTATTTGGATAAAAAATAAAGTAAAAATAAATAAAAATTTAAACTTCCACAATTATTCGATAATTTATGAAAGCTTTGCCTTAAGCAATTAAGAGATTGCATGAAGGGAACGAAAGGTTATGCGCTGTTCAATGTTTAAAGAAAATTCACATTTCAAAAAATTTAGCCTAAATTTATGAGAAATATTCGAAAATTTTTCATATACTAACCAGCGATTTAAAAATAATTAATTTAATTCTGCATATTTTATGCTAAATGATGGATTTGCCAACAGTTATAGAAATGAAATAAAGAAATACAGAAGTCCATCGATATTATTATAGATTATTAAAAGAGTTGTTGAATTTAATTATTAAGCTAAATAAGCATAAAAACTAACCAATTTAATAATCTGATAAAGAAAAACGCTCATGGAAACAGTAATGAGTTTATTCGGATGCATGACGGGTCTCGTTCCTTTTCTATAAAATCGTAACAAATCATCATGCAGACGATAAGTGACCGATTTATCTTTCCGATTAAATGATTTGCTGTTATCGAATAATCTCTTCTCGCTGTTTCGCATCGAACTATTCATTTCATCAGCATAACACGCAGAAATAAATGCATTTATGGCAGTGAAGCAGAGAGGATGAAATGAATTCTGATATCGCTTCAGATTAAATGATAACGCACAAAAGAAGAGTATAGATAAGCTCGGACTGTATTTTAATGGTACTACTAAAATAGTATAAGAGTTGAGTTCAAAGGCGAAAATAAAGAATAGTAAGATAAGTAGGAATAAGAGCGTTCCTGCAATGAGCATCCTTCAGAAGTGAGTGAAATGAGGCGCATTGATCGCCTTTCCTTCCATAGCAAACTTTTATTTTTATTTTCGATTAAAATTGGCTCATTTTCAGAACTCCCAAAAATTCTTCCAAATTTTCATCTAAATCTGAAGAGAATGCTACAATAATCAAAATCATCATCGCTTTTACAGGCGAACCAATTGAAGGTGAGCGACAGGTGAATCTGGTTGACAAGTTTTGAAGATCATTACAAATACGTTCTCATAGTTATCGTCCTCTCACGAATTGATATTGCTTTTATTATTATTATTACTACTATTATTAAGTAATTATTGTTTTTAACTATTATTAACTATTATTGTTTCTATTCTTATTAATATTATTACTATTATTATTTATTATTTATAATTATAATTATTATTTCTATCAATTTGATTAATAAAATTTAAAATGAGAGATATTTAAGTGCATAAGATTCGAGATTTTATTACTCCATTTTTAATCGAAATATGCTCGTTGCTTAAAGAAAACCAAATATTTATTGCAAAAAAGAATCTCCCTCAAATAAAACCTCATGAAATTCGTAAAAAGTTAAATCCGCCATGAGATGTTTCTTCCACGAGATGCGCGTAGTGAACGCCAATGCTAAATTCTCACCACATTGTATTCAGTAGCAATACAATAACAATCCAGAAATTCTCAATATCCTTTAATCTGATAAGTCATTCGCTATCAGCATTAGACTCCATTAGATGAAATTTACCGCATTTGTGCCATTCATTTACTTCCCTAAGACACATATATAGGGATTCGAGTGTCTACCAAAGTAAACTTTCTGAAATTAGACTGCTCGTTATGAATTTACTTACTTTTTGAAACAGTTATGTGCTTGTATCTGCAGGTTTTTCTCCTCGTACATGCGCTTAAAAAGTTAAATAGGGAAAGCAAAATCTCTTAGAAAGATAATTTATCCATCGATATATTCCAAAATATTTCATCACTTCCATCAATCGTTGAGAGAATTGAAGTCTCATTGAGAGCATGAAAAAATATTAAAATATGAATTTATTAGCATGAATGAAGCTTCTAAGATGAAAAAAAATAAAAGAAAAATAGAGATTTGAAAGGAATTGATAAAGATGCGTTAAATTTGGATGGTCAGCCAAAAGCATGCGAGTTTTTATGTGCATTGAAATGAAGTTTGGATGCTTCTATATTGCTCTCCTATGTTCAGTATAATGCCTTATAATGCCAAGAAAGAGATGTTAAATGTCACTTCAATGACTTTACTAATGACTTTACAACCATTGGAACCAACCTAATAAAAAACGTTGAGGATAGAATGGCTTAGTGGGTTGTTGTTCGATTCGGAGCGCCGATACTAAGGTTCCATTCCCCCCGTACAAAATTCGATTGATGCTAGCGACCCACCCGTATTTCTATCGCCAAGGGACTCTCTGGCATATTTGTCCGATGCGACAAACCAGCGGAACGAGTTTAACCAGCAATGGTGAAAAATAAAAAGTAAAAAATATAAAATAAAAAAAATAAAAATAAAAAAATAAAAAACGTTGAGCGCTAACAATGTTCGCTTTTCTTTTTAACTTCTTAGGATCATTTCGACCACTATTTCGACCACTACAAAATAATAATCCCACTCCTTCCCTCCTCCCCTCCCCCTAACCCCCTTAACATTTTCCTCCATGGATAAAAGCGGCGGTCTGTGAGGTGAGCACGGTTAGACTACCAGCATTTATGCAGCAAGCAGTCAATTAAGTACTCTATCTCCTCCAGCACTAATTCATCGCCTTTCAAAACTCGTACAAAGCTTTCCAGTCATTACTTGAAGATTCAAATTAGCCGCCAAGCGAATCTCTAAAAATCAGTTGCAGATGCCAATTTGAAATTTTTTATTTTGTTAGTTCTACAAATTTCGCAAAGGTGGTCAAGCAGGTTTTTAAAATTAATGCTATAATATTTGTTGGGGGGGGGGTGCTTTTTTTGTGTTTCATGCTTTTCATTCTTCAAGTAACAAACACTGCTTTTGGTTTACTTTGCACCACTGACTATTGCTTATAAGCCATTTCTGAATTTAAATTTCTTTGACTTTCTTATAGAAATATTTTGGAATTAGTTTGACGAGGAATTTATTGCGTAAAAAAATGGCATCGAAACGTTCAGATGAGGATTTCGCCCAACCTGGTTTGTCACTTCTGACTTCTAATTTTTTTTACCACTTAAAGTCAAAATATCAAAATATTAAAAGAAATTTGAGCCGATTTTTCTTCTTCTAGCAATCCGCAAAATTTCTTAATTGGCCTATTAAAGTTCTTCGCCAGAGGGTCACAGGCGCGCCTGGTAACTTCCCAAGTTCCAGTTTTAATGACAGGTTTATTTATCTACACCGTGGGACAGGAAGCGAACTCATACTATACCTTTTTGCCGAATAATTTCTTATTTAATAGACTCATCAAAAGGAATTAGCAATAATTATTACCAAATCGAAAAAATTTTATCGGACAAAGTCGTGCAATCAGGAAATAAAGTGGAAAAGCGCTATCAAGTACTGTGGGCGTAAGATTTTTTTCCAAAAAATTTTTTTGCTATTTTTTTGCTATTTGCTATTTTTGCTATTTTTTGTTATTTTAAGAAGTTATTGTAATTATTATTAATTCTATTAATTAATAATAATAAATTTAATATAATTAATGATCAATTCTGTTAATTAATATAATTAAAGTAGCAGAATGAATGATTTATTGAAGCAGAATGCATAAATATTATATAGGCTTATCCTGTTATTATCTTACTTCTTATTATATTTTGTTATACTTAAATTCTGATTGTTACCATAATTTCTAAAACTTAGACCGACATGGGAACCAGAAAAAATAATCAGAAAGAATGCACCATTGCTGGTGGAAGAATATGAAAATCGTAAGAGTGAAGCAGAAAATATGATGACGAATTTTAAGGTTACTTTGTATTTGGTTGTTGTCACTTGCACACTTATAATTCGGTTAGATGCAGGATTCTAGACAGGGGAAGCCTTTTTTTCTCTTCTTTTAATTATGGTAAAGGTATATTAAGGTATGGTAAAGGTATGGTAAAGGTAAGGTATAGATTGTAAATTTGAAGAGTTTCAACGGAATTATTTAATCTAAAATAGTTTTCAGAGTGGTGTGCTTATACTTGGAGTTGCGAAACGAAAAAAAAATTTTCGTGATTCCTCATTTGCTGTACGATGGTTTGTTTGTTTTATGTTTCATAAGAATCCTGTGATGTTTAATCTCAATTTTTTTGAAGAGATTCACCATTTTTGGTTAGACTCGTTCCGCTAGCTTGTCTCACTAGACAAATATGCCAAGGAGTTTCTTGGTAACAGAAGTACAGGTGGTTCGTCAGCGTCACTCGAATCTCTTTTATGCAAAGCCAAAAGTGATTCTCTGGCCTGAGAGTAGAAATACGAAGCCGATCTAACTTTTTTAGACAATATTGTTTTTTATCAACATAATTTTACCTTAAAATTTTTTCTGTTTATAATATACCTCACAGTTTTGATTTGCACTAATTTTTATCGTTTGCTTGATACTATGAATTACTATTAAAAACAGTGTTTGAGTATAAGTTGTTAATTTACAGCTTGGCTACAAAAAAGCCTTACCTAATGAAATTCGATGATCTCAGAGCGAATTTCCCGCTTGATTTGGTCGACTTTTTGGTTGACTGTGTTGAAGAATAATGAGAGTTAAATTGATTATTGCGAAGTTTTTTTTTTGTGTTCTATTTATTTTATTCTAACGGTATCTTTTATATAATTTCCGTATTTTTTAACATATTTTTTGTTTCTTTGTTTTTCTGTATTTAGGTTTTAACTTATTTTACACGGATTGAATTAACTTGTTAATACATTTTTTTCGGTGTTTAGATGTTCACGACAGAATTACTTGGTAATAAAATTAGATATAATGCCAATCGTTGTTCAGTTTATTAATTCTGAACTAAAATTTTTTATTTGAGAGTTGAGAGATTTTTGGAATTGGCTGTTTATTTAATGATTTAACTCGTTTGAAAGTTCTTGCAGGTTTCGTTTCTAAGTCGCGTTATTATTTTATGAGTAGTTTGTAGAATTTCTATTCCATTCCGTCTTCTTAGAATTTCTTGATTTAAATCATATTTATTATCCTTAGAATTCGTGTTCTTGGTTATTTATTAGTATTTAACCATTCTTTTCTTGTTCATAGAATTTTTTAAATTTTTTTTCTATATTATTCTTGAGGAACAGAATAATCGAATGTTTAGTGGCTTAGGTTATCGTATTAAAAGCAAGGCTTCTGTTGCTGCCTCAGATAGGATTAAAAAATTAGAAAATTTGGGTGGTAACCTCTCTGTAATAACACCAATTCTCTTAAGATTTTTCATCCCACCAAATAGCCGGGCAAACCATCCAGGAATGTAGAACGTTAATCACTTGTTATCCTCGAATCAAGTTTCTTTTCTTGTTTTTTTGTGAAAAAATTTATGAGTTTCTGTGGTATTTTCTTTGTACTCTAATGAACCATTGTTATATTCCAATGAATGTTTATTAAAAAATTTCAGAATTCTTGAGAGTACTGTTATGGTTCTGAAATTCTTATCAATTTACTTACTGTTCATACTCTACTCTGGAACTCTATTTAGACAAATAGAAGCGGAACTTTGGCAATTAAGCAGGAAAAAAAGACGTGCAAAATTTTCTGTTTTTCTATCACGATCGTTATTGTGATGGCTTATGAAAATGCTCGGTTATTAAATTTCATGAAGCTTCTGAATATACTGGATTCATGGAAAATATAGCAAAGCGAATTCAGATATTATTTTGTTGGCGAATTATCTTAACAAAAAATTTAAACGAAACTACCATATATTGTAGAACTACGCCAACTATAAAGATCTTGTGAAGTTTTGAAGTTACTTTCATTTTAATTGTGATCAATATTCGAAATATCGACAAAATTTTGTTCTGGGAAGAGTTTTCGAGACAGAATGCTAAAAGCAAAGCAAACACAAAGCAACGACAAGAGAAAAGGACGTTATAATTTGGGACATTGTAATCTGGAAGATTCTACTCTTTACTTATCTTTTTTTTCCATATAGAATTTTGTTTTTGTGGTTTCTTTCTGAGCAGAACGATATACCCGTTTCGTCCTTTTGTATAAGTCGGGTATTTTCTCCTAATGAATTCTTACAGAAGTAGCGTTTGCCTGCACCACATTTCTTTGTGATAGGTTTTCCTCTTGGAGAAACGGTAGCCAGACCTTAATCTTTAAATACGATAATCTGTCACACCTTAGCCTTTCAGTTATAATCGCCATCCACGCCATCATCGTCATTTCAAGTGGGACCTGTCATTCCTTCTCGTATTTCATTTATCTTTGTATGATTTGTGCAAATTAATAAAATAAATTTCCCAAAAAATTATATGATAGGTGTAGAAAATGCAGCAATATTGGTGGGGTATTTGCGAATCTGGCGAATTATCTGTTGGTCCGTAAAATTTGGTGCATATAGCAGTGGCTTATTTCTTTCTGTTAAATAGCTGAAGGTCGTCTGAAACTTAGATTTTGTAAGATTTTATTCGAAATATCATTCAAATTTTTCCAATATTATATCCAAAACATCTTGTGTCTTTAGAAAATTTCCATAAAACAATGGAAAAATTCGTCGATAAGTCGATTTAAAGATGGATTTCTGTAAAAATGGTGAAGAATCATCGTTGCGTATTTGCTTGATTGAATTGATTTAGATGCCATTGAATTTTCAGTAGTCGCTGAGCGTTGTCTTCTCTATATAATTTGGTGAAGTTCATGCGAAAACAGCCATATATTGCATTTCATCGGCCATTGTGCTTTTGGAATGTTTCGGATTGTATGAAATGGCTAAAAGGTCGCCATCCAAAGCTCGCTTTTAAATATGCAAATATTTTCTCGAAACATCATATAACCGGTAAGTAATCTCACAAATGCTTCAGTTTTCATACGAAAATTAATTATTCATTTGGCTTTCTCGTTGGTAAATTGTCGATTGAGATGATTGAAATAATTTATTTGCAAATTTAAGAAAAAGAAAACTGATGAATTGAATTCCAAAATTAAGTTTTAATTGAAATATTATTTAATACCATTCAAACCATTTTTTTCTCACTTGAAATATGAATATTTTTTTGTTCTTTTTTTCTACTGTTTGTGCCGCCTTTAAAATATTTTTATCAGTAGAGATGTCTTCGATATTTCTTGTGAAATTTTGTCCTATTTATTTATGTATACTGCTAGTAATTCAGCTGAAAGACTGTAATGCATTAGTTCCTCCTTATTTTTAATTTCTTGGGAAATATCTTCGATCAATTTTCCGTGTGAATAGCATTCTTTTTCCTATTTAGGAGACTTGTCTTAAAACTGAAGGGCTAAAGGACGAAACCTTTTATTTTTCAGGTCGAATCTTAATTGAAATAAATGATGAGTTACTGCAAGATATTGGTGTGGACAATTTTGAAGATAGGTAAGTTTTGAGACTGTACCTTTTATAATCATTTATTGTAGACTATTCTCACCGGAGGAAAAAAGAAGAATTGCAATTACTGCATTTATTTTTATCACCACGTCAAATGAAACGAGCACTTAACACTTAATAGCACTTGCATTTCATCGCTTCGAATTGCTTTTAATTAAATGAGCTTTTATTCGTATTAAAGCATAGGAAAAGAAAGAAAAACTAATTCATTACAGACATATTTAATTTTTTAAACCAAAATTATACCATTTATTCTAATATTGAAATTTTTTAAAGGCAAGAATTACTACTCGAAATTCAGCGTGAAAAATTATACGGCGATTTCGACAAATTTTCGAAGCTTTCTAAATGCTGATTTTATTTTTTATTTCCACTTGAAGTTCCATTAAAAATTTCTAGTTTTTTATTTTAGCCTTTAAAATTTTGGGACGAACAATTGTATGGAATGTAGGATTTTTTTCTCTTATTATTTGATTTTATTACATTAGGATAGATTGTTTAGTTTTAAAGTGGTTCAGCTGAGGTTTTGCACATTTGCACATTGACGTATTCAGATGGCAACTGCGAGACTGAATAAACTGTAATCTCCAAAAATGTTGCTACAAAATATTTTCTATAAACCCTATATTTGAAAAATGTTGCGCATGGATTTATTTGCCACAAACTTGATAATACTAATTTCACTTTTAAAACTTATTTCAGGCTTTTTCATACTCCATAAATAAAAACTAGAAACTTGGGCAATTAGCCAAGTGTGTTGTACATTTGTGTGTACTATCCGTTAAGAGAAAATAGCGAGGTCTTAGAGGGTTGGACGGTGATGGAGACGGTGAACGCAATTAGTTCAGAGGGTTTTAGGAAAACAGGAAGGGGGTTCGAGAGGGTTTTGCGAAGATGAAATGAGGAGATGAAGTTGGCCTCGTCGATGGTTTGTTTATTTGTATTACATATGCGCTATCAAAATGCGCGATTTGCGTTTTCTACTGAAACTAAGGTAAGTAAACCGATGAATAGAACGAATAACAAAACGATTAATAAAATGAATTGAATTGACAATACAAAGAATAAGGAAGAACATGAAATTAGTACCAAAAAATTATCAGTGAGTAGTAGTGAAATATTCAAAAATTGCTTGGATACTGCGAAAAGATTGAATTAATTGAGAGGAGCGAGGAAATATAATTTTCGAGTAGCAAAGGTGAAAAGTAATTTAAGTAATTCGAGTTTCGATTAAACGAATAATCCGAAAAGAATTTCGTGACGCCTCGAAGAAGTTGATTTAAGAGAAAAGGCGACCGACCTTAGGAATAGCGCTGATTTCAGAGACGAAGGAGTGTAACGCAACTCGATAGATAACAGGGAATTGCAGCGATATTTGCGATTTCTTTATAGTTCCATGCATGTTTGAAATTCGACCCTCGCTTTCCAATAACTTTTGCTGCGTTTGCGATAACTTTGGGAAATATAGTGCTGTTATTGTTTCGCAAATTTAAATGATGTTACTAACTCTCAGCTTCTTTAAAAAGTAAGGTGCGTATTGCAAGAAATAGGTGTATAGAGGAAGTTGGTTGCTCGCTGAGGAGTAGTAGTGGCGAAGAGAGAGTGGAAGGAGTGTTGCGTGGATAGGAGATAGTTTGAATGACAGTTGGATCGAATTGTTCCTATTTAATTTCTTTAAATAATTACTTTATCTTTGCAGTGATTTTTTCTATAGAAAATTTTCATTGATTCCGATAGAAATAAACTGTTTGTTTAAGAGTCTTTGATTATTTAATTGATTGATTACTGATTGGTGGCGTGGATGATTGTTGAGATTTACGTTAATTCCATTTTTTCACGCCATTTCTCGTTTGGCTGGCTTTATTAATTGTTAGGTAGGGGAAAATGATATTCAGTTAATCTTCGCTTAGAGTCACTTGGAAATAGAGGTGAATCTGAAGTGCCAGCCAGATTTCACCTCCAATGACAAATGCAGCCGTAGCGACCTGGAATGACTCCCTTAAATAAAAACTGGTAGTAAATGTTGATAGACATATCATCGACCTTTATTATTTTTGGTAAGTAGAGAAAACTTTATAGAAAAAAGAAACTGTTTTACATTGAGCACTGAAAATTTATTATCTTTTGATGAATGGTTAGCTGAAATATGAATAGCCAGCTGAGTCAGCCATGCTGGAAATACTCATTGTTTGAAATTGGCGAAAAAGGTTGGTTTTAGATTTCATTTGCCAGTAGCCAACTCAAAAATGCTTATTCTAATTACAATGCCTGTATTATGTATTGTATTATGTAGTTTATTTCATTATCGTATTTCCGACTAATTGCCTTCAAAAATTAAGTTATAAAATTTATAAAATTTCTAAGATGACGTCCAAAAAAGAAGCAGAAGAAAGGAAGTTGGAGCTAGAACGTAAGAAACAACGGTTGGCTGAGATGAGAGAGGACAAACGACGTCGAGAAGAAGAGCGTCGACGAAATCTTCTTCGGAATATTGGCATCGAAAATGGCGCTGGTAATTTTTTTTATTTTTATTAATTTTACTTATTGCATTTATATTTTGGATTCGTATTGCGTTATCTTCAAATGTTTTTGTTTTCGATGTCTTTCATGTATGTATCATTTGTGATACCAAACACTTCTTCAGGAAAAGACGGTACATACTGTGCTTTTCCTCATTTTTTTTCATTTTGTTTGAAAAAGGGTATTGATTGTTTCTGCTCAAAATTTTGTTATCTTTATTTAAACATTTATTTATAATAACTGAAAAATTTAAATAACTAAATGTATTATTTTTTATTGGAATTAATAGGAAATCCTTTCATTTCCATCTCTTTAAGCATAAATAGGAACATTAATATGTGAATGTGGTCAAGATTTGCCTCAGCTAAAATGGTCCCATGGGCCTATTGCACCGCACTTTTTGCTTTTTCTGGTTTTCAACTTTATCTGGGTATGGTTTTATGTAATATAGTAATATTATGATTTCGTAAATCAAAATCGCCGGTCTGGAATTCTCAAAACTTGAGTTGGGGTGTTCATTGATCAGTGCCTTTCGTTATATCTTAAACATTTCATCGAACTCGCTACTGTCAGCATATCTGTTGATGATATCATTTTTAAAGAAAGTGTTGAAATTTTCAAGCGCTTGCTCTAGATAAATCTTCACATCATTGCATTGTTTAAGTCGTTCACTTTCTCCAGATGCTAGCATTTATAAAGGGCTATGGGGTTTTTAGGAAATTGATATAGATGTAATCGATCAGCATTACTGAGGAAGCAGTTATCAAAAGTTTTATTTTATCCATCATTCGTTATTCTTTATGAGTTTCCAAATAAAGAAGGGAAGAAAAAGAGAAAATCTTTTTTAAGGTTATATGAGGTAATATACAATGTATCGCGGAATATAAAGTAGTTTTAATTGTATGAATCAATATAATCTCTAATGATCTGACTTTATGTCCATTAATTTTTTATATCTTGTTGTATTATAATTACTTATACTATAACTATTTATACAAATAATTATAATCACTATTAATTAATTACTACTTGCTTTTTTCTCCGAAGCCTGTGTTGAGTATTTAAATTATAAAATATTTTTAAGCTTAATTTTCGTTATTTTCAGCTAGTGGTCCACCGAAGACGTTGTTGCAGAAGGATTTAGATGAGATACTTGAACCTGTTGGAATTCCTTCTTTGCCTCCGATTGAACAATCTCCAGCTGCAAAATCTGATTCACAAGCAATTTTTTCGTCTGAATAATAGTTTCAATTATATTTGAGACATATCCTCCGATTTCTGATTTTTGGTTGCATTTTTTGTTACATTTTTATTATTAGACATTCAGTTTCATGAAAGTCGTGTGGAAATGAATAAGTATTAGGACTATAGGGCTATAGGCTATAATTAGGTAATGCGTTTTGTAGCAAATTTTATAATTACGCTGTTGATGTTGGCTTTGGTTTATTCCAAGAGGATAGTTGTAATTGATTCATCCTGAAAGCCTTGGTTGAGGTCTTTTATTAACATTCTTAGGCCCTTTAGGTCCAGAAGCACTGAAATATTTTTTCCAAAACATCCATTACTAAGAAAATAACATACGAATCCATGAAAGATATTTGCAGTATTCGACAACAGTAGGGCAACAACGCTGTGTTACAGGATCACGGACGCAAAACCTTTCTATCGTTGAGACACAATTGGCTGCAGTCGCTCCAAAGGAATATGTTGGTTACTTTGTGGTTATTACGTCATTTTTCAAATATCTTTTAAACAACTTTAAATACCTGTCTGCAAAGTTTAAAGTATTGAAAATCTTTTTTCAGGCCACTTACTGCAAAACAACGCAAACTGATGATGATCGCATATCAGCTGGTGAATTCAGTCTTGGCTCGCAAGAATTTGATTATGATGAAGAAATGAATATAATGGATAAACATCTCGATATTAATTTTGATGAATCACCAACTAGAGAAATCGCTAATATTCTGCCTAGTTTTCAATTTAAAATACGTCAACAATTAGATGTAAATTTTGTAAATTATTCTAAATATCACATTCATAATGTGAAAATTCTGTGGAAAATTTATGATTAGTTTCACAAAAGTGAAAAGTTTAAAGTTTAGGCAAATGAAGAAATTCAAGAAGACGAACAAAAAGTTCCCGACCTTAGTGAAGAAGAAAAACTTCAAATTTTGAGTAGTCAAAAGTTTCAACAGTTTTTCGATTATTCATCTCGGGTAATGGAACGACAACTAGCAGAAGAGGTCCATATCATTATCTAAGTGATGATTTCACCATAGTTCATTTACTTAAAATGCTGCATAAACAGTAGCAGATTTTTTTCATTTTTTCATTTTGTTTCTCTGATTCATCAGGGTAATCGAAAAGCTTTAAATGTAGTGGTAAATATTGTTATCCGGAAACTAAAATGGAACTCTTAATTAGTTTATTTCCAACCCTTTTGTTTAATTAAAATATGGGAAAATAAGAAAGAACTAAATTTAAATGGGCTTATTAATTACAATATAACATTATTGTAAAATATAATTAATGTATATATGCATACTTTTTACTTTGTTTATTATAATATTAAAAGTTATTACCATTGTATAAATAATATCTTGCATTGCTTATAACAATTATTTAGACAGACATGTTCATCGATTACTCTCATGGTGGTGCTACTGATGAAAAAGAAGATAGTGGTGAAAAATTAATCTTATCTCGAGTATTTGTTGATCCGAAGTGGAGTGCAGGAAGGTTTGCTCATTTAAATGAAGATAACTTAATCTTTTAAATTAAATTTATTGTTAACTTGCTAAGTTTTATCTAAAATATAATGAAAAAAGAATTGTTTGCAAGGTTGTTCGTCCTTTTCAGTGGTTTAGCTTATTTTTTGAGAGGTTTTCATTTTCTTATTTATTTTTTTGGATGAGTTTTGGATGTTTTTATTTAATCGCTTTCCATTTCACAATCTTGATAAGTCCAAAATTTTTTTTTAGGGCGATAACAGGCATCGACAATTGTGAGCAGTATCCTGAATTGATTGCCGTTTCATACGATCAAAATCCCGAATCGCCTCTTGATCCAGCTGGCGTAGTTCAAGTTTGGAATAATCGCTTTAAGAAAACAACTGCCGAGTTTGATATTTTTCTCGCTAATCATCAAACTAAAAATTGTCAAATAATTAAAAATATGGGAAAATAAGAAATAATCTGTCATAATATATTTCCTTAAATTGATCTCCATATGATTCCTAGCAGATTAAAAAAATATTTATTAGGTTAACTGAATATTAGATTTTTTTTAAAATTGCAGGTACACTTTTTATTGTCAGTCTTGTGTTACAAGTGTTGCTTTCGCTCGGTTTCATCCAAATTTGATACTTGGTGGGTGTTATTCTGGTCAAATTTGTATGTGGGATAATCGACTCAACAAGAAGACTTCAGTGAGCAAGGTAATTTAAGTTTTATTGTTGAAAGTCAAAGTTAAATTTTATTTACCTAGCTAATTTTTCCAATTTTTTAATTTTTTTTCAATGTTTAATGTTTAGAGTCCTCTGTCATCACAGGCGCATACCCATCCTGTATCCAGTATGGCAATAGTTGGCAGCCAAAATGCACACAATTTAATCAGCGTATCAACAGATGGTAGATTGTGTTCATGGAGTGTAGATAATCTCAATCAGCCCATAGATGTTATTGATTTATCATGGAACAAGAAACAGGTTAGATTTTTACTATTTCTTACTCAGATGTTTAAAAATTAAATGAAATTTTTGGGTTATTTTAGGTTACGTGTACAAGTATGTCATTTGTACTGGATGGCGTTAATAATTTTGTCGTTGGCAGTGAAGAAGGAAACGTATATATGGCTAGTCGACATCGAAATAAAGGCGATGTTAATGGTAGCTTTGAAGGTTTGTAAAATTCTTTATTCTTTTTTCCTTAAAATTTGATTCAGGAATATATCTTTTTTTGCACTTTGTAGGTCATACTGGTCCCGTAACTTGTGTGGATACGCATAAAGCGTCGAATGGTGTTGACTTATCGCACTTATTCCTGTCATGTTCTTGCGATTGGACTGTAAAATTATGGAGCTCAAAGGTAAACAGTCGAAGCAAGGAATCATTTCTCATAAATCCATATTCTTCGCAAATTATGGAGGTAGTATTTTAGGAACCAAAATATTTATGCTCTTTCGAAAAACATGGTGATTATGTTATGGATGTCGCTTGGTCGCCTGTAAATCCATCTGTTTTTACTTCTGCAGATGCCAGTGGAAATGTATGCTTTACAATTAAATGAGATTTATATTATTCAAGACGTCAGCTCCAGTTTAATCGTTTCTTTTTGAAATAGATCATAAATAATTACAAATTAAGCTTTAGCTGTTTCTGTGGAACCTTAATGAGGATATCGAGGCTCCTATCACTAAGTTGCAAGTCGAAGGTGGTGTCGGAGTGCGGAAAATGATGTGGATGCAGAATGGTCTCTATTTATTTACCTGAAATTTGGTTTCTTTAATCTCGAAATTCTCAGAAGTTTAATTATATTTCTTTTGTTTTTCTTGATGTGATTAGTTTATTTTTAAGTCACGGTTGTGGTGATATAATTGCAAAAAAGTACGGCCAATCGTCTTTTTGTCTAATCACAACCAACAACAAATCATTTTTCTTCACTCACTGTATATCATACAGTGAATTAAAAAATGATACATAAAATATACTCAGAAGTGTTTTATCATACTATTGGTCATCATCGAAAAATCAAGCCACTTTTTCGTTTATTTGCACCATTTAATTACAATTTCTTTAAAATCGGACGACAAATATACATCCGTTTTCAGGGCATCAACTGGCAGTTGGCGATGAACGAGGTAACTTGTGGCTATACGATGTTCATGAAAGTATTGCTAACTGCAGGCCAAGTGAATGGACAAGTTTAGCAAGGTCAGTTGCACTATATTCGGAATTCTCATAATCAGAAATTTTTTAGCTATGTATATCCTACAAGAACCATTGTCTGGTTTCCTGCGACATTTTCCCTTGAATGCATATATTTCTAGTTTAAATTTTCAGAACATTACGTGATATGAAGCAAGCGAATGAGGAAGCTGAAGAATTGTTCGAGGTTATGAATAAAATTGGCTCAAGTGCAGTCCCTACTATTACTTCCGTAGCAACGGGAGTATCTGTGAGATAAGGTATATAGCCAATCGCATTGATTCGCTAACGGTTCCTTTTTTCGAATTTCTAGATTCGATATATCGTCCCGTCTCACTTTTGCTGTGGTTAATGGTCAATTTTTGAGATCTGGTCATTTTTTCATTGAACTTGAAAAATCCGACTTATTTGAGCGTGCCGAACATCGTCCAGTTCATTTTCCTTATTTTAATTCTGACCAACCGTGACAAAGTCTTATCAAATTATTTTACAATGGAAAGAACCAAAATCGTAAAAAATCCCAATTTTTTCTTTCATTAAGCGCTCATGATCTGCAGTTTCCTCTAACCCGTGCTGGTGTGACTAATATTTTTTATTATTTAACATTATGTTAATGGTTATTCATACGATTTTTTTTCGTTTTTGTTTTATGTAGTCTGCGTTTTGCTTTCTAGTAAATTTGCAATTGCGTGCAACTTTGTTCAAGATTTCATTTAAAAAATAATAGGAACTGCAAAAGAAATTATATATATATATATATATACAAAAATTTTGCTCAATTATAAACTCTTAAAGATGGCAAATGAGAATCACAATGATAATTGGCAATTTAATTTACCCAATTAATTATTTCAAAACGTTTTTTAAGTATTCTTTGCATTTATGTATAAATGGAACATACCAGTCGAGAGGAATTTGATATTTTGCATTTAAATTGATAAAGAGTTAATGAAATAGGTAAATAGGTAAAACAAATAGATATTTACAACTATATTTCAGAAATATATATAGTATGCGTATTCCTAATTTAATATTATTAATATGACACCAAAAACCTCTCGCTTTTTTGTCGAAAAAACTGCTGACAGATAGGGATTAAAAAAACGCTGCGACAAAAATTTTTTTGGAGTTCAGAGTTCGGCATAGTTTAATTTTGTGCTGGTACCTTAGGCAGACCAAACTCGTCAACCGCTATACCGCCTTCCATTGCCTAAAATTTATAAATTTGTGATTTCTAGAAACCAAATTTGAGAATCGTAGGCACCTGTTATAATTTGAAAATGACTAACTGTGCTTGGAGCTCCGGGTTCTTTCGACGGAACGCCTGGGGCACTTAAAGCATCATCTAGATAAGACCCTTCAGCATCCAGTTCTAATTCATCACCCAACGCTTCCAGTTCTGCTTCTAGATCAGCTTCATCAATCTAGAATAGAAGGATTTAACCACAATTTAGTAATTTAGTTCCAAATATCTCAGAAAAAAATAAACAAATTGACTAATTAATTAAAGCATAATGATCTGAAATTTACATTAAAATATTTAATTAAATGTCATAAAAGATATAAGCGAGTAGTTATTGGTCGGATTAATCTCAAGCGTTTGGATCTCTCTCATCTCCAAAAGAGGTAAAACAAAAAACTCTGGTGGTACTGGTAACCCATCTGTAATTCTATTTCTCTTACTCCCAAGGAATATTTATTTACAGTCATTGGCATGAATCTAACTCGAACAAGTGAGCATGCCACCTACAAAAATTAATAAAAATTTCGAAAAATAGCATGGAATATTTAATGAAACTTATCACAATGGTATTTCTGTTAACAAAAAAATTCAATCCGACATGCAACACCGGTAAAAATTTTTTATCAGTGCTTTGAGCATTAAATTTTCTAACAAATATTATGCATTAATATTAAATACCTTCCAGTTTTATTAAACATATATATATATATATATATATATGTATTTTGGACCATGTATAACTTACATCAGGCGTATCATACTGCCGTGACATCGCTTCTTGAATTTCATTATTCATATCAAGCATTTCCTCCATTTCATCTTGCAATGTATCGATTTTGTTGATATCTATCTTTTTATACTCCTTCTGCATACTTTTCAAACCCATTTTCATCGCATCAACCGTCGTCTAGAACTCTGATGATTTAAATTTTACGACCTACCTTTGTAAAGAAAACACAGTCATTTCACATTTGAATTTTAGCTTAAATTTAAAAAATTTTTGATGAATCCCTTTGTTAAACTGGTAAGATTTGAATATACTTGGGTATCTTTCATTCCCTGTATAGCCATATTAGTTTGTTCTATATTAAAAGACTGCTGAGAGAGTTGATCTCGTTGATTTTCATACATCCGTTTTTGTTTTAAAATTCTGTAATACCGAGATATAAAAAAAATTCCTATATCATATTAACTTTACTATTTAAATTTATACAAATCAAAAATGTTAATTTAAATATATTTCAATATTATATGAAAATTATAACCACAAATATAGAATTCCAAAAAACTTAAGTGAGTTAAATAATAATCGATTTAGCTTCGGAAAATTCGTAATGAATATTTCACGAGATCCAAATCAGTTGGGCACTTCCATAGAGAATAATAATAATAAATTTTAATAATATTCACACAAATGTATTTGGACTTTGCAGAAAACTTACAAGATTTTGCAGAAAAACGAGCCGACATATCAACGAATAATTTGCATAAAATATATAAAAAATAAAAATTATGATAAATGAAAAATAATACCTTAAAAGTTTTTGTTTAATTTGATTTTTTCCTGGTCCTTCACGCATTTTTTTCATTTGATTCTTAAGTGTTACGAGTTCAGCATCGAGTTTCGATATTTTAACATCAATACTTTCAATGCGTGAATCGATACTCGCCGCCGTGTCTGTTAAATTCGGCGCCACTTGTTTTTTAGTCGAACTACCAAATATACGATGCATAACCTTAAATATATTTTACGAAAAAATTTTTTTAAATAAATTTATCAAAAAAACGCCATCAACTTTATAGATTTAGTAAAGAAAAATTCTCACCATTCGTCGATGAATATATTCAAAATATTCAAACTGTTCGAGAAGGTATAAATTAAAGATAAATGCAACAAAAGCAGACTGATGATGATTAAACTTTGCTCTCGATTATCAATTCAAACTGTTAGCAATTCTTAATTAAAACAAAAATGGCGCCTTCCGAAATATTATAGCGATGATTTTAGACACCCACCTGTTTTTCTATCTCGAAATGATCGACGAATCTCACCCTACTAGTGGTTTACCCGACCGCCCTATCAGAAAAGGTATGTATCATTTTGAAATATTTCAAACCGCTTTACCACAAAAAATCCGCAGCTGCAAATTATCAAAACACATTTCAGTCTCGTATAATGTAATGAAAAAATTTTTTGGTATTATTTTTATCGGTGGATCGTAATGAAAAACAAGAAAGTTTGAAGTAAAAAGAAAAGTAATAAATAGAAACAATATTTACTATTTTAAAAAATAAAGAATAATAAAGCGACAGATAAGACTAAAAAAGTGATAATCTCATTATGCAATATTTTACAAAAATTTATTATGAAAAATTCTATGCAACAATTCTCGCTTGAAAATATTAAACATTTGACATGCACAGGCAATCGGTCGATTTTATGTTATTTGCAATTTAATAAATATACTTTTGGACTAAATCGATCTCTTCGCAAACTGTACATACAGTACATACAGTAGGATATTAAAAGTATATAGATAATTCTATTTCAACCATTTTATATTTCCCTAAAAATTAGTATTTCAATGTAAAAAATGTTAAAATTCACGCGAAAAAGAAATGAAACAATAAAAGAAATCAAAAAATGCAAAAATAATATTAAACTAATAAAAATTTTTAATAAAAAATTAAAGCCTAAAATAAAAGCTAAAAGGAGAAAGAATACTTCAGACAGATTCGAGATCAACATGACGAACTTCCGGATACTTTTTTATTAATTCACTTTCAATTCGATCAACTTCATCACCAATTTTCCTAATAATTTTTTCACCATGTTCAAGCATAAATTCACGAAAATCCTCCTCACTATTTATCGACCTTGCCTGCTGAATAGCATTCGGCATATTGCAACATTCACAAATATATTTATTTGTTATCGCTCTACCGTCAAAATCTACTTCGGCCTTAAATCGGGACTGTCCAACACCAACGGCAGTTGCTTTAACATCATGAATTGCTTTTACAGCTGGATCATTACCAAGCGAAATAACAATAGAATCGATAATATTTGATGGAAGTGACTGACCAACAAGATGCGCTGCATTTGTACGGATAATAAATGTCGAAACCATACCAAGTACAATACCTATTAAAATGGAACCAATTGAATCTGGAACTGTCGAATTTAATATTGAACTAAGAGAAATTGACGTTAAAGCAATAAGAACACCGCATACAGCAGCACTATCTTCGAGTAATACGACGTTTAAAGTCGGGTCAGAACTTATCCTTAAGTAATCAAAAAATGATAATTTAGCACTTTTAGCTTTAAGGCGAACTTCGCGAAAAGCAGTTAATGCAGATGAACCCTGAAATATAAACGATACAGTAAGTGCTAAATATGCATAGATTAAAGGTTCTAATTGTGTTGGATGCAATAAACCACTTATTCCATGATAAATTGATAAACCACAACCAAATGATAAAATTCCACAACCGCTTATTAATGAGGAAACATATCGCATATTTCCATAGCCATATGGATGACTTTTATCTGGAGTTCTTTTGGATACACGTATGCCTGTTAATAGAATTAACTGATTTAATGTATCCATAGTGCTGTGAATTGCTTCAGCGAATAAACTTTTTGAACCAGTTAAATATGCAGCAACATACTTGCTTACTGTATCGCAACAATTTAACGTAAATGCTATGGCAACAACTCGATTTGCACCTAAACTTCTTTTTCTTCCACTGTCACTGGCATCTCCTTCTCTTTCTTCTAGTATTTCTTGTTCTTTTAATTTTTTAAAAATTTTGTAATGTTCTAAATGCATTTGCAGTCGTTGGGCTTCTGATAAACGATGCCTTATGCCAATAATAATTCTTCGCTTTTCTCGCATTTCTTTTTCATTACCATGAATTTTCATAGCTAATTTATAAACATCACTTAAAGAATACGAAATTTCTGGTAAATTATTTCCTCTCTTATAAACTAGCTTCCCTGATAAATCTTTCAGTTGCTCTTTTGTTAGACAATAATCAAGAATCGCGCGTTCTTCGCTTATTTCATTGTCGGAAATTTCACGCAAAGCACGCCGCGGAAATCGAAAAAGACGATCTTTCGAAAAATCATTCACTTCACGAAAATTTAATCGAAGCAAAAATCGTAATTTAATGATCGATTTCCTTGTCAACAACATCGCATTTTACCTGAAAATGATTCATTTGATACGACAAAAGTTCAAAATTTTTCCGTAAAAAAATCTGTAAAGACGAAAAGATCTTCGGTAAATTGCCAAATATTTTTTTGCTTCCAACAATATTGCGAATTTTTTAGCCAGCTGACGCCTTCCGTCATTCCACTTATTTACTATTCCTTTAAGACCTTCCTGCAAGGTAGTCCGCCTCCCCTGTATATGGAGAGTGCTCTCGTTGGTCATCGAATTTCATAGCCTAACAGCTTAAAAGATATAAGTCGAATCTCTGCCAAACCTTAATTGAAGCGACAAATGATAGACTCAAATACTAATCCTTCCATCAAATATTTCACTTAACCGACAAAAAATTTTTAATTTAAAAAGTTATAAAAACAACAGAAAATGAAAACAACTGAATAACCGTCGCGTGAAAATTTTCAATTTATGGTTATTCTAAAATTTAAATTAGAATTATAAATTTGACAAATTTAAAATATTTTATAAAAAAAGGAAGAAAAACTTACCCAACGAAAAACACACGTAACAAATCATCGCAAAGAATAAATGAACCTCAGCAGACCATAAAAAAAATATGAAATCTGGCACCATGCCAGAACTCAAAAAAATAAACTTTTCGTTGTAGGACATAAAATAAGAATGGTTCGCAAGCGTGTCGCGTAAGCATCTCTTACCACAGCCGCGCTAATCGTTTCATTAAATAAGCGACAGTTTTTCGACGATTTGTTCAAGTTTATTGCTAATTTTTTTTTTATTAGTGTAGTAGGTAATTATTAAATTCATTCAAAAATTCGATAATTTTGCATTTCAAATTTTATTTTTTAAAAATTTCGGAAATTATTTAATTTCGTGAAGCTTTTATTTTTGATTATTTTCATTAATTTAATTCTTTTTACTTAATTTTTCGAAATGTTTCCTTAAAACTTTTTAAAAATTTAAAAAATTTTAAGTGATTTTCTAGATTTTTTCCTAAAAAAATATTTAAATTTATTTGAAATTTTCTTCTTTTAAACGATTCTGTTTCTAAGCTGATTTTCGTACACATCACATCATTCTGTATCTTCTTTTTCTTCCGACAAGTCACTCCATTACTTTAATTGGTCCCACTGCTTTCTAGAGGAATATTTTTCAAGCCTATCAGTCCGTGACCGTGTTGCGACTGCGATTTCTTCCAAAATTTCTTTTTATGAAGTTTGCTCGCCTAATTTGTACATCAAAACATTTTTTGGTGCTGTCAAGTTAATTTTTGATGCTTTCAAATTTATTTCTGTTATCCATTCCATTATTTATTCTTTTATTCATTGTACTATTGCTCAGCTATTTTATGACAATTTGGCATAATCTTAATTTGAATGTAAATTGGGAATTCGTTGTTAATAAACATCAAAAATGAAAAGTTAAAAAGTTTCCTCAACTTTTTGAAATTATGACTTTAAGACCTTTTATATTGCATCTTTCACTTATTTTCGTTAAAAATTTCGCACTGCCAAGGATTAATAATTATTTTTTTAAGTAAAATTTATGGTAGAGCAAGTTTTCCCTGGATTTTTTTTCGTCGAGAGATTATATGAATCTCTTTGAAATTTTTATGAAATAATATAAATGTAATTATTTAATTGTTTAATCGATTGCTGTCATTCATTCATCACCATTATTAGTTTCTTAATATGGCTTTTTAATTTAAGCTTTATACATCAAAAAAATATACACAGCTTCTAAGATTTCTTAATTTTTGTGTCAGATGAAATGTTTGGTGAATAGTTAATAATTTTTGCGCTGCTATTGCTGATAGAGATAAAAATTAGGCAATGAGCCAAATGGAGTGTTTTTTTTATTTTTTTTCATCGTTTCAAAAAATTAGTGATTTCCAAAAGTTAAGAATTTAAATTTGATTGAAAACTGATATATTTTGAAAGTCGCAGCAAAGAGTGCTTTATTAGCCAAATAATTGCTGAGGTTAAAGGAAAGAAGATGCAGGATAAATTAGATATTAGATAAATTTTGTTTGGAATTTTACGAGGATCGGGAACTTACTTCGAAGCATATTTTCTCTCTTCTCGTATTTAAACATATTGTTAAAGACCTGACTTTGTAGAACGACCAAAATTGTCTTCAAACGTCTTGTCATTGTCAACTTATTATATCCTCGTTCTCTCTTGTTTCAATGGTTCCTTCGAACCATTATATATTGTTTTGATAGTGACGAAATCCATGTAATTCTCTCTTAATATCTTAAAATTTCTTTCCTTCGATGCTTTAAGTCTTGTATATTCAACCATTTATAGCCTTGAAGACTTACATCTGCGGCTGTAGTGCATTGCGATATCTCATAAAGCATCAAACCAATAAAGCTGAGTTTTAAAAGATTAAAGCTTAAGGGAGAAGTGATGGCATTAACAGTTTAGAAGAGCACACTGGCGCTATGGAGATGTTAAAAAGATATTTGGACATTTGGGATTGTTTTTCTCAAAAGATATTAAAGGACAGAGTTTCGGCGAGTTCGTAGTCAGTGAAACATTTTTTTAAAAGATATTGGCGGCTTTTAGCAAGAAACATAATGAGATTTTGGTAACATTACTAGATCAACGATAGCGAATTCAGCAAATTATAACTGAACTAAAATGTTCCAAAAAAATTTAAGGAAGTACATTACTATATGGTTTTAAAAAAAGTGACGTGGTTTAATGGTGCCTTGAAGGATCATAGAAGCTCGGAAGGGTATATCTGTTTCTAAGAAATTTCTATATCAAAGAAATATAAAAGATTGTAAGAGATTAATGTTAGTAAATACATGGTAATATTAAAAATGGGATACGGTGAAAGAGTGCAACTAGGTTTGATGGAGTATTAATGGAACATAGCGAGACTTTGAGAGGTTAATAAGATGTAACAAATTTCGGTGACAAGAGCTTAAGGGATTGTGTGGGCTTTAAGAGGATATTATTTGGCTAGGATAAAATAAAGGGATTTAAGAAATTGGATACGCTATAACGGGGTAGAATTTTGACAAAATTTGGCTGATTTAGAAAGAAAATATGAGGTTTTTTGCTAGAGTTATGCATATACACTTATAATTAGACATATACATATGATTTTTGAAAGTATCTGTGAGTCAACTACGTTAAAAATTTTTACTTCTTTACTCTTTCAAAATGTTCGCAAGATTCGCAAACAATCGTTTGATTTATGTTGAAAGAAATACTATGATTGAACGAAATTATTTTTCAGTGTTCTTTTAAAATGCATGTTAATTTTTTGGTTGAGTAAAAAGTAGTTTTGAAATGGAAAATTTTGGTGCTTAACTTTGCCACATATTTTGCTTTTTCACTATAAATATTGCCTTGAAGCTGAAATTTTAATGCACGTAAATTTGTTGATTTTGCTTTTGCTGTTTATTCTTATGGTTTTATACATTATACGCTATCGAACTAGGTTAGAGCGTGTTATTCGTCTCCCACCACAGGAATTAACACATATTTCGTTACTTGCTGGATCCTGTGATGGATGGCATCAACAATGAGAAGGAGCAGTCAAGGCTTGGGCTGATGCCGTCAGAAAGATTATGAACGTATAGGTGGATCAGCGATATATGGACTTAGATGATAGAAAAAGGAATGCATTCTATATTGTCAAAAATGACATCGAACAGTCCGGAAAAGTCTTGTAGTCAGTGGAAGAGTAAGCATAACCAGTAATGGTCTAATGGTCTGAGCTGTTAAGAAAACATTAATATTCTGCCTTAATATTTATTTCTTTCTGCATTATTATTGTGAAGGGATATGAATATCAGATAGTATTGCTGAGTGATATATTGCTTCTACCCTGAGTTCAAGCATTGTTCAATTCTTGACTAAAGATATTTTTATCCGAGTGGTGCTCGAAAATAGCTTGTATTTCTGTTTCTGTCTTGAAATATCTCTTTTTGTCTCTCATGATTTACCCTTTAGTAGCCAGAAATGGCGAGTGATGTTAGAATCAGATTATTGAAAATAAAATTTTGTTTATATGCTTATTTCATTACGCAGTGTATTTAAATGTTTTTAAAGTTCCTGTTGGCATATGATTTCAAGAAATTTATAAGTATATATTAAGTATATATTATATTAAGCGATAAATTTATGAAATGTTTTTGAAGGCATTTGGATGCAGGATTCAGAATCACCACCTCAGATCGTTGAGTTACAAATGACCAATGCATCTGAAGATTCGCAATCAAATGACTTAGAAATGGCGGCAAGACGAAAAGAATTAGAAAATGGCTTGAAGAATTTTGAGGGAAGTGATGGCGGTGGAGGGAGCAGTGATGGTTTTAATGCTCTTTTAGCTACTGTAGAAATTCCAAAGGTAAAATTTTTTTGCAATAAATTTTTGTCATCCAAGAATTTATGTTTGCAATTTCAACGGTATCTCGAAAAAGTCCCTTTCTTAAAAATAGTCTTGTGTTAATTGAGGACAGTTGAGGATATTTTATTTCTGTCTTTTCTTTTCTTTCTTTAATTATTTTTGATTATTTTCCGAATTTTTTTTACAGGATTTAAAAAATCGTGTAAAATTATATGTGCTGTGTGATCAGAATCAATGGGAAGATCGAGGTACAGGCCACGTTGCATGCATATTATCACCTGGGCAAAATAATGCTACTTTTATCGTAGTTCGTCTTGAACAGAGTGGTATTATTTTTCCATTTTTTTGATTTCATGAAGTGAAAGTATTCTCATAACTTTTAAATGTTTTTAGAAAAGAACGTATTAGAATCGCGAATATTAGTTGATACGATTTATCAAAAGCAACAAGTATGTTTTTTTTAGACTCCTTGATTTTTATATGTCTACTTTTTTGCTTTTTTTGTTTTATCTTAACTTATTCCCTAATAAATTAGCTCCAGTTTTTATGTCTTTTTATTATGTGCATTTACAATGAACTATTTTAAAGGTTATTTTTCATGGAATAAAGAATATTTTTAAGAGTATTTTCAGCTGTCTTCTCTTGGTCTTTCCTACTTTATTCTTAATCTTTTCTAAACATGCTTTATTTTTTTGTTTTCTCATTTTAGTCAATTCTATATATCCAAATGTTTTGTCGGTCACTTAAGTTGTATTTATCAATTTCATGGTAATATAAAAAATTTTAAAAAAATTTTCTGTAGCGTTTACTTGTAAAACAAAGTGCATTCAACAAGTTCGGGGCTTTGAAACTATTTATGTTAGGAAATACTGAAATATAAATTTTGTTTTTTGCATTAGTAAATGGTGAATTCGTATTCGTTATTTCAAACTGTGATTTAAAATGGTGATTTGTTGTACGTTTCAGCACTTTTCAGAAAAACACTGAGAGTAAGGAATTAGTGCAAGGAAGGAACGGTAAAGACAAGGTAATGAGAGAGAGGAAAATATAAAGATTTTTTATTTATCTATTTATAAAAAGATTGTGTAGAGTAATAACCCATATTGTGTTAATATTTCTTTTAAGCTTATTAATTTATTTCATATTGATTTTGGTTAAATAACATTGTAAATACAAATTATTGTATCCTTAATTTTTTATTAATTTTCATGAACTTCTCTTTAAATTTTTCATTTTAAATAGTTATAATGTCTGTTCCTTTACTACACCTATATATATATATATATATTTGATAATGGGTAATTACATTTATAATTTACAATTTATAACATTTCGTCGTATATTTTGTAGTTTTTACGTATCAATGAAATATTTATCACTTATCATCTTTAAAATATTTGCATTCTCAAATTTTCAATAAAAATTCAAGGTTAAAAGTAACATAATTTTTTTTCGCACATTCATTTTATTTGTTAATTTGTCTAGTTGCTTTATCCGCTGATTTTTTAACTGATTTCTTTTTAGTGTTATTCGGGTGGATCCCTTATCTCTTTATATGGTATTTTTGGTGCATGTATTTTTAAGTTATCTTTCTGCTCCATTATTAAACTTCAGTGGATGTGAACTGTATGGAATGAAAATCGCATATTTATTCCATTCAGTTTGGCATAAGTCACCATTTATTAGATACTTATTAATATTTTTTTTTGCCAAAAGTAAAGCAAAATGCTTAAGATACCCCTTATTTCTATGGCTTTTCAAGCACTTTTTTGGTGTCTTTTGATATCATTTTTTGTTTTTGAATGTAATTTTTTTTTGCTTTGTTGCATGTACCAGGAAAAAATCATTAAGTACTAAAAAAGTACTAAAAAAATTTATCGTAAATTATCTAGTAATCCTGTTTGGTTTTTTATGTATATTTTGTTATTGAATTTAACGTTTTTGTTGGACTCTGGTTTGTACATATATTTGAATTTTTTATCATTTATTATTAATAGCTTAATTACCCAAGTTTGAGGGTTAAAAATTTGCCCGCTCGGCGTCTTACAACTTATTATATTGCTTGTTCAAAATAAGGTTGCGTGGCAGACGACATCACCATTACTCCCGCTGTTTTTCCTTATTTTTAATAATATATCATTCAACTCCATATGTAAAAATATTTTACTGTTTATATTTTAGTGTTTTATGCAATTTAATCCTCAGTGTTATAGTGTATATTAATTAAAGACAAATTGCGACAACGATTATGTCAGTTTTGCATGCTTTAGGTTGTGCTGTTATTTTTTCCTCATTTTGCTTATTTTATTTTTTATTATTTTTTAATCATATTTTATGTTTCAGTTTTTACTGAAAGGATCAAAAATATTTTTTAATGAGTTTTTTAGTTTTATTTTTTCTTTGTGGGAAGGTTGGTTCTGATATTTATTTGGAAAATGTGTGCTGAAAATTTTCCAGATTTTACAATTTTTCGGATTCACTGTATTTCAGAATTTAATTTTTTGAAATTCAGGATACATTAATTGTTTGGTCAGAATCGGACACTTGTGATTTAGCAATTTCATTTCAAGATAGGAATGGCTGTGAGGAAATATGGGAAAAAATTTGTCAAGTGCAAGGACGTGATCCTGATCAGCATCCGGTTTCTATCTTATAAAATGGCTCATCAAACATTTTTTGTTTTATAAATTAAATTAAAAATTAAATTAAATTTGATTATAGGATTACACGGGAACATATGAGGAAACAGATGAAAATAATGCAACAGACACATTTAATCAAGCTTATGGTGAGCGAGTAAGTTTTTATTAGATGTTAAAATTTTATTAGGTGTTAAAATTTTAAAAATGGTAGTTCTAAAATCCTTATTTCGCTTATTTGATTTTATATTTTTATTTGCTGTTATTTAATTTTCTTTTTTTGTTAAAAATTTTCTTTAGGTTTTTCTTTTCTTCTTCATTATTTTCTAAAGCATTTTAGCGTGTTTTATATTGAAACATGCTTTAATACTTATATAGTGGAGAAAAGTAGTTTTAGATTAATTTTAGACTGCGGCAACTACCACAATAACCTTACCACCATGTGATTTATCGCACTTGAAGGAATTGGAAAGTATTTTAACTGGTAGTTTACCTACTGCTCCCATTCGGGAAAAATTGGCAACCGACCTCGAAAATCAAGGGTTTGTTTTATTAAATTCTTTAAGTTCGCACTGTTTGTATTATAAAATTTCTTGTCTGAATTTTTCATTAAATTTTCATCAAAATATAAATAGACCATATTTCAGATATATACCAAAGCTTTGTGAGCTTTTTCATATCTGTGAAGATCTTGGAAACAGCGATGGTTTGAAATCATTATTTTCTATTGCAAGAAGTCTTTTCATGCTTAATCGAAATTCACTAATTGAAATAATTCTTAGTGAAGAATATTTTAGGTTACTACTTTTTATATTTTATATTTTACTACATAAATTTTTAAGTCATCCTGATTTACTTGATCTATTGAGTTATTATAAGAAGAATTTGAGCTAAAGTGAAGGCAGGAGAAAACTTATATCTTCGGTTCCTTGTTTTTCTGCTTCTTTGGTTAGTCAGATTTCTTTCAATTTTCGGCAATCGCACTATCAAACTTAAAAATTGTAATAATAATTGTCTTTGATATCTTAATTGTAATTTTGCACTTGCAAATTTAATTATGAAAATACATTATAGGGATATTGTTGGAATGCTGGAATATGATCCTTTTCGAAATGGTTTTCGTAAACACCGTGAATTTCTTTTTGAAAAGGCAAGATTTCGTGAAGTATTACCAATTCATAGTGATGAATTAAAGAAGAAAATTCATCAGACATATCGAGTACAATATATTCAGGTATTATTTTAATTAACCACCCGTTATTCATTTAAAGAATCATAGTAAATTTCACTGAGATCATTTATATCTGGATTTATCACTTTCAGTAAAAGCAAAGTTTTCGGATTTGTCGATTTTTAGGATATTTGTTTACCAGTTCCATCATTATTTGAAGAAAATCTTCTATCTGTGCTTACTAGTTATGTTTTCTTTCATCGAGTTGAAATTGTACATATGCTTTTGGTATGTCGAATTCCAGTTATTTAATCGTACTTAAATTTTTCATTCCATGCTTTATATAAACCAGAATAATCAAAAATATTCATTGGAAAATTTCGAAACAATTACTGTACTATACTGTGATGCAAGTAATATAACTTCATGTTTTTCTTTATCAGGAAGATAAGCCAGTGATGAAAGAGCTCTTTGATCAGTTAAAGGATAGTAGCATCAGTGTTCAACGAAGAAAAGATTTAACAGTATTCTTAAAAGAATTTTTAACCTTTTCTGCATCTTTGCAACCAAATGGTCCTCGTGGGCGTGAAGCATTTTATAAGGTTAATTGCTTTAATGTTTTGTTTTTTGTTCATATTCTTTGTTATCATCTTATTCTTCGTTTTTTCTTGGTTATAAAGATTTTATTCTGCATTCATTTTTTTAATCGTTGAAATAGTTATAGAATTATGTTATAGAATTTGATGCAGTATGATGTATTGGCAACAATAGAACCTGGAATTACGTCGAAGAGTTCATACATTCGAGCAACAACAGTTGATATGTTTGCTATGATAATTGAATTCAATCCACAAGCAGTTCGAGAGTATATTTTGGCCGAAGGAAAAAATCTCAGTGAAGCAAAAAATGTGGTCTTTGAATAATTTTACTTAAGTTATTATGGAGATCCAAAAATCATCGAAAATTTTTGTGATTTTCAGAATCAATTATTAATGAATAAGTTGATCGAACTTATGTTGCGTGATCGTGACCCTGAACTGAATTCGGCATTTGCTATGGCTCAGATTATGCGTACACTCCTTGACCCCGATACTATGATAACAGTACCGAATTCCAAGTCTGAGCGCCACGAGTTTCTTACGTTTTTTTATCGACGATCAATGGATACGTTATGTCAGGAAATATGTTTTAATACTGAAGATAGAAATCCGAAGAAGGGTAAGAATTATTCCATAATAGCTTTTATTTTACTTTTGTTTTAGGGATATTCCCTGTTTATCTCGTAATTGTATATTTCAAACCAAATATTTTCTCGATTTTTTACATTCATGCAATACTTATAGTATCACCGCCCATGGTATGTTTTTTTTTTTTTTTTTAAGATGATTATTATCTGGCCAACAAGCAGACATTAGTTATCGATTTGCTTTGTTTTTGTTTTGAACATCATGCTGTCCATATGCGTAATTATTGTATCAACAACAAATTGCTTAATAAAATACTAATTCTGCTGCGCAGCAAGCATCATTTTCTATCACTCAGTAAGTACTTTTTCATGGTGTTGTCAATTCTTTTGTCACTGATTTGTAATTTTTTGTGGAATGGGGAAAACTGTGGATTGGGACTTTCTAATTTAACTTTTTATCCATTGTTTTTGTTTGTGAAAATAGTTGCTTTAAGCTGCATTGCGGTTGTTTCGGCGAGTTGTTCAACTTAAGGATGAATTCTATTTCCGTTATATTGTGCGTGACGATGTCATGAGTTCAGTTATTACTTGTTTCATTGAAAATGGGAATCGTTATAATTTACTGAATTCAGCAATTATCGAACTGTTTGAATACATAAGAGTGGTATGTTCTTATTTCTTAATATCCATAACTTCGGCTGATATATTTAGAAACTTAAATTCAATGAGGCTTAAATTTTCGTTTGTTATAGGAAGGCCTAAAACTTTTAATTATTTATATTGGCGAGAAATATCTCAATGATTTTGAAGAAGTGACATATGTGAAAACGTTCACTGCACTGAGAACAAAATATGAACAGGTACTTTTGCAGACGATTTAGAATTTATGAAAATTGCTGATTTCAATAATGGTTAAATTTTAGTTAAAAGATGGTGAAAGTCGAAAACTCGAAGAATCACCTCCTTCATCAGCAGATTCGAATTTATCAGTTCAGTGGAAAAAAGAGCGTCAGGCAGATGCTGATGAACAATGGTTCAATGATGATGAAAATGAGGTAAACATTTTAATTTTTGGCCATCTTTTATGTGTGCTTTAAAATTCAAATTAAATCGTTGATTATCGAATAAGAAAGAAATTCAGCGTAATATATTTAGCATCGAATGTTTTGTGAGAGACTATGTAGATATGTGAACAGTTATATAATCACCATATTTTCAGTTGCTGAAAATTGGCATAATTCTTGATTTGCTCTCTATTTTATTTTCTTTCGTATTATTTTAGAATTCTGTCGCGTCAGGTCCCGATGATTGGGAGAATGTTCGACAGTCAAGAGAAAATGCTGCGAATGGATCTGCTAGAACATCTTTGTTAGGTTCTGATTTAGCATCGGATTTGCTTCATACTTCAGTTAATACCGTGCCAGCTTCGACCTTCTCTTCTATTCATGGAAAAGCAGAATCAATTAGTCGAAAATTAAGTGCTGAACCAAATTTCCCAAGCGTTGTTAAGCGTAAAGGTTTATCATTTTTTCTTTTTTAACTGAGAAAATGCGCATAATATTATTCAGATATGCTAAGTCGTTAATTCATTTCGAGATTCATAATTGTGGTTTTTAATAGACTTTTTAATAATTTTTTCTGGAATTTTGCAGAAGAGTTGGTTTCAGCTGGAAATGAGGATTCAGATCGTATTTTTTCTTCTGTTGGCTGTAATTTAAAAGGACGTGTTTCTTCTCGTATAACTATCAAGGTTTTATATTATTTCAATTTGTCCTTTTTTAATTAGGTTCATTAATTGTATTAATGTTGTTAATAAAAGTAAAATCAGTAGATATAATTTCTTAGAACTTTTTGAATATGATTGACAGATGAACGAGAGGCGATTCGTAACCGACTCGGCTATTGGCAATATTTCTCCCCCTGGCGATCCATCTGTTTCATCTACTGAGGTAGTTGTGGCGTCTTCTAGCTCGGGATCGGACTTGGCCTCTTCGAAAGGAGAAGTTCAAGTCGTTGTAAAAAAGGTGAGGTGATAGGTTGTAATCACTTTCTTGATTTTCATTTGATTTCCACGATTGCTTAACACAAAATATTCAGGCATTAGTAGATTATGACGAAAGTGATAGTGATGAGGAAGAATCGGATTCTCCAAGTAATTCCTTGGGCAAATTAGATTCTTTACCGTCAAGCTCAGCTGATTATCCTGTGTCAGCATCGAGTTCAGTGAACTGTTTAAAGTCAACATCAGATAACAAATCGTCAGATCACGACAATGTGAGTAGTACTTCCGGTGATAGCGAAATGTTGGAAAGCCAAGAAATGTTGAATGATAATTTTACTCAGGTCTGTTTTAATTTTTAGTTTATCTAAAAGTCTTGTTTTTGAAACAGATTTTTTACCTATCATTTACTTTAGCTGTTTGATAATGCTGACAATATGGAGATTTCAAATAAGAGTCGAAAGAGGGTGAGGAATACTGATGAAAACCTTGCAAATGTTTCGCGAAAGCTTAGTGTCGAAACTGAAAACGATTGTGTGAAGCGATCAAAGTAATACCATTTTTTATTCTCTAAATCTATGTTTAACTCTTTCATCTGTTGACGATGGGGATTCTTTAAAATGGAACTCTTTAAAGTTCGTTAGGAATAGCAGTTTTTTCTGGAATATTTTTTGCGCGTTCTTATATTCATCGATGATTTTTTTTTTTTCAAGGTTAGACGCAGCTGAAGAAAAAATGGAAAATTCAAGTAGTGATAATATCAATGTCGATTATATTAAGTCATAATTTGTTTTATCTTCAATGATTGTTCCAGCCTCGGCAGAACATGCTGCTTTATAAGCGATCTACCCAAGGCTTCACAAATGCAACTTAGTTTTTCGTATGAGATTAGTGTCATGATATCATGTTTAAGTTAAAATTAATAAATTCTGTGCCTTTATTTCCTTTTTCATTCCGTTTTTGCTTAAAAGTAGATAGCATTTTGATTCAGCATAAAGTTGAGGCGTTAAAAATTATTTGACGAGAATTTAGAAAATTTTTATTAATAAGAGGTTTATTTTGCAATGCTTGAAACGCTGGTCGTTTATGAAATGTGATCAAACATTGATATTTGAGTTATCAGTATTGTTTAACTACGTGTAAATTTCTTTTTTTTTCGATCTATTATTTAATGATATTTCATTATGTGGCAGCATGATATTTTCTATTGCTTTAGTCTGCAATTTTCTTTCATAACTCGAGCTTTGTTGGTTAAATATTGTACATCTAATTTCATTTAGTTCATCCAATTAGTTTATATTAAATTGATCCCATTCTTTATCCTTGAAGGTAATAGGTAGTGGAATTTTGCAAGAATTAGGCGAATTTATGAAATTTCTTTTGCTGAATGTAATATTCGATTTAAATATAAAATTTTGAAGGAATTCCACATCCTATAAAATATTCCGAGGAATTCGAATTGTTTTATGCAATTTTTATTGAAATTTTAATTGTTTTATAATGTGGGATTTAGTGACAATTTAAAATTCTTGTAGGTTCTCATTTGTAAGAAATATATATTTTATTGGACTTTTAATTTTTTTATCTTTTATTTATAGAAGTATAAAAGGATGGAAACTAGAAGTACTGTAATGGGAAGCAACATTTTTCTTGTTCTTGTTTGTAGCATCTTTTGTGAATTTTGATATTATTAATATTAAGAGTTTTCTTGTTTGTTTTTGTAACATCGTTTGTGAATTTTGATATTATTGACGTGGTTCTCAGTCCTATTTTTCTTAAAGCATTTTTAATTTTAATTTTTAAAATTTCTATATATATATTGTGGTCAAATATTAATATCTTGCTTTTTAATTAATATGTAGGCTTTTGATCGATGACTGACACTCAATAAGCAAATCTGACTGTAATTAGTGTAATTGCATTTTTTTTTAAATTGGATGCTCATTTCTAATATTTTTATACTCATTTGTTGAAAATTTTATAGAAAATTTTATTTATGTAATTCATTTATATATATTTTCGTCAGAAGGAAAGCATGGAGGAGTAAAAGATCATCTATTAGTTTGATTAAAAATTTTCACAGATGGTGGGAATACTGGTTGACTTTGTCGAATTGGATATGAGGGAAAGCTTGAGCTCCTTGTTTTCCGTGTGAGAAAACTTCCATTTGTCTTACATTTATAGCAAACCTTTTTGTTTTTGATGAGCTGGGCAGTTTTACTTGTTTGCTTATGCGTACGTTGATTGTAAAGTTTGCGGGTTAATGGAAAAATTGGTTTGCATTTTTTTTAAAATATGTATTTCTATTACTAAAGATATAAAAAAAATTGTGGTTATTGCAAAAAAAGAAATGAAGCAAGGTCGCGTGGTAGAGAGTGGTTTGTTGCTTCAGCTGAGGTTGCAAGCATGAAGTTATTTCTCTTAACAACAGCAAATTTGTCATGGGGTACGAGTGGTATCCGGAGGTGGCCACTTATACTCATCTTTAATTAATGGTGCAAAGATGGTGATTTATAAGGTGATTTATAAGTCATCTAATGTTAAGAACGGGATAACGGGAACGGGACGTGAGCAAATGTGTTTGGTATGGTTAGCCAGGGAAAGTGACAGGAAAAGTGTGAAATGTATTTTTTTTTAATGGTACCTGCACTTGGTACAAACTTATAGCTTTATTGACGAATTTTTAATGGGCAAGTAAATACGCAATAAAGTACAATAAAGAAAAAAATGAGTGGGAAAGAACGCATAAAGTAACAAAGTGTTCTGAATTCAAAGTTGATTACTTATGCATGAGGTTTGCTGATTTTCTTTACGAAATATTCTCAAAAGGTTAATGGACAGATTTCCTAGGGTTTCATGTTTCATGTTTGAATGAGAAAATCTTCAAAATGAAAAAAATAATTTGGCTCTCCGATTGATAAGCTGAAATAAGTTTGTCAGCGGCACTAAATTAGGTGCAAATGAAGCCGTCATTAAATTAAAAATTTTGGAAAATAATTTAAAAGATTAATCGAATTGGTAAAAATAAACTCTGAAAATATCGGAAAGCGGTGCGTATTTCATGAATGATTATGGTTGCCATGCAAGCGCATATTGACCATCTTTTTCGATTTTGCAACTTCTACCTTCCTAAATTTAATTTTTTAAATATTTATGGAATATTTATTTCGTTGAGCGATTTTGAGAAGAATATTTATAGAAGCAAACAAAGAAATTAATGAATTGGAAACATTTTTTTGGCGAAAAAGTCAAAGCACAGAAAACATCAATTTTTCATCGATCAAAAAATCAAAAAATTAATAATAAAGATTTATAATTTTCAAAAATTTTTTAAAATTCAAACCTTAAAATGACTTCTATAGGCGAAGTCGTCGAAAGCTACAACGGTCTCAAATTTGCCACCTAGTTTTGATTCAGCATCTTTTTGTATCGAATCCGCTACGCTAAGCAGGTCATCGCTTTTCACTGCATTCTTCATTGCAGATTCCAAATCCTTATTACAGCATGTGAAACCTGTTTTAATAAATAGAATAGAATAAGTATTTCGAGTTGACAAGAGTTTCTTGATACGAGTAAACGTTATCACTAAAAAAATGAAATCTCCGTGGCTGCTGTGGACCAACCTGTACTTCCAAACAAATTTTGCTTTGTTGTTTAGCTTTTCGTTTCTGCTTCTCAATTTTTGTTCATTCCAAGCAAAAAAAGAAAATAGCTTTAACTGACTTAATCTGGTGATTTTGAGAATTCAGTGCTATCTTCTGTCAAACTAATCAAATTTTTTGAATTCAGCGTTTTTAACTTGAAATTCTTGTGGATTTCGCAAATTCCACCTCCATATTTGCTAACTGCACTTATCTGTTTGGGCGGTATTCTAGTAACGCGCCTGTTTTCAAATTACAGGATTTATTTTGATTTGACATATGCTTTGCCAACTCCAACTGTCATACCATCTTAGAAAATTGTCCACGAAAATAATTCAGAGAATTTTTTTGTTTTGAAATTTAGTTTTATCAAATAATTACCACTATCATTGATATAACAACTTTCTTGTTGCGCCGTTATCATCAAAAACGTCACAGTGATGCATATTCCAATCCTCAATTGCATATTTCGCAAATTTCGCACTGAAATATTAGGCAAATGACGTGGACTGCTTTAAACACTAACGTATTAGCGAATATTCTCCAATAAATGTTGTTATTTTCCCAGAAAAGGACAAATGCAAAAAGGGCTAAAATTAAGAATTTTTTTTTGTGTCGCAGAAAAAGACAAAAATACGGAAATACAAGCAATAAATCATAGAATCCTTTTCATATTTAATTATAATTTTATTGAAATGCGATGGAGAAACGATTTAACGAAGAAATAAGCACAATTATAATAAATAGGAAATTTAACCAATTTTCGCTTAAAAGACATTAATTAGATGACGAAGATTTGCAGCGAAAAAAGAAGTATTTCTCGGATTTAATATAAACGTTAAGGTTGGAGACAATTTTTCTTTGCGGCGAAATTTCTGGAAAAATCGTAATTTAAAGGTTTTATTGAACAGGATGAACGATATTCAAAAGTATACATTGTTGGATGGTACCGAGCATAAAAGTTATGGAAATTCAAATATTAATTTATACGAAATTCAAAATAAGTACTATTGCGACAAGCGCACTTTTGATACAACCGTATTTATTCTATTTGAACAGAATTCTGATTTTCTGGAGCCAATGATCTACTCGAAGGCCCTGTTTTCGAAAGTATTTTGAAAGTGAAAGGAAAAGATGTAGAGAGAGGGAAAAAACAAGCTTGTTAACGAGAGACTCGGCGAATAAGGGGAATGAGGAAGAACGTCGATATTCAACTCGGCCAGTTTTTGCAGAGATTTTTGCAACGTTCGGTCCAGCATTATGTTATTTTTATTTTGATGGCCACTACTGATTATTCTTATCAACCAGGTCACTGCTGTACGACTATATCGTAATCATATTACTGTATTTTAAGAAGTTATAGTGAATCAATCCTACAGCAAACAATGAAATCCATTTATCATCGCAAGTAAAAATCCGTCGGAGAAAAGGATCGTTATTCATATTGTAGTGAACAAAACACTTCCAAACGTCCATGATCTCCAGTGCTCATTTCATGCGGTACCCATTTGTTAAGCTTTTTTCTTCTCATTATATATGCATTCTATACATGAAACGACGTGCTCTTGCCCCAGATCTGCAACTTCTTCTGAAGATCAGCTTCCACATTCCCTTTAGAAATTCACATTGCCTATTGCCAATTTCCCGAACTTTATGAATATAAACTTGGTTTGGGAAATTTTCAGCTTTCAAGCTCTGTACTTTCGGACTTGAATTTTATGGATCCGCCCTTATATTGTCTTTGCTTAGGTCGTCATTTGCATATTGGGAAATGCCATTGTCGTTCAATGTTCAAAGTTTATACTGATAAATTTCCAGAAGTGGGAAATCACAATCTTCTATATCGAATCTGATGGACTGAATTAACCAAAAAAATTTATGCACAATTATTTTTGGATTTGGCTGAATCGCAACACGCTTCGTCAGGCAGCGGTGTCGCCTAATAGATAAGACAAACGAAAGTAGAATTGCTCAACTCGATGTTGAGGTCTTATTCCCCGGTAAGCGTATCCAAAAATCGGGTTGATACTGACGGCCCTGTATTTCTACTGCCAGGAGAATTCCTGTCATATTTATTTAATATGAAAAGCCAGTGGAGCGAGCCTAACCAGCATTAACGAGTACTCTTTAAAAAAGGACTGACGAAGAGAAAAGAAACTAGAGATCACGCCAAACATAGCAATATCTGACACGTCGATTAATGTGGTATAACAATAAAAAGGCACAACAAAAAACGCTTTTCGTAAGGCCTAATTTGATATAATTTGATATCCAGGTATAGACATATTTGTTTTTCTATACGTAATTAAGCCTCTAAGGAAAAAATTTCACACTGTCAAATGGATCAGCCAAGCCAGAAAGGCTGAAAAACTGAATGACGGTAGTTGTGCTGTTATTTCTTGTGACTCGTTCTTCTTTCTTTCTTCTTTGACTTTTCACATCGAACAATTAACCAAATTTCATAAATAAAATAGCAAATAGCGAGAAGTTTTAATGTTTCTCGAATAAGAAAAATTTATATCTTTTGTAAGCATAATTGGCACTATAATTAAATCGACGAGGTCCTATTCGATAGTCAATATTTTAATTAAGAATTATTTGGATTTCAAGTGAATTTTTGGAAAAAATTATTTAAATATGAGGCGATCGTAGAATGAAAAGCAATATACTAGCTTAGCTACAAATACGTCACAACGCTTTCTTTTATCTTTACAACATAAACGACATTATCAGTTAAGAAAAGAAACACGAATAATCGAAAAAATGCTCGATATAAATTTTAATTTGAACAGCCCGTTCATCAAGCAAAGTTTCGTTTGTAAAATCCATATTCTTAGAGAATTTCTGAAAAATTGAAACACTGAAACAACTGATTTGCCTATTTTCGCAATCACTACTTTTATATTGCACTTAATTTATGGATAAAAGGTTTCCACTTCATTAAATTTAATCAACTTAATTAGATTAATTAGATTACCTGTTTTAAAGCTAAGTTTTAAGGCGGTTTTTTTTCATCTCTACAAATATTTTAGCTCTATTTTTGTTCCACTCATCCGCCATAAAATAGAACAACATTTATTATTCTGTGATAAATTTTAGGCTAACGAAACTAAAAGAAATAATTGGCACTTGACATTTCTGGTTCGGTTAGAAGACGAGGAATTATTGAGATTATTAATTTCTATCATTCCATATCATTCTGCTACCACATTAATTCAATTTCCGGATTCTATCATTCTTTGAGAAGCGTTAAGTTTTCAGTTTAAATTTATCATACAATACCATCAGTCATTGTGAAACTGAGAAATATATCCAATGATTTTTTCGGATAATCATTGTTTTTACTTGCTATAACAAAGCGGTATAAGATTCGAAAAATCTAAAAAATCAAAAAAACAATAAAAAAACTTAAAAAAAACAAAAATTTCAAAAATTTCAAAAAATTTTTTCGTCTATAAGAAAGAAAAATTCTTTCAGAGAATTCTTATGGGATTCTGAAAACTTTGCTGGAAAATGAAGTTTTATGGACCCATGTTCGACAGCCTAAATTTGAAATAACAAATATTGGTCCGAAAAAAAAGAAGAATAGATCAGTTTGTAGAAATATTGGTTAAAATAAAAGATGTGAAAGAATATATGAATGGCTGAATTAAATGATGGACCTGAATTGAACAAAAATTTGGGTTATCTTGGTCAAAACATTTTATTTTCTTATGATTCTTTTTAATCTCATTAAATAATTTTACAACAGATTCCTTTTTTTTCTTGACAAAACCGCGAAAATTTGCTGAGCAAATCATTTTAATAGATCTTTTTTGATGAATTCTCAATATAAATGAAATATAGAATGTGAAACATTTTTATCAATAAACAGAAATTTACAATCGCAAACGATTAATGTAAATTATATAGTTCAAACAGTATGTGTTCGATTTATATCTTTTGACATGAGCAAATCTTTTGTCACCGATGAAATTGGGTTAGTACTGGTAACTTACCCGTAGTCGATCCATATTCATCTATATTACAATGAGGTTAACTTCGATGTTTCCAATCATTCCATCCATTTATAAAGCATAAATCATTCTTCTTCTAGCAACATTTCTATAGCACTCATCATTTCTAGTCTGACTGATTCCACTGACCTCTGACGTGAGTAACGAGGGTTTCTTAGGGAGAAAAATCTCAGTATTTTCTAGTGTCATCCGATTTCCATCCATCGTGATATTTACTCCTTGAAAATGCAGCAACCGAATCCATGATAATTCCTTTCCTTCTTTCTTAATTTCTTTTCATTCAAAAATTTAGCTCATTTGAAAAAAAAAATTCCTAAAAACTTCCTCACGTTTAAGGGCGAAAATGAGCAATAAATTAAATTGGATCCGTATCAGTTTCATATTTGAGGGATCTTAGTCATTTTCTTATATTTAGAGAAAGATTGCCAAACTTGGCAGAAATTTTGCTAGCAAATAATAAAGTCTATCGATTTCTGCCAATGATTTTTTTATTATTTAGATAAATAACTGAAAAGCCTGTGGATCGATGAAAGTCAAAAAATTTCCCCACTCAATTTGTTTTGAGTGGCTCTGATTTGCAAAAGCAGAAACTTTCAAATCCTGAATATCAGTAGTGATCTTCATATGATTTTTTTTCGACCTCAATAAAATCCGGAAAACCAGAAAATTAATGTTAAAAAATTGGATGATACATTTTGAACTTACAAAAAAAATGATCAGCATACGTTTTCTCCAAAGTTCCACTTATAATTTTGTAAAATTTCATGGTCATTCGTCTTAATCTTTCTTCGCTATTAAATTGTACCATTTCACACCTCTTATCCTTTTAACCAATGGAACAAGCATAATTAATAATGGTGAGAGCTGTTAGAAGAAGATTTCATGCTTTGCTAAATCCAATCATGCAGTTCATCCAATCTTTCATTCAACTATAACGCAAATATGCATTAGGATTATGTAGAAGGTAATCGAAATAAGAAAATCGCGATGATTATTCTATTACACTTTCCGCCTTATATCAACTGACTGACTAAAAATCAATGAAAATCCTGATTTAGATCGGTTTTCAACTCGGAAGAATTTAGGAAAGTCGATCATAAATGGAATTTTTTACCAATAAATTTTAGCGAGATTTTTCCATCCTGTCGTGTGTTCGAGTTTTAGAGATTTCTTTTTATTATTCTATAGCCTTTAAAATTAAATTAAAATTTTTCTATTTCGCTTTAAAAAAATTGCCATTTTTCCGAATCAAATATTGCTTCGAATTCTCTCTGATTTCGCTTCATCCAATGTAACAACGATATCGATGCGATATCGTTTATTTTTATAAAGCATTTATCGAAATTCCAGAGAAAGATGAAATTAAAATTGCTATAATTTATTTTCTTATTGTTTTAACGATTATGGTCCCAAGTATATAAAGAAACCGTTTAATTAAGCAACTTATTTCTTAGAAAAAATATTTAAAAATATTTTTAAAAAAATTTTGACAACTCGTAAATTTCTGAAATTATCATTTATTAATATTCCTTATTGTTACTATCATTGGTATTATTACTGAATAGTATTTTTAGTATTTTGGAGGGGAAGAGGGTGGAGGAGTGAGGAGAATAGCGAGGTAGATGGACATTCCGATTATCGCGCTGAGAAGCATGAGTTCGGTTATAGTTGCTGATGGGAATAACCTGTCATCAAAAAATCTGAATGGTGTTGGCGGCTGTCTGCACTTCTGTTGCCAATTGCTTCCTTAGCAAAAATTTCTAACCGCACTAATACCTGTAGAGCGAGTCTAACAGAGAATGGTGAGTGCTAACCACTTTACTTATTTTTACTCTAATTATTTTTACTATTATTATCATTAATTATTAATCATTAATTATCATAATAATTATTCATAATAATCATAATTAATCATAATAATCATAATAATTATTAATTATCATTAATAATATAATTATTTATTCATTCCTATATTATACTTGAAAATTATTACTTTATTATTAAAATATTATTATTATTATTAATTATAATAATATTATTATTAATTATTATTAAAATTATCATACTTGAAAATTCAGTGGGAATAGATGTGCAAATAAATCAGATATCTGAATTTCATTTCTAATCCTAAGAACCGAACCCATATTTCCTTGCCCTCAGTTACCATTCTCTGTTTGAAGAACATCCGATTGACTAACCAGATTTCCTGAGTTCACTTTTTACTTTCATCGTATATCATGGTATACCTTGTTTATTTCAAATTTGAACAAAAAATTCGTCTCAACGGCTAATAGAATTGTCTTCGAACGTAAGTATACTGATACCTCTTCGAAATTCGTTAAAAATTCTCTTGGAGTTTACTAGTTTTATTTGTCAAATCCTTATTTTTTTCCTTATTACTGTTCAATTTCCATAATAATCTCATAAAATTTTTAGTCATCTAATGTGATATTATAAATTGTGATTATGATAGCGGCGAAAATGTGGCGTAAAAAGGTTCAACGAAGTGTAAATGGAATAATAAACAAAGTTTAAAGCAATGTTTTAAAGGATCAGGATAAAAGATAAAAGGATATAGCGGGGTTTGAGGAGAATATTAAAGGATTATGACTGGGTTTGGGTAGGATTTGAATCGAGTGAGACTCGTTTCAGGTAGTAACTTATAGCTTAGTGGAATTATTTAACACTGAATCAACCAGGGCTTCTGCGAAACCATGTGCTGCTGCTAAAAAAAAACAAAACAAAACACTGGATCTGAAGTCTGTAGAGAACTTATGGCGAATAGTAATGAAGTTTGCATGAGGAAGTTTAAGGAGTGTTATCGATGAGTTTCAGCAAAAGGCCAAAGCCGAGAGTATTAAAAGGAGATAGGATTTTGACAATATAAAAAATTGTAATAGGTTATATAATAGGTTAAAAATTGTAATAGGATCTCCAGAACTGGGGATTTTGATAGTGAGAGGCTAAGTATAGGAGAACTTAGCAAAGCAGTAAGGTTAAGGAATTGTAGCGGAAGTTGGCAAAGCTAGAAAACTGCGATTGGCTCTGATGAAATTAAGACGGTAGAGGGGTTTTAACAGTTTTAATGTTTTGGCAAATGGCTAACGAAAGATTTATAATGGTGTTCAAGGGAAGTTCTGATAGGTGCAAACACGCTATTAAGGATCTGTTTCAATGGATATTAAGATAGTATCTCAAGAAAGAATTTTAGGGAAGTTTTTCACAAAATATGACAGATTTTTGAGGAATCATACAATCTCAATTCAAACGACCAAACTGTATTTAATTATTTCATGAAATTTATTTCTTATTTAAAGCGCTATGTTTAAATTTAAAAAACTAGGATTCTTCCATTTCAGTCAATTAATGATCGCTTGTAAATCTGTTTCTTTTTCTTTTACGATTGTTCGATGAATGCTTTCTTTTCCAGGTATTGTTTTGTTTTTTGGAATAGGGAATAGAGCTATTCCAATGTTTTTTTCCTTTCTAGAGTATTAATTGCTCATCTATTTGATATTAAATAGTATGCAGACTAAATTATTTTTAGTCATTTAGCATTTTTAGTCATTTAGCATTTAGCATATTTAGCATTTTTTTCATAAACCTACTATAACGCTAACTTTTAACTTACTTCTAACTGAAATAAGCTATTGAAATGCAATTCAATTTAGATGACTAACTAACTAACGGACATCACAAATTCTTCACATTCATTTCATCGAATAGTCGGTAGACTGAGTTTTTTAAAAATTATTTAAATCTTTAAATTTTAAATTATAACTGCTTCGCTAGGTGTTTTCTTTTAATTATTGTATTCACCGCTGTATATTAAAAGAAAAATTTTTCAATTATGCAATTTCCTATAATTTAATAATCACCAGTTTCATTTTGCCTTGCGCTTCTTCGATTCTATTTTAGATTTTTGCTAGCACATTTCATCTGATATTAGATTAATTCGGGTTTATTAATAAATTTAACGCAACTTTATAAATACACATATTAATATTGTCATTTATTGTTACCAAATGTTATCACTTTTTTATTATTAAGTACTATTATTATTTTATTATTAAGTACTGTACTATTATTATTATTATTGTCATTATTGATATTAATTTAATTATTATCACCATCATTGTTATTATCATTACTATTATTATTATTGTCGTTATTATTTATTTAGATAAAAGAGCTCAGTATGAATTTTTATTGTGCCGTGATGGTTCAAAACATTTTGGTAACAGCTGGAACAGAATATGGGGTTAGTTCCATTTAGATTTTGCTTCACATCTACAAAGTAGATTGGTTCAAAGTTATTGAAATCCTCGCCTACATCTACATCCTACAATGATTCGAAGGACTAAAAAAGTGTTCAACTCAATGTTTTCTTGATCTGTAAATAATTCACAAAAAATTTCAGTACCAAGCGATATATGACAACGGTGGTCATTTCGTAGATGTTCGTGAAGGGGAATTTGAGGGCCTTAGTAATTATGGCGGTGAATACAACAGTGATATTAAGCAAGACCAGTTTAAAAAAAATGGCAATTTTAACAACGGTATTGAAAAAGTGCTTAGGCGAGAAAACAACACTGGCAAAGTGCAGCGACCAAATTTACAACTAAACAGCCATAATGATGTAGTGCCGTTCATTTCACATCATAGTTTTGGTAAAAACTTGATCCGAACCAAAATTCCGAGTCAAAATGGCGAGAAGTTTAATCAGCTTAAAGGTTCAAAACTCTATGTTGAATATTTCATTTTAAAAAATTTTGTCCTACAATTTTCTAATAATTTTACAGTCCTTTTATTCGAAAAGTTGAATTCTAGCTTTAAAAACAAAATTTCATGAAATTATGTGCTCATGGATGGATGCAATATATTTAGCAGTCATTTTTCAGAAACTAACATTTTTTCTCTTAATAAAGAGCATCAACAACGACCTTCGAATAAGCAACTGGGTTATGAAAAGAATGAAGAAGAATTAACCACTTCAGAAGAAAAGCATGTAAGGTTAAAAAAAAGAAATTTAACTGCCATTAAAATTCATTGTTGATAGAAACCGAAATGAATAGAATTCTCTGACCAAGTAGTTTTGTTGAATAGCTAACTTAGCCTCTCCTTACAACGGAATCAAATATTTCCAAGAGTTTTCTCTTTGCTTTGCTTACCTTATCAAATTTGCTTATCAAATAAGATTGAGGTTGTTATTTTTGTTAGATGGCGAGATGAAAGTAAATTTGCATATTTTTTCAGTTGTTTAAGAGCTCAGAGACACAGTTTAGCAGAACTTCTAATCTCAAGTATGGTGATTTCCGGGAAGATTTTGATCAAAGTATTATACCGTTCTCACCAAGTATTTCACAGTGCTTCAAAAATGCTAAAGGTTAAGTTGAGCCATTAAATTAAACTGTTGAAATAGGAAAGCTAATAAGAAAATATATGTGGCGTATTGAAACTGCATTAGTTTCAACTGCACTATATTTTAAGGTTTTTGAGAATTGTTCATATCTTTCTTTTCATAAATGCGAACAAACTGTTTAGTCTCATAAAAAATTGCCTTCGGGAAAATGATACGATCGCCTAAAAAAACAAAAAAATTAAGTTGAATAGAATGAAACTCATCTCCGCGTTGAACTTAAACGTCGAAGTTTTTTAAAGTTTTTTAAGTTTGGAAACTATTAACGCTATTTTTTATCAATTATGAATAATTTGGTGAAGGCTGAATTTATTTTTTTGTCACCTCAATTCATTAACCAAATGCTTGGCACAGCCAACTGTTTGATAAAATTTAATCATAGAAATAATAATAAAAAATAAAGATTTTAATTTTATTTATTTTATTTATATTATTGTAAGGTTAAAATTAAGTCAACACAATTTACAATTGCGTTATTCAATTTTTTTCATAAACTTGTAATGAGATGATTAAATAATTCTCATTTTCGTGAACGCTTTATATTATATTTTTATTACCATAAGTTCAAAGACCGCAAAAAATTTTTGCTTGACGTCGCATGTGACCACGCCTTTTGCCTTTAGGAACAATTTGATAGTAATTGATAATTTAATTTAATTCATATGTGAATAAAATTAAATAAAGAATCTTAGGGTTTATTTGTTGTAACCATGATTTGTTTGCATTAATAGAAGAAGTATCTTTAATCATTGAATCAAAAAATTATTCGATATGTAATATGCAAATAATAGCTCATCTTCTTCAGGTATTTTCTATTTTGATATAAATTTTCATAAAATTTTCCTCATTTAAAATTTGCGAAAGCTATGATGATTTTTATAAATCCATAAAGGGAATAATCTCGCAGAAAAGAAGAATAATCAAAAAAATTTGAATTCGGCATTAATTTATGGTTATCTTCTTCATAATCACGTTAGAGCAGAAATAGCAACTATATATGAATAAGTAATAATGTATCTGATAGGTAATAAAGAGAAAATTTCTTATGGCTTGTTGAATTCTTTAAAAGAGTAAAGAAATATGCGATTCTTGGATCCAATGGAATGAAAATAAAAGTGCGCTTTTCAGCAAAAAGCACAGAAAAAGCTTGGATCACCTTTCGAAGTGATTGTAAGCCCGAGTGATTTTGCCTCGAAATCACACTTTGTTGGAAACATGTTGTGCAAGGTTTGAATAAATCGGTTTCGAATTCTTATCAGATAAACTCATGAACCAAGGTTTTTGATGATTAAGCCAAAGATATTACTGATATTACTGAATGAATGAATTGCTGAGATGATGCCAAATCGTATTCATGATCCTCACGATTTACACATATTATCAAAGTCATACTAAGAAAAAAATCAACACTGTCAAAAATCTCCGTGTGTCGCTGACGATACTTCTATTGCCGGGAGTCTTCCTGGCATATTTATCTAGTCTGACAAGCCATAGGAGCGAATCTATGAGTGCTTTTTAAAAAAATCTTTTAAAAACCTGTAGCAAGGACAAACCAGTTGTCATATTCAGCTTTTAACGTCATCCTTGTATAGAAAATTTAGAAGGAAAAATATGAAAAAAGGAATACGAACTTCTCATTTAATTTTTAATACTATTGTCTTTGATTCATTCACGATATTAGTTTAAATAAATTAGTCATTTTTGCCTTTTATTATAATTTATTAAAACAAAATCTAATTCTTTTTTCGCCGTTCACCATTTGTAATCACCGATTTTTTCCCAGTAGTACCTTTATTGCTTAAGTTGTCTCACTGTTGGCTTCTCGAACCAAATAAATTTTGCTAAGGATTCCTCTGATTATCGAAATAACGATAATGTGGTAATGCGGTTCGTTAGAACCATCTGCCCTGGCAGAAGTACAGCACTAAAATAACAATCCACTGAGCATACTTTGCACTCGGCTCACCATTACTTCATCATAGGGGGCCTCGCATTTAACCAGTTGTGCACATCTAATGGACAAAAAGAATAAATTTACTGGTTTCTGCTACAAGTGAAGAAAAATGGTTTAGGAATAAATCAATTCCAATCGCAACCAAGATATTTAACAAATTCAGGAAGACTTTTTTTTAATATGCAAATTCAACAAAAAATTTTGGAATGAAATCGAAATCTAAAATCTCAATGTCTAAATGTTTAAATTTAGAATGAAATCAATGGGCGATATATTCTTATTTATGGCACACCTGAAGAATACGATTATGAACTTAATATTGCAACTAATTTAACGACCCCAGTTCCATTTCCATATTAAATCGAAATGACAACCAATGAAATTCAATCTCTTCTTTTCCACATCCCCTCGGAATTCATAACGATTCTAAATATTTAGAATGAAATCAGTGGCGATATATTTTTATTTGTGGTACATGTGAAAAATACGATTATGAATTTAATGCTGCGACTGATTTAGCGACTTCAGTTCCATATTAAATCGTTAAAAAAAAGTTATATTTTCTCACAAATATTCATGCAATTTTATTTTTATCAGTGGCATTTATAAATTAATATATTTATGTTTGCTGAAAACCAGCCAAGCAGGGCCATATTAATAACAACAGTTAAAATAACAAATAATAAGAATTAATGGCAAAAACAAAAAAAAAAATTAACAATTTAAAGATGAAATAAAGGGGAAGTTACAAAGTGCTATTAAGCAAAAATATTTTACCGAAAAGTTTATTTTAAAGAAAAGAAAAAGAAAAAAATTTTTAAAAACTTCTTTCAATCCAGTAAAATGATTGCAAACAAATGAAATCTTACAAACATTTTTAATTTTTTGCAAAATTCATTTATTAGTTATTTATATTGAAATATTATTTTTTTTGCAAATCCTCTAGTAATTTATGATAAAAGTGAGGAAAATAATTAATTTAGAAGTCTCAAAATCATATAGAACGAATTTATTAATATGTAAATCTATTAAATTGTCTTTGAATTTGTACATCATATTATTCAATAGAATAATGATTTGTCTTGAAAACTGTAAAAATTAGAAAATTTTCTAATATTCTCATATAAATAGCCTTTTATCTATTAATAGAACGCTTGAAATCAATGGGCGATATATTCTTATATAACGTTTAATTTTTGGTTTTGTTGGCTATATAGTTGTTATGGCTGTGAGACTTTTTCGTCAAAAAGTTCGCTTATGTCGACAATAACCATTGAAATTTCGTTTTACCTACGTCAGATGGGGTGGAAAGAATAACAATTCGGAAATAAACACAGCGAAGGAATGCAGAAGATTTTGGGAAAATAAAAAGAATATCCGATGAGATAAGAATATCTGATGAAATTTTTCACAAAAAATGATAAGTTTCCGGAGATAAGGAACAAACACAGGCGATTAATATTTCTCAGGCTTCTTAAAAGAATGTTAGTGGGCTTCAAACGAAGGAAGCAACGGGCTTTCGTATCACAACATATTAGGTCACCATGGCGAACTTATCAAATAATCCTATAGCATAAAATTATTTCTGATTTTAGAAAAAGAATACTGTGCAAGTGATAAAAGGATTTTGTTAAAAGGATTTTGACTGGGCGATTTTGATTTAGACGAGCTTACGAGAAACTATAATGGTGTCTAAAAGGGTTGGTACAAGGAGATTAGTAATGTTTCTACAGAGGAATCGTAAAACAAGCAACGACGTTTCATTAACTAATCCTAGGCATTAAGAGGTGTTATTGAGACATAATATGACATAAATGATGACGCTAGAGAACGAAGGTTTGATGTGAAGGATCTGAAAGGTTCCACGGGATTCAAAGCATATTACTAATAGATCAGGACTTTGGAGATGAGGGAGTCTTAGAGGACACCAAGGAGATAATTGGGCTATTTAACTATTCGATAGAAATGGCAAAAGAATTTTGGCCGATTTTTGAGGAAATAAACCGCCCTTCTCCTCACAAAACCTGGCATGTCAGCACAGAATTATTGAACAAAATGGCCATATTCGATATATTTCAACTTCAGTCAACTTCGTTTCAATTTGGAATTTCGGATCTTTGGAAATTAATATTCTAAATTTTATGGACAGAAATTGATGTCTTGACTTCCCCGAAATAATGGACGTACAAGACATCTTGACCAGTCCCGCCTCCCTCCTCCTCTCCCTCCCCAACCCGCTCACCCCCACCAAGTCCACGGATCAATTGCCTGACAAGAGAGGAGCACAAAACTATGGAGAAATGGAAAATGCTCGCCAAACCTAAAATTTATAATATTAAATCACAACCATATCCCAAAAGAATTTCAGAAATTTGGGAAAAGGATATTAGTCTCCGTCTTAGCCTTTGCAAAAAACTTGCCCACGCCAACCTGCAAAACTTAGCACATCCGCAAAATAAAACAAGACTGTAACAACAGTTCTGCCTTTCACAAAAATTTATTTAAACAAACATAAAAGTGTACAAACGACCAAATGTAAAATATATTTAACAAATTTATAGTGCAAAAAACCGAATGCAAAAAATATACACGCAAACATGAAATGGTTTTTATGGTTTTTGAAACAGATTTCTCTGACGGCTCAGGATTAATGAAACACGAAATAGAAACCCAAAAACAATGGAAAAAAACTTTAACAATAACGCATCTGCACCGCGTATTGCCGATCCCTCGTAATAGCAGTGGAGTCTTCCTCGATATTACAAATAAATACTCCTAAACGAAAAAACGCCACCCTCGCTTCACTTGCTTTGAACAAAAGGCCCATCCTCCTTAGACTATTAACTGAAAAAGCCATTTAATATTATCGTCCAAAAATAGCTTGCCAATTTCTATTCCAACTTTTGCAAGAGAAGACTGAAATATTCGATAAAAATATTAAAAATTTTGGTAATTTCCAAGGATCGCAATCACTTTACGCAAAAAAATAGAAACAAGACTTCAGTCCTATGATTCAACTCAATTAAACATTTCCATATGAGAACAAAATTAAATTCACAATCTAAAAAAACACAGCCATGAAAAAATATTTTAAAAATTGAAAATTCATCAAAAAATTTACAATTATTCGATTAAATACAAAATAATTGACAATTTGAACAGGATGATAAAGTGGTATGTTGCTGCGATTAAAACCAAGCAACCACAAATTTAATTCCCACCCTTTGAAAACAATAAAACAATCATTAAAAAAACTCGGGCAGCAGCACTACGAAACCAATTATGCTCCTACCCCACAAATATTTTTCAATTTCAACTCAACGGCTATTGGAGCAAATTAAATTAAAAATGGTGGGTGCTCTCTACAAAAAAATACGAAATTATTGCAGCAACTCAATCAACAAATAAAACACTAATCATTTGATAACTGCCAGTCAGCACTTATAAAAAAATATAAAATGGGTAACTTTGAAAAAAACTGCTCAAAAGAAAATATTGTAAAGAGCTTAAAAAATAAACTGCAAACATAAAGTGAAAAGGTCAATATGATTAATCGATTCTTGACCGACAAAACCACATATACAATAATATAAAAAAAAATATATGAATACTACTAACTCATAAATAATGAGAACAGCAAGATTAAAAAAACTATAAACTGCAAACGGTATCATACATTTTAAAAAATTTCCCTTCCCTACCCCAGCGTCCTGTATTCTGAAAAAAGCATCCTGATCTTACTAGTTTTTCATCTCAAAACAATAAAAAACATTATGACACCAATTTCTTCCGTATGTACTAATTAAAGCTATTCATTAGGCAAAAAAAAAGTCATTGTTTAAATGAATTAACCTGAAAGTAGTGACTATTCTATAGAAGAAAAAACAAATTACACAACTATAAATTTTTAATTATCTGGGACGATATTCAGTTCTCTTTCCTCTTCTTTAATAGCCTCATCAATTGCATAGCACAGTGATAAATATCTAGAAGGGCACAAATCCTTGATTATGTAAAGTCGAGCAGCAATACGTCTGGCTGCAAAAAATTTGCAATATTGAATACGAACTAGATGAGAAATAGAAAACAATTTATATGAGACAATCTTAAAGCACTTCTGTTTATAAATGACAGGAAAGAAAAACTCACCAAAGCTTGAAGTTGAGTCAAGTGCAGCAATAGGTTTCTCTTTTGATTCAGTAAAATGAGCTGGAATCGATTTCCGAACTACAATTCGCTTAGCATTGAGCAATCTTGCACTTTTCCTTACGCCTCCACTTGGCATTTCATGGTTCGCAACTACCCCACTAGACCACGGAATGGTAGAACTCTCGAATTCGTCAAAGCTTGAGTCTGAATCGTCTCCATATTCCCTCTTTCTAACTGAACTTCTGTTCATATATTGCTGTTCTCCCATTAAATCATGATTTGAATCTCTAAGGGCACCTCGACGAGTCTCTAATCTCATTCTGAAAATTCACCGTATTTTTTTTTTTTAATATTTCACAGTTTTTATCCATTTTTCAATTTTTTAATGAATCATCTAAAGTAGTTTCAATTTCAAGTGTTGTGTCAATTCGTGCTTGCAGAAGGTAATACGGGAGCATAGTTACTGCAACCACAACCTGACGTTTTTACATTTTCTTAACACTCTTCCAAGCTCCGTTATAAAACTCCTTCAGTTCACGTTTAAATATACTTTTCCTCCAATTTCCATTGACTGCAAAAACAGTTAAAGAAATCGAATTACAAATCTGAATCATGGACTACAATTTTAAACCCTGGTTAGACTTATATAAAAATTTCTTAAGTTCGCCAGGTTGTAACTGCTTTTATTCTATTTTATAAACCTTATAGAAATCACGACATGAGTTCAATTTTCCAAAACTATATGAAATGAAAAGAAAAAAGTGCCAAGAAAGCAAAACTACATCCTCACCTCTCTGGCTGTTTCGTATGAGATCTGATTATAAGCCTACGGCTATTGACAATATTAGTGTTCATTTCAGAACCATCTCGAATAGATGGAAGCTGAAAATTTGGTGAATAGTCACACGGTTGGTTAAAAGATGCATTTGCATCTCTAACCGCTGCCTAAAATAATGCTAATTGAAGATGCAACGATTATAATCTTTGAAAAATTTTAATAGAATTTTAATTTTAAACAGAAATTTTCTCACAGAGCAAAACAAATAAAAAATTAAAAAAAAAAACGGTACTGGAGGTGTCGCATTCGTGCTTTCTTCGACGAACGATTCACCACTTCGAGGAATCTGTAAATATCAGATTCAATATTTCCAGTTGTTTTAAATGAATTCTACCATTATTAAATGAATAACTGAATTAATATGGATATGGCAAATTGTACATTGAACTATATATAATCCTACCTTTGATGGCTGCATCCAATTATATTTCCTCTTCACAGGTGGTTTATCTTGTCTTGTGAAATGCATCATGTGGTAAAATTGCCACTTCGATTCTGGAGGATTTAGTCCTGCGGCGATTGCTCGATCATACCTTCTTCGTATTTGATTATAGTAATCCATCATATTCTTCCAAGCCAATTTAATCATATCGCCTGAATTATTCTCGACTAATTTAGGCATAATTTTCTCACATTTTATGGTTAATCAGCCACTGAAATTTCACTTACTCATATGCCAACACTAACTGCTTTAAATGAATGCAGATAAAAACAAAGTCTTGAACAATTATGCTGACTTGTAAATGCCACTTCTTCATCAGTTAAGACACGCGCGATTTCTTCGAAAGCAAGCCAACGTTTCGGAACATCAGTATAACTCGGATGAGTGACCTGCAAGCGTTGAATATCCATTATCCATCTAATTATGATAATATTTTTTGCAATGAGATTCAACAAAGAGCAAGTGAACATTAAAACTTTTGTTCATAAAGTATAAGCGTATTTCGATTTAAAAACATATTAATTTATTTTAAAAATAACCAATAACCAAAAATATTCGAAAAATGACCTTCCATATTAAAGGACGCAAAGCAATTTGCTGTATAAGAATTGCTTTTTTCTCGTCAGTCATTCCAAACATCGCCATGCTGATTTGCTTTAACGTAACGACAATCTCTCTAAAATTATCACCATATACAACTGATTAAGAAAAGAAAGATAGAGGTTTATACCTCATAAAACATTTGGAAAGACGACTGTTGCTTACCAACCTTCTAAAAAAAGATGGGCTCATAAAAATTAAGATGTGAAGTGTTAAAAAATGGCGTGAAATTTCAAGGATTTGCACCAAACTCATGGCACAAATATTAATGCTTAATATTAAGGCACGCCAGAACATGCACATTGAAGTTTAAACTACCTCATAATTTTATATTTCATCCAAAAACTGATTCACTACTTATTTTCCGTAAAATATTTTCTTTCTTTTCTTTGTATAAACCAAACACATCAAAACTCTGCTACAAATGAATGCAGTTTTTTAAACAACCTCAGAAAAAATGGAACCAGCTGTTGGGTTATCTTCATAAAAAGTTACATATTAAAACAACAACTTTTCGTAACACTCATAAGTGAACATCTGAAAATTAAATTCCTTCTTTTATGCATTTTTTTCCTTTTCATCTATTACTTCCATCGCTTAAAATATTACTTCAATAAATATAGCTAATCAATTTAATGCAATAATTTGATTTTATTTTACCAACCCCTTCTTCAATTTTTGACTGCTATAAGCACATGGCGCTCGTCACTTTGTTTTTTTTGGTTTAAATAAATAAATGAAATAATAATTTTAAAGAGAAATCCGAGAGCGAACGGCATCGTTTCGATATTTAGTCGCTCGAAAAGACGAAACCTATCGTTAAAACTGAAAGTGAAAGTGGGTGAGATTTTCCACTCGTATTCGCTTCGAGACGGTTGTGCCGCGTGGAGAAATCTGATTCAACTCAATTAATTTCGAACAACAAGGCGCTTTATTCGAAGAACGAATATTAAATTATTTGCAATCATATAAATTTTAATATTTAAAATAAAATAAAAATTAAGGAAAATTATTGAAATGCGAGTAATAAAATAGTTCAACGCGCATTTCATTTCAAATAATAAATTATTAATTAAAACAATCTCAGATTTAAAATAAAGAAGTAACAACAATATTCACCTAAACGACACCGAATTGCTCGCAGCGAAATTTGCGAAGACGAAACGCACGTTACGTGGCAATTGCTGTCAATGACTAAAGCGAAATGAATAAGCGCGCTCGCTAATAAACAAAATACTGTAACATGCAACCACATTCGAGGAAGAAACGTAAAACTCGTCTCATCGACTTCTCATACCAAAGCATCGTTCCCAATCCCCAAGAGTAATGGATGTCTCCGATTTGGCTGGTTGCACATGTTGTCAAGGTGGTCTCTTCACGAGAGAGTCGTTTTAGAGGGCGATTAAGGATTGGCCCTTGGCACTATCCACGCTCCACGACACGCTTAGTCTCCGTCGAGAGACACGGGCGAAACATAAAACGCTTCACGTCGACCTTGTGCAAGCAGGCCTTTGTAATACGTCGAAATTACACCGTTTCAGGAATAGATTCGAATATGCTTCATCACTTCGACGAAGGATAGATGCTTTGTATGTTCTCCAATCGCTAAAGTTAACTTCCTTATAGAATCACAAAATATATTCCAACTTTTCAGCACAGCCACCTGTATATCACTTTTATAAGCAAACACTCATTAACACTCATCACTAGCCCCACGGCCAATTGGCAGGATTATACAGGGTTTTCCTTGGTATCACTTTAAAACGAGTGCTCTGACTTGAGGAAGAGGTCGAACGATCACATTTCAAACAATAATTTGCGAAACACAAATTCCGCTGGTGTCACCACTTTCACGTAAATTATGTTTAGCTTCACCACCGGACTTAACCTGTTTCTTCGGTCTTAACCGAAGCGAAATACGACCATCGAAACTTCGCCGACGATATTTTTATATATCCAGAAAACTAAGCTCTCAGTGAAGCGATTTCAATTATCTCACTGCGTAATGTTAGATAATTTTAACGAATTCTCTTAAAATAACACAACAAGCAAGCAAAAGATCTATTAAAAAATTTTTTTCGAAGCAAATCATTGCATCTATATAAGCACAATTTTTTCAATACAATTCCAAAAAATCAAATAAAAATTCGGTTTAAAGAAGAAAAAATAAAATAAAAAATATTCATCCGCAAAATTTTCATCCACTTTTCAATAAAGCTATGCAATAAAAAAAAAACGATGTTAGCCAATGTTTACAATAAATTTTTGAAAACTGAGAGTTCAAATCCAAAAAATCTGTGATAAGAATTATCGCCTTAGTGCCGTCTTCAGCCATTTCATATTTATAACTATTTAAAACGATTTAACTTAAATTTTACTTAATTTAAACAATTTAACTTAGCCTGAAACTGAAATTAAAATACGATGCGATTAATCGTCACTATTTTTTAATTTTTCGCTTTTTACAGTAAAAAAAGCTTTAAAATAATATAACTGTAGCAATGATGCTACGCAAATATCAATTATTCACGTTTCATATGGGATATTTTACGATCCCAAATATCAGCAAATATTAGAGAACCTAAGAAAACAAATGAAGTTCCAATCCAATGAATTAATGTAAATGGATTTCGAAACCACAGAATTGATATTAACAAAGAAAAAAACTTTCGTAATGTAACAACGAGGGTAACAGTGAGTGAATCGACTTCTGCATTCAAGCGATAAACGAAACTAATGCAAATCCATCTGAAAAATCCAATAAAGGATAAGCGACGATAAATTTAAAATGTATAAAAAATATATAAATATATAAATATATAAAATATATAAAAAATAAATAAGATTTCTCTCATATAAACTCTTCCAGCGGAAGAAATGATTCGCTGGAGTAATTTAAACTTAAACTTAAAATATAATTATAAATATAAATAAATTATTAAATAAATTAAATATATAAATTAATAAATAAAATTATAAATATAAATAAATATATAAATTATAAATAAAATATAAATAAAGGGGTCAACATATATACCAATTAATGATAACAAGAAATAAGCAATAAATAAACCAAGAAAATTTGTTCGAATTGAAGCAACAGAAAGAAAAGGCTAAAAATTACTGAAAAAGACAAGTCGCAGCAAGTAAAGCCCACATATGAGGTATAGCGAATAAAAGAATATTTACTGGTTCACTGTGAGAAAAAATAATAGCTGATTTTAGAATATCATTACCCATAAAAGCAAAAAATGGAAGAGATGCTGCGTGCTGAAAATATAAATGAAGAATTTACCATTAAAAATTGAATATTTTAATAAATAAAAAATAATACGATTGAACGTCGGTTGATTCAATCAACTGGGCGATTTTCTATTATATCAATGATTTCAATGACTTTAAATACAGCATACCAAAAAACATTGGGCTGATCAATTTAAATATTTTTTCATTTAGAAAACCTATTTACGATAGAAGCTGAAAGCAGACTATTCCATTTTTATAACTTAACGGTGCAAATTAATATATTGCAAAAATAATATCAAAACCAAAGATAAACGAAAACCAACCACAACAAACATCGCCTCCTTAGTATTCTTCCCATAATTTATATACATCTGCTCTTGACAAATACCCAAGAATGCGGAAGCAATTAATGCTATTATTAGCATAGTGATCCCTATTTAAATCAAAAAATTAGACGCAAAAAAAAATTTCCGATTTAGAACAGTCTAATAGACTCAAATATGAAAAAAGTTTATGGACAAGAGGTAAAATGACGAAGGGTCAAAATAGAACGTTCTCGAACTAAGGTAACTGCTAAAAAAATAAATAGCTGCCAATTGATTCTGTGCATATGCTGCGAGATCATAGCCTCATGGAAGTGATAACCATCCACGCTTTATCTAAATAACAATCATATATCACCTGTATATCGAAGTCTGCCTTTCTCACTCCAGCAGTTATACTTAAAGAAGTATTGGCTAAGCACACTGTGAGTATTTTGGATAATTCTGGACGAAATGGTGAAGTGGTTATCATTCCTGAAATGACTCGACCAGTTCTAACTGCGTGGAGACCTTATAAACCGCATGGCCTATATTTGCTCCAAATGGAAAATCTGCAACATCTCAATTTTTGCCAACGTTTTTATCTTTTTAGTTTTTATAAGAACTTCAATTGTTATAAACATCTTTCCCGAAAGTCGACGTTGTCACAATCAGGGGAGATAGTAGTATACGAGTAGAGTAGTATAGTAGTATATATGGGTTCTTTGGTTGGCAAATATAGCATCGATCCGATAGATATATAGATCCGATGTTTTAAAGGAAAACGCTTTCTTCGCTTTTGTCGAGGAGTATATTGCTATAGTCAGTTCACATTTTCAGTATCCGAGAAAACATCATCTAGTTATATGAAACTCTCTAAATAACCAACACTCCAACCAGACTAATCATATTCTGGTCAACAGTCGTTGGAAGAGTCTCTATTAGATAGATGGAAATTCTGCACGTTCTTACCCTATTAGCATACCATATGATCCGTGTCAGGATGCTAAGAATTTTCATAGATCAGGCAAAGTTATGGTTTGAGAGAAGATCGGCATGAAGATGACAATGCAGAAGAAAATGCCCACCAAAACCATCTTTTGATTACCTGGAGTTCAATGACTGAATAACAGTAAGCATATTTGAAAATAAAAAGCAAAAGCACCCCAATCATATAAAATCAACAATAGGAATGGCTGATGAATCTTGTTTTTTACTAAAGGTATTTCCGAATATTAACTAAACCTTCACTGTGATGTGCGAGCAGGATGCACCCTAACCAAGCTGGATTTGGACCAGGATATTGTATTGAACAAATATCCAAAAACGTTAAGGAAGGTGTTGGAACACCATTTCGGATCATTTTGGAACATCATTTCACATCGGAAATCCACCACAATTGCTTTAATGATTTTGCTGCTGCCTTGGATTCAGCTGGTGGACTCGCACTCGGGAAGATGATGGAATGCGATGATGTTCTAAAGAACTCAGTTCGACTGTTCGACTCATAAATATCAGCACTGGAAAAAAGAGAGGCTTATGTTTCTTTCAGACATTACATTGACTTCTTATCATAGCCAGCCTAATACGAGTAAAAGTGTGGGATAATAGAAGAAGAAATAAAAGTGCAATCCACAGTCAAATAAATGGCTAGAAAATATTTAAAAATCAATTTTACCAGCTATTCAATCTTTCGAAGACAAAAACTAAGGATCACTTACCAATCATCCATTCCTTATAATGCTTTGCAGCTTCATCCGCACTGATACCAAATGATTTCTAAATTTCGTTCATGAAATACGATACAAATGCAAACAAATGAAAATAAATTTATATAAATTTATAAATTTATGTAAAACAAAAAGTGAATTAGTTAGTCGGTTGGATAAACTTGTACTACAGTGTTCATATATTCAATTTTATCAATTTATTTAAAAGCATTAAAAACATCAAAGAAGAAAATAAAAAAGGTAAAAAGCAAAAAAAAATCCTTAATTCTGCTAAAAGAATATGCAAATATTCATTCGCTTCACAGGATATCTACCTATGTCAACCATATATCTCAATATAACAGCACTCACCACTCCTGGTTTGGCTGCCTCCAGTTATTACTACGGAGAAAAATTTCGATGATCGTTTTCACTAGGCAATCGTCGGACCCCAGATTTCGCGTATAGTGATAGATTTACTTTCATCAGGGGAGCGGAGTCGAATTCATTCTACTTGCAGTTAGTCGAACGACTCAACCACTGTGTTCTACGAATAAATAAATGATGTTGAGAATTAAGGAAAATTAAAATGTGAAAATAAAGCGAAAATTACTTGTGTTTTTGCTGTAGCTAAGGTACAGATGATAATACCAATCGTGATCATGAGAACCGAGATATATTTTTTCACCGAATATTTTTTATTTTGTAATAATTTGCTCAAAATTAAACTAGCCAATAATGAACCCTGAATTAATAGCATTAATAACTGATGAAATTTTACCAAAATACATTCACATTTATATCGAATAAATTTAGAAATAGAGGATTAGGTAAAAGCGAAATAATTTAGCCACAAAAAACTCAAAAAAACCAAACGAAATTTATAAATTTATAACTGCGCATTTCACCTCATAATTAAATTAAAATTTCTTTTGATATGCTCCTTAAGATTTAAAAGATACCGAGCGAAAAATTATATGAAGAGGCACTGGCACATGGAAATTGAGTGCTTGATTATTGATAACATTAACGAAAAAAAAGGTAATAATCGTCGGCATATAGCCTCTGAAAATTTTACGCACTTTTATCATGTCTGCGATTTAAATTACCAATCTCATTATTTAAAATCCACTGGATAATATGCCTACTGTCTCTCCTAAAAAGTACCAAAAATTGATTCCGACACCTAGTTATGTCGATAAATGACAAGCACAGCAAACAACCCTGCAAGTATCTTTAATTCTTTCCACGTTTTACTTCTTTATATCATCCCCTCAAGTCGTGCCTTAAAACTTCAACTTAATACTATACCTCCAAATCCATTACCATCCCTCAGCCACCGCTTAAACCATCCTAAAATCTCTTTCAAAATCCTGTTATTCTTTTTCAAAACTTTCAAGCTCTTCGCCTCACAAAATCCATCAAATATTCTCTAAACTCTCTGCATTCCCTAGCATCCGTTCTAATGCGGATATAATCCTTCAATAATCCCATCCTTATCCGAAACATGCAATATTTTCTTTTTTAAAAACCTTTAAAAATTTCATATCAATACTATTTTTAATCTTTTAAATATCTTTTTGGTCCTTTTTATCTTCCCACACCACCCAACCATCGAACTACACCAAACTATAAGTTCCAACCGGACAATTTCAGTTTTTTTCTTTGCAAGCCGAAGAATTTGGCTTAGTCTTCCTAAATGATAACGTCTGTGTTCCTCCTTTTTCTGCTTTTCTATCCGCAGTTACGATACGTTTTTCAGCATCAGCAAAAGCTATAAATGCCATTAAATATTCTTTTTGATTTGTTGGCCTCTGACGTCTCCAATTTTTGCCTCGAAATCTGCCAGCAGTACCACTTTCTCTCTCGCATATAATTCTTCTTTTCTTCGAGCATTTGAGCATTTATAACATTTATGATTTGCTCCATTCAGGGCTTCCACCACTTATAGTTGCGTCTTCAAATGATCGCCTTACTCCCCTCCATGAATTGAAATCGAATCCATACTGCTCATTTAAATTTGTAATAATATATAAAAAATTAATGTGTCTAACGGCATTGTTTTCAAATTAAAAAGAAAAAAATAAAAAATTACTTAAGAGGAATTTTATTTGGTACGGTGAAAAATTTCGACGTAAATACGAGACCTTCCAGTGAAATGAAGAGAAATGTTGCGAACGTCATTAAATTCATCGATTCCGGTTGATTTCTGAAAAATTTTCCAGAAAATTAATTTTTTTTGAAGAATCTACAAGAAAAAATTGCAAAAAATAGTAGAAAATATTTTAAAATTGGAAATATAGCAAATCACTATGAATTTTGCTGGTATTACGCTTACTTTGCTATTGATTCCACAAAATACATACAACCAATACACCCAATCAAACATCCTGAAATCGGATAAACCGCTGACGAATGCATTATCACTCCCAGGCAGAATTTTAACTACTATTTTGCAGATCATATAAATTTAAACGACACGTCTTACTGGGACTGTACGTCAAGCGGAGTTTTATGATATTTTTATCGTCACGGATCATCGTAACGTAGTGGAGTTTGTGGAACGATCTTCGGAGTATCTCTACATAAAATGCATAGGAACATTCCGGAAACCAAATCGAAACACAATTATCAAGAAAGGAAAACCCTTCCACATATAAGATTTCCATTAAAAGTCCTAGTGGTACTGGAGTTCCACCTTCAGCACTCTGAGCGAAGTCAACGTTTATAATTATAGCGATTTGTCGACTGCATTCACAATTGAAATGAATGGAAAAGTTCAGTTTAAAAATCGTTAAAGTGGAAGGAAATACCAGCAAATATCGGTGAAATAAGAATCTTCAGTCAGTGGGGGCCAAAATCTATGCAAGTTCAGATGCGTCGTTGCTCGTCTTTTCTGCTGCTCCTCGTTCTTCTAAAAACGCTCCGATTCTCCTCCGCCAACCAGGCCGAGGCTAAGACTTCCAACTATTTGTACTTGCCCATTTATATTGTGTTAATATTGTTAAATATTTGGTTATATTGGTTATTTGGCCTTCTTTCATCATATTTTTCATAATAATTCCCAAAGGTAGAACGACACATATTGTTTTATTCATTGCTTTTCACAATTATTTATATTTAAAAGTAGCTACTTTAATAAAATGTTGATGTTTTTGTTTCTCAGGTACGAAGTCATTTGGCTTCGATCAGCCGTCTCGAGCAGTTGTTGTTCTTGACTCAAAACGAAGATACTGGCATCTCGGCGCGAGTATGCCTGAAAAGCAGAGAGTCTGAGCTCGCTCTAAGGAGAAGAAGTTTGACAGTATTGGTCATCAGTGTATATGCTTCATGCAGATAAATGCAATATAGATAATTTGATGAGATGCGGAATTTCGTTCACTAACAGTATCTCCCCCCCCAAAAGTTGTCGGTAATTGCAGTATAAAACATGCTACTACGATGGATTTTGTGCTTGGCTAACATGGTTTCGCGACCTGGTGCTATTGGAGAGTTCCTTCGCTTTGCCAAAGAACATGGATTTTTTACCACAAATACATACTTCCACCACTTGAAAAGGCAGCTAGTTAAATGGAGCTCTCCTGATCCCTACCAGATTGATTATATTCTGGTCAACCGTCGTTGGAAAGTTCAATACTAGATAGCCATTCATAACTCCGCACTGGAAATGTTAACCTTAGCGGATCAGACCATATATTATTCGAGCTGAGACTCACTAAGACCACATGAAACTGGCAATGTGTCCAAAACGCCCACTAAGAACTCTCGATTATCTTATAAATTAAGATTTGAGTTAGCAAGCATATTTTAAAACGAATTATCATTTTAATGATATAAATATCAACAGCGCATTTGGAACGGTCCATGAATATTGGTTCCAATTAATATCTCCATACGTCGGCCATATCCATGCTAGGATATTCTAGCATATGTTATTAGCTAGCTGAGTATTGAAGGAAATGATCCAATTATCTGAGCTCACCAAAACCCGTATCAACAGACCTTAACCGCTTCGAAGATGCGCAACACTAACGGTAAAATAAAAACCATTATTGATACGATCCAGAATATAGAGATGCCTACGTAACTAGGAGATAATGAGGAAATTTTTTTCGTAAATTTTAAAATGGAGGTTAAAACGCACTTCTCCGGAAATAAAAATTCATTGCCTATAAAGTTCTCATCTTGATTCAGTTCACAATTATTGCAAAGGTGAATATGATTTTCTCTCAAATAACTATTTGATTGTGTTTCTGCTGATCACTGAAAGTATGTACAAACCCTTCTCGCAATCATGTTCTTCCGAAATCGTTCGAAATTAATCCATTTCTAAAAGCTAACTGTTTGATAATGCGATAACCGATAACCTATAGGACAACGCAAAATTTCAACAAATGAGCTTTCAAGTAATTTTCCATTAAAAATAGTGAATAAAAGTAACAATAGCAATAAATCAAAAATGTAATATTTCGAGTTCACCAGATGAAAATGACTTTAAAGTGGAAGAATTCGAAAAAACCAAATACAACAAAATATACGAATAATTTGTTTCATCAAAGAAAAGAAAAAACCATTCGTCTCGTTAAAGATAGAAAATTATAAAACAAGCAATAATTATAATTAAATTTGCAAAAAGTTTTTTGATAAATTTCCTCTTTGTTATTTATATGAACACCATAACTTTTTTAATTAGCGCAAAGTGGAGCAGATTCGAATAAATTAAGTAAATTAACAAGCGGGAACATTATACACGAACCAATGAAAGATCCGATCTGCAAATATTGATAAAATATTTCGAAAATGCTGAAAATTTTCAGAATTATCAAAACATTTAGAGACTTAGAGAAGAAACAGTTGCACTAGGTAAAATAGAAGAAATAGCAGAGAAATTTTAAGTATAAAAAAAAAATTGCGTGAAACCTGTATAGCTACTCCACACCAGAATAGTCGTGATTTCTCGTCCTTTCCTCCATCTCGTACCAAAGTAGTAATTAAAGTGCGCAAATATGACAGAAATAGAGAAGAACCAACAGCAACGCCCACCTTCAAATAAAGTAAATTTAATTTTATTTTTACCCACTGTCTTTATCAAAAATTTTCGGATGACAGACATAAGTTTATAAATATCAATGATAATAATCTCAAGCCAATCTCAAGCATAATCTTTCAATAACTTTTCAATGATCTTCAAAAATTAAGATATTAAAAATAAGTATAAAACAAACAGACAACACTTGGCCCCAAATTGAGTATTTCAGAATCGGCGTTGGACTCATAGCAGCCAAGACAACTATCACTGCTGTAAAGATGCTAGCTATCACATTCAACAATGAGATAACACCCAAGGATTTTGTTGACAAAAAAAGCGGAAGAAAACAAGCCAAAGAGGCTGCAATATTGGCTAATGTCAGACCGAATCGATAAGTAGCCTGAAAAAAAATGGAATATAAAACTGATTATCATTTATTCAGATTTTACAGTCGAATAATAAGAAAATAAAAAAAGATGAATGGACAAAAAAATTACTTGCGAGTAAGGAAGAGTAGCAAAACTTTGAATACTTGGAATGATACCATTCATTTGAGCGTTTATAAATGCCATCATTAATAAAAGAATTATATAGCGCAATCGTTTTGAAACCATTGTTTTTTTAAAAACACCAATGTTTAGTCCTTGGTGAGGCTAAAATAAAACTTAATTGAACTAAAAGTAACCGTTAGGGAAGTGAAATAATGGACTGCTTGAGCAGAATGTTTATTCGGTTTGAAATTTCATTAAAATTCAGGAAGAATAAAAAATATACTAGAAGAACAGATTCATCAACAGGCAAATTCGTTTCGGTGGAAGTATTATTGGAAGCTGCACTGCTTTCAGCACCAAGCCTCGTCCAGTTCAACAATATAAACGAAACTGTCGCGATCAACAACCATGCAAGCATTATTAGATTATATTCTTCAACACCGAATAATGGAGTGATTCTCTCACGAATAGCAGAGCCATTCATGTATATACATTCATCACCAGCTCCTAAATAACAATATGATAATAGATACTCAACATTCAATAAGATAAGCTATCTCAATTTTGATAAATTTGAAATCGATAAAAACAAAATGAAATTGAAACGCTTCGATAGTGAATGAAGCCAGATCGTATTTTAGTATTTTTAATTGAGTGATAAGCAAAGATAACCTTGAATAATTGATACGATACTTGGTAAAAGAGCACTGAAGCTCATGCCGATAAAATAAGCTGTTAAATAAGAAGGATGAAAGATCGACATATATGGCATAAATAATACGCTGGATGTAGTATTCACTAATGCCAAACCTGAAAAATTGATATTTTTTTAGAATTAACGCTTTTCGGTAAACTAGCTAGTTTAATAATATAAAGATAAAAGGAATCTGGGCATTTCCGCTTTTTCCTAACCATTAGCGTAAATCATTTTCATCTTAGCTCGCTCCACATTTATTTAGGTATTTCGTCATATAGATGGATTATTTCAGAACAAAGGTATAGTGATTCGCAAGCACTATCTGCTATAATGACCAGGTTTACTTTCGCATTCATATGGTCCAAACTCAAGCGAAGCGAGATTGCAGTTTGGAACGTGGAAATTAAAAAAATTTCAAAACTTGTTAACTAACCGAACATTAAAAGCATCAGAATAACGGAACGTTCTTCATTAAAAATATACGCTGTTGTCGACCAAAATAATGCCAATAAAACCATGCAAATGCAACAAAAAATTAATAATACAAGAATGATTGGTGCTTGTGGAAGAGATAAACGTTGCCATTTCAATAAAAAACTATAAATTAGAGGTCCAATACAAGCCAACTGAAATTTTCATGACTTTAAACAAATAATTATAAATTTTTATAAATTTCTCACTAGGTAAGGGATCTCACTCTCCACCTTTTTCGAGCAGCACTCATCATTTCTAATTTGGCCAACATCACTGGCTGAGAGCCTTTTTTAGTAGAGAGTCATTTGGGGATAGAAATAGAGAGTTCTGAGCACCACTCGGATTGCACAGATTTACTTCCGTTAAAACATATGATCTAATCTCAGTTAAAGCACATATACCCATCATTTGATTCAAATGAAAAAAGCAAGTTCAAATGTTAATTATAAATTAATCCGGTCATTTATGGACCTCTCCGCTATAAAGTTACCTTTTTCTACCATTTCTATTTCTCTGCTGCTTTTTTAAGAGTGAATATAGCTTGTTTTCACACGATTAATCCAAATGATTATTCCAAATCTTTCAACAACAATGATAACAGCATAGAAGTTTAAAATTATATTAATTCAGCATAAATCATCATAATTTATTATCAATGATAATATCCCTCAGACTTTATTTAAAAATCTCTCTAGCAACACCTTTACTTTTGACCTATAAAAATATTTGCTGAACCTAAAATTTGAAAAATTATCTTAAGTAACTCCTGTTTTTAAGAAAAGTTATAGAGATAATCCCCTCTAATTATCGTCTGATTAGCGTTAATTAGCCTCGTAAGCCTTAGTTTAGAGAGTTTAAAAAACTCATATTCAGTAAACTATGATTTTTCACAGACTTTTTCATAGCAGACTTATGTTGTGTTTATGAGCATGGCTTTTAGGAGGAAATCCACCAAAAGCCAACTTCTTGCTAATCGTTAAAACTGTTCTTTATCTATATTGTCGCCAACCGATTTCTATTCGGTACGTTGATTAAGCGCTGGAAACTATCAATAATACGTGTATTGCCTGGAATTTATTAATTTGTTAATTTAACTATATTTCTGATTATTTAAGTGGTTTCTATTAATAAATCAGCACTGGAGTTTTCCTCTGTTAGATTAGCTGTACCGTAAGGCAGTTGAATCGATCCTTTATCATTTCTTATTAATGGTACTATTGACGCCGTTCACAACTCTCACATTTAACTATAAACTAACTATATGCTAATGTTAATAACTAAAAAGTTTATTGCACATTGGATGATCTACTTGCTTTAGAAAGTGATAAGAACGATTAGATGATTAAATGACAGGCGGATAAGGCTATTTATTGAGAAATGCGAAATTTTGCATATTAATTTAAAATCTTTTTTTTTCCTTCCCAATTTTGATAGGCAATATTGGAGTTTCATAGGAAATTCCTAATCAAAAAATCAACTAAGAAAAATTTTACATTATTTGCTCAGAACTTCTAAGAATAAATCCTTAGATTTTAAATATATATGTATACGTATAAGACTTTCCTTCGAAATCACTCAGAATATAGCACATTCTGTCTCTTAGTTAAATTAGCTACGGATTTGCAAAAGCATTTTTTGCACCGTTTAAATCCATCTCCTACCACATGTGATTTTGATAATATCGGACTAATTCTGCGACCACTCTTTAAATTTAAATTTGAATAATTCGAAAGCTAATGGACAAAAGGAAAGCAATTTGTAGGATCAGCAGCAATGTCGGAATATACTTCCCACTGATATTATTATTGCACCATTAGCACCTTTTTTTCAAAATAAGTTGAATTGAATTATCCACGATATTATTTGGCAGCACATCATACCATTTTTATTTTTCTTTTCTATTTATTCTATTAATTTTATTTATTTTCTATTATTAATATTATTTTATAGCGCTACTGTTATATAAGTGCATGGTTTTTAAATTGTTTGATCTTCTAAAAAAATAATGAAATAATTAAGATAAGTGGCTAACCAATTCTGGTTAATTTAACCCCAATGGTTAGAGACAATATGCTTAGAAACTATTACTAGGGAACTTGGTGAGAACTTGGCAGGATATAGGTGGTGGCTCGCCAGCACCCGCATTTTTTAATGACACTTCACTCCTTACGAAGGCAGGAAGAAAAGTCATGCGCTTTAAACACAGCTATCTGAACAACTATCCACTCGGCCATCATTCCCACAATCATTCAAATAAATAAAAAGAACTGGCGAATTTCTTTTATCGATTTCACTCGATTTCCACATACCATCATGGTGAGAAGTTTTGATGCTTTCACCACGGTAGTTACTCTCTTAAGGAAATAATTAAAAGCAGCCAACCGAATTTTATTTTTTCGATAGGTAATGATTATACATATTGTTATTCTACGAATTTAAACAATAATGGCTAAAAGTTGAATTGGAAGAAATGAAACCGCTGCAGGAAGCCGCTGCATCCGTCATTATTCGTCTACCTAATTCCAAGCCCATTTAGTGCATTAAAAGAAGAAAAGCAAAACTTCCGAAGCCCCAAAATCTAAGCACTTGAAGTTTGGTACCTTTATGATTTCTTCAGAACACACACCAAAGTAACATCGAAACAATTCATAAAATACCTGCACAATAACGACTAAATACGATGGAAGATTCCAGTGTTCAGGAAGTTGCTCAGTAAGTAATGGTAATTGCATCCATACGGAGTTCGTGCTAAGCCACGAACTCGAACCGAAAAGTACCACTAACATGTAGGTTGATAACCTCAACGCCATTTAACCTGTAAAATCCACTCATTACCGGGTCAAAGGTCACGCCTGCCGTCCAACTTTTTAAGCATGACAAGCCATTTAAATTTTACGGGATGCAAAACGATTGCGTACTGAAAGAACGCCAAAACAATATCGTTGCAAAAAATAAGCTGCAAGAAATTACGGCCCGTTTGGTCGCGAATATGGCCCATAATTTGGCTCCTCGTATTAATATTCCTTTGCGTTGCAAATATAAAACGGATGGAAATAGATTAAATAAAAAAGAAATCTTTCATTTGAATTCATTTTTAAAACGAAATTGGAAAGAATTTTTTATTATTTTCGGAATTCAATGCAGTTTTAATAAAATAATTCTCTTAGAATAATTCTAAGAGAATAAAGAGAATAAATTCTAAGAGAATTTTTTTAGAATAAAATAATTCTTAGAAATTCTCTTTTAAATAAATAAATGAAATTTTATGAATAAAATAGGCAAATATAGTTGTTCTCTTTCGATTGAAAATGTTGAATTGAATTCATTCGAAAAAAAGAAAAAATTTTCTTTTCATTGTGAATTTATTCACTGTTGGTGATTGAAAAAGTGTAAAATTTCTCGCTAAACCAGTGAAATTCGATTTTGCACACTTGGGAATCGCAATAAAATTCGATTTTGCACACTTGGGAATTGCTATAAAATTCGATTTTGCACACTTGGGAATTGCAATAAATTGCTTAATGTTGGCGAGTGTGTTTATATAAGTTAACGAATGTCGACGAATGGCACGAGTAAAGCTGTCTTTTAAAAAACGTGGCTACGATCCACATGTGCTCCTTGTATTTGCGAGTGATTTTCTGGCAAACTTGTTGCGTTTTGCCAATAAACAACTGAGTGAGTCTAAACAAAAATGATGAATGGCAAATCGCTTATTCACTCGAAAGAAATGTCTGAGCTGAGTTAAAGAGGGACTGAAAGAGGGACTAAAGAGTTAAAGAGGGACTGAAATCCGAATTTTTCCTCAACAAGAAACGATAATATTTTCATTCTTATGCATTATATTTGGCTCGTTCGGCTGCAGTGATTTGCTTGACCATCTCGCTAGAGAGATATTTGGAGATAGGGGCAGATAGGAGTGCAGCAGCCGACCCGATTTCATTCTTTTGTGAAAGATTTGCTTCTTGGAAACGGAATCGATTATGCAATGAATCGCTTTTATCTCTGGTGAAACCTGTGGGTCTCTTTCTCAAAAGATTCATTTGAACGCATACAAACATAAGGCATTAATTGAGATTTATATTGACAAGCTCATGGGTAGGTACTGATGTTGTTTGCTGATTTTCAATCTGGAAAGCCTGGCTGAAGTGCTAAATCTCAGTTAGAGGCTGTTGGAAATGAAAGTTCTTTCGCGTCAAAATTGCTGGTTCTCGATAGGTCCGTCCCGTCCTTAATTCACGCGCTAAAAACCTACTGAAAAATATCTCAATCAATTCAGTTTAATTTATTATTCTCTTAAATTTACACATTCAGCCGAACAGTGGTTATTTCTACTGTCCATGAAAATAGATAAACATTGATTCCTCCATGAGGCATAGAATGGCTAATGCATTCATCTAAGCGCTAAGCATTTCTAGTTTTGCATAAGCATTTTATTAGTTTATTATTAGTTACAAAATCCATAAAGAAAAAAAAGAACCTCTGTTGCAACGCTGATAAATTTGTAAGATAAATTTATTCAGCCAAGAATGTCTGAGATGGGCTAATCTCACCACAATATTCCTCAATATTACGATACAATAAACGCCACACTAACAAGAATCCAAATTCACAGCTAATCTATTCGTGTCACTTTGTGATCACTTAACTATCTTCATTTCTATATTCAAATACAGATTTACAGATCATAAAAGCGTGCTTATCACTCACCTTTTCTGGTAAATTTTCTTGGCGAACTTATTCCACCACCTATTAGTATGAAATATTTTCGTCAGAGAATCAATTATATGTCGGCACTACCACTAGAATTTTATCAGCGATGATGCTCAAAGTGATAATTTAAGAAATAACCACTTTACTATTCAATTCCTATGCATAGATTGCATAAAATATTTTTTGAGTAATCAAAACTTTCCTGAAAATCTAACTGTACAAATACGTATTACTGCATTCATCAGATTTATTTATCGCAAAGAAACATTAAACAATGAGTTCAATCACAATTCATTTGCAATAAAAATTTAGCGCAGAAACATTTATTTAAGCATCATGCGGAATTGGTCGAATCTAGCTTTGGTACTTTCTTGCGTTATGAAATGTGGCATATTATTTGGCGTTTTAATCGGAGTGTCATTAGCAAATGCAGTGCTTGAGGCGACTTTAACATCTCGAATTGCAATGTACTTCTTGATTTTACATCGCATTGTGGGGTCGATTGAGAATATGAGTATAAATAATACTATCGCATAAAGATTGAGGAATCCGATTCTGTCCAGGATTTGACTCTCAACAAAGTTGAGATTATTGTTTAGCTTAAAGTAAATAATTTGGTGAAGATTCTGAAGAAAATATGATAACGATTTTAATAATTTTTAATAAAATTGGTTGGTGAAATTATCAAATATTAATCGCTAATTTTAATATGCGCAACAATCAGTTTGAAAATAACTTTGAGTATTATTTTGAACCAACAGAAAAAAGCAAACTATCATGGAAAAATTGCCGTACCAAATATTGATAAAATAAGAATCTTACCACAATTGTTATGAATGCGACAGTTCCAGCCGTGCAATTGAAGATGATATGAAGCCATAGAAATCGAATAATGAAGTGCAATGCTCGAATATTTTCATCTATTTGGTAACGCTCAGAAAGATCTGATTCACTGTTCCACTGCCAGGTTAATTTTCTGCGAATATAGTTCGAATATAGCAATAAATGGATGTATAATGCCATTATGAATTCAAATATCACGAATGTGACAGTGAAAATCTAAAAACAAGTCCAATGAATATATTAGTAAAAATTTAGAAAAGTACTCTAACGTATAGAACACAAGTAAATGATTGAATAGAAAGCCTAAACTCCAGCTAAAGGCTTAAGGCCACTCAGTGATAACGAGAGAATGAGGGTAAAACTGCACTAATGGCAGAGTTCTTTGTAATTACAGTTCTGTTAAATCGACCGATAAACAAAGAATGAAAAAAACTGCTTAATAATTCGTTAAGTTATAAGCCAGTTATAATGACGTAGAGAGTGCAATGAGCGAGTGCAGTGTTAAATGAGTACAACCAGGCTCAAGCAAGAATGAGGAGGGCGATCTGAGAGGATGGGTTTGAGGCGTCAAGATTTTAAGTATTGAGGAAATGAAGCTTGCTTAAGGGATTGTTGAAAGGGTGGGCAAAATAAATGTTTCATCGGTGAAAGGTTTTTCAGTATAACGCTATTCGAAGAGATTTAATAAAAAAAGTAAGGTTTGGAAAGAGATATAGTAAAGAAAGGATGTGAAAGGATCCCAATTCCCCAATTCTCATTGTCTGTCTCGGCTATGCTTTTGTGCATTCACAGGTACTAATATTGGCGTAAAATTACTACATAGATTAAAACAATTAAATCGCAACTTTTATTGAGAGAAAAGTGAAAACTACAAAATATTTGTCAAGGAAAAAGGAAATAAAACATAAAAAAAATCTGAAAAAAGGAGTGAAATATTTTGAAGGATCTAAGGATGCTGAAGGATAAAAATTAATAATAGAATTCATATAATAGAATTAATAATAATAGAATTAGAATAATAATAGAATTAATAATAGAAGGATGTTAAATATGAGTTATATGAGTTATGAGAGTATTGGTTGTGAGTGGGTTGGCAAGGAAATGAAATGAACCGCATATTGACGCGATCGTGTTGATGCGAGGCAGTGGAGCTTGAGAGATGCTTAAAGGCGTGATGGCGGTGAAATTTAATAGCATCTTGAAGGTTATAAAAAGGGTATAATGGCATCCAAGTAGACTCTACGGAGAAATATTAAATTGCGATGATGTTAAGAAAGAAACGACGAGTTCTGAAGTTTCTAGACTGCCTTTATTGGACAAATGCACACTGCAGTATTAATTCTTATGTGATCTAATTAGCAAAGTCTAGTTCATAAAATTTATCAAAAGCTATCATTTGCTTAACAAAATTTTCTTACTTGATTTCGTCGTCGATTACATGAAAATACGACCGTTGGACCTACAGACATTTCAGACCAGTTAAGTCCACGCGCCAAAAACCCATATGGAATACCGACTGCTATTATAATCTACAAATTAAGGACTTAAAACTGTATTATGACCATAGAAAAACAAATTCGCCAAAGTTTTTTCATTTTTTAATATATTAAATGACTAATTTCTGGAAGATTTTTTAGGAAGACTTTTTAGATGGCTTTTTAGACTCGGGAAGATTTTTTGAACAAATAGTTTTGGGATGGTTTTTTTCTTGATGGCTGATTTCAGGAAGGTTTTTTTGCCAAAAAAAAGATGAGATAGATTTTTTATTCAGCTAAAGCTAATATATTCTGGCAATAATCATTCTTATTTTTCATATACATTTAAATTCAATTTTAAATTAGTTTTTTCACTAAAATTGTATTTATTGGATTGTTAAAATATTTTATATAATTTGTTTTATTTTTATATTATTTTCATTCTGAAACCATTGCATATTTTTTATAATTAAATTGACGCTTTCCGAATGAAATTGGATTAATTTACTCAAACTCAAAATAACAAATACAAATGACTAACCTGCAACGCTATTAAAATAGCTGGTAAAACGATTGATTTGTCTTTTTCATAACTTTTGTATAGAATTGTAGCCGCTGTTCGTTCGATAGCAATTGCAAATATCGAGGTCATTTGCAGTAATACAAAAAGTAATGCAATCGCATGGAGATGAAATGAAGTCCAAACAGTCATTAGTCGGTCACAACTATTTTTAGTTGAAATCATAAGCCTGAAAATCAACAAACTTTGCGACTATTCCTTCTGAGGAAAAGAGACATTCAATTTCTCGCATTTAGCATAGTCTAACTTGCCAAAGCTACGATCTTCAGACGTTACAGCAAATCGAAGATATTTCTTGATTCCTTTATGCTTATTCTTTTCTTAAGACAAGAAATGAGAGAATATCGCCAAAATATTTTTCAAATCACAGGATTTTGAGGTTTTCTTGAGCTATTTTTACTTAACTCAGTTAGCCATCGCCTGTAGCCATCTGAAGGCACTTATGAACTCGATGCTCAGTTGCCAAGAATTGTATATCTCCAGTCATTTTTTTTACACTTGTAATATTTCATATATTTTATAGATTATTCTGCCTTTTTCGTATTCTCTTGCTTCTAAGCTAATTGAAAGAATATATTCTTCTTACAAACTATTAACAAAGCCTAACTGGTCTATGAAATTTTATTCTTCTTCTGAAATCTTATGGTGCAAAATATGACGGCAAAACTTACAAAATGATGCTGTAAGTATAATTAATAAAATATGCCACAGAAAGGCCAATCGTTGCGATGTAATGAAGAATTAATAAAAATTTGGCATTACGATGCAATCTTCGATGAGATTCCCCAAATTTCATTAACATTATCATGAAAATAAAACCTGAAACATGATTTAAAAAGCAACGGTTTCAACTATTTTTTAATCCCATCAGTTATGAGAGAAGCAGAAGTGAGAAGAAAAGAATAATTAAGAATTTGGATTGTTTTGCACGAACACAATTTCTAGTGAAAATATTTTCATGTAAGTAAATTTCTGTTGAAAGTTCTAATCTTTTCTGATAAATTTTTTGATATTGCAGCCATTTTTAAGAAAACAATACCGATGACAGAGAGCACTATACGAGCGATCGTTATCATCTTTAATAATAACGAATCGGCAAGTTGTTGCATCTTCCAACAAAGGCTTTCATCCATTGCCTTCTAATTCAATCTACAACTAATCTAGCAATGCTGAAATTACAGCGAAGCAAAATTAATCATTTGATGAGCAAGAAATATTTCTTTTTTTAAAAAAATTCGTGCTTACAAAACAAACTAAATTTAATTGCTAAATAATTAATTTCAGCATTTCACTTTTAAATTAATTTTTAATTTTAGTGTATAATAATATTTAAAAATTAATATTATAATTCAATGTAAATATTACCTTTTTTTCTCCAAAAATTAAACAAATAAATTTTCATAAGATTCATGAAATTTAAAATTTTTTGATTAAAATAATAACACTTCAAAAGCTTTCCTTAAATTGGAAATCGGACACAGCAATGTGCCATAAATTTTTACTTTATCGAGCTTTGGTAATTTAAATAAGTTCAATATAATAACTTCTACAGTTTGTAATTACGGAGATGTTTCATCGAGACCAGTTTCGCTGCGATCTCAGCAGATCATCACCAGTCGACTACGAAACTACACTGTTTGCGAGATGAGCTGGCTAAAGACGTTTGTTGCAGAAATAGAGATTATTAGTAATTATTAGTTATTAGTTAACAGTGCAGAGAAAATTCTCTTAACTAGATAAATGATTTGAGTTCACACGATTGCCACATTTCTAATAAACCAAATCTCTCCGATCGTCTCTGATTTAACTAAAGAGGTTTTGAAGAATTCACAGATGAGGATCAGATCAGATGATCTGATGATAGTAATCACAGCTTCTTAAGTGCGAAAAATAGAGAGCCAGATTTTAGCGAAACTGGCCTCGACAAGGTTTCTTCACATGGAGCAAATTGAGCTTGCACAAAATTGCCGAGCCTTTTCGAATCTCAATGAAGCAAAGTTTATGATGTATTAAATTAATGCAATAATGGAGTTAAAATGAAAATAAAAATATTATTTAAATATTTTATTTATATATTAAATATTTTAAATATTTTATTTTATAAATAAGAAAAAGATCGTTGTTAAGCCCTCTAATTATTCATTTAATATTGATAAATTGATAATTTATCATCAATTTTCTTATACTGATAGCATTATCACTTCATATCAGTAATTTCCATTTGAGTATTCCGTTATTTTTATCGCTTGAAGAAAAAAATTATGATTAATTTAATAAAAATTAAAAAATAAGATAAATTCATTTCACATCGTTAATTAAAAGATTTTCGGTTTTTTTTCAAATCTTTAGCACTTTTTTTTCAGAATAAGTAATATTCTAAGGTAAGCGATGGAAGTTCGCTTAAACTAATTAAGATGAGATGCATTGTTTAATTAATTAATTTCGCATTGAAGAGAGCATTATAAAAGGAATTTATTTCTAAATTAGTGTGACAAATCCATGCAATAACTAATCGTTGTTAATTAAAGAACATTTTATAATTGTAGTTGGATTATTTATTTATAACAAAATTGTTTGTTGGTGATATTTTCATTCGAAAAATTATTTCAATTCATAAAAGTAATTGAATGCCATAAATATTTTCAGGAAATATTTGATTAGATGCAATTTTCTAAAGAAAATTAACTTTATGACAAAATAAATAAATAAATCGTCATTTAATTCTTAATTAATTCTGTTACAAAAAGTTAGAGAATTCATTTACCACTAAATGGTGTTAATTTTCTTAAGAGACCTTCGATGGTAAAGAAAAGGTCGTAGTGGATTTTCACAGAACTAAAATTCTTCTGTAGCCAGTTAATTAAATATTAATCATATTTTCTTTCTTATTATTCGTCTTTTTAGTTAACGTACTTTATAATGTAATTTCTTTTTTTCAAGAGCCCTCACCATTTCTGGTAAGACTCCCTTCGCTAGCTTGTCGTACTGGACAAATATGCCGGGGATTCTCTTAGCGATAGAAGTAAGTGGATGAATCGTCATCATTGCCCTTTATCATTAGTTTAAGAATTTCTGAATTTTAAACTAAATTCTATTCATTCAAGGTGAATATAAAACAATCGAATTAAATAAATTAATCTGCTATTCAACAATCTTTTCAGATATTTATAGTGCGAGGAGGATGGATAATGAATGAAAAATTTTCTAAAGAATCATGAGGAAATGCAGCCAATATAAATAAAATGCATTTACTTACCTACTTATTATCGGATAATAAAAAAATAAGTCTACCTTTTGTTTAAAGAATTTTTTAAATGAAATTTTAATTTCACAGTTTTGTAGGAGATCAAAAAACTATAATTTTAAAGAAAAAGCTAAGCATGATGGTGCTTAATAGAAATCCCCAAAAACGATTTTGTCGCATCATTATTGTATTTTAGCAAAAGCATTTTACTAATTTTCATCTTTATAACATCATTTCCTCAAAACTAGAATAAATGTGTAGGCAAAAAATGAAATTAACAAGTAATAAATTTTTTTGATAATTATTTTACAAATCTTCCCAGAGATCCAGAAAAAAAATTGCAGAGTGGTGGCCAAAATATGCAAATATAGTAGGCGATATGAAAAAGCATGATACCTGAAAATCAAAACACTGTATTCCCATTTTTAAAATGCCAAAATTTAAACATGCTTTTAAAAATTACTGGTAAAAAATTTATAGTTACAAAATTAAAAATACAATATAAAATATCAGAAAATTAAAATAATTTATGGAAAATATGCAAATTTAAAATAAGTATTGGATTAAAATCAAAATGAAAACTATGAACAGTTAGAAATTTGTTAAAAAATTTTAAAAAGCACTTTCTTGTGCAAAATTTAAAATTAAGACTTAAAAACAGTTTCTACGATAATAATTTATAAAAAAATTAAACGATTTTATTTAGCTATAATTAGTTAACTGGCACTAGTTAGCACTCACCACTTTATTAGGATCGGCTGTTCGTCAACTATATGAATGTGGTAGTTGTCCTAAGGAGTCACTTGGAACTATAGATGGGTCCCAAGCAACACTCGGTTTTTTCTAGTGGCAGATTTACTCCATCTAGGATCAGAAATCAAAATAATAAGCTAAGCATTCTGTCACTCGTTACTGCTCAATTTGAATATATTTATATAATATATAAAATTTATATATATTGCTCAAAAGGGTTGCAAATTTCTTATGAAAATATTTTTCATATTTACATAAGATTGCTTAAGTGTTAAAAACAGCAAGAATGCAGGATTTTCTAAGAATGCAGACGGCGACGGAAAATTCTTATTTTCGATAATTTTTTTGAAGGAGAGCATAAACTCTATTCAATTCAGTTAAGCTGTGCGTGCCATTTAATTCACATCCTTGAAAATTAATTGAATATTTAAGAAACCATTTTTAAGCAGTGATAGAGATTTTAAAATCAATGACTGCGCTGAATGAAATCTAAACAATTTTAAGTGATTTCTACAATTTCCCATCTAAAAGTAGAAAGTAGGTAAAAAAGATAAAATAAATTATCATAAATATCGCCCTTTATTTGCAAAAGTAAACAACATATGAATAAATTTTCTCGCCATAATATTTTTCGCAATTTCGCCATTTTATTTTAATCAAAATTTTTTCAATATTTTTTTCTTATCATACATATTCTTCCTTTGCATGAAATTTCTTTTTATAATCTTATAAAATTGACGAACGTTTATGGCTGATTGAAGGTAAAAAAAGAATTATTTTAACAGAGAAATTTTAAAATTTTTCATAAAAAATTTTTTTTACAAAATGTGATATTTGCTAATTTACGAAGAAGTAAGCATTACAGACGAAATTTCACTAGATTATTATTACTCAGAGCTTTTCATTTATAAGCGGAAGCAGCCAAATTTTCTTGAAGAAACTTAAAGAATTAAAAATTAATTTAATAACAAATCGACTTTTAATTTCGATTAGGCAAATTATTAGAAAATTTCCAATTAGAATGGCAGTTATGTTCCTTGCTTCCTTGTTCGGTTAATGTTTAAACCAAATATAATAGTAAACAAGAATCTTATAAAAATTTCCAATTATTTTCAACAAAGCATTTTCGCTATTTATTTTCTGTTAATCCTTCCCACAAAGAAACTTGAAAATTGTCTTAGAAAAGATTCTATCAATGGTAAACTTCACTGAAATACAAAGAAGTTTCAAATATCTGCCGAGTTTCCTACAATAAATCGTGAATCAGCATTGAACATCTATAAGCATTGACAGATAAGTCAGATTGATACCGAAAATGTAAATGAACTGAATAGAGGAAAACTTACATTCGTTCAAGATTCGTTCAAAATGATTATGGACATTCAATTTTCTTGAAGCATATTATAACCGCCTTCAAATGCAATTTTTTATAAAATTTTGAGAAAAAACTAATCCATATATTAAAAATTTTGTCACAACTAATTGGAAGATTAGCAGTTTTCAATAAACTTTTTGAAAATTATAAAGAACTTTTTTGCGACAATGAAACTGAATTTTAATGAGAGAATTTTAATGACTTTAATCAAATTTTTTATATTGCGAATATATGTGAAATATATGAATTTGTATTGTTAAGCAAAGTTTAGGATTGGTCATTTTAGTAGTTTAACTAGTATAAATCCTTTTCTTAAAGTAATAGCACAGCTGGCATAACTGCTTAGTGGTTCAAATCTCCACATTGAAAAACGAGTGTTTAGGTGCATCGGTGGCCAGTAGCAAGATAATTGCTGCCGAAATCGAGGATGAGTTTGAATCCGTCGGTATTCTTTGAGCGACAAACAGTAAAGGAGAGTGGAATGGCTCAGGGAGTTGTTGCTCAGTTCGGAGCATCGATGCTGATGTTCTATTCGATTTCTATTCGCGGCAGGAGTAAATATGTTTAAAAATCCAGGTGGTGCCAATGACTCAGCTGTATTTGTATTGCTAAAAGAATCCTCGGCATATTTGTCTATGTCTAGCCAAGGCAGTGGAGCGATTCTAACCAGTAATGGAGAGTACTCTTTAAAAAAAATTGAGAAGTGTTCATTTTTACTCCAGGCTAGCTTGTTGTCAAGAAGTATAAGTGGTGGTGAAGAC